GTACCCCAGCGGCTTCTGGCCAGCCCGGCTCGACGCTGAAACGCTCTCCCCATCAACCACGGACCGCAAGCGCAAACTCCGTTGCCTGCGGCCATCTGTCACATCTCACTTACCAAAGCTGGCTCTCTCACGCGTCTCTGTCTACCTGGAGTTCTGGTGAGGACGGCGCCCTGGCATGCGCTTGACCCCAGCCTCGAATCTAGAATCCCCTTCACCTCGACAATCGCATCAGCAACGAGCGCGTACTACGCAGGTTTGTAGCCTCGTCCTCTGCGACAAGACGGCAATGATGCACCACGCCTACTCGGCGAACGGTGACTTGTCTGCCGAAAACACATGCTAACACGCCTTGCAGGTCCCTTCACCATGGCCACAACAACAAGGGCAATCACACCCACACATACAGGTCCCTTTGCGGTGCCAAATGGGCCCACAACACCCGGTGCAGGAGCGCGCAACTCGCACGGCGCGCCGACATTTGGCACCCATTTGACCAATTCGCCGCGTGGGCTCTCGCCACGACATTCGCCCCAACCAGTCCCAGGTGCCATGTCCTTGTCAGACGAGCGACAGTATCGCCAGAGCACACCGAGGCAAATGAGTCCGCACCCAGTCACTACGACCTCTCCAAGACGTGCAGCCGCCCAAATTCCACACAATTGCCTGCACCCACAAGCGCGCGCATCCGAGAGCATGCCCAAGCCTGCCATTGTGATCCCAGCGCAAACTGGAGTCACTGGCGAGAACATGCAAACAAGTCCGGTCAGCCTCTCCAGCTTTGGCGATGACGCGCCTGGTGCCCCAGCGGCAGCGGGTGATCTTGAGGCGAGTGTGGGACCAAAGAATGGTTTGAGCCAGGAGACTGTGTCCCAGCAGCCACAACACCAGCAGAACCATCATCAACTCATAGCCCCAAATCCGGGCGACAACCCCGGAAACCGCGCATTCACGTTTCCGGGTCCGCTTCCACCAGAACCCGACCCACGTGCCCCAGCCCGCCAAATGAGTTTGCCAGGTTACGGCCAAAATACACCAAAGTCACCCTCGACGAAGCGGCACAAGTGTCCCTATTGCTCCACCGACTTCACGCGTCATCACAACCTCAAAAGTCATCTTTTGACGCACAGCCAGGAAAAGCCATATGAATGTCCTACTTGCCAAGCACGTTTCCGTCGTTTGCACGATCTGAAACGCCACACGAAACTACACACAGGTGAGCGGCCGCACACTTGCTTCAAGTGTGGCCGCAGATTCGCTCGTGGGGACGCGCTTGCGCGACACAACAAGGGTCAAGGTGGCTGTGCAGGCCGCCGGTCTAGCTTCGGCATGGACGACGAGCTAGCCGAAGGCAAGGACGGAGACATGGACGGTGTAGTCTACACCGGCGAACATGACGGCGACGGAGACGAGGACGATGATGGCGGTCGTCGCGTCAGTGAGCCAGCGCGTAAGAGACAGAATACTGGAAGCTCTGCGCAAGGTTCGTATCATCAGCATTCCAGTACTTACCCACCCATTGCCGCCAATAGAGGCTCTGTGAGCCAGAACAACCTCCGTCCGTACTACCCAGCAACATCATCTCAAGCGACTAACATTTCGCCCAAACTAGCACCCTCGAGTATATCCTCGCTGCAAAATGCAGGCCAATCCAACGTCTTTGCACAAGGTGGCATGACAGAGAGTCCAAAGCCATTATCACCCCGTCAGCAAGAACAGCACCGTCTTGGGACACGAGATAATAGTCTGCCTGGATCGCGCTCGCCCAACATGTCACACCACATTCTTCATCAGGGTCTTGCACGCGGTGCTGGTCGGGGCACGCCACCAATGGCCTTGGCACCGCCAAATGCAAACAACGGACCCCATTTGCCATCTTTGCCTGGACTCAATCCCCTAGCCTCTAAGCAGGGCTCACAGAGCGGGAAGAGTAACGGGCCAAGTCTGCTCCAGCACCAAGCCATGGCTGCGCCACCAAGTACTGCATCACAGCCAGGGAGCATTTCAAGCCATGGAGGGAGCGGCAGCAGCATGCGAGAAGTAATAGGAGGCCAAGTCGACGTCTGGCAATACGTGCGTGAAATGGAAGCGCGTATGGCACGAACCGAAAAAGAGCACACGGACATGATTGCAACCTTGCAAAACGAGGTTACAACACTGCGCGCGCAGCTGGCTCAACAGCATGTCAACAGTTCGCAGGCACAGCAACAAGGTCCGTAAGAAAGTGCAGGGAGATCGTTTGCGTTATACCGGAGTTGCTGGAGCTAGTAGCCAATGGGCGTTTTGGTGTGATTGAGACTCAGAGGAACGACATGATTGCCGATTATGCAAGGAAAGGCGGGTAGAATCAACGGATATCGGATTCGAACATGGTCAGATGATACCCGGTATACTGGCAGAAGTATCATTGTAGTCCTCAGGCATTACAAGATTCCTTTTATTGTCCTGCACGCGCTCTCCTTTTTTTTCCCTACACTGTATACTATCAAGTTGTTGCGGCGATTCAGGCCGGGGATCGGATTTCTTAGCGTATGATACCTGCTCAAGATGGATTTGGCTGAGCGCACGTATTGAACAAATTGAGCCTGAGTTCTTCTTCAGATGACGATGTTCGTGATGTGCTCAACTTCGGTGTCGTGAATCCTGGACTAGTATAAGAGTGATTGAAAGGTCACAGGTAGCATGAGATGGTCGGTGGAAAACGTGACACGCCGCAGCTCGTAGTGTGGCGGCGCCCAAGCATCACCCTTGTTGCGTAACAAGGAGTGCCTCTGTCCTCGAACAGTCCAGAGATTATTTTGTAGAACAAGGGCAGGACACGGATCAAAAGATGAAAAGGGGGCGCATGAGAAGAGCCCAAATGATATGTCTTGACCTGAGAGTAAGATGGATGCACGAGACTAGTGTTATGAGGCGAGCCGCGATGTGAAAGTGGACGCCCGGGTAGAGTGGGGTCGACGTGTGATCCATGCTGCTTCTCAGGGCTGGATTAACACGTCAGTCCGCCGACCAACTCGGGCACCACCAACACCGCAGCCCGCACCCCTTCGCACCTCTTCGCGGGATTCCAGCAGCAATTTCATACTCTCCTTACATTTCTGCACTCGGCGCCCCAGATGGATGGCGGTTCTCGACGCTGATAGGCGCGCCGCGCGACACCCGCCCACCCACGCCCAATCGAATCAGGCTGTAGCCGCGCTGCCCGCACCTGCACCCAAGACGACCGGGGCATCAGTCACACTGGGGACATAGACGACATAGACGTAGACGTCCCGCCCACAGCAACCATGAGCTCATCCGACGCCCACCGCCGCCGCAGCAAAAAGGACTCGAGCAGCCCGAAGAGCAAGGACAGAGACCGCGACCGTGACCGCGATCGGGAAAAGGACAGGGAGCGGCACAAGAGCTCCAAGTCGCGCAAGACACGCTCGTCAGCCTCCAACAACGACGAAGCAGAAGCGGATCGCCCCCGCGAGCGGCCCTCGGGCGAGCGCGTGCGCACATCGTCGTCCTCACAGTCGTCAAAATCGCAGAAGATGGCTGTCGTGCCCGAGATGGCGCGGCGCAGCTCCCTGGGCTCAGCCAATGCGTCCAGGTCCAGTCTGTCGTACCCGACCCTCTCCAAGACGCACGCAAAGGAGAGCATATACTCGCGCGAAGAAGCCGCCTCGAAGAACCCCGCTACACCCCAGCCCACCGAAGTCGACCACGAGAAGACCGACGAGCCACGAGTCGTGCCACAGCCACCCACCCGAGTCGCGCCCACTCCTCCGCGCGCGCCACCGAGCCCGCCGCTTACTGCAACCACGGCGGCCGACCTGAGAAAGACAGCAAGCGCAAACAGCATGCGGCGAAAGAATGCAGACGAGATACGGCAGGGACATGGAGCCCCACCGACAGAGTGTCGACAGCGGCACTCGCATGACGTCCCAGGCTGGACCCCGGGCTGCGTCTCGCTCAAGCATCAGGGATGGCGACTTTGATGGCACCGACTTCACCTCTACGACAGGTTCACAACCGAGTACGGTCCGCGCAAAGTCTCCCCGGCTACCCGTGAGGCACAAGACAGCAAGCCCTGCGAGAACCAAGACCGCAAGTCCTTCACGCACTCGCACGCCAGGAAGGTCGTCCACGCCAGTGAAGATGAAGACTAGGGCGCCCTCCGAGTTCACGATAGACTCTGAAGCAACATCGGTGCCCCCGGAGCCAGTTGTCCCGGGTCGCGGCAATTCTCCTTCATACTCGGATGCCTCTCCAGCCTCTGTGGTCGATTCATCGCCGCGGACACCGACGCAACAGTCCGTCCTTCCGTCCATGGTATCCTCCGTCAAGGACGGGCCACCGATGATTGAGATTATCAACGACCCCATGTCACGAGCGCAGTCTGTGGATCCAGGATATTCGGGCATGGCTCCCCCGCCGCCACCACCGCCACCCCCTCCAGCCATGACCGGCGAGCCTCCTCGCGTGGACTATCTCCTGCAGAACGGTGGCCTGTCTCGACCAATACCACGTAGTCTGCTGGCGGCCATTGAGGGAGCACCAGCACCAGCATACTCCTCATATACATCGCCACGCGTCTCTGGAACACAGGACCACGATGTACGCACATTCTTCAAGCCCATTCAAGTTGTGCTCAACAATTACAACACCGTCATGGACACCAACGGCTCTCTCGCCGTGGCGACAGGCTATCGATCCGTTGCCAGGCGTCTCCTTGACCGCCTCGAAAACGTGTTCGCGCGCAACATATCGTCCGAGCACTGCCAGTGCATGATGTGCTTCGAGCAACCGATCGAAGAAGACTCCGCTGGTGTCAATTGGGGGGAAATCTTGGAACTTGTCTCTGGGCGGTGTGAGCTTCCTGCGTGGCCACCATACGAAGATCACTCAGACTCGGGCCTCGGTATCTCGTCTTCACAGCTCGAAGCGCCTTGCCAACGAATCGATGTCGATGTACCAGAGCAGTACCGTGCACATTATGAGAAACAATCCAAGAAGACAAAGGTCGCAGTCCAATCATGGCTGTCGGACCAAACAGAGAACGTCCCCGAAGACGCCGACGACGAGACATTGACCTTCATCATGCTGACACGTTTGGAGCAGCCACAGCGGCCTCTCTTCTATGCGCTCCTCTGGGGGCTTGACCAGCTACCAACTCCCCGAACTCAGAAGCCCGACACGGGCACTCCACCTTACCTTGCAAAGGCAGGCCTTGCATTACAGCGCCTCTATCGTTTGCACAGTCCGCCACGAGACCAGCTCGTTGTCATGTACTTGATCCGCCACCCCGACATGCATAACATGCTGGCAACTTTAGCGGCTGTGAAGAAACATGAATGGGAAATTTTGGTGTCGGGAAGATTTGATGGATTCCTCTGGTCAGGTGCAGAAGATGTGCCCAACATGAGTCCCCCTGGGAAAATACCACCCACGGACGGGCCCCAGCGCTTCGCTTCACCATTCAGTCCAAACCCATATTCTCGTCCCGGATCGGCACGCCCTGGATCCGTCCGACCACCGGGTGGAGCGCCCGTTCAGATAGACGAAGAGACGGAGATAGCTGTTCTGGCTGAGATTGAGCGCGAGATTTACCTTGGCATGGAGGCCATGGAAGACGCTTTCGAGCATCTGCACAACCAAGCCGAGCTTGTGCGCAGACGCCTTCGTGAGCGTGCGGCTGGTCTATCCATGGTTGCGCAGCAACGCAGGGGGTCTGGCGCAGACGGTATTGAGGTCAGAATGGGAACGCCTGCGAACGCGCGCGATGGTGACGAAAACTACGACGATCTGAGAAGCGAGATCGGACCAGATGACTCGGCCAGTAACGTTTCGCACAACAGAAGGAGAAAGGCACACAGAGCTAGGGAGAGAAGGACGCCGGCACCGGTCGAGGAAGAAAGCGAGGAAGAGAGCACGCTCGCCGAGCGGATCAGAAGGAGACTGCCAGGATGAACAGCGCACGACAAGTCAGGATGAAACTGAATCTTATGCCCGCATTGCGATGGAGCCAGGTGCGCAGGCGTTTGTCTTTTTTTTTTCTTTCCTTTTTTTATTATTAAATGGGTTGTGTGATTATGGCTTCTTAACGGCCGCGAAAACATGGATACCCAAACTGTGAGGATACTGGATACTGCTTCTTGGACGGCCGACTTGTCAGGTAGAGCGTTCTGCACAAACATATTCAGTAATTGATCTTTCTGCTACGCACGCAGTGTCTGTAACATGTACAGGCGCACAAAGTGCGTTGACGCAAGTGCTCGCCCCAGTTGAGGCTCGAACTTGTGAATGCCGCAGGCCAATCATGTCGCGGATTCGAAGCGTGACGGAGACGTTCGCGGCAGCTAGGCAGTTGGTGCGTCACCCCGACGAAGAGTTTATGCTTGTGCAACAGGAACGATTGGCGAACACCAAGTCGGACGCGTCGAGATGAAGCAGCGGAGAAAAACTGCCCGGCAGTGTTCTGTTCACTCGTTGAGCCCCTACTCGCCGTCGGGTCGAGCGTCATTGCGCGAGGATCCCTGTCGACAGCCCTCGAGACGCCCTCATGCCTGACAGACGTGCCGTGACAACACAAGGCAGCGTGGACAGTCATAAACAGCCCCAGACCGTGCTCACCAGTCCCGAGCCCGTCCTGCGCGCCAACGCAGCCCTTTCACCCGCGGCGAGTGAATGCATGTCGTTCTGCAGTCTGAGCGGCCTTCCATCGCAAGGTCCTCCTCGGTAGTCGTTCGTAGTTGTTAGTCGTAGTCGACCATCGTTGCCCTCGCAATCTGTGTTTGTTGTACCAACACATTGGCGCCTGCCACTTCTAGGACTCGCACGACGGCTGGCACCATCTGCTCCGAACCCGATCATTGAACTGCAAGACAGCTATATCACCGACGACGCTCTCACCGCCGCCACCCTCGACTTTGCCCCGCCGCACCGTGTGCTCCCTCGTCCCGCCGATTGCATTGCCGTGGCTCGCGTTGGGCGCTTGCGACATTCCTGAACCACAGAACCAGCGGCGATAAGCGTGCTGCCATTGCATCTCCCGCCCAGGGACGCACTCCCGGCTGATTTGCACTTCGACGCTCTCGGCGCGCGCAGACCGCTCCAAGTCTGGCAGCAGTCGAGCTTCTGCCACCGCGACATCCTGCTCCCTCCACACCCCACCACGCCGCGCGCCTCTGCCACGACGCAGCAAGGCGTGTTGGCAATCGAAGCATTTGCTGTGCACGTCGACCCTCACGCAAGCCGCAAGCCGCAAGCCGCACGCCGCACAGCTGCAACAAGCAAGATGGCGGCCGATCTCGGTGGAAATGAGGCCATAGACCCGACCACGCTCTTCACCAAGCAGGAGTGCATAGGAGGCGGCAGCTTCGGCAAGGTGTACAAGGGCCTCGACCGCCGCACAGGACACACGGTCGCAATCAAGGTCATCGATGTCGAAAATGCCGAGGACGAGGTGGAAGACATTATGGGCGAGATTATGATTCTGTCCGGCATGAGCTCTCCCTATGTGACCAGATACTACGGCTCGTACCTCCACGGCTCCGATTTGTGGATAGTCATGGAGTTCTGCTCTGGCGGAAGCTGCGCAGATCTAATGAAACCTGGCTTAATTGCAGAGGCGGAGATTGCAGTCGTCGTGAAGGAACTGCTGCAGGGACTGATGTACCTGCACGACGACGGCAAGCTACACAGAGATATCAAAGGTATGTTCACTGGGCATATACGTTGACGCAGTATTGATACTAGCACAGCTGCCAACATCCTCGTGGGCGCGAATGGACAGGTCAAGCTGGCGGATTTTGGTGTGTCCGGCCAGCTTTCCGCGACCATGACGAAGAAAAACACCTTCGTTGGTACTCCATTCTGGATGGCTCCCGAAGTCATCAAACAATCCGGGTACGATGGCAAGGCCGACATATGGTCACTCGGCATCACAGCGTTGGAACTGGCGAACGGCGAACCTCCCTACGCCGACATCCATCCCATGAAGGTCCTTTTTCTGATACCCAAAAACCCGCCCCCACAACTCCAAGGCAATTTCTCGCCTGCTTTCAAAGAGTTCATTGAGCTCTGTTTACGAAAGGACCCGCGAGAGCGACCCACGGCAAAGCAACTTCTCCAGTGCAACTTTGTCCGTAAAGCTGGAAAGCCTGCCCGTCTCCAGGAGCTCATTTCCAGGTACCAAGACTGGAAGGCCCGCTATCCAAAAGAGGCTGCAGAAAGTGAGGACGAGGCCACACCAGTCAAACGAAAGGACCCCGTCAACGAAGATTTGTGGGACTTCGGCACGGTTAGACCCGTAGGAGGTGGCAGAGGTCCGGCACTGGCGCCGATGAACGCTGCTGGTGCTAACGCCCGAAATGCATCTCCTCAAAGGAAACCCATGTCCCAACCGCGCGGTGGCTATGGTGATGAGAATGAGGACACGATACGAGCCAGTCCGCCACCATCGCCCACCAAGCGACTGCCGTTTCTACAGACCGTAACGTCACCTACCAGCTCGTTGAATACGGCGGCAAGAGTCCCTCTACCACCCTCTCCGGAGAAGAAGTCGACGCTCCTATTCTCACAGCAAACAGCAGAACTTCCACGAAAGTCTCCAGTGCCTAGCTTCTTCTCACCACCTCAAAATCGCGGCCTCGTAACACCTACAAAGTCTCAGACTCCTCAGCAGCCGCGACGGCAAACTCCCCTCGCTCATGCATATGACGAATATATACAGCGGTCCATTGCTGCCGACATGGAGAATATGGAAGTGACACCACAGCAGGAACACCCACAGCAACAGCACCATCGGGTACCTACACCTAATCGAGTATCCGTACTTCCTCAGATGAATCTAGACATTCCGCCATACAGGGGACAATCCTCGAGCCCCTCTACCAGTGTTCCGCCGCCCCTTCCTAAGCATCAGTCACAACCCCAACCACTACAGGGTCCTATCGCTATAAAACCATCAGGTCTGACGTCGCCACAAATGCAACAGCCTCTGCCCCCATTAACGGGCCAACATCCACTTCCGCCGCTGGCTAGTCAAAAGCCATTTCATGCGGAGCAGCAGGCAATGACAGGGAGACCAGAATCGTCGTCATCGTCGTCATCGAGCGACCCGTTCGGTGGTCCATTGATCGTTCGGCAAACACCGCAACGAGTGCAAGGTCAAGGTCTGGCTCCCGCACCACCTCCGCATGCCACCAAGTCCCCACCCATGAGTCGCGGCTCGTTCGGTCGACCTAAGCCGACAGCTAATCATCCAAGTATATTGGCACAACAAACTCCTGGTTCACCAGGCATCATTACCGACATCACAGCTCTGGATGGTGTGGTGATTCCAGCACTGGAGGCGGCACTGTCTCGTCGAGCATATCAACTTAACCTCAAGAACAAGCTGGAGTCGGCGCAGTCTCTGGATGATCCGCAGGGCTTTGTTGAGAGACGGAAGCGAAGGCAGGATTGCCACGATCATGTGCGACAGCTGGTGAAGGAGATCAGCGAGAGGTTCAAGGAGTTGGATGATTGGGACGAGCGAGGGGAAGTCGGCATGGGCGGAGAAGTTGCTGGTTTTCTAGAAGGGTTTTTGGAGGAGGTACTGGTCAGAGTTGAGCCTGCCGATGACTGAGGTAGGGAATGCGATATGTGTCACGTGCCTGTAATAGTAAATGATGGCGATGGCGTTGGGAGGAGATACCTGGGAGTGCCTGATTAAGCGGTCTTGCCTGTTTTTGAAGTCGGATTCACACTTGAACATAATTACATGGTTCCAGTCGTTGTCTACCTACTTCTGTCATGCCGAGCGTCGAGGCATTTCGAGGCATCCCACGTGTGCTCGGAAGCTCCTGCCCGGTGATTGGTGGTCTCCGTGCACCGCCGGACTATGTAACTTACCCTGGACCCTAAACCCAGCAACATTTCGTCACACTTACTGGTCGTAGGCTGTACGGCTCAAAACTACCACCTCCTTCAGTACCATAGCTGTTCGGGGCTACAGTCAGTGATGGCGTGGGTCTGCCCTGTCGAAAACCCTTGAAATGATGCTGATTGATGTTCCAGGCGCACAATTCGAGGCAACGCGCTCGAGAAGCTCGCGCGTCTGTCGGCGCAGTCACCCTCGTCAATAGATGCGACTTCGGGCTTCCCCCGACTGTTCAAGCGATGTCCAACCGCAAGTGCCGCCCCAAACGGAGCGGGGGTGGGCAGGGAAGGAGTCCAGATGCAGTCAGCAATGGTAGGTGGTTGCTAAAATTGCTATAGGAGACGCGTTTGCTGGCAGGGCGGGCTAACGTGGCGTAGAAAATACAGGAGCTCGAAGCCATTCTTGCACTGTGCAAGGCAGCGCCATACGTCGGGGCGAAAGACGTGGCCGGGCCGCTCCTCGACCGCCTGGCGGCATACCTGGCCCAGGTCTACACGCAGACACTGGCGCCCTCGCCCAACGTCCGAGCCATCGAGCCGTCGCCGTATGAAGTCCTCTCATACAACCTAACGTCGGCCGTGCTGTCGCTCGGCAGCCGCCATGGACTGCATGCACAGGCGGCAGTGGCCATCACGAGCTATGTCGAGGGCTGGACGGACACAGCGGCGGACCTTTCGGCAGACCAGTTCGACGAAGACGACAGAGACGACTATCCTGCGGGGCGGGGACTTGCGCGGGTCATGACCCAGAGTCTGTCTCTGCTGGGCTTCCTGAATGCTGCCGCGGGACACGCCAAGTTCTGGAACTCGTACGACCGGCTGCAGCTTGTCGAACATGTGCGGGCGGCGCTGTCGGAAAAGTTCTTGGTTGCTTTCGAGACTGCCTTGTCGATTGTGCGTAATGCGCGCCCACATCAACACGGGCTGCGCGACTGGAAGCGCTACGCAAAGCACTACGCAGCCGCCGGACAGCCGCTGGGGGGGATGATTCTGCACGACTCGTTCCTCCGGCTCGTTGTGGCATCAGCCTCCATCATGGTCGAAGCCCCCGATCGCGAGCAGGGCGACGGCATTCTCGACCATCTACGGTCGTCGAAGCTCAGCGCCGAGACCGTCGCAGACAGCTCGGACGATGCGCTCGCCGACGGCCTGACGAGAATCGCCGTCGAGGAGATGGAGTTTTTGAAGAGTGATCTCGACTACCTCCAGCGGGTGGCATCTGCCTGGCAACAGCGACAAGCGTCTTCCGTCAAGGCCAAGGTCCTCATTACCTACTTGTGCTGCACCGTCTACGACCAAGACATCGCTGACGCCGATCTCCTCAACGCGTGGCTCGAGAATGTGCTTGACGATCCGTCACAGACGGCAGACCATGAACTGAGCTCAACAGTGCTGAAGTCAATGGCTGTTCTCGCCAAAGTTTCGCCGCCCCTCGCATCGAGTCTGGGTCGCTCACTACCACGCGTCATTGTCCAAGGCAACTTTGATCACCGAACCACCCCAGTCGCGGCCGACGCTCTTGCGGCCGTTCTCAGTCTGCTGCCACAGGACGCCATAATCACAACACTATACAGCTTAGGCAACATCATCAGCGCAGGTTCGGTGCCGAGCCAGAATCCTGCTGCATCTCCCTCGCTTCACGGCACATCTAAGAGTGGTCGTGGCGGTGTTTACAATCAGCAGAACGGCAGCGCTATATCTCTGACCCCCAGCGACATCGAAGAACCGCACCATGTCCACTCCGCCGTTGTTGAGACCATCGTGTCAGTGGCGTGCAACTGCAAAGATGCCAAAATTACAGCTCTTGCTCTGTCCATGCTCATCCAGAAAGTCGGAAGAGCGAGCAAGGCAGTCGATGCGAAGATCATCACTGATTCCGCCTTTCTTGGAATCCACAGTCCGCCTGGAGAGTTTAAATCATTACTCAAGGTGTACTCGAAGCTGGCCCACGATGCCCTTGTAAAAGATGATACCGCAATCCTAGAAGCTGTGAGTGCAGGCTCGGGTCGTCCCATTAAAATGCTAACTAGCCTCTAGGTCATGAGTGCTCGTCTGAACATGTCAACCGCTATATCTGCCAACGACGATGCGTATGAACTATACCTATCACACTTACTTGACGCAATTATCAGCAAAGGTGACGCTCCGGAAACATCTCACCGCCACATGCATGACACAGAACTAGCCGCTCGAGAGATTGCACAGCTGCTGAAACCTCTGGCGGTTCTCCTATCGCGCAATGCCAATCCCGACAACTTGTCAGACATGAGCGACGCAATCATCGGTCTACAGCGCGATGCCTGGTTCAACATCGTCGTGCATGGATTTGACACACTGTCCGACTTGGGCAAGGAATACAGAGAGGAGCTCAAAACATTAGCCCGGTTTAGTCAGCCACTCATTGCTGAAGAACGGCCTTCTCTTTCTGAGAGCGACATTGAGTTGAACACGGTCCTTCGTCGTGGCAAGTCTCCTGAGCACACAGCCGAGCAGAAGCGACGCTTAGGAAGGCTGTTACCGTCATGTGAAGCCGACACTAGATCCCTCAGCTACCAGGAGGCTGTCTTCTTGAGTACAGCGTACCTAGTAGAGGATCTAAGAGCTAGCACAGGCGATTGTACCAAGGCACTTGCATATTTCCTCGATCCAAAACTACGCTCTGGCGCCGTTGGCAATTGTATGGCTGCGATCACAACGACAGCCATCCGAACCTATCTGACGAAGACACTCTCTGGGCAAAATCAGTCGTTCTCGACACCATACTTGGCAGAACAGCTCGCGACTATTTTCTCAGCGTGCTGCCATCGTATTGCGCGCATTCAACAAGCTGCAGCAGCATGTGCGGATCTAATCATACATGAGGTGCCGTCCACGCTGTGCCAGAAGAGCGCTCTTTTCGCTTTGTTAGAACTACTGTCCATCATGTGGTACAGCTGCTTGGAAGGGGAGACTGATGAATACACCTGGAAGTCTACCTTCACCTCGAAGAAGTCCAACATCATGGTGGAGCTCTCGGACGACTATTCCTTCCGCCGTGCGACTTTGTCTGCCTTGCACAAGCGGGCAACAGCTTGGGTGAAGGATGCTCTGGACACTGCGCCGCTCGATGTCAAAGGACTATTGCAAACATATCTATCCGAGTTCGACGACGAAGCCTCTTTCGGACACATTTCTCTGGGCCGATCGTTCGCATTGGAGATGGGGTCTGTGATTCCATCCACTGATCAACGTTTGGGTGCCGTTGAACGTCAAGGTATCAACATCAACACTGCGTCTGACTTCATCACTCAATATACCACGCGCCAGGAGTACAAGTTCCTGGATGGTGTCAATGATCAAGAAGAAGAGTGGCTACGAAATGGCGCAGTACCGGGATCTCGTCCCAGCTATTTGTCGCGCAGTCTACAAGACGCAACAAATCTATTACTAGATCTGGAGAACCGCACGCTGAACCATAAGCATGTTACGATTGCAGAGCTGCGGGACATCCTGCGTAGAGCAGCTGCATTGTTGTGCAGAGTGAAGACAGACCAAGCACCCATTGTTCACCACCTTGTAGGCATACCTTTTGCGGTTTTCTCCAAGCAGTCCATCAAGCTTGGTATCTCCCTGTGGACTAGCGTCACAAAGGAGAATCCCCGTATGGAATCCCGCATCCTAGTTGCCATTGCAGAGAACTGGGAGACTACCGTACGCAAGCGTCGAGGTATCTTCAGTCCTTCCTTGAAGTGAGTGTGGTATGCTAGATGTGTGTGTTATTACCTGCTGACACTTGCACAGGCATGCGGACCCTTTCTATGGCAGACAAGAGTTTGCTGCAACTGACAAAGAAGCGTTGTCGAAACGACAGCAGCAAATTTACAATCTCATAGCACCACATTTTCGTCTTCTACAATTCTTATCAAGCCATTTCAGTGCATCGCGTCTGAGCAAATCGGATGTCGAGCGTGTGTATGTCCGGCTTATACACATCACTCTTGATGCAATGAGTGCAGGTTGTTCGCAACCACTCGCGAGGGAGGCATATTTTCACATCATTCTGTTGGGTCTCAAGATTGCTCGCCATTGTACTACCTTGGCATCGGCCATAAAAGGGCGACTACTCGACCGAATATTGACCGCCGCATTGGCATGGTTTGCGCAGGCCCCACAGTGAGCATGTCTTGATCCATCTGTATGTACCTGCTAACCTTCTCAGGTGGTCCTTCGGAGGCAATCGATTGCAAATCAAGGCGGAGACCCATATTCTGGTGGACGTGCAGGTGAACTTGGACGCTATTGGGAAGATCGTCACAGTTGGAGATATAGGCTCCAAGCTCAAGGCAAAGCAGGACCTGCTCTCCATGCTACTTGCTAATGAACAATCCCGTCTCCTGGTCTGGCTTTTCCCACTTGACCATACGAAGAAACACAATTTTACCCTGAGCAGCAGCAGGGCAGCACTGCCCGATGTAAGTCCCCAAAACAGACGCCTGTCCTCGGAACTAATGCTTGTAGGCCGCCGTGACTGCCCACTTGAAGACAGCCTGGGCGGAGAACCCCGCGATAGCTGTTCATCTTGTCAAGCGCTTCCAGTCTCAACGCCTTGCGAGCGAAGTCCGCTGGCAGGTGCTCAATTTTCCACATAGGGTCTTGGACGAGCCCGACGCTCTCGAAATACTCCTAGGGAGTCAGTTGCCAGGTGATGTATCCTTTCAACTCAAGGTACGTTTTCTCAGCAGGCTGTTGGCAATGCTAATAACGATAGTACCTTCTATATTGGGCCCCTTTGAACCCAATCACGGCAGTCACATACTTCATGCCCGCTTATGGCAACCATCCCTTCATTATACAGTATGCAATGAGGGCACTTGAGAGTCACTCCGTTGATGTCATGTTCTTCTATGTCTACCAGATCGTTCAGACCCTTCGCTACGATGTACTTGGTTATGTCGAGAGATACATCATCGAGACCGCAAAGTTCTCACAGTTATTCGCACACCAGATCATCTGGAACATGAAGGCCAATGCGTACAAGGATGAGGCTTCCGAAGTTGTAAGTAGTCCATTCATGTGACGGCTCGTTATTATACTGACTTTCAATGTAGCCTGATCCAGTCAAACCAACGCTCGACAAGGTTATGGGTAGTCTTGAGTCAAGCTTCTCGCCTGAGGATCGTGAGTTCTATGAGCGCGAGTTTGCTTTCTTTAATGAAGTAACCGGCATCTCTGGTACACTGCGCTCAGTCTTGCACGAACCAAAAGAAGTCAAAAAGCAGAAGATTGAGGAAGAGCTCCGTAAGATACAAGTCGAAGTTGGTGTTTACTTGCCGAGTAACCCCGACGGTCAAGTCATTGGTATCGACCGCAAGTCTGGTAAACCTCTCCAATCTCATGCCAAGACACCCTTCATGGCGACCTTCCGCATCCGCAAGAACAAGCCTTCCACCCCGGGTGTCATCGAGGAAACCGAAGACAATGATCGCTCTTCCCAGAAAAGTAACACATACGAGACATGGCTTTCTGCTATTTTCAAGGTTGGTGACGACTGTCGCCAGGACGTGCTCGCCCTTCAGATGATTGCTGCATTCCGCGGCATTTTCAACACCGTCGGTCTTGATGTTTGGGTATTCCCGTATCGTGTTACGGCTACGGCGCCTGGTTGTGGTGTCATTGATGTCCTTCCCAACTCGATCTCTCGTGATATGCTCGGCCGCGAAGCGGTGAATCGGCTGGACGCGTATTTCATCTCCCGCTACGGAAACGAGGACTCCATCCGCTACCAAGAAGCACGTAGCAACTTTGTCAAAAGTATGGCAGCTTACAGCGTCATCTCCTTTCTGTTGCAATTCAAGGACCGACATAACGGGAACATCATGATTGATGACATGGGCCATATCATTCACATCGACTTTGGCTTTTGTTTCGATATCGCTCCAGGTGGCATCAAATTCGAGCGAGCGCCCTTCAAGCTTACCGCGGAAATGATTGCAGTCATGGGTGGCAGCACTACAGCTCAACCGTACCGCTGGTTTGAGGAGCTGACTGTGAAGGCCTTTCTCGCTGCAAGGCAGCACGCCAACCATCTGAGTCATATTGTGGAAGTTATGCTGGACTCGGGTCTGCCTTGCTTCAAACCTGATACCATCAAAAATTTCAGGGATCGGTTTGTGCTGGATAGAGACGAGAGAGGTGCTGCAGAGTTCATGCGAGACTGTGTGAAAAGGTCCGCAGGTAGTCAGAGTACGGGTGTATATGATCGCTTTCAACTGATCACAAACGGCATTCCTTACTAGAGGTATATTGTAAATCCTTGGGGGCCGATCTCATAGCTAAAGCACCAGGGGTGCGACACAAAGCTGTAGTATTCAGGCTGGGCGCGACCATAATGTACATGCCAAAGTACAACTTTGGTTTCTACATCAGATATTCGTCAACGACCTCGAGAAGCAGTTTACTGTTTACCTCCACCAAGGTGTCCGAGCTCAGAAATATGTACGCGTGACACTCGATCCCTATACAGGCCTTCGGGTTGGCTGCGGCTCTTAATTGAACGATTTATTGCGTTACATGCTTCTCATGTGACTCAGTCATATGCCGTCCTTTCTTTGTCCTACTACAGTTCCTCCATCGTCGACTCGATCTTCTACCATGTGTTTGCGCTTCACCATCCTTGTACTTGTAGAAGCTCCTGCCACGATGCCGGGCTCTTATTAAAGAGCATACAAGCGTCGTCAATATTGTCACCAAGCGCTCGTACGATAGGGAAGACATATGGGCTTCGTTGAAACACAAGCCATATCTTCATGGTTGCATAGTCTAGGGATGCTGCAAGAACCAAGTTTCGCGCACTTGAAAGTTCCTATAAGTTAACACGGCTGTCCATCCTATCCTATATTCTGAATTTCTCCGCATCCCTACTGTGTTTCATAATCATTGAACTCATCAGAAAAATAGCAGCCAGCAATATTACTTTGTGTACGTAGTTGAATTAACGAGGGCTTTACTGAATGCTTCAACCTACCTGACTGTGAATGGAGATTCCATGTTGCCACGTCATGCCGGTCCAAACGTCGCTTTGCTGAGTCTCTTCGAAATGACATTCCAAGTTGCCAACTGTCCATGTCTGACCTCCAATCGTGGTATCTCGGTTGTTGTGTTGCCAGCCTGTGCTTCAGCAATCTCTTCCAACCCTGCTGCAGTCTTACTCTGTGTCACTTGATACCACGGATCATTTCCCATTGGACTTTGTATGTCCACTGGCAGGTTTGGACTGCTTGCGTTGCTTACAGCTTCGGGAAACATGGTTTGCAAGCGTTCGAGTTTTTCCAACAGGATACCTCGCCGTGTCTGGTCGAGCTGTGGGAACAATAATACGAAATCGAGGATGAATAGGAAGTCGTCTATCCGAAGAGCAGTTTCGTCGAGGGTGGCGGCTGGCACATGAATGAGTACATCAGCAATAGTGTCCGTTATCTCAAAAAGCTTTTGCGTTATAGAGCTGCCATGAACTCCGATGTCTTGGCGTGACATATTAGACACCTGGTGGCGTAGTGTTTGCGAGAGGCGGATTGGGAAGAGCAACGATAAGCATTCTTTAGATGAGCGAGATGAGAGTAGTGTCTGGCCCATTGCAAGTCGCCACACAAGGGTGCGAAGCCATTCTCGCGTTATGGTTAGATCGGCGCGTTGCATGGCCGACAGGTTTGCAAGATCTCTTGCATCGGTCTCTGGGTCACCTTCTAATTCGCGTGACTTTGATTCTACCCACGAACTCGTCACAGTACCAGTACTGCCACTAGCCTGTGTGTCCAGCCAGGACTGCAGAAAATCCGTGTCTAGGAGACGGAATAGCTTGATGATCTGATTGAAACCTTCGTGAACCTGGACGGGAATAGTGCAATCGTCTTCTGGTAGTGTATACAGTGGGGGCATTATAGCGTGGCGGTAGTCCAAAATAGCCAGGAATCGTTCATGGATGTAGGCTTGCCAATACATGCGCTGGCGGCGAGAACGCTCCGGGGGTGAGAGCGTGGCTGCTAGTTCTGGGTTGTCGATACGAAGCAGTTGTATGTTTGCTATATGCATCACGCCTTGAGACGTTCGTCAGTTTTTGTTTGAGCAGAATGTTCACAACTATAGCTTACATATAGAAAAAGGCAGCGTCACCTCCTTGGAGACTATTCAGCCATAGGGCACAAGTTAATACATGTGTAATGACCGAGTTACTAAATTTCTCGGGCTGAGGATACTTAAGCTTACCCTGGACACAGTTAGCAGAGTGCCTAGGAACAAAGATGCAAGTGCGATACTAAGTAGATGCCTCACTGCAACGTGTTTGACTGAAGACGAAACTCCATACACGAGCAGTACTTCATCCGCTTCGCGTCTAAGTGAGTCTTACTCATAAGGCAGTTATGAATAAATATAGATTGCATGGCCCTCATGACGGAGGAGCGATAGTGACGTCGGGCTGGCAACATACTATCAATCGAGCAATCCATTAGGTGGCCAATCGTATGCACCACCTTATCTGTTCGACTGTCTCCATAACGCGTCAAGTTGAGAGTGGCGCCACCGAAGGAATAGATGAAGGAGCGGATTTCCTGGTCCGTGTCCATGATATGGATGTACTGCCGTAGTTCATGTTCTGGGATGACTGGCTGTACTGGATAGACGCCTTCTATGTAATCTGGGATGAGGTCCAAGAAGAAGGCTTTGCTGTATTGCAGTGGAAAGGGCGACGCAGGAGAAGCTGGAGCGAGTCAGGCGATTTGCGTCTAATCATTGCGTTGGCAGCTCAAGTCTTGCCTTCCGATGAACCTACTGGGGCTGCTGCTAATACTCTCCATAGACTGTGTCGCGCTCTCAGAGTTGGGTTGGAAATTGACCCTGTACCGCAATAGCCGGCAGGAGGGGTGGAGAAGTGGCGTTCACGGTGGCTGTCTGTCTTCTAAATTCTGAAATGACATGCCCTCTTTTCCCCTGTGATCGTTGCTTGCCCGACACTGAATAAACGCATCGCAGGCCGAGATGCGCACATTGCTGGCATCTTTCCTGGCCATTACACTTTACCTTGCGGCGCTTGCATGCATCACAAGCTTTCGAGGCTCTTTTATGATTCGGATGTTCCATTGCAGCAGGTCATGTCGCGATAGGTGCTCTTGTACGGTCGAAGGCCCTCGGCGTGGGAAGCATGGAGAAGTCTGGGGTCGGGAAGCTCGAACTGCGGAGTAAGTTAGCGGGTCATGCCACGTGATTGGCTCGGTTCGCTAGATCGTACATCACACCTGGCCAGACTAGTTCAGTCTAACCGAGGGCAGGGCGTGCTACGAAGTATGGAAGAGCACGTTCGAGCGTCCGTCATGCTCTGTATGTATTGGCAACTCTGGAGCTGGACTTGACGCAGTGTGGCTTGCTTTCTTCTAATGGTTCGTTAGTCATTGAGAGGACAGATACACTCTCTTTATGTCCTGCTTCCCCAAAATCTAATCTTTATATCTAACTACTCGTGCTTGCATGTGCAACATTGAGCTAAATGCGCTCCGCCGAATGTGGCTACTCCTCCGAATGGCGACACGCGGAGTGTCATTCACTCTGGAACTGGGCTAATTGTGTTCGGGCCGGTTTGTTCATAACATCTTCACTCAGCACTGAAATTCTCAGCAAAAGCATACAGAGGAAAACAAAAATATCACGATCAGCGTTCAATCGTGCCAATTGAATTGTGAATGAAAACTTTCACATGTCTAGACGACACGCTACATATAACGCTTAATTACATACACCATCTTGGGCTCTTGGTCTTGGCTATCCTGGACGTTTTCCTCAGTTCTTGCTCTCGACTTGCTCAAGATGGGTCGAAGCACCTTTCTTTTCTCCGAGATCGCTGTCGTTATCGCTCACGTGGTAGCTCTCCACAACTGTACTGGCGAACTGCCTGGCAGGTGTGCGGCGCTCAAACAAGATGTCCAGCTCGCCGTATGTCCTGCCTTTCGGCTCAGGAAGACGAAAGAACGCCCACAAGAAGCAGCAAAAGCATGATCCTGCATAAAAAAATGCGGCCTTGGCGCCCCAATTCCATGCGCCAGGGTTGAGCATGCGCGGTGTGAGGACATTGCCCACGATTGATGCGAGATTGTAGAAGTTCCTGGCAAGAACGACGGTCTTTTGTCGCAAGCGGGTCGAGGGAATCTCGGCTACAATCGCATAGCAAATGGGACCAACAGTGACGTTGTATGTGCAAGCCTGCAAAGGTATGAAGTTAGTGGCTGTGTCCCTCACCGGCTGCGTTCAACTTACAAATACGAGAAGCATAGCACCTATCCCCCATTGTGCTCCCACGTTCCCTTGATGTATAGTTCCAAGTCCGCCGATGATGACGAGAAGGATGACCATCGCGAAATCCCCGCATATGTATAGCGTGCGTCTTCCAATACGAGGAATGAGTGTCCATGCCACTAGGACGCCGACTCCTCCTATACCATATTGCCCCAAGCTCATTGAAAAAGCATTCGAATCGTTAAGTCCAGCTTGCTGGAAAAAATAAGTGCTGTATCCCATGAGGCTAGCACCACAGAAAGCTTGTGTGAACCAAGTCATGGCAGCGATCTCAGTCCGTCGGAGATCAGTGCCCCGGAAGCAGTCTAGGTACGATGTACCTGATGAAGCAGCTTTCTCGAGTTCGTTGGTGTGGCGCATCATGCTAATAGTTTCGTCGGCGTTGAATTCTGGATGCTTAGCAGGAGATGTGAGGCGGAGAAGCATCTTCTTCGCATCATCGTCTCGATCCTTCCGGACGAGCCACCAAGGTGATTCCGGAGCGAAAGCAATGCCAATCATGAGAGGAACAGGCCAGAGCCACTGTAAAGCATAGGGGATACGGTATGCCCACTGGTCGGAACGCTCCGCGACACCCTTCAGAACACCCGATGCTAAAAACTGACCGATGACCCAGCAGAGGTTGACGTATGTTGTGAGAATAGGACGGAGTGGCACCGGGCAAACTTCAGCTGCGTAGGTACACGTCAGCGTCTGGAATACTCCCCATGGCACTCCACATAGCATTAAGCCAGCCAAGAGCATCTTTATGTGAAGGACAAAATCAGCAATGCCTCATATGGACCATCGATCGACATACCTCTATATTTTTCGAGAAGAAAACAACGAAGATTGCTACAAAGAAGTCAGCAATGCCCATGAAAACGTCCTGTAACTGCGACATACCTAAGTTCACGAAGAACAAAGCGCCTATCATAGTTTTTTTGTATCCAATTCGATCCGCGATGATACCATTGATCATCAGACCAAGCATTTCTCCAACATAAGCTCCATTGGTAAGTCCTAAAAAAAAGTCAGCTTCAACATTTCGCAAACGTAGGCTCCATTACCTGCTTGCCATGCGGCAGTGACTTCATAAGACCCATCGGCAATTGGTGACCCGAATCTTCGCTTGAAAGCGGGCACAGCCAATAGATTAGCTGCGTGTTCTATGTCAGTCGAAGCGTCTCCAACACGTGATATAACATCCTTCACTCACCTATGAGAACCTTGTCGAAACCCTCCATGATGATGGCTGCGGAGAGCAGAACCGACCAGGCGACGGCTTTTGGGTACAGCCGAATACCCTGCATCAAAGTCATGTTCTGCTCAGCCTGGGTGGCTTTATTGGCATCGGCGGTGATCTGAGCATTGTTTGCAAACGCGATTGAGATCTTTCGTTGCTGCTCAGGGTCGACGGCGACCACGCTGCTGTTTCGGCGAGACATGACAGTAAGGTGGTGAAAGGTGACGGTGTCTCCTGAAACCACGGGAGGTGTATAGAATTAATGTAATGAGCGCCCGAGAATGGCTTGGGAACCGCTCAAAGCCGATGCAATGCTTCTGAGAACCGTGGAACTCAATCTGCAGATTGATGATGGACTTTTTTAGTGGAACCACCAGATGCCTTTATAGAATGTCTAGCACAGTGCACGACACCGTGGTGCCCCGGTTGTCGCTGTATGCCAAGTCGAGAAGCGAGAGTTGGTGTATGGGGAAATTCGCGCGGGGAGAGACGCCACAACTCAAAACTGATGCCATGAGCCCGCCGCCATGTTATCCCCATGTCCGATCGCGTGAGAAAGCCATTTCGAATCTGGGGAAGTGCCGCCGAAGATTTGACCGTGAGAAGATTTGGGAGGGAAAAGGAGGTTGTGATGGGACGAAAGCCGGCCCGACATTGGCAGCACGGCGCTAAGCCCCTCACGTGTCCGGCCAGAAGCAAGCGCAGCCTTAGCTGCATCAAGAGCAATCACCGCGCCAGCCTAGTGAGACGGTCGCGAAGATGTCACTGGATGGATGTCGGCTCGCAACGCGTGCATAAGCCAAACATTTCGCCTCCCAAGCCCCAACCTCTCGCTTATGGCCCAACGAGGTGGAGAGCGTTGTACTCCACCCCCATGGGTGTAGTCGTGGAGAAAAAAGAGGGCGGAACTAGAAGCCTTCTATAATAGATCTACAGTCGGACCGGCTTGCAGCGTGTAACATTCCTACCGAAAATTCTACCGAAAATTCTACCGATATCCTACCGATATCCTACCGGCTGAGAACGTTTGGCACAGATCCACTACCGTTGATGGACAGCTGGGTTCGTGGCCGATCGAATCGTTGTTGCATTGGCACTTGTTGATGGTTAGGAGCCATAAGTTAACTCTGAGTGCTGCTCGCTCCTACAAGGAATCACTTCCCCTTCTTGATCCTGCTACACACTCTCTCGTCGTTTGCAAAGCTTTCTCCGGCTAATCATCCTCAACATGACCGTGCAACAGAGACCATGGTGGAAAGATAGCGTCGTTTACCAAATATATCCTGCTAGTTTCAAGGACAGCAACGGGGATGGCATTGGTGATTTGAAAGGCATCATGTCCGAACTGGACTACATTCGCTCGATAGGGGTGGATGTGATTTGGTACGTGACTTTTGGGTCCATGTACCGAATGAGTGACCTACCCGTGCGTGTGTTGACTGGACCTATCATCAGTCAAGCGCATGCAGGCGAGGCACTTAACTTGGTACTCTGCATCGTGTCTCGGATTCTTGCTAACATCAGACAGGGTGCGCCTCATGTTCTACGACAATCTTTGATGAGGTCACAACTAATCTCGCCTCAGATTTGTCCCATGTATGACTCTCCTCAAGTCGACATGGGCTATGACATCCGCGACTACGAAGACATATACGCACCATATGGCACGTTGCAAGATATGGAGCGTTTGATAGATGAGACGCATTCTCGCGGCATGCGCATCATCCTTGATCTCGTGGTCAATCATACGTCTGACCAGGTATGTACTTAGCTCATTGTTTTCACCATTTTATGTGAATTTGATGCTAATGACTATAGCACAAATGGTTCCGAGAATCTCGGTCTTCCAAAGATAATCCGAAACGCGATTGGTACATTTGGCGACCAGCACGTTATGTCAATGGTGAGCGCAAGCCACCAAACAACTGGGTTGGCAATTTTACCGGCAGCGTGTGGCAATGGGATGAGCACACACAAGAGTACTACCTACATCTATTCTGTCCTGAGCAACCCGATCTGAACTGGGAGAACCCCGAAACTCGACAGGCCATCTACAAATCCGCAATGGAATTCTGGTTAGAACGCGGTGTTGACGGTTTCCGTGTCGACACGGTAAATATGTACAGCAAGGGCGAGATGCTGGATGCACCAATAACCGATCCATCTTCGGAGTGGCAATTTGCAGGCTATCAATATTGCAACGGACCAAGGATGGCCGAATTTCTGGCGGAGATGAACGTAATATTGGAAAAGTACGATGCCATGACGGTTGGCGAGTGCCCAAATACACCGGATATGAGACGTGTGCTACAGTATGTGTCTGCAAAGGAGAAGCAGCTGAATATGGTCTTTCAATTTGTGAGTAAAACCTGGTCTTCTTGGTATCGATACAAGCCGGATTAACTTTCGACCTTTAGGACGTTGTAGATGTTGGCCAAGGTCCTTACAAGTTTCAGACGACACCTCGTAACTGGACTCTCCCTCAATTTAAGCGTGCGATAGCACGAACCCAAGATCTTATTCGGCAGCCTTCCGATGGCTGGACAACCGTATTTCTCGAGAATCACGACCAATCCCGTAGTGTCACCCGCTTCACATCCGATGCGCCTCAGCATCGCGTCGCTGGTGGGAAGATGCTCGCCCTAATGATGGCTGCGCTCTCGGGAACGCTGTTCATTTATCAAGGGCAGGAGATTGGCATGACAAATTTTCCAGAGACTTGGGATATGAGCGAGTACAAGGATGTCGACTCGTCCAACTACTACAAAATGGTGGCGCAGCGAACCAATAGTGACCCCACAGCTCTTGCAGCTGCGAAGGCTTCTCTTCAGCACCTCGCCCGAGACCACGCTCGAGTACCAATGAGCTGGTCTACCGCGCCTCACAACGGCTTCAGTCCACCAGACTCGAAAGCCGTGCCTTGGATGCGACCCCTCGAAGACGCTGCAACCTGCAACGCTGAGCAACAGAAAATGGACAAGACTTCGGTGCTAGCGTTTTGGAAGCGCATTTTAAAAGTGCGCAAGGAATGGAATGATTTGCTTGTGCATGGCGAGTACGACGACCTGGATGTTGAGCATCCTGACATGTATTGCTTCACCAAGAGTTGGCAAGGTAAGAAGGCGCTCGCGATCTGCAATTTCACGGACAGAGCCCAAAAGCTGGAGTTTACAGCAAGCGTCAAAGACGATAAGAAGGAGCTATTAGTCAGCAGCGCAGATGAGCATGTGGAGGGGGAGCTGAAGGCATTTGAGGGACGCATATACTTACTTGAGTAAATATACCTCAGGAGACGATGAAAATTTCAATTAAGATGTTCTGTTGCAGAGCGACAAGGAACAAGGAGTGTAATAATATCCATTTCAGTTCTAAGAAATGCTAGCTAAACCTTAGGTCTTGGATGGGTTAGGCACTATTTTCTCTCTTAGAATGCTAATAAATGTTTATTTATAACACAATCAAACTGAAGGTGTGAAGAGCGGGCTAGAACGAAAAAAGCAGATGACATTTATTCTCGTCAGCACATTAAGCAAGAGGATAGCTAGGGTATTATAGTTCTTCAAGCTCAGGGATTTGATCGTCTGTGGGGTTCTTCGGATACCACTCGGCAGGATCGGTGCTTGCACCAGGCAGGCAAAGACCAAGACGCCAAAAATAATCTCTGTGTGCAAAGAACAGCTGCCAAAACTTGAAGCGGGCCGGTACAGCCCAGGAGGGGCGGTCACGGTCACTGCCAGCAATGCAGTGGACGTCTTCGTTACCGTCGCAGTACTGCACGTCGGCAATGGAGAAGGGCAAGTCTGTCTCGGAGATGAATATCTCCTCGCTGTGCATGCTGTAGCCCCATTCGGCGAGCGGAAGCAGGGGCACTGGATCGCCAGCGTGCGTGACACGATGAAACTTGTTGGACTCGTGGTGCGGGGTGATGTTGAAGCGCTCATCGATGTAGTTACTGAACTCGTTGTTGCCGAGTCTGGGCTCGCCGAAGGTGGTCACATGGGCATCCCATCCACGTGCGTTGAAGTCGAGACCTGCCAGTGCTGCCACGGCGCCGCCCAGCGAGTGGCCCACCAAGACCAGCTTGTAGTTTGGAAACTTTTCCAACGCTTCGGTCACGTGTGGTAGAATGACATTGCGCGTGTTGAGCCAGGACGAGTAGAAGCCGGTGTGGACGGTGCAGTTCTGGCACTTTGGGGGGTCCGCAGGCGGCGGGTCTTGGTCGTTCTGTCTCGGGACGAGGAAGTCGGAGGTTGTCTCATGGTCGTCGCGGCCAGGATATGGCACATAGTCCTGGGGGATGGTGGAGAGGTCGGCGATGGTGTTGGCAATGGAATAGGTGCCGCGGAAAGCGAGGATAAGGCGCGGGTTGGTGGGAGAGTGGGAGAGGGCAATGTAGCCGCACGAGTCGGATAGGAAGGGCCCGGTGTTCCACGCCTGTCTCTGTCAGCACCGTAGGCGACACGTGCGGCCGGATGCGGCTCACCGTGACCAGCTCGAACGTGTCGAAGTCGCGGTCGGCACAGCGGCTCGCGCAGCGGAACGGCTTCTGGATGCCCAGGCCAGCGGTGCCTACGCAGTACGAGATGTCGACGATGGCGGGCGAGTTTCTCGAGCTCCCAGAGGAGCTGACTGGGGAGATGAGCGAGGCGTTTGCTCGGGCGGGTCCGCATGGGCCGCGCAGCCGTCAGCTTGCAGAAGGCGGCGAGGAAGAGTAAGAGGAAGAGGAGCGCACAGGAGCGGAGACGGAGGAGGAGGCCTATAGCAGCGGCCATGAGGGGTGGCTATCACATATTCAGGGTGCAGGTGGAGGATGCGGCGGTGCAGGGGGTTGCGAGGGCGAGCGGTGAGGTCACTGGCGCTGCCGAGGTCAACGAGGTCATTCACTGGCCGCGTCTGGGCATGTCTGCATGTCTGCATGTCTGGGAGTGAATGCCCCTTGATCGGCTTGGCGCCAAGTGCCATCACCCGGAATTGCATGCATTACATCATCGCTGGAAGCAGCCGGCTCACGAGATAATTGCTCGCAGCGCTGCTGACCCTTCACCACCACTCCCGCCCGAATTTTCCCCCAAGATACGCAAACCCGCCGAGCCACGAACACTAGCCGCCGGCTTCCGGACAAGACTTGTGAAGCTCCCTCGGCCGCGACGAGGCAGTGTTTGGCATTGTTTACCATTGCTTGTCCCCCCCCTTCCGGTGCAGACCACGACGACGACGACGACGACGACGACGACGACCACCACCACCACCACTTCCGCAGCCATGGCCACGCAGCAGACGTCAACAGAGCCGCTGCGGCCAGAAACCCACCCGGCGACGGCCCTCACGGCGGGCAACGCAGACACGCTCGCGGTGCCGGGCATCCAGGTCGACGGGGCGAGCGACGATGACGAGCGACAGCCGCGCAGCACAACACCCGCCGCCGTCCCCAGCACCAACGCGAGCCGCACCGCCTCGCCCAATGCGCACGCCATCTACCCCCATACGCAGGTCACCTACGACGACCCCGACTTCAGGCGCCCGCCGCCGCTCAACTACTCGCTGCGCACCCGCCGCAAGGCCATCTTCTGGTTCTGGTTCCTCATCCTCGTCGACTGCATCCTCATGCCCATTGGCATGTACTTTGGCATGTGGTACGGTCTGACGCGCGACCAGCTGTCGGCCAACGCCGTCTTCAGCATTAGCACCGCCCTGCTGGGAACCGTCTCCATCGTCGAGTACTTTGTGCGCTTTGCCCGCCTGTGGAGGAAGAACTCGAACTGCCGGGTCATTGGCGCCCAGAGACATTATGTCAGTATGCGAGCAAGCACAGCATCCGCCATGCGCTAACACTCGACAGCTCGACTGGTTCCACTGGAATCTGTCCGTCGGATGGTTCTTTGTCATGATTGAGCTGATTGCGTACGTCCATCCGCCCGTCTGAAGGAGCACGAGACTGACCCCCCACAGCGGCACATGCCCCCACGACCCGCCCATCCGTGTCCTCGCCATGCCGGCCCCGACCATGCTGTTCGCCATCGGCGTCGAGCTCATCATCGTCGACATCCTCCGCATCATGAAGGTCCCCGCGCCCTGCCGCATCTCGTCCCTGCCTCAGGGCGCCCCTCTCCGCCCCGGCATCTACGCATACATCGAGGACATCTGCGCTGTCGACGGCTCCGGAGGCACCCAGTTCCGCCAGCGGCTGAACCTGCGATACCAGGCGAGCAAGGCCTTCCGCGAGATGCTGCACCGCATGACGCTGTTCTGGGCCATTGGCGCAATCGTGTGCTCCGCCGTCTGCACCGCCATTGTTTTTACCATTCAGCGCGATGCCGCCTACGTCGTATGTACTTTGGTCTCCGCATCACCCAGTCCTGTGCTAACAGTCCCCAGGTCGGCTGGGTCCTTCCCTTCCTCTGGGCTGGTGTATGGGCCGCCATCACTATCCCTTGGGTGCAACGGCAGCTCGCCAAAGAGTACGAGGAGTGGACTACGGCCAACTTCAAGGCCTAATCGCACCCGAGTCCTTTTACTGCTTGTATTATTATTGTTCGTCGCTTGGCAGGTCGACGGCGTTCTACATTTCTGTTGCCATAGATACCACTTTCGCAAAAGACTGTACACTACTGCGCTGCGCTGCACGTATGAAATGAAATGCAATTATCATGACGTTCAGAGAAATCCCTGTTTCGTGCACACGCGTTGATCGAACGACTCTGACATCACCAATGCAAATTTGACCCCTGCTCGTGATCTGCATGCAATATTTCCATCTGATTTGCGCAAACACAGGTTCTTTATCCATGTTTTGGAGCCAAGCTTTGAGCCATGACATCGTCCAAGTGCTGGGCGTTTCGCGTATCCGTTGAAACCCTGCATGCTCCGCCCTCGCGTAGGTGGTTTTCCCGTCCTTCCTTTTCCTTGTCGATTCCCTGCGCGGTGCTAAGACTCCCCTTCAATTGAACCGTCAAGGCATGTACATCACAACATCAGATTGGTGTCCCCAACGAAACAAGATACACGTTGATTGAGACATCGATACAGTGTCCAAAAGCGCCTTCGTCGTCTGCGTGCTTTGTAGACTATATTCTTCATCACAACGCTGCGCCGATCTCCTTCTCCTTTGGCACGTGCTCGTCAGTCATCACAATGATCCCCTTGCCCTTCATCTTCCCACTGTGCGCCAGATGCACCAACTTTTCCAACTCCCCCAGGCCCCTGAACGCGTTCGTTTCCACGGAGATGTTGTGTTCAGCCACAATCTGCAGCATGTCTCGTGCCTCGTTCGGCGACCCAATAAGTGAGCCCCGAACGCGAATGTCGCGGAAGATGAGTTCGCGGAAGGGAATGGCGACATTTTCTGGTTGTGCGATTTGAATGACGGTTCCATGCATCTTCGTGATTGCACAAGCCGTTGCCATGGCCTTTTCTGCATCGCTGACGTTGAGAGTACAGGTGACGCCTTCGTTATTGGTGACTTTGTGGACTTCCTTTACCACATTTTCGTGGCCTTTTCGTGCATCCACCGCCATATTTGCGCCGCCTTTTCTTGTCAGTTCGAGGCCTTCGTCTCTTGCATCGACGCCAATGACATTCATGCCCAATGCTTTGGCGAATTGCACTCCCAGATGACCCAGTCCGCCTCCACTGCCCACAATAGCAAGCCACTCGCCCTTCTTGACGCCCGAAAGTACAACGCCACGATACACAGTACAGCCTGCACAAGCTAGTGGAGCCGCCGTCTCGAAAGTTACCTTGTCTGGTAACTTTGCAGCCTGGGTGGCGTCGATGCGTGCATAATCTGCAAAAAATCCATTGGTCGTGACACCACAGTATCCGCCGCTAAACTGGCAGTACTGTTGATAGTTCTCTGGCCCTAGGCAATCTGCACAAACGCACAGGGACGATAGATGATGCCGGCCATGACACTTTCGCCAAGGATGAAGTCCTGGACGGATGATCCCAGGGCGACGACTGTTCCAGCGCCTTCATGCGAGCCAGTGCATGGAAGCGAGGTTCCCATTATGCCAGACTGTACCATGGAGTCGGTATGACAAAGTGATGCAACGGCGACCTTAATGATCAAATCATTCGGTGCGAGCTCTGTTGGAACAGGCACCTGATGGATGCTATATCGGTTTGTTGAACTACAAGATGCTTTAGCAATCGAGATGAATAGACAGCAACGAGATATACCTCGACTACCTGCGCTGCTTGCATCTTTTCGGGTATTTTTTGTGAAGCCATGGCAATAGATAATTTTCGTATCAATGCGTTCCAATGGTTGGTTACAATGTACGAAGATCTTGAGGTTGAGTCTAATCTCTTAAGAATGGTGATACGTATAACATCCCCAAAGATCTGGTTTGATGGCCATGGCGCTAGTATCTGCGAGATAGTGACGTCCTCGCTCCTAAGTCCGCGTTAGTGTGGGGACCATTCTTTAGATCGTCCACATATTCCCGACACCAGGCGCCGTCACAAGCCGTATCCACTCACTCTTTCCTGTATGTGGAGCAACCCAGATACGTAAGAACATATCCATATGCTCTGAGGCCTCTCTTAGCATTTACAATAGGACTTTGTGTTGTGATTCGGCATGGACCATGATTTGCAGATTAGATAGTGACGACAACTACCAAGCCCAGAAGGCAACATCTAATTGATCTTAAGCCTCCTCTGTGATGATCCTGCCGAGTCGATTGTACGGAGATGTAGGAACAGCCGTGCGGTCGGCATAGGGCGTAGTGAATATACCAGTGCGCTGCACCTCTTTGAGTTCATCTGCCAAAACAACGGCTTGTCTATTTCCTAGCCGCAAAGCGATGTAGTGCAAGATTTCGATAGACCACTGCCGCATTTCGCTCGTTACCAGATCCAAGCCTGCAGCCGCATATAGAGGCCATATCAGATGTAGCATATGAGTCGACCGTGTCGCATCGATGAATGTACCCGGCGGCCTGATTTTGTGTGCAGGGCTTGTTACGTCAATGTTCGGGTCTGATGCGCGTCGTCTGGCTGTATCAACGTCTGGAAACGGAACCATGCCTATGATTTGAGGTACCGAAGCTACGATTTCTGCCACTGTACACCGTGAGATTTCCTCTGCGGTGCTTTTAACCGCTTCATATTCATTTTGTGTAAACAAGGGCGGATCGTGCTGTGCCCAGCCCTTGTTGAGGTTTTCGCGGACGATTTTGAAAAGACACAATCGGCACGACTTGACGTTGTTCCACATCTGGGCGATCCAGGGGTCCAAATATATGTGGTAAACTTTCCCATGCAGGTGTTCTGACGATTGTTCAAGGTGGACAACTTCGAAGTCCCAAACGCTAGGCATGAGTGCGTTGATCTCATCTATCTCACGGTCAAGGTTCATGGCGGCAATGACCATGGTTTTCGGATCCGCATCATTGTCTCTGTTCAGATTAATGCCAGCGTGCATGACATCGACCAAACGGGTTGTCCATGCTCGACCGTGGATGCTGTAGTCGGATGTGGGCGTCATGATCTGATAGAGGTCGTGTATTCCTTGATGCACAGGTCTACCTGTCTCAAGAGCGACTAGCATGATAACACCGTAGAACTGATGGAAGAGACGTCTGCCAAGATTGCCTCGGAACTGCTCTTTGCCTCGAAGGTTCAATAGTGCAGATGCGCCATCTACATGTTTGGCCCAGGCTGATATGGACCGTCGGTCTTGAAACACAAAGTTTTCATACATGCCTAGAGTTCAGTATGTGAAGTTAGCATTGATATGAGCGTCAATCCATGATGTCAAACGCACCAAGCATAATCACGGATATAAGAGTGCTGTCTCTGACAGCTGATTCTTTGAAACGTAGAGCACTGTTGGTCAAACGAAGGGCCGACACGTACGCTGTTTGTGCCTGTTTCATGATACTCGGGCTCTTTGTAGCATTTGCAAAGCCAGCTAAAGTAGCAGCATTCACGCTATGGCGCAATATATCTTCGGTGACGGGTTGAGCGAGAAGTTCCGTGACCCATTCGAATTGGCCTCTAGGAACAAACGTTGGTTGCGCAACATAATTGCCAATGAAGAATCCCAGTGCCTGATCCTCAATCGAGGGCACGATTTCGCGAATCATGCTTTCCGGCGTGGGGTAGCGCGTGTGCACGACATGCGTGCTGCCGTTCTGATTAAGCCAACCAAAGTTGGATTCCCAGGCCTCCGAAGTGGTACGCTCTGGCAATAATGGTTCTTTCTTGGTCGAGGATGGAGGGGCATTTTGCTTCGCCAACACCTCGTAGCGCTTCTCTGCCTTCTTCGCGACGACATCACTCTCATTCTTGAACATCATCGACAGTGGGTCGCGGTAGCCAAAGCATACCTTCCCGGCCCGAATACATTGCGAGCAGGATGGTCGCTTTTGGTCGCACTAGAAGTGTCAACTAGAACTCTTGAATTGAATTGTACATTCATTACCTTGACCTTTCGATCCCTACAATGTTTACAGCCTTTGGAAGGTCTTCCGACGTTTGGCATGCTCGTGAGTACAACACAGTTGAGATGACGCCCAAAGTAGTGGAGCTTTGCTGCATGCAAGTGCCAGGGAACTTCGAAGCACCGAAGCACTATTTGCCAGAGAAAAGGTTGCCTAGCACGGTGGGGCGACCTCGGGGGAAATGCATGCCGTGTTGCCAAGAGTAGTTTTTATGGCATCCAACTCATTATCGGAATACCTATCTTGACCTGTGAGTGTGATTTTTACGAGAAGGTGGTACAGGGTCGCACAAGCTTTCTGCCTGCAATGACTGGGTGCGGGTGAGCAAGGGATGGGAATTGTGCTGGGTTAGGAAAACAGAAGATCCATTCGCAGCTTCACAACTAGCGTTACGCTAAGTTCTGTTCGCCTTGACCGCCCCACCTTTTGAGGGTATTTCGGACTGCTTCTCAAAGGAGCAAGGCAACTTCATGGACCATTGATGAAGGATTCACCTAACATGGCCAGATTGCTGTCTCTCATTATTCGTGGTGTACAAGGGACGAGCCGCGCGATACGTTTGATCCACATCGGTATTCACAGAAATGCCCAGGTGATATGCATTCGATCAGGTTGGTCTACGAAGAAGAACGTATGTGTGTGTAACACATGAAGCTGCTTCCACGGTGATCATGGTCGAGCCAATTAAGCTGTATGTACCCTCACTCACGGCAACACCACTTCTTCTCAAGGTTCTACAGTCACAGCATCTTGCACATCTCACAAAACGAAATTTGACTAGCTATGCCTGTATCTTTTCAATTTAGAAAATCCAGAAGAATCCACAGCATACAGACTCTACTCCAAACTAGAATCAAGGGGCTCCAATGATTCTAGACGTATTATTAAGGGTGTTCTCTGGACATTCAACCTTTAATTACTCTACAACCCAAGCATTCCTTCGGCTATGCATTCGGTACGCATGATTGCGGGCAACCGTAAGTAATCGAAAAGAATTGTTCAGCAATTTTTTTGATACTGTCAGTGATTGCTATGTTGGCTCGTCTTGCATACAGGTATACTAAAAGCGGCCTCGTACCCTAAAGGTTCAACATCGCAACCACATCATTTGAAGAGCGCGGCATTAGATGAGAAATATTGGATTCATAGATACGCAGGGATGTGTTTTGTAGGTAGACGCCGCCCACGACACAGCGCAGCGCAATGAGATGTTCTTCACAGGACTCGAGAGGCCCTCCGCCCCGCAAAATAGTTGCCTTGGTGCAAGGTTAGCTCCGTCATTTGATACTTTGAGGCTTGGGTTGAGACTTGCCTTGCATACCCAGGGCACCAGTAGGCATTGTTGCGCTGTCTTCCGTTTTCGCTCTCACTGGAGGTTCCTTTCGGACAAGACACTCTCCCACAGGATGGCCATCTTCGCACTTCACTTTCCACCTGCCAATACCCAGATCTTTCGGCGCATGTCGAACACCTCTCCCCCCTCCACCTACAATTAGGTTGCCTAAAGATAATCAGTGTAACACTTTACTCTTTAATCAACAAATTACCTGGACGATACTGAGGATCTGCGAGCATACGCTTGATGACACTCGAATGGATGACTGCGTTAGCAGGAATATCGCGTGTTTCTCCCTTCGGAAGCGGCCAGATGATCGCTTTCCATGTTCCATCCTCGCGTAGGTCCATCCGCCTGAACGGCATGTATTCCATGATATTCCAGGAGATAACACTTGCACCAGATGCACCATTTTTGAATTGCAAAACATCATGGATGCGTCCCTTTGTAGCTGCAAAATGAAAGTGCTTGTGGAACTCCGTATCTGCTGGGGGAGCGTGCGGTGAATGGTGGCTGGCGAAATTCTCCTCGTCGATGAAATCCTTCGCACCAGCACCAACCATAATCCCATTCGAGCCGGTGTCATCATTAACGTCGCTGGTGGGAGGTGGCGACCCAGGATCAACCTCAATGATGGGCACATCTGTCTGAGGTTGGGTACCCAAGTATTCGTCATCGTCGTACCAGCAGTGCAACGCCTCCAACTTCTCCTCGTCGAAATCAAGACCAGCTTTTTGAGCTTCACGGACCATCCATACAAGCGGAACATGACTCAACGCGGCATCATGACCTGCGTCAAGAGGCCAGCCTCCGCCGATGTCTGCGTGACATCCAGGGAACCAAACCTCCTGGATGTCCTGCTCGCCTTCTACATCATCAGATGCCCACGTCTCGTGGGCGCCGAATGACATCATAGACTCAGCAGGAGAGCGAATACTGCCATCGTATTGAGAATAGTCTGCGCTGCGGCTACGGATTCCCGCCGTTTCGTGCGGGTCTCTAAATCGCTCGGGTGGTGCGAGGGTATCCCGCCTTCCTCGTTCCTCTTCGATCTTTTCGTTTGCCTCAATGTGACTCGCACCTTGTAAGAGTTGTTTGGCATGCTTGCGCTTATGGTGTCGTTTATAAATCAAGGACTTGTCGGGCTTCTCTTGTGAAATCAGGTCTTGTCGAAACTTCGCACGACGTTCATCAATCGAGACAGCATGTCTGATGACCCGCGCACTACTCCGGGCCGTGTAGGGGAATTTGCTACGCTGCATCCATGCATTTTCGAATGCAGGAACGCTGTTGACCGTGTCGAAAAGCCCCAAAAATCTGATGGGTCGAACAGGGCGACTGAAAGTTTCTCGGAACGCGCACATGAACTCCAGAAGTCTAGTCTTCTCAGTCTTCTTACCTGGTGCGGTTTTCCTGTCGATCTCTTCCGGTAGCCGACACTGCCACTTTTGAAAGGTCCTGGGAGAGCTGTTAGCCACTATACCACATGTAAATCACTTTTTACGCACTTCCAAGCAAATTGACACATTTCCTCGTTGCCAGCCTGCCATACTGTCATCAGCCTGTGGTACGTGTGCCGACGCAAGATCTTACCGATAAGAGACCGACATGGTCCAACATCTCAGCAAGAAAGCGAGCCGTGTACGCTCCTCTGGAAAATCCAAAAAAGAAGATGTCGTCTCCTGGTGTATAGTAACGCATCAAGAACTATGCGAATCAGTCTGAATACACCAGCGCGCGCACGTCTTAGAAGATGTGGAAGCCTCGACAATACAGGCATGCAGATATGGAGAGTGCTTACCCTGTATCCGGCCATTACGTGCAAGTCGAATGATGTGCCTATCGTATATTAGCACAATTTCCCATGAATTAAGATGCTACTTGCCAACTGCACTATCTTTTGCCTTTGCATACCAGGATTTGAACTTATCCAATCGGCTCGTGCGACTCATAGAGCCATTGGCTTTGGTCACGTAAGTACCAATGCCTATCGACAAGCAAGCATGAAGTTAGCAATGTCTCACTCGTCCTTAGCAAGTGGGTACTTACCTGGCTGGTAGTAGTGGAACTGGTCGTCGCCATTGCGATCGAGCATGCGATAGATTTTGAGAATGTTGGAGTCTGAATCTGTTCCTGAAAACTTGTTGCCTGTGCCATCGAAGCACAAAACGAACTTCTTGCGCACATGTGTAGCTTTCGGTGCCGCCCCGTAATCCATGTCGTGGCGGAATATTGGCGAAGTATTAGAAGGTGGACGTGACAACTCTGTGTTTTTCGAACCCATCTCGAAAGTTGGCAGTGACTAGCTCTGCTAACAAGGAAGAAAGTCGATGGCAGGAGCAGGAGCTGGCCAATTTCCTGATAAGCCCGGAAACAACACCCCAAGCGGCCACAGTGGTGTGTAAGTGGCGCGGACCGCATGCGGTATTGAAGATCGCATAAACCTCCGGACAAGCTGCCACATGGCTTATTACTACGAGCGCCGGCACTAATGCGAGCACACCACAGTGCCATAGAATGAAAGGTTGTGATGCCACACGTCATGCGTAGATCGGGGAATCGTATGGACAGGCTTTGGAAAATGACTTCCCAATCACAACTGGCACGAGTAAGCGACGTTTAATGGTGCCCTAATTGGGACACACAGCAGTTGTGCACGGCACAAGCCCCTGCTTCAGCGACAACTGATGGTCCATCTTCGCGAAGAGTTGACTCCGATTAGACCCCCGAATTGCCTAATGCCGTACGACTGAAAATGGATAGTTGATCGGTGAGTGCAGACACCGGACCGGCTTTCCCTTCGTGCTGATTTGGCAAGGAGACTATCGTCAGAAGTCGGCAATGCTGCTCTGGCTGTCCACTGGCCCTCAGTATTGGTCAATGCAACGATGCAGATCGATGATGTGTCTGGTGTTTAAGCGGTTGTGTGCAAGACGCATACAATTAGGGTCGGCGATGTCGAGGTGCGCTAACTTACAGATCACGCACGGGCACGTTACGGGCCGCAACGCGATCTATCGAACCTTTCCTCCACCCCTACCAGCTCGACCATGTACAATCGCCAAACAGGCACGCTCAGATCATATCAATAGCGAGTTCAGCCACGCTTTGTTTTTACCTTCTGCCGGCTCATCCGTACGACGAGACCTCAATATATGCAGTACGCCTCCTGCATGGCAATTGTCCACCACATAACTAGCGCGACCGCGCCGACCATTTGTGCAAGATGGACATGTGTTGACCCAGCGAACGCCACAAGCGCGAACCTCAACACGAATTACGTCGTCTTGCCGCAGATGATAGATCAATACTACTCGCCAATCGTCAACCTCAGCTGAATCGGGAAGTCGATCTTCTAACGAGGACTACCAGTTCGTCTTGGACTGCCGCTTTCGAAACAGCGTTCGCTCCGAAGCGGTCCGAAGAGAACTGTAGCGTGCCGGCCCTCTTCGCCTTCGCTCCAAACACCAGGAACAATGCTCCGAAGCCATCGACCTACCACCTAGTACAAGCAGAATTGTCGTGCGACCGCCATCATGTCTGGCATGTGACCCCCTATCATTGTACTCCCGGGCAAATCCAGAGCGCTGTTCGCGGGGAGAAGCTCCTCCAATCCCGCTCACCGTATATCATTCCGAGTTGCAGCCAGCATTGGAGTGCAACTTGGGCATCGAACATGATTGACCCACTTGATCAATCTCATTCGTGGACCTCAGCTGCACGATCGACCTTTACCTGCACCGCTCAACAAACCAATACAGCTCATACTAGCGAGCTGCAGCGCATGCCTGTCTTGTGCTCTGCTCCACTCTGCCAGCTACCACCAATAAAAACATGTGTAATTAGAGCTGTTAACTACCTAGTCTAAGAACGACCGCAGTACCTTTGGCGTTGTAATGGTGAACACTGAATGGTCGACTCTTCTTTGAGATCGTCGCCGAAGGGTGAGTCGATCAGTGCATCGCAGCTCCTGTATGTGCACATCCTGTTGCCGCTGGCCTGAAAGTACTTGCTCACATCGGATAGCTCCTGCACCGAGGGATTGGCGCCTCATGTAGCTCCTGCGTAGCGATGCTTCCGAGACGTGTGTAGCTCAGATCGGCATGAAAGGTACTTGAACTTCTCCCTTGCCTTCCACATCTGCATATGTGCCTCTCAACCTGATTATTACCCTAATACAATTCTTCAAAAACCATGCCAAGCCAGTTACGCTCATTGCTTGGGACCATCAGGAGGAAGCCTACCCAGGCCAGTGACGGAAGGACGTCGGAGGCTTCGAGTGGGCTGAAGAACAACGAGAAGACCACCATCGGCCACGACCTCAAAAACCTGGGCATTAAGAATGCTAGATTCGCAGTCGAAGCCATCACCACGCTGGCCTCTGGCGAACCTCTTGATGACAAGGACAACCTCCTTGAGAATGGCGTTCAGATGCTGCAAGGCCTACCGACCAACAGCGGACTGAGTGCAAAGGTCTCAGACGGCTTTATTGCCATGCTTTGGAATGACCTCCCACATCCGTCACCTACAACAGCCGGTCCAACTACACGCTATCGCCGACACGATGGTGGCGGCAACAACCCACACAATCCAGAAATGGGAAAAGCAGGTTCGCCGTATGCAAGAAACGTCCCACCTACAAAACCCAAAGGTAAGCGTTGCGTCGCAGTTATGTTGTAGGTGATTACTAATGGTGCACTAGGTCCCAATCTTCCTGATGTTGAGGATGTCTATGAAGCCTTGCTGAAGCGCAAAGGCCCTTTTCGTTCTCCATTCACTCAGGAGCTGAATACGCCTTGGTTCTTCTCTTTCGCGAACCATCGTCATTCACGGAGTGGCTTTCCAAACCTCGAAGGACCAGACCCCTGGATCAACGAAACCCTCAAGCTACGTGGATCTGAGCACGCTGTATGGCAACCACCGAAAAAAGAGCAAGTCCCGCGTTACAGACGTATCATAACAGCGAGATCTATGCAGACTCAAATTGCTTCGGAGAGAAATCATGATGATGCCACCAGGAGTAGTTGCTGTCCTCCTCATGTTCTCAAGAAATCACAAACCACATCGCAGAGTCTTTGTGGTCCATCAACGAGGATGGCAAATACAAACCATGGGATAGTCTAGACGACGCTGGAAAGAAATGGTAAGCGACTTGGGAATCATTGCTTTTGCGAATATGCTGACAATCAGAAAGGCAGGATAATGACATCTTCCAACTTACGCGCAACATCAACGTCGGATTTTTTGCCGCGGTCGTTCTACACGATTACGTGGCAGCCATCCTAAATACTCCCCGTGCCAATTCCGAATGGTCGCTCGATCTAGGCAAGGAGATCAAACAGGGCGGGACACGTGTGGAACGAGGTACTGGAAGTCATGTCTCTGTGGAGTTTGCAGTCCTCTACCATTGGCATGCTGCGTTAAGCGCTGCGGACGACAAATGGATGGAAGACATACTTCGCTCTGTCCATCCCAATATGCGGTCTGTCGATGACATTACAGTCGAAATGTTTCATGAAGTCATGAAGGTACACGGACACGATCTCATGAATTAACCGGCCAAAGGAGTGGACGTTTGGTGGGCTTCAGCGAGGCCCCGATGGACGCTTCAAAGACGCTGAGCTAGCTGAGCTTATCAAAACTTGTACCGAAGAACCGGCCCACGCATTTGGTGCCCATGGCACGCCCGCGTCGCTGAAAGTCGTCGACCTTATGGGTCAGTTGCAAGCACGTGATATGTTCAACGTCTGCACCTTGAACGAGTTCCGTAGGTATCTCAACTTGAAGCCTTACGAGACCTTCGAAGACTGGTGTGTAGACAAAGACACTGCAAGGGCTGCGGAGCTCCTGTACGGGCACATTGAGAACATGGAGCTCTATCCCGGTTTAATGGCCGAATGCACCAAGCCAGCGATGCCGGGATCCGGGGTGTGTCCCGGCCAGACCACAGGACGAGGAATATTGGACGACGCTGTTGCACTTGTCCGTGGCGATCGTTACCTCAGTTACGATTTCAATAGCAATACTCTGACCCAGTGGGGCGCTGCTCTACTATCAGACACCGTTCCTGGAGCTTATGGTGGCGTCTTTCCAAAGCTACTTTTCCAAGGTCTCCCTGGCGGATTCACAGGCACGTCACCGTACGTTCTGTTGCCATTCTACACACCCGAAGCTGCCAAGGGCATTCTGAAGGGGAACAATGTTCTCGAGAAATACGATCTCAAACGACCGCCAAATGATTACGACATTGTCAGCGTGCAGACGCAAGAGGGCTGTAAGAAGATATTTGAGGACCGCGACAGTTTTGCTGTCATGTACCAGGCTGCCATTAGGCATTGTACTGCCGGACACGACTTCATGATCGGGTGGGACGATGCAAAGAAGCACGACGAGCGCTCCAATGCCCTTCACAAGATATTCTTCGAGGATGGGTTCGAGAAGAACGTCAACGAATTCTTCAGCAAAACAGTCAGTCAACTCATTCAGAAGAACTCGTTGAAAGGCGCCAAGGGCAGGATGTCGATCGATATTGTGCGCGACGTCACCAACATTGCGCCTATCCTGTGGCTAGCCGAGCGTTTTGCATTACCTCTAAAAACCCAGGAACAGCCTCGCGGAGTTCTTTCGGTCCACGAAGCTTTCACTGCGTTCCTCGTCCTGTTCATGTACCAGAGCTTCAACATCATGCCAGCTAATGAGTGGAAGCTAAGAGAAGGCGCTTTGAAAGCCGCGGCACCTCTACGATCCATCTTCGAGGCTCATTTGAAGACACAAACTGGTAGACTGGAGGGCCTTGTCGACTGGATGGCTAAGGGCAGTGCATTTGAAGTGGGCCCACAAGCTGACCGCCTCTACCATGCCTTGGCGGATACGAAATTGCCCCTTGGAGATCAGGTTGGAGATTGTATTGGAATGAGCGCACCAGTTGCTGGCAATATGACACAGCAAGCATCGCTTTTGATTGACCTATTCCTCAGTCCTGGTTATGAAAAGTACAAGGAGCGCATTGTCGAATTGGCACACATGGATCCCGCAACATCCGATCGCGAACTCCAAGGCTTTGTATATGAAGGCATGAGACATGTCGGAGTGGTTCCTGGGCTTCCACGTGTTGCTACTCGAGATACCACAGTTAATGACGGTGTGCGTGGTCCTGTTCAGATCAAGAAAGGCCATACTGTCCTCATCGCCACCTCCAAGGCAGCTATGGATCCCGTCGCGTATCCAAATCCCGAGATTCTGAATCCACATCGACCATTCAAAGACTACACTCTCCTCGGTCATGGCTTGCACTTTTGCTTCGGCGCTCGTCTCGTAGGGCCCTCGATTGCTGCTACATTACGCGAAGTCTTCAAGCTGAAAAACGTACGACGCGCGCCAGGTAAACAGGGTCGCTTCACCGTTACCGAGCAAAAGCTGGCCGGCGTTTCTATGAGACACTATCTTGATGCCAATTCAAAGGAGAGTCCTATCCCGACGAGTCTGAGACTACACTACGACTATGAGACAATCACGAACGGTCTCAACGGCGCAGCTGGCTTGAATGGGCATGCACCTAATGGATATGCGAACGCAAACGGTAACAACTCGCACGGTAACGCGTACACAATCGCTCCTTAGATTGGGCCTCTGAAGAGAGCCATGGGATGCTGTCATCTGTTGAGACTCAGACGAACGCGGTGTCATAAGGATAAGGGTTGCTCTATAGACGCCACAAGATCCATGGGTGGGAGGATATCCTGACAAGTTCAAGGTTTTCTTATTGAATCACCTAGATGATAGTAATCGGTGTAGCATAATGATCAATGCATATCTTCCTTACTTCTACATGATTAGAAACACGAGTCCAAATACTGAGCATTCGTGGCTCATTCCCATCTGCTCGAACGATTTCACCAAAGTCGTCGTTGGTGCTTGACTTGAAGATGTTTTCGATGTCACGCGGAGAGACAGAGAAAGTATTGCGTCGCTTGCTACAGCAGGAGTGGACGACACGTCTTTGGCTTGCGCTACCGACAGCTGACTACTCGCTTGAGGCATGTCGTAAACGTATTCCAAATGCAGGCTTTCTGACATAACCATACTTTCCGCGCTGCTAACGATCCTGTTCAAGGTATTAGCATTAGCGCCTTTGCCTGGGCGTGAAAAAGCTCACCGCTCTGGTCCCTGAAAGACGACTGCAAGGCAATTTGAATGGGGAGATCTTCCATACTGGCAACCAGAAACGTTTCTCCTCGTCCTTCTATCTCGTTATACAGCGCATGTTTTTGAATGGCCGCAGGGTTTTCTATTTCTCAGTTGACGATGCATGAATCATCTTGCTGTGCTCACGAATCTGAGCTTACAAATCTGAAAATCTGGGTCATCGCCGTCAGGTTCTCGACATTATACCGTTCTGAAAGCTCAAGGACTTGGGCATTGATGAACCCGTCCCTTTGCCTTGCAACCATGTTATCGAGTCGTGCTGCCTCCAGCGCTGGCTCGAAGACCAGGGCAACAGCTATCCTTTGTGTCGCCGAGAACTATGCGTCCGTGAGACCGAATGGTGCCTTTATGCAGAGTTTGATCGCAGATGCGGCATACTGATGCGTACAAATCCAGTGTGGGTATAGGAGATAGAACCTACGACTAGCGACGAACCAACTTACTTTCTTTTCTTGAACGAGTACCAGAGGCGGAACTATTGGTACTCGGACACAAGTTATGATGATGCACGAGCAGCCCTGGAGAGTACTGTCATGATGCGAGCGTACGGCCTGTTGTGCGAATATTTGTGTGGCTTGGTTCGCCATGGGTATACCTCCACCATGCCCGAAGGCTTTCTCGAGCAACTCCTTTAGCAATTCTCATTTATGCACATTGAGAAATAACAGGCTGTGGTTGTATGCATGAGCGTGCAAGTAACAATCGAACATGAGCGCAGGAAGGCCGTGTTGGTCGATGACTTCAGGCTTCAAATTGAATGAGGAGACTGGCGCCAAAGGTGGAGCACGATTGACGAGCATGCGCCTGCGCAAATGTGAAGTTGCATGTCGGTATCTTGTACAAGCTCGACAGGCTTTGTTGGCTCGCGAGGGGCCATGTCTTGTACGCACACGTATTTCATGAGCAACTTCGGGGACTGGTCACAATGACAGTCAGGTTTCTGTAGACTGGGCTCATTGTAGATGGAGCAGCTGTACATTATATCCAGGATGAGCTTAAGTTGCGCAGCCCTGCTGCTTTTGGACATGTGTTCAGCCGGCATGATATTTTCCCTGTCCTGTTTCCCAGAGGCGGTTCCAGACCATGGTAGTGATTGTCTCCTTTGAGTAAATGACGTCACCGCAGTGCAATCCGTAATGACAGCACCGCTCGACAAACACTAGTAGGCCCATGCGAGGAAACAACCACGACACCTCGACTTCAGTATATCCTCGAAACCCGCCATGGAAATCTAGCATATACCTACACCCTTAAAATCACTGTTGGCATATCTGCCACCCTCCCCCGCTTCCCGCGAGCCTTTCTTTCTCCAGGCAAGCATGGACACGCCTGTCACGCGTAATCTAGCGGTAGCGGCTAAGCGCAAAGCTGTACCAGAGACGGCCACTACAACAGCAACTCCAGCGCCTGGACCTAGCCTGACCAGCAAGGTCTTTCCCAATGTCTTCTTCCTGTGCACCATACTCGGCGCCATATCCCTGTCATGGCCTCTGCGATGGGTCCTTTCCGGAGCGCCGATCCTGGTCTACACCGTCCTGCTCGGAGAAGCCTACGGGCAACGCATCTTACCCTTTGTCCCCATATGGACGATATTTGCTACCGTCAACCTCTTGTACGCAGTGAGCGCGACCTCATGGCTTCTGTACTGGGTGTTCGCCGCCTGTTGCTGGCCTACCGTGTTGATCGCCAGCCTGTTTCAATTCAATGCGCCCTGGGGGCCCTTGCTCGTCGCATATTACGAAAGACATTTCTGCGCGACCCTGCATTTCATCAATGATCAAATCGCCTTCTTCGATCTACCGGCTTTGGAGATCGATACTGAGGTCAAAGGCCTGTTTGTCGTTCGAGGTGTTACACTTTCGTTGTCCACCATGACCCTCGTTGCGCATGGCGTCGAAGCTGGCATCAAATTGTCGGAAGACATCGAGCTAGCAATTCAGACCGACAAAGTCGTTGTACCTCTATTTCGCGAGATACATGTCGACGATATTTACGCCAACGTCAAGGGGGGTGATTGGGAGGTAACGTTTGGCAACGTCGCATACGGAAAACCGGAACCAACAAGCGACGATGACACTTTCGTTGCAAGTGACACTGCCATTCTTAGGGCAGCATCCGTCGCCCTAGACGGCACTTACCCTCGCCGTGTGTCGATGGTGCGACAGATGACAGCAGAGAAGCAGCCCGACGACGCCGAAGACGCCGAGTCGGCCTTCGCGACAGTTAAGAAAGTGTCGCCAGGCGAGAAGGATGCAAACAAAAAGTACAAGGAGCTGGTCAAGAACATCCACGATACGAGCGTGATTACGAACGCAAAGAGAGCCATACGGGAAGCTGTGGACGCTGACGAGAAAGACACCAAGCTCGATTTGGACAATATGGATGATTTCCGAGCTGCGATATGTGCTCATATACACGCATACTCCGTCCATACCACACCCACCTAAGAAATCCATCAGAGTCTCTACGCTCCGCAAGACTGATTACCCGAACGTGAAGGCATTCCTACATCGCTTACCGTTCCTGTACCGTCTGATGCTGAGTCCACTCTGCTACTTTCACCCTGTAAAATTCAGCTCAGTAACCGCTGCCGGGTCTGGAAAGTGGTTTGTAAGCTTAATGCGGCAATATCTCTTTAAACACTATGCCGGCCAAGATTCTGAGATTCGTAGACTTGAAGCTCGGATATCAGCTTGGTGTGCCGACGCAAACTTTGCCGTCGAATTGGGCCCAATTGCGAGTGAGGCGTCTTTCCCAATCAACACAAACTACAACATCCAATGTCATTTCAAAATGTCGGATGTACTGGCATACAGAGCGGTCCCAGAAGCCGTCGAGCTCAAACAGGTCGTACGTCTGGCTGGCGCAGACGCAGTGCTTACTATTCCGACGTTTCTGTTTCCTCATCACGAGCACATCTTCCCTGTCAAGCGCACGGATTTCCAGCTCATGGAAATGGAGGAAGCGATCAAGCTCATTGCTGGTACCCCGAAGGCAAGGCAGGCTTTGAAAGAATACGAGAAGCTCAAGAAGGACGAGGCGAGCATGCATGTCAGCGCACATGCTCATCTACCCGCACAGTTTCATCAGGATCTGCTTAATTTTGTCGCTGCAATTGTGAAAGCAACCAAGGTCATCGAGAGCGACAAGTCATTTGAGGAGGCCAAGGTTCTCCGCGAATTGAAACGCGTCAGCGCAGCCAGCGGCGACAGCGACGTGGACAGCGTCGCTTCGGTAGATACCACGACTACCACAAACACCAATGATACTACCACGACCGTCAACTCCGACAAGGGCTTCAAAAACTTCCTCAAGAAAGTTGATACAGGGTTCAAGGATGCTTCTGCGAAGACAATGGTGGGCATGCGGAAAGCCGGTGCTAATACTGTGTCTGCCATGGCAAATGATCGATGGATTGCGAGCTTGGTAGGCAAGATAACAAGAAAGCTGGAGAAGGCCCAAGGTGAAGTGGGTTACAGTGGCGACGTCCCCATTGCGCTGGATAAGTACCGCGTGAGGCACGAGTCTCTGACCAAGATTCTTCCTTGAGCTGCGAGCAGATAAGGTTGCGAGTGTATGATACCCCATTTGTGGCGTCGTTTAAGGGTGTGCTAGTTTTAGTAGAAGTAGACCACCGGAGAAGAAGAAAATTATATCATCACCACGCTCTCTCGCTTTGCCAGGTCGGGCCGGTCAGCATTTCTGAAAGTGTGAACCGAGAACCTGGTTGTGGTGCGGGCGGAACGTTGCCGTCTTACAGTACCTCTTAGCGGCGTGGATCCCGATCTGCGCCTGCAGGCAGTCGATGATGCTCGCTATGCTTCAGAATCAACACTTGGCTTGGGTTGCACTGCTGCTGTTCTACCTAGTGCCGCCTCTCCTCCACCATGATAACGCTGTGTACACGACCTTTTGTCGCTTTTGCGCATCCTTGACTCCTGAGTGCACCCACGCGACATGCCTGTGAAAGATACGGCCAACGCCACCACGGTCCCAGTGGACGTTGAACAAGGCCATCGCGATCAGATTACTCCCAGCGCATCCACTTCGCTCGCTCGAAATGGGGACATATCGAAACCTGCCACGCCACGAAGAAGCCTAGAACTAGATGATGGCGCACCGCGCAATCGAAACCTCAACACCCGGTCACCATGGATAAAGTTTGAGGCAAAGCTGCCGGCGGCTGTCGCTCAAATAAATCACAAGATAGTGAGCTGGATGAAGGGCCCGGAAACCCAACAAGATACATCACATCACTCCACTATTGGAGCGCATTCAGACATGGCCCATCAGACTGCTTGCGCGCCTGCCTCGGTGGTTTCTAGCGTGTATTTATGCTGTTGGTTTCGTGTTGTGGGCTGTATTGTTTGGGGTCATCCTCACCAACTATAGCATGCCTACAAATCTGGCCGGCTTTGGGGCGCCTGTACCTCTCTCTTGCGTCACAAACCTATGGTGAGATTCCATCACATGTATCCCGGAATAAAGCTAATCAGTATCTAGGCCCAGCGCCCAATCTTGCGGTCTTGATGGTCGCAACTGTCTCCCATTTGCTGATTCTTCCTTCGCCTTCAATTGTCCTGCCAGCTGCCTCGGCGCCCAAGTCCTCAACCCCCGAGCCATCGGAAACACCTCTATAAATTACCGATCGCTCGTTGTTGGCGGTGCGCCAGACGAAGATGAAGGTTTCGCACGGGTCTACCGAGGCGACTCGTTTATTTGTGGTGCAGCCATACATGCTGGTGCAATCAAAAATGGGCAAGGAGGCTGTGGTGTGGTCTCGCTGGTGGGAGAGAAGAGTAGTTTTCCCACGGTGTCGCAAAATGGCATCATCCAGTGTCGGGTATGACTCGAGCTTTCCTATGGCGTTTGAGTTCAATCAGTCCAGTGCCATTCAGAGTGCTGCAAAGAAGTGTCGTGATCCGCGGTGGAATCTGCTCATCCTGTCTACTATCTTCACAGCCCTGTTTGGCCTTCTGACCTCTAGTCCCGCCGCGTTTTTCGACTCCTATTTTCACTATAATATTCTTCCAGGTCGGCATGGCTTCGGATACACCAAATTACTCAAACTATGCTTCGTTGGCATCAACAATACTTGGACGTTTCTTGCCTGCAGCCTTGGTCGCCGCCCTGTTCTATCAATTTAGTATCCGGAAAACACTACGAAATTGCAAGGCGCATGTGGAAAAGACTGTCCTCTGGGTCGGCGCTGCATGGGTTGGAGCACTCAGCAACTATACCCTCGAGAAGATCCCCATCCAGCGACTCACGGGCCACGATATTCGCCAGCAACCTGGAGCCATAACCGCGCTTGTCATAATCATTTTGATCCTCTTCATTGTCATCCTCTACCAATGCTGGTGCTTGCGAAGCGAAGGCCGTCTGCCCCGCTTCCTTGGTCTCTATGCCATCTTTGGCATCAGTTTAGGTATCTTGTCCGCCATGCCACACCTTACGCTTCGTATACATCATTACATCCTGGCTCTGCTACTTCTACCTGGTACATCTATGCAAACGCGCATCAGTTTGCTTGCTCAGGGTCTTCTTGTTGGACTTTTCATCAACGGCGTCGCACGCTGGGACTTTGATTCTATCCTGCAGACCGCTGCTCAACTTCGTGGCGACGCCCAGCTCGGCACTAGCGTGCCCTCTATTCTCGAGCCACTCATTAATGGTACAAATGTCACTTTCACGTGGAAAGGTATACTACGTGGGTACGATGGCATCAGCGTCCTTATAAATGACGTAGAACGCTTCAGGGGTATTGATGCTGAAGCGAACTTTACGTGGACGAGACAAGCAGTGGATTTGCCCGAGTATTTCCGCTTTGGGTTCATCAACTACTCACCTTTTGGAGCTGTGAGGTATAGCGACTTTACAAAGGCAGGAACGTGGTGGGTAAATGGAACTTGGGGCGGTATTCCGCCAGGGAGGACGTAGTAGATGCACGATGTGTCAATGACCGTCATATAATGTACAAATCAATCAAACAGTGAATGATAATTAATTCGTTGCCACTAATGACTAAGTGCCTCATAATTTCTTATCGCAATAGCACACACAGGACAAAATGTACTATGCTCGATCATGCCTATCATATGAGTCAGTGCAGCTTCAAGACTATGTACGAATTAGAGCAAATAACAAGGCTCTATGAATGTGTGAAACTAAGCAGACTTCTATGCAACATTCTAGGGGCCGTCGTGACGGAGGTTTACGGTGAGCCCTATCTTCCAAGTGGGTTCTTCATGTGGCAGTGACCCGTGCAACGTGATCCAAAGCACCAAAATGAACGAACAGAGAACTGTTCTGTTGTTCGCTGTACATGAGAACTATGTGTGAGCGAAAAAAAGAAATGATTGGGGCTGGAGGGTGGTGGTCGCCCAGCGCCGCCCAGCGCCGCTCAGCTTGTCGGATGGATACCAACCGCCACAACAAAAGCAAAAAAAATAAATCACAACGCTGCAATCGATGAGAAGGATGTTGTGCATCCTCCGGGAGTCGAACCCGGGCCAATTGCTTGGAAGGCAATTATCCTACCGTTGGACCAAGAATGCTTGATGACGAAGATCGAAATTTTTAACGAATATATAGTTAGTTTTTGTTCGAACATTTGGAACAGAAGAAAGGAACAGCAACATCGGAGGAGTTGAGAAAGCATGGGGGACTAATAAGGTGGGGTAGCTGACGCTTACATGCAGGTTCTGTTCCAGAACTTCATGATTCGTTCACGCAGAGCTCCCAGGCTTTTACGAATCGGCTTGCCAACCAGGAAGTTCGTAACGGCAACGCTGTACACCTGATAAGAATTGGACTTCTACAAACGCTAACTACCTCTATGAAGCTTCTCTCCCGATTGGAGACTTTTTAAACGTAATGTGACCATGGGAGGGAAGATGTCCTGCCCCAGTGGCTCATAAATCACCAAGCACATAAATTGAGGACCTGGAACTTTATTAAATGCCCAATCCCAACTCCAATGTAGCCATGAATTTGATACGGGAGAAGTGACTGACTTCTCCATAACCTTAAGACACCTAATGCGCCGCGCCCATGCAGAGGAGAGACAGTATAGTACAATTGATTACACTCCATCCACACCATGTGAATTATTTCCCGAACCAGGATGTGTTCCTTCTAGCTTCTTTCCGAGCGTTTTGCTACCAACATCATCAGTACATCATCGTGTTCGTGGTGCGGTTCAGGATCGTAGCTCGATCGTGGAGGCGAAAATGCGCAATCGATATATACCGACAGGGATAACGTACCCATTGCTCTTTGCAGTCCCTATAAGCTCTAGTGGTGGTAATCAGAATTCCATTCGTATGAACAATGTGCCATGATGCCATGCAACTTACTGGAAGAAATCTGTACACATGGCGCGCTCGCCGCCATTGCGCTTCAAGCATCGTATGCTTTTGTCCGCGGCTTCTTGACACGGATCAAAGTACTCGCTGTATGCTTTGCTGTGATCATTGTATCAGTCTTGCTGTCCTGTCCTAAGTCACTGTGGTTGCGTGGCGGCGTACTTGTCGAATCTGGTGGCCGCTGGGCCGGACCACTCCTCGGCTTTGTCCTCGGACTTCGGGGCAGGTTTGTTGCTCATTGTGTGAGAATACCATAGAAGAAGCGACAATTTCCTGCAATGGAGTGATCTTGACAGAGTCTCGACCTCGCTACGTTAACACGAAACCCAATGTGCAAGGTCCGCGGAGGATGCCAAAGGTTGCTTATCGATAAGTGTGGGTCAACGCCACGCGATGCGCGTTGAGATCTGCATGGCCTTAGTGCACGAGTCAGGTGTGAAAGCATTGTAACAGCACCACATTTCACAAGACATATCGTATGGCGCACATAAGACTTGTCCAGATGCGACCTGGCACTCACGGAAAGATCCGCTGTACGCCGCAGGACAAGACAATGTGCAGAACTGGTACTTGCCGTCTCGACATTATCCATACCGTCGATTGACTAACTAGGTATTGTATGGGTCAATTCTCACTCATTTGATCTCTCGGCTAAGATCTCCGACTTGTCATCCAGCGATCCGGATCGCACAGTACTAGATCTTTGTGCATCGAGAGCATCGACGCATCAATTCCGCTCGTGATCAAACTTGATCAACCTAGCCCCGTAACGAGTTGCAACGTCAAACGTCTTTGTCTTAGTCCACTTCAACCGACGACGCGGGCCTGGTCTAAGTACCCGCCTACTCCAGCTCCAAGGTTGTATGTCCGTGAGCGGTAGCGATCGTTGTTCATGAACAGGGATGTTTCTCAATGCTCCGCAGTGCCTAGGGCCTCTGCTCCCTGTCTGGACTTCTAACCTTGCTGGCCGATCGAGTAGTTCACGCACTAGACCTTCAGCGGTTTACACGCAAGTATGTACATTGTTAGCAAACACTAGCTGCCATTGCTAGACATTGGTACTCCATCTGTCATTGAGACGTTGGTCAGTGGCCAAAAGATGGCCCGAAAGCTTAACACTGCGGAGACAAACCGCTCAGCACTTCGACATCGTTGTTGGCCACGGGAGTGACTACAAGCCCGGGGGAGCAAATGTCAGCAGATGTAGATACGACAGCACCGCCCTGGCGGTTCAAGAGTTGACCAAATCCGGGGTAGGTCTGCCTGCCTGGGGTATCGCGTAACATGTTACGCTCTCCAGATGGTCCACAAGGCGTAGACGTTATATCTTACGCGGCATTGATCATTCCTGATGGCTAATATCCTCTTCCGTTCTGTCTTGAATGACCATAACCACACCTTTTGCCATGTCGACTCTAAAACGCACCACGAAAGCAGACAATGCCTCTTCTGGGCGTTCGAATTATAGTGGACGAGTCAAACGGCGTTATCATGCTGCTCGAATAGGTGAGCAGATTTTACCTATCTCTCAGTATATCCTCGGCACTCCTTGAGTCACTCCGTGTTGCACTGCTGCCATACCCTCCGCTGCAAGCCGAGAGCACATTGTCTTTTTCACTATGTACACTGTGCCTCCAGCACCTATCGTGAAAGCCCTTCCCTATTAAATGCCGTCATAGAGCCGTTGCTATGCTCAGCTCACACATCCACCTAGCCATTGATTGTAGCAAGATCAAGATGCACTTCATCAACCAGTTGGCTAATTCCTCCAAAGCACCACCCACAACCCACAATCCATTGAACAAGATAACACCACAGACCGATTCAGCCCACCTGCGCCACGTAGCCATGGGCGACTGCCTCAACCAAGCAGACATACTGGAGCAGAAGTTAAAGCATGACGCAACCCAATTTGACCCAGAAAAGCACATTGCTTTCAGCACGGCACCCGAGTTCCTCACGATGAAGGAAATTGGTTACGCGGACGATGTCGGTATCTCTCCTGTGGCAGTCACACACCCATTTCCCCTCTTCACTCCCGAGGCCATTCAAATCATGCGGTCGGAGATCGCTAAGCCGGAGGTTTCGTCAGGGCACCACTATGCAAGCAACATTGCCAGTTCTCAGTTGCGAGGCTACGCGCGTGGGCATGCTCCGTTCACTTATGCCGCGTGGAACCATCCTAGAACCATCGGCCTTGTGTCCAAGCTCGCAGGCATTGACTTGATACCCTGGAGCGACTACGAGATCGCGCACATCAACCTCTCTGCCACCAAGACTGAAGAGCAAGCCCAGACCGAATTGGAACACTATTCACGCAAGTCCTCGATACACTCAGACGAGGGGATTGACGTCAGCTCTCCCGAAGACGACAAGCCCATTGTAGGCTGGCACACCGACTCATATCCATTTGTTTGTGTCTTGATGATGTCTGACTGCACCAACATGGTTGGTGGCGAGACAGCTCTTCGCACCGCAGATGGGCGTGTCATTCGCGTTCGAGGCCCGACCGAGGGTTGCGCAGTGATCCTCCAAGGTCGTTACATTACTCATCAGGCTGTCCGTGCTCTTGGTGCGAAGGAGCGTATCACTGCGGTCACATCCTGGCGCCCGAAATCACCTTTCGTCAAGGATGATTCGGTATTGCGTACCGTTCGACCCGTGTCCGACTTGAAGGAGCTATACATGGACTTCGCCGAGTACCGGCTCGAGATCATGGAGCAGCGCATTCGACGCGAACGTGAGCAGCTGCGTGCTCGCCGTGAGGCTGGCGTCAAGTTTGGCACGCAAGGCCACAAGGCGTTCCTGCAAGAGTCGGCTGCCTTCTTGGCCCACACCGATCACGAGCTTGTTGCAGATGAAGATGTTGAGAAGGGGTTTATCGAGGAGATGGATGTGCCCAACGTTGCTGCCCATGGGCCTGCGTGATCTCTTGTAGAGAGATGTGGCTTATGGATATGGAGTGGAGTGTTGTCGTTCTTAAGGGCATGCATTGCTTGGCATTCCTGCGGCGCCAGGAGCGGTGGAGGTATTGCAGAGCATTCTCAGAGTAGCTAAACGAATGAAGAAGTGAAAGCGGAATTGTGCCTGTGTCAAGATTGGTGCTTTCGAATGTGGATAGACAACATGTGATGATCAAGGGAGGACTGAATCATGATTGAAAGCAGATTCGCGGAAGTGGGCGCAGATCGTCCATGGCGTCCCCACCGAGAATCTGAGCGCGACGAGTGGTTGAGCTGACAGAGGCACGTAGCCAGTGGATGCTCGTGTATGCAAAGGGCGCAGCACAAGCAGATAGCGTGCACAACCCAGGCAAACGTCGCGTGGGCAGTGAGGCGAGGCAAAGCTGGAGCGGAGCGTATGGGCGTAGAGCAAATGGAGTCGATTCACTACAAGTAGATAGAAGCCGTTTGATTATGCACCCGCGGGCGAAGCGATTGGACGGAGGAGGGTATTCGCCCAGGTAAGCGCTGCTGGAGAGTGGTGAGGAGGGAGAGGAGGTTTGGCATCAGCCAGCAGGCGCCTCTCCGCCCGCCGACGATTCGCCGCGCCGGGGAAGAGCAACCCACCCGCTCTTGCCTCACATGCACCGCGACTGCCGCTGCCGCTGCCAGCACCAAGCCGCAAACTCTCGTCGGGGACGATATCCATGCCACCGCTCTAGACTACCACGGCGAGCTGTAGCTGTAGCTGGCAGCCATCATGGACAACCCGCACCGCACCACCCCGCCCGTCGCCGCCCGCCCCAAGAACTCGTCATCCTCGATAAACTCCTCACATGCCGCCTCGAGCTCGCAGCACTCGTCTGCCATGGCGCCCGGCTCGCGGGCCACACGGGGCTCCACGCCCACCGCCAGCCGCTCTGCCTCCAAGCTCGCCGACGACAAGACGGCAGCCCGCCCCGCGAGCAGAGACAGCCTGACGCAGAAGATGCTCAAGAAGCCCGACGACGCGATGCGGCCAAACAAGTCGGAAGAGGTCAGAAACTCCATGTCGTCGCCCAATGCGGGAGGACCGTCGCCGCTAACACGCAGCAGCAGCTCAAGGCACTGCGCACCGAGTTTGACAGCCTGCGCTCGCATCTCACGTGCAAGATATGTGACCGCCTGCTCTACCAGCCGTACACCATCTCGTGCGGACACACGTACTGCTACACGGTAAGAGGCATCACGTGCGCTGCTCTTAACCCTCCAGTCCCGCTAACGCCTCACCTGCACAGTGTCTCTGCACGTGGTTCGCCAACAACAAGAACCGCAAGACATGCCCCGACTGCCGCGTGGTCGTCAAGGAGCTGCCCGCTCCAGCCTACGTTGTAAGTATGAGCGCACGTATGACCCTTGACTTTTGCCTGACGGTCGTGCAGATACGGGACATGACATGTGTCTTCATCAGCCGCGTGGAGCTGCTGCCCGTGGGTGAGACGCTGGAAGACCACAAGAAGTGGCAGAAGGAAGAGGCCGATGCTGTGCAACACGACAAGGACAACACTGACGCCCGCACCGGAGGCTTGTTCAAGGGCTGCTTCAAGACACATCCGCTCCATGGGCGGGGGCCCTCACTGCAGGTGCTCCGAGACCAGGAAGACGGCGTCGATCGATGTCCCGTCTGCACGTGGGAGCTCGAAGACGGCGGCTGTCAGCAATGCGGCTTGATCTTCGATGAAGCCGGTGAGGTCTCCTGGGGCGACAGCTTCACAGGCTTCAGCGACATGGACGAAATGTCCGAGCACGACACCGCCGAGCTCGACGCCGAACTCGACATGGAGGACGTCGACTACGATTGGGAAGACTATCCCCCGGACCAGGCCTCCTTCATGATGCGCCGCTTCCTGGAAGGCGGCATCCCCCCCTCAGCCGCTGCTCTGGCGCGACGACGGCCCATGACGCACAGCGAGGCCGGCAGCAGGCGCTCCTACAGCCAAAGCATAGTGTCAGACATCTATGGCGATGAGATGGACACGGTTGAAGAAGAAGACGAAGAGGGTGCAGGAGAAGAAGAGGACTCGGAGATGAATGACTTCATCGACGACGAGGACATCGAGGGCTCGACAAGCGGCGCCTCCTCAACCCCTGGCCCAACAGCTCAGCCACCAACCAATCGAGCACGAGTCGCTCCAGGCAGAGCCCGCCCTATCATCGAGGACTCAGAAACTTCTTCGACCATCTCCAGTGTCGTTGAAGAAGAAGATGAGGAGGACCAAGGTCCAGTCCGTCGCGGACAGAGGAATCCCGCCCAAGCACGTGTTCTTAATCGTGCAAACGGGTCCAGATCCTCCAGAGCGGCCTCCTCTTCCACATCAACCGACGTCTCGACTGATGAACTCGACGAGGACACTCAAGCTCTGCTGCGCGCTGAAGGCTGGGGAATGCTGCAACACGAAGACGATGAGATGGATGAAGATGACGAAGACAGTGATGGGGGTAGAACGACCGTTGGGTGGGAACCGCTTGCGAACTCAAATGACAGAAGCCGAATGGGCGGTTCTCTAACACCTACTGCAGATCGTCCTCGGCCTAGCGCCCCAATTCGTCCGCCTTCACGAGCGGCAAATATCCACCTGATGAACGCCTCTCGTGGCCTCCGCCGAAGATCTTCTGTCCTTTCGAACTCGACAGTCCATTACGAGGATGGCGAAGCAGATGATGATGATTCCGACCAGGATGCCGATATTGCAATTGCGATGAATACCTTGCGCACTCGTCGCTCGCAAGCACAGATGCGGAACATGGCAGCATATGCAAATCCTCTTGGTCGTTTTAGCAATCGCACGCCAGTCCAAGTTGGCGCAGGACAGGATCCGGACGTCGATGATACCTCAGATACATCTCAACCAAGTCATGGCCTCAGGGCTGCTCGTACTCAGCGTCGCGAATATGATCCGCGCATTAGCTGGATGTTCGCTGCCCACCAGCGAGCACTCCAGGAACACCAAATGACAGGCGCTTTGATTGATATAGAACCCCGCGCCATCACGCCAGTCGCTCGACCGCGTACGTCAAATAGAAATAGACCAAGTCCGGCACAAGCATATTCTCCCTTCCTTCCTCCCAGTCGTTTGCGCACTCCCCTCATGGACAACACTTCGAATTTAGGCCCAGGATTGCGCATGCCGATGTCACCGCCCAGGCGCAACGTAATGTCACCAGCATTACCATCAGCAAACGGCCCTGGCAATATGAATCGAGTGGACAGACCGCCCTCGGTGGGCTCTAGTAGTACTGGATCTACTGTGTTGACGCCTGGTACATCCACGCCTAATTCTCAGTACTCGATCGACAGTATTGCTCAGACGCAAGCTGCCGCCGTTCTGGATATGATAGATCGCCCAGAAAGTCGTGTTGGTGCACGTCCACCTTCAGCAGCTGGCCGGCGTGGTTCAGCCAATTTCTCGCCGGTGTATCCGCCATTCCACAATGCCAGCATGGGTCTTCACGGCCAAGGTCCTGCTCTTCCTCCATATTCTGCGCGCGGCAACCCTTGGGCTGCATTCGTGCAAGGCCGTGGCATTCGTAGCCGTGGCTCGCGACAGGTTCTAAGAGACCAGAACTCTACAGCAACCTTGCGACCCACTGGATCCAGGGCAAACATGCGAGAAGGTGTCAATCAGCCTCAGGCCGTGAGGACTCAAACGTCACGAGTCAACTTGCGTTCTCAGTCATCTCGACAAAGGCTGAATAACCAGGCTTCGACGCGAACGCTGCGTGCTAGTGAACATGGTCGTCCACCGCCATCGCCGGGCCAGAACACGCAAGCCGCCTCCCAGCCTGTCGCTCGGCCCACGAGACTAGGACCAGAGGAGCGTGATACTCGCGTTCGAGAGCTCATCGAAACGAGGATTCGAGCACTGGGACAACCAACTCCGGCCCCAGCTCCAACTAACAATCCCTTCACACGGCGTGCAGCCAACTTTGGCAACACTGCTGGCACACAAGCACCAACGACTGCACAGCACACCAGGAGCAATTCGAACGAATCCATGCAGTCGGCTAATTCTTCCGGTACAGTCAGCAACACACCATCATCGCCCGGGCTCGCCCGACGCCGTAGCAATCGGAATCTGATGTACGCTCCACCTCCAGGCGTACTTCCACCTTCTCAGGGAGCGTACGTGCCACCTTCTGTGCCCACATATAATAGCGGGGGATATCCTCGCCAGAGACAGGGCTCAATGAATGGCGGCACCGGCAACAGCAGCACATACGAACAATCGGTGAACACCAACGCGCGAATCATGAATCCAGTGACGACAGGACCTCTAATCTAGGAAGTTTGTCATCGTCCTGCTCGAAGCTCCATGTGAGCTGAGTTGTTTTCTTTTGTTTGTGTTTGGGTCGTGTATTTTCCTAGCGAGCATAGCCACGATTACTGTCTTTTTAGCGGCATCAAAACTGCGTTATGGGAGGGGCTCATCAGCATTTCCTGGCGTCTTTTTCCTTTTCAGGCACTATACCATGGCATTGAGCGAGAAACACTGGGAATTGGGGGCACATGAAGTGGGAAAGTGACTACTATGGGGTTGCGCGAGGAGGACAGCTTAGGAATACGAAAATGTCATGACGAGGCTTTACTTGACACCAATTGTGCTTACGAGATGTGTTGCGTATGAAAAGGGAGATTGCATTTGTGTTGCTGCTATACCACATCTGGAGATATTCGTCACGCATGCCCGCTACACGCATACAAGCTATGCCGTAGCAGCCCTGGAACCATTTGAACAAGAAAACAAACACATGCAATGCTGGAAATGGAATGCCACGGACAGACCGTACGCATGTAGGGGTTACAGTCGGCGGGGTCGTTGTCATGATGCAAAGAGTGCACCGAGTCTATGACTGCAGGCAATGGTGAAGTGGTGGTTGTGACAAGAGGAGCACATATCGTTCCTCACATGAAGTCGTCACTACGCGGTCATTAGTCTCGAAGCATAAGCCCCCCCCCCCAGCAGCAGGATAACTCACTCTCCAAAGTCCTCGTCGTAAGCAGCCGTATCTGCCCTCGTGCCGACGTCTCTCGACGCATTGAGCACCGTCTTGGTCTTGGCAGCCTTTGTCTTCTTGCCACCCTTCTCCGCCGCCTTCTCCTCCTTCATCTTCTCATTACTCAGCGTTGTGAGGGCGCTCGCAATCTTCTTAATCTGCTCGCTGGGCAGGTCCTTTGCAATCTGCTTGCAGAACTCTTGCAGGAACAGCGAGTACTGGCCCTTCTTGGCGTTTTGAGCCAGCAGCGGGGTGAGCGTCTCGCGCAGCTTGGTGAACTGGTTCTTGGTGTTTGGGTTGAAGATGTGCAGCGAGGACAGGTCGATGGCCTTGGTGGGGTCGGATTCGTCGGTGATGGTGACGGCCTTGCCGGCGCGCTTGTTGGAGAGGGCGAGGTCGCCGAAGAGCTCTTCGGCCTGGGCGCGGGAGCCGTCGATTTCCTGCTGGCGGAGTCGGATGCGGCGCTCCTCTTCCGTCTCGTCTTCGTCGCTGTCGAAGTCGCCCGTTTCCCGCCGCAGCCGGTTGGCTTCCCTGTGCTCCTCGATGCGCTGTGCCTTGCTCTTCTTGTTCGCTTTGGCTTCGGCCTCCGCTTTGGCCTTTGCATCAGCCGCCTTCTTTGCCTTTTCGCGCTCGACCTCGGAGTCTTCGGCGGCGTCCCATGATTCTAGCACCTGTGTCGACAGTCAGTGGGTGTGACTTTATGCATGGCGGGGCCAAAGTTGTGCAGCGCGGGGTATGGTGGGCTGACGCACATCGCTATCGTCCTCTTCGTCGTCAAACTTGCTGCGGCGGGCAATGGGCTTGTTGACTGGAGAGGAGGGAGGCGTGCTGTCCTCTTCCTCGTCATCTGTGGCACCCGCGTCAGCCTTCATCTCAGATTTGTAGAGTCCTGGGCGGCGATGTCGCGCCCACATGCAGAGAACATGACGTACCCCACTTTCCAGGCGCCATGGTTGCGCTTTGTGTGCTGAGCGAGGAGCGAGGAGCGAGGAGCGAGGAGCGAGGAGCGGTAGTCGACGTCGTGAAGAGTGGTCGTCTAGCGTGAGCCTGCGTCTGCGCAGAATGTGTCTGGTGAGAGTTGAGCGTTCCTGAAAAAGAGAAGGGGCTCAAAATCCGGGGCAACCCAGCGCGTCGCGGAACAATGGTTGGGCTCGGCGATCATCTAGCTCGCTTCCGGTCTCCGTAAATTTTGGCCGTGTTTGCTGCCCAATCATTGTCGATTTGCCCTTCACTGTCCTACTCTGGTCAAACAAGACGTCTGGATTATCTCATGATTAGAACAATACTGCCTGTACAAAATAAAACTATACACAAGAAGAACATGCGCGTGCGCATTCATCCAGCCTCCAAACATGACTTGCGTCCCTGATCTAGTACTCCAAAACGTCTTGCTCACGCACCCAATATCGAAAGTCCAAGACACCTTCATGATGAATGTATTACTCTGGGACCTCCCATGGCCGCCAAAATTTCCAACCTTCCCTCACTTCACGGTCGTTCTTCCGCCTCGAACTTGCCACGCCCACCAGTCTTTCTATGCCTGTCACGCCTTCTGCATTCAAAAACTTTTCCTGGTCAATCTCTTCTCCGCCCTCTTCCTCATTACCGTTATGCAAGACCGCTGGCCAGAGTATGCCAACACCGTCACCAGCCAATGTAGTTTCAAACTTCTCAAACCCCTCCTTCTCCAACTTCACCTCCAGCGAGTCCAGAATCTTGTATTTGAGCTTCGTGCTGCTCGAAATGATCGACGCGCTGCAGTCGACTTCGGAGGATGTGTCGGAATCGTCTGACGAGTCGTGATGATGAGTACCATTGGCGTGGCCGTTCGTGAGCGCAGGCGGTTGCGGCTTCAATATGGTGATTGCGCAGCCTCCGCCACCGGCACCGGTCAATTTGGTCCAGCCAATACCAGTGTGGTCGATGATTTCGCGAATGCGTTCAAGCTTTGGATGCGACACGCCTAGGGAGACAAGCAAGCCATGGTTTATCGTCACAAGCTCACCAAGATACTTCAACGAGGCGTGCGAGGTGGAGTCGAAGTCCGGTGAAGTAAGTAGCTTGTGCGCCGACTCTGTGACCAGGCCAATCGCGTTGAGAATGTTCTCCGTAAGAGCGGGATGCGTGGCTTTCAGGTTTGCAACCTTGGCAACCTCGGTCGCGGTGCTCCGCGACTGTCGTGTGTTGACGAGAAGAAGTGGGAGCTCTGGAAAGCTGTGTAGTGGTATCACCAGCGGGGGCTTGTCATAGTCTCGCCGTTGAAACAGTACCGCCTTGCCACCTGACGACACTGTGTTGTCCACACCCGACGGGTTGCCGTGTATACACATCTCGCCCACGAACGACCATCGGTTGATGCGCTCAATGTTGAGTTCGCACTCCTGAGGGGGCTGGTCCTGGTGCGGACCACTCAACGCACGTATCTGCATCAGCATGGCGGCGCTAAGGCAGACAGATATACTGGCACTGCTGCCAAGACCTGCGCCAATGGGTATGGTCGAACGTAGGGTGTAAATGCAGGGCGGCGTTTTCCGTGACGCCAGCGATAGGAACAGGTATAGAAACGAACAGGCCGAGGCGTGGTGTATTTTGCGGACCGATTCGGGGGCTTTGGGCGACACTTCGTCGATGAAGGGTTGTATGGCAGCCATGAGGTCGGGGTCGAGAGACGTGACGAGGTCATAGTAGTATTTCTTCTTCCCTGGCTTCGAGAAGCTGTCCCATGGCAATTCGTCAATGTCCCACGTGTGCTCCATCTGTATGTCGGGGAAGCGCAGTTTGACGGTTCGATTTGACTTGGAGAGGAACGAGACATGGAGGTACGATCGTAGGGAAATTGCGGCAGCAATTGCAGCCTGCACGTGTCAGACCTTCGTCTCGCCGTTGCACACAGCTTCCATACCTTCCCGTGTACTACGGCATGTTCTCCATACACTATCACTTTGCCAGGCGCAGACACCATGAAGGGGGGCATCATGGGGGACGACTTTTTCCTGAGAAGCGCAGGCGTGCCATTTTCGGCAGGACTGGTGACCGTGGGTAGGTCTGAGGCGAAATCGGCTGGCATGGTATCAATGGACGAGGAGGAGTGTTCAGGTGTCTGGGTGGCATGCGACGAGGTGGAGTGCGGATGAAGGAGGGCTACAGTACATAAAGTCAGCCGGGAGGTCCGAATGCAGGGTATCGTGCAGCATACGTACAGGGCGCGACCCTTGCCTTTCGGCGAATGCTACCATTTGCTGCCATGTAAATTGCGCCAGAAGAAGAGTCGATACAGGGGATTACGTTTGCAGCGTCGTCAGGAGGCGATCAAGGGACTCTGAGTAGATAATGTTGGGCAAGAGGTCATTATGCTCTAGCGTGCACTTCCCCGGACTAGTCAAATGATTAACCCGCGCCATCCATTTACCATGCAGGAGCCCTTCTCTTCCAGAAACGCCCTATCGTAGTCCTGCTACTTCCAAGACACTGCGCCACACATTCCGTGCGTCTGCCTCTTCACCAACGTTTGCAGCTGCGTTTGGGGGCGCATTACGGGGTCGAAACTCTCTTCGAATTGCTGCGAAGGCATCCCGGCTGGGTGCAGCAACACAACAATGCTAACCGCACCCTTTCACGGCATTCGCCATGTTCCCTGTACCCTACGGTGCCCGCCTTTTAGAACGGCTACGGCTGATGCGAGCGACCCAAGAGAGCGAAGCATATCAACGCCATTGCTAATCATTTGCTGGTGCTTTGCTCGGGATTACCTGTTTCTCGCCGAAGATAGATTGTGCTGACATCTGTCCACATGCTTTCCAACCTCGGGTCTCTCTCCGTCTGTTGTGATGCTGCATCGAGATGTCATGGCATTGCTGCCAACACCTGCGAGAATGCCGCTACTACGTTTCAACCCTGTACCAGCCCTGTACAATGCTGAGTTCAGCCAGCGAGCCAAACGGATACCACGCGCTTCCGCCAACACATGTTACAATTGTGAAAGACTCAATGCTATATTGACGAAGATGGTGCAATGATTTGAAAAAAGTATGCTAATCCGAATGCCTGTGCCCAAACGCCTCGCTATGCTCTTGTATCCTGCTCTCTCTCTCTCTGGCGAGCTACGAAGGCGTCTTGATCATAAAGATTTCTCGCATTGCCTGCGCGTCCATTGTAGCACTCTTTTTCGATCGAATCCATTTCTGTCGCACCGAGTGCATGCCTCTAGGGTTGAAAGTCAAACCAGCAGCCGAAACTGTTGGCGTCGAGGTGCCCGTTGCTGGTCTTGAAGCGCTGGGTGTGCTCTCATCCTCACTCTCGGAACTCAAGTCTTCCACATCGCCCATGGGTTTCGCGGCTTCCTTGGCAGCCTTTTTCAGGGCCTTTTTCAGCCTCTTCTCCTCTTTGCGAGCCTTCTTCTCGGCTTTCCGTCTTGCCTTGTCTGTGAGTGGTTCTGGGTCTGATGCGGGAGAGGCTACACCGGAGCTCGTGGGTTCGGGATCCGAGGTGACCGCCTTCTTGTCCTTCTTGGACTTTTTGCCCTTCTTGTCCTTTGACGACTCTGCGGCAATATCCTTCTTGGCTTGATCCCGAAGGTCCATACTCTTCTTCTTGCGCTTCAGTTTAGGCTCTTCCTCGCCCTCCACTCCCGCCTCGTCACGATCCTTGCGCTTCCTTTTCTTCTTCCTGTCATCTTCTTTCGCGCCATCGCTTTCAGGTTCAGATTTCACTTCGACCTTGGCCTGAGTTTCCGTCTTGACCTCGTCGCGCGATTTGATCTTGTCGCCAACGAGGAAGCCGCCACTAACGAAGTTCATCATGCCGTACTTGCGGTACACGAAGGCTCGTTTCTCGATCTCCTCCCTTCGCTCCTCTTCCTTCTTCACCTCGGCCTCCTTGCCATTCAATCGTCCGAGGATACTTTCCAATCCAGCGAGACCAAAGTTCTCTGCGCGCTCGCTTCCTCGCTTCGCGCCCAAGCCGAGGTTGTCATCCTTCAAAAGTACTCGAATGTGTGATTGAGAAGCGACAGTATAATGCGCGGCGTGCGCGGCATCCGATGCGCCGAGGGAGTCACCGGGCTGCCATCCTTGCGATGTCAAGATGCGATGCCCGAAGCGGGAGGTGTTGTTGGCCCATGTGGTATTTTGCGGGTCGTTGGAGATCTTGGACCGGCTGCGGTAGTGTTAATTGCGCTCTTGTGCCCATGTAGTCGTCATATGTGCATTGGATACTAGAGAGTGATACATACTTCTTTGGTGCTGCGAGTCCCATGTTTGCGAGTATGGAAGAATGTTACTGCGCTGGCTTGCGAGAAGCGGGAGTCCGCAACTCGTTGAAATTTTTGGTGGGTCTCGAACTCTTGGCGGACCCTGTGGGGAAGCCGCGCTGCATCCCGAAGTCTAGCTTGCACTGTCTTCGTGAAGCTTGAGGCTCACGCTCAATCAAAAACTATCGAGCCGCTCCTTGCATGGACGCACTCAAGACTCGATCTATACAAACTTGCCATACCTTGCTAATCAGAACACTTACCTCGCCGGCAGCCATGACCCCACCGCGAAGCAGTAACAGGCCCAACAACGCCTCCGCCAGTAAAGTTGCTGGTCGTCAAGATACTAGAAACTCAGAGGAGCACGATGGAATGGATGAGATAGTTGCCTCTGGCGATGTCTGCATCTCTGATGCCGACCACGATGACCAAGAAGAATCGCAGGAAGAAACACAATCAAAGTCGGCGGAAGAGCTTCTTTCAACCATGGTTGTAGGAGTAAGTTCATGTTGCCTTGATGGAACCCCATACTGCACTAACACGCTTTTCAGGCACGTAAACGTCACGTAGCCAAGAAGAAGAAAGTCATCGAATCCTATAGTACTACCGCAGAGACCATCGAGACATCCATCGACACTTTGTTCGATGAGCATGAAGAGAAGTCGTGAGTAGAGTGCATGTCTACACATCCACTTCATGATGCCTCTGCTTCGGCCATGGTTCTTGTACTGAAAACGCTTAGGTCTGCAGCTCACGAAGCACAACTCATACGTCTCAAAGAACTCCTGGATCAGAAGGCCAACATCGAAGCAGCCATGGAAGCAAAGTTAGAGGCTTTGAGATCAAGCTACGACGCTCACTCGCGCGATCTTGAGAGCGTGCTCAGCACACGCATCATGGAGCTGAACTGAGGTAGATTGCTCAAACAGTGGCAATTCCCCATGACCCGGAGAGAACATCGCCTATTTGTTTGTCACATTCGAGATGACGTCTAAAGGTATAATGTTATATCGATGAACAGGCAGTGCTCTAGCCAAGCTATACTACGAGCAGAAATGCGCGCGGAACTCAACACGTTCGGTGCTTTATTGCGTACAAACAGATCGAATTCTTTTCTATTCAAAAAGCAAATCAGGTATCTCATAATTGCTAAATTCACATGGAAATGCCAGCCCCCTTATTAGATATCGTTAAGCGCTAAGTGTCAAACGCCTTCATCACATGTGCTACCTCTGGTACTCGGGTAACGCTTCACTTCTCCTCCTGTCATCAACGGCACTCGGCACACTCCTGCCTCGCTGCACAGCTTCTATCAAACCCTCGTCGTCGTCGTCCAACGTCGGTGCTGATGGCACAAGGACAGCATTGTGACGACTGCTAGCAAGAGGTGCCGAGGGTTGTCGCAAAGGCTCGTGCTCCTCGTCTCGCTCGTCGGGAGGTGCGCTTTGTTCCAGCTCCAGTCTACGCCGCTGCATCTCTTGCTTATCATCTGTGGGCTGAACATGTGACGATGAAGACGGTTCATAGTTTGGCGCTGGAGCGGAAACTGACGATGGAGACTGTGGCGGCAAGGGTGGTAATGGCTTCGAATATTCGCTCGACTTGTTGTTGGGAGATGTCGTACCAACAGGACTGTGGATGGCGTTGATAGTGGTCGACGAGCCTGTAGTTGCTGTTCTGTTGTCGTCATCCGGCTGACCTGTTGCACGACGGTGCAGGGGTGGCACCACGTTCGTGTGGGTATACATTGATGGTGAAGATGTAGTGCGAAAAGGAGGTGGAGGATGAACTGGTATCGATGAAGGACCAGCGGCAGCATAATGTGGATTCGGATCATCGTCTTCTGGTAATATAGGCGCCGAAGGAGGAATGCTTTGCTGAACATTAGTCAAAAGGGAAGTTGATTGGCTCGAAACGTCGGGAGGCTGTGACGGTAGTAATCGCGCTTCTGCACGTCGCATACGTTCTTTTTCTGAAAGTCCTTGGTCATCATCCGGAACTTGTGGGGGTGCATGATATGAGGACTCTCCACGCTGACTGTGTTGTTCGTATCCAGGGACTTCATAATATGCAGGGTCGTAATTGTAGTCGTAATCGTAGTACTGCCCGTTCTCGTCATAGTCATAATATTCCTGATGATAGCCCTCTGCGACAATCGGCTCGCTGTTCGGCTCATTCGAAATGTTGTGGATAAGTTCTGCGACGTCAGGAACCCGGGTTTGCTTGCGCTTGCCATTTCGATCACTGTCCTTGGTACCAATAATGACTTCGAAAAGAGATGAGATGACCCCCTTTTCGCGCCGAATCTGATCCGTGTCAACAAAGTTGCCACCGTAGGTCGAGAACATGTTACTTGAAGCGTCCTCGCGTCCCAAGCTAGCACCTCCTGAGGGAACGTTCACAAGACCAGCATTAGCAACCATGCGATCTAGTCCCGTCAATTTACCCTGAATATCCACGACCACTTCGATGTAGTACTTGAACGATATCATGGCACCAGGCACGTTTGAGATCGTAGGAAACGCCTCGTCTGGCACTCGCACAGCGCATTTTACCTCGGCAGTAAGCGTCCTTGGGTCGACGAAAAGTGGTGCAAACGATTGTGACAGATCCTTCCGGAATAGATGACTTGATCCCGCAGATGACAGAGAAAGTCCGCCGAGGCCTGTGCGAGATTTCGGGTAATAATCTTCGGTCTTCTTCTTGTCACCCTTACTGTTTGGCGCGACTGGCAAAGCCGGGTGCATATCTACCCTGGCTTGACGGTACAACGTCACGACGATGCCATTCAAGCTTCTGACATGCTTGGTGTGGTTCACAGTCACCTTGATAGGTATTTGGTCACCTCGGAGGAAGCCCCCTTTGAGAACATCTATGGTCGCTGTTATCGTCTTTCCTTTCGCTGGTGTCCGGCTTCCGTCCGATTTGGTCATCCCGTCTGTTGCAGTATGGATTGAACGAACGCCATACTCGGTTCCCGAGGCGCCACCACTGCTCATCTGGCTCTCGTAGCTCACGTCACTCGGTGATGGGCTGCGCGGACATTCTGCTTCTTCTGTAGTACCATTTGGATCCGAGCCTTGTGCTGTTCGTGGTGGTTCAAGTCCCTGTGGAGTCTGTGATGTCGAGTCAGCCGCAGCTGTGTCCGGCCGCTTTCGTGGCGTTTTCGTACGGCCTCTCCGTGATATTGGTTCCAGCGAAATTATGCGCGGCTTCGGCTCCCCTATTGGTGCAATGTCAATTGCATCGATCAAATTGACCTTTGCATCACACGAAGCTGTGGGTGATATAGTAGTTGGACGCGTCAATGTCGCTGTCAGCATGTAGGCAATCGTGCCGCGTTCGAACTGTAGGCTATCAGGAGGTGATTACGCTTAGTGTGGTGACGTCTAGACTTACGTCGATGCTGCTTGGTAGGCCTTTTGAGGGAAACTCGAGTTCGAAATTGAAGTGATATACGCCTTCGGACAACCTCCCCTCGCCACATAGGACTACCTCGTCCTCGAAAAGTGATACAAAGCCGTTGCCATAATAGCTGCCTGCTCTTTTGCCCTTACCGGATCCAACGGTGGTGCAGTAGTTTTTGTATGCATCGCCGGGCGCATTAGGGTTCTTAAAGACCTGGGCATACCCATGCAACGAGACTACCAAATGTGTAATCCTCAATGGCTTGGTGACTTCAGTTGGAGGGGCCGATCCACTGATGATGTCTCCGGGGGCGTACTGTTGCGGTGGAGGGTCGTCGGAGGGGGATGTAGAACTCGGTGTAGTTGCGCGATTTAGAGGACAAGGGCGACTTGTGCCTGGACAAGAACGACCTGCTTGGGGCTGGGGAGGGTGGATGGACGGTTGCGCGCGTCTGACTGGAACTCTTACTATTTGTATCGCGCACATCATGCGGCTACCCGCTTTCTGGTTGTAGGAATCCGCACGCGCGACAGCAGGCAGCGAGCAGCGAGCAGCGAGTGCTATGCAGCTATGCACGCGGCGATTCGGGTATCGCGAGGGAGGCGTATAGGTCCGCCCTCCTGTATTCGATGTTTGGGCGGGGGGTGCGTAGAGTGCGGGCGGCGGGTTATCGGATGCGTGCGCGCAGGGCCCCGTTAGTGTCGAGATATGGCAGTGGTTGGACGTCTGGCGGGTCGGGTAGGGAGTGGTCGAGGGCGACGCGCACGTGTCTCAGATGCTGCGACAAGGAACAAAGACGGCGGAAGTGGGCAGGAACTGGATTGCGCACGCCGTCAGTCAGCATGGCGGAGAAGTGTGGTCGACGACGGGCAGTAGTGGCAACATGGGAGGGTCTTGCGGGTACGCGGGGAGAGGTGGTTGAGGCTGTGTCTAGGTAATGCCGATCTGCGACCGCGCAACACCACACCAGGCGGTCGCACGGACGTCCAGGAGCAATGTGGATGCGACACAGGGAGCGCGCAAGACGAGACGATGCTTGTACGTACCCAGTTTACCCAGTTGGCGTCGCCAGAGGCTGACAAGGCTGCACCAAGAGCCACACCGATCTTGGCTGCCAAGTCGATGCTGAAGGAGCCCTGGAGCCGGATTCGTCCACTTGTTCAGAAGGGCTCGTGTAACTGCGCGAGGACGGTATGCCTACCAAGTTCTCGAGATGCGCAATGCGGAAGACAGCTCTCGCTTTGTACAGAAGGGGTGAGCTTACGACGAAAGCGAGCTGAGCGCAAAGACGACGATAAAACAAGCCATTCGCGTGGTTCTCGTCTGGGGTCAATTGGGGGAAAGACACCCGAGACACGTGTGCCTGTCCATTGCAACCATGGATGTGCATTCGGGCACTGCTTGACATGTGCGATGTTCGTCCGCTGCTTCACCTTCCTAGTCTGCATGGTGCATATATTGCCTCCTTTTTGCACCCGCACGTCTCTAGACAGAACCTGCTGCAGCAGGTCTGACTGACCTTCCGAGCTTCCGTGGTCAACCCGTGCGTCTTGGATCATCCCAAGGCTGTGGGTCTCTGCGCATCTGATGCAAGTGTAGCTACTGGGCACTGAGAACCAGGCTACCCACTAGCAACTGCATATCTGTAAGCCATCGAACAGAAACCATATGTGTGTGCGTCCTATTATTTTCGCTGGCCGATTGGTCTCGATCTCAGTAGCCCCGTGGCACCATTGCCGCAGCGCAAGCGTCATTTTAGCGCATGACGAGTGATAAGCTTCCGGGCCAAGCGGTCACAAATGCTTAACTGGGTGGGTCGTCGATCGGGTGCACACAAGTCCCGATGTCCCTTGTCTGGTACAACATGAAACTCTGATTCTGTGTGATACTCTTGTCATCATTCTGAGAAGGAGGATAACAGTGCAGATGGTTCCTTCTGTACGCATTCATTATAGATTACAAGTCGGAACTGTAGATATTGACGTCGATGGGAAGAGAAATGTCTTCACCATTGCCTTGCTGGCTATCACCCATGGGAAGTTCCATATCAGCATCTTCGCAATCCTCTACATCGCGTGCCGCCATGACACTGCTGACATCCTGTTCTGGGGATAACTCAACCTCTTTCCGTACCAGTATCTCGAACGCAGTGAGCGCTTCTTGTAGCGTGGGTCGGCCATAGACCCTGCATTGGAAGTGAGACACTTTCAGTAGGCCTCTGAGATGTCTGGCTGATATGCCCATTGACAGCGTTGATATGTGTTGCAACATCTGCACAACTGTATGGAGCGTTGCTGACTGATGCACTTTAGCGGCCTTGAGACTTGGGATCTCTATCAGAGGGATGTCACTGGTGGCCGCATCTGCATTTATAATGCGTCCAGTGGTCTGGAGTCCATGACTAGATGCTGACTCTGCCATGTGATCTAGCAGGATTTCGCCGCGTTGGATTCTCGTATTGAGCTCTGCTCGCAACAACTCGTATATGCAATTGGCAACAGGAGCTTTGATAGCTTCTCTTAGGAGGCATCGATCAACAAACGCGGGGTCGAGATCATCCACTAGGTTTGTTGTGAAGATCCAGACAACATTAATGGCCGAGCGAAGTCTATCGATGCCAGTGAGAACTTCAGCGGTAGCCTAGGTTCAGTCAGTGATGAGTGCCTACAGCCTCGATTGAAACCATACGCACGCGGACCGTATCCAATGGCTCATTTTTCCTGGCTACCTGCTTCCGGCATGGTACTAGTTTGTCAATCTCATCAATCAACACGATGATGAGTTGAGGCTCGTCCTCGCATTCCTCACGTGCATGTGCCAGCTTGTTTATCGTGGAAACGAGGGAGCTGATCTCCTTGGCTGTTCCGCCATACATATGGGAGAATATTGCACTGCCGTCAACCTTTAGCAGCTTGGCGCTGGTGTAAATATCAGATAATCGGATGGAAAGTCGTTGGGCTAAGCCATGAGCAAGGGAGGTCTTTCCGCTTCCAGGAGGCCCATACAGCAGGACGGTGTTGTACCAGGCTGTATCAAGATTTGCAGGACAGTCATGCCACTCACGGACAGCAGCTGTGAGCGTGCATAAGAGGTGATCGCCAGTATAGTCTTCGTACACTAGTGTTTCCCAGAGCCCGTCAATCGATCTGTGGGGCAAAGCAGTTACGTGGAACGGTAATGTCGACTTTCCGTCCTCGTCTTCGTTGTTGTCATGCAGACTGAACACTGCAATTTGCATTTCGTTCTCGGATAGGCGCCATGCTGATGTGCTTGGTACACCTCGACTCATACTATGGCCGGTGACTTCGATCTTTTCGACTAAGCTTCTCAGTGATGGGCCTAGTAAAGGTTAAAAATTGTTTGAGAAGCTTCCGCTTAGTACAGTTTCGCTCACTCAGCGAAATGGGTTGTCTAATGCGCAAGTCTGTGTATGCTCGGAGCAAGTGTTCACGAACAATCACCTCGATACTGTTGATACCAAAGCCATCTTCGACGCCTGAGACTTTTTGTGCTTCAATGTAAAGAAGTCCCAGGTTGGGCATAGCTTATTTTTCCAATGTTGTGGTCAGTTGAGCTGGGTGTAGTGACGCTGCGCGCGATGGCGAGGACTGTGTTATTAGTGACGCTGGCAGGTTAGTTAGAGATCAAGCTGCATGGCATGAAACTATGCGCACGAGTTTCCGACAGAGTCGAGGGTCAAAGTGAGGGTGAGGATAAGGCCTGGAGGGACAAAGGCAGGGCGATGGTTAGCGCCCCCTAGCGCCAGCTAGCTGCATCATGACGAAAGGAGCAGCGGCGGTCTGCGCGCCTCCCCAGAAGACAGCCATGTACACACCGTACTTTGGTATTCGCATCGCATGGCAGGCGAAGACATTCTTCGGCCATGATACCGCGCAATAATAGAACTTGCAATTTGGGCCCGGATGAGATTCTCGGCACGTCTCGCCCGCGCGACGTTCGACTTCAGATCTACCTCTCCTTAACCCTTGGCGTGGGAGCATTCCTGACATTTTGCGCATGTTGTCCACGGCTTCTTGTGCTTCAAAGCTAATTCGTGCTTGTAGTTTCTGCGGCCCCGATGGAAAGGTCTTTATGCAGCGCGCAAGAAGCAGAACGACCTTGCAACCTCCCTCCCCGAACTTCCCGACAGCTTTTTTGGCTGGATCTTGCCGCTATGGAGAATCACCGACGAGCAGGTGCTGGCTTCGGCGGGCCTGGACGCATACGTATACCTGGCCTTCTTCAAGATGGCTATGAAGTTCCTTCTCGTCACCCTCTTCTTCGCACTCGCTGTCATCAAGCCCGTCCACGATACACACCCAGAATCCAAGAAGCTGCCTCCCCCCGATGACGACCCTCACGACAAGCGGATGAAACCCCGAGCGACCTTCACGATCATGGCCGCCGAGTACGAATACGCCACGGACTATCTCTGGATGTATCTCGTCTTCGCATACCTCTTTACCGGCCTGATAATGTATCTGATCGTGTCTGAAACAAGAAGGATCATCGACGTTCGGCAGGAGTATCTGGGCAGTCAAACCACCATCACAGATCGCACCATTCGTCTATCCGGAATACCCGTGAACCTACGTTCAGAGGACAAGATCAAGGAGTTCATCGAAGATCTCCAGATTGGCAGGGTCGAAAGTGTCACATTGTGTAAAAATTGGAAAGAGCTGGACAGAAAGGTCAGCAAGCGACAATCGATTTTGCGAAAGCTTGAGGAGGCTTGGACAGTACACCTTGGCAGTCGTAGGGTCGAGCGAAGCCTCGAGACTCTTCCCATCGTCCAGCCGACTCCGCCGCAGTCCGCCGATGACGGCCACAGCGATGACAACGAAGCCAGCCATCTTATCCGACAGGTTGATCGAGACCCGGATTATATCGTCCCATACGACCGGCAGCGCCCCACGATGAAGTTACGTTACGGACGCTTCAAATTAAGATACAAGATTGTTGATGCAATTGACTACTACGAGGAGAAGTTGCGCAGAATAGACGACGAGATCAAGGCGCTTCGAAAAAAGGAATTTTTGCCGACTCCGTTGGCCTTTGTGACCATGGACAGCGTAGCGAGCGCTCAAATGGCTATACAGGCCGTTCTCGATCCTTCTCCGCTGCAACTACTGGCCAACACTAGTCCCGCACCCTCTGACGTTGTCTGGTCTAATACATATCTCTCTCGAAGCCAGAGAATAACACGCTCGTGGTCAATTACCGTAGCTATTGGTATACTGAGTGTGTTCTGGACGACACTGTTGGTCCCTATTGCAGGTGCTCTGAACATCTGTTCCATTCAGGAAGTCTTTCCCAGTCTTGCCGAAGCTCTAGATCGTCACCCAAACCTTCAGTCCCTCGTCAGCACTCAACTACCGACATTAGCGCTCACACTCATCACCGTGACCGTGCCCTTCCTTTACGACTGGCTGGCAAACATGCAGGGCATGATATCACAAGGTGATGTTGAGCTGTCTGTAATTTCCAAGAATTTCTTCTTTGTCTTCTTCAACTTCTTCATCTTATTCACCATTCTCGGAACTGCATCTGGCTTCGTGGCGCGGTGGTCCAAGTTTGCTGAGAAGCTTACAAGCGCTACGCAAATTGCTTATGCCTTAGCTCAGTCGTTATCTGATCTCCTTGGTTTCTACACGAATTTTATAATTCTCCAAGGATTTGGACTCTTTCCGCTACGATTGATGGAATTCGGCGCGCTGTCACTCTACCCGGTCTATCTAATAGGGGCTAAAACTCCACGAGGTAAGCTTTTTCAAAACAGTATCGGGGCTCGTCTAATTCCGTTCAGATTATGCAGAACTCGTTCAGCCCCCGGTCTTCAGCTATGGCTTCTTCCTGCCGCAGACAATCCTCATTTTTATCATCTGCATGGTGTATAGTGTGCTGCGGGATTCTTGGCAGGTCTTACTGACTGGCCTGGCGTATTTTATGATAGGTCACTTCGTTCACAAGTATCAACTACTCTACGCCATGGAGCATCGTCAACATTCTACCGGTCGAGGATGGACAATGATGTGCGATCGCATCATCGGTGGTGCCGTGCTTTTCCAGATCACAGTGGCTGGCCAGTTGGCCTTGCAAAAGGCTTTCAAGCGAGCAGCCTTGGTAGTACCACTGATCATTGCCACTCTCTGGTTCTTTTACGTGTTTGCGCGCACCTATCGACCACTCATGAAATTCATTGCTTTGCGCAGTCTTCGTAGTCCAGAGCCTACAGGCCTTGGGCGTGACGTTCAAGAAGAAGCCGTATCCTCAGGAAGAATTGGACAGCGAGCAGTTGGGCGACTTACGCTAGACGAAGCTAGGGAGCGCGGACAGAGATTTGAGAATCCTTGCCTGAAAATGCCGTAAGTACGTTGTTGATTGATGTGTGATAAGTTTGCTGATCGTTTCGTAGCCTTAGCGAGGCATGGCTCGGCAACAGTACTGCGATATCTCAAAATAGATCGAACGGATCCTCAGTAGCATAAACTGCAATGCCATAGTGGGCCTGCTTCTCTGCATATAGTTTCCTCATATAATTTGCTACCAGTTGACACGAGTCTTGAGCTACGAGGGGGATCAACCCGGCTCGTGCTGCGCATGGCTTTAGATTACCACATCGACATGCTGCAGTTGCACCCCGGTCTTTCCCCCTCGTTATGAATGACGCCCTGCGAATCTTGAGTTGTCCTTCCGCATTTGAGATGTCTGTCGATATTCACCTGCCACTACGTTTGCTCTTACTCTTTCAATGCGTTCAATGTTTTCTTCTGTGTTCCATTCTTGCGGACCCCCTCTGCGCACGACATCCATCACTGAGTATCAGTCTATCCATCACTTCAGCCATCCGCACCCTACGCGCTTTATACTCATTGTTACGCTTGCGACAAGTGGCCTGCCTCCGGGTGGGAGAGCCTCACGACGTCTTCCCAGATCCTCCTATCCAGAGGAGTTGCGGGGACCAAATCAGAGCCCGTCCTTCCAACACTGGATATCGACCTTTCGCCAGTCTCTTCGTGCACTGAGTCGCCCAATACTCGGACGCTTACTTGCAGTCCGATAGTACACGATACCGAGCACATGTCGCAGATTTTCGGACAGACAACAGGAACCTCGTTGGCCAAACACGCTTACACGCAGAACCCGGACTTGAAGCATGTCCCCTCAAAATCGCCTGTAACCACGATAACACGATCGGATCTGCTGCGTCGCGTTCTTCCGCTTCGGGCGCGTGACAGAACTAGCCGGGCCTGCGACACATCAACACGCGTCACCAAAGGTTATCATCACAGGGACCATTATATTCATGGCCTACGACTGAACCCTCGAGTTGACTTCCAAAAATACATCACATCGTTCTTTAGCAGCAGCAGCAGCAACAACAACAATTCTACGTCAGCGCTGAACAATCCACTGTCACAGTCTCGGGCTTCCAGCTTCGGAACAGGACCGAATTCTTCTCTACAAGAATCGGTGCCGAGCGTAGACCTTGTATCTCCTACCGCATTTGTGTTTAGCGGGCCAAGTTTACACTCTTCAACATCCCGTCTACCGAGCCTTGCCGGCACTTGTAGTGAAATCCAAATTTTACGTCGCAATCGAACCAATTCATTCTCTATGCTCGGCGAGGCGGATTTCCTGAAAGAAAGATTCCTGGAACCCATCCCGGGCGAAGGTGTCATACGTAATATGGCAGATGTTCTGCTTGGAGTCTGCACACCCACCGCGGAGTTGATGTCTCCCGTCAAGTACGGAGATGCTAGAACATTATGCAGCGTTCACACAGGCGTATATGGTAGGGTCTCGCACATCTCCTTGGATCGGTGGCATTACGGGAGCAGCAAAATCAGAACACTGGTTATACTGTTGTTGCCGTTCTTGGACATCAGTGCCTACAAGTCCCTGAAACTTACGAGTCGAGTATGGTATTGTACGCTGAATCTTGTCGCCCCGCCGCGTTTTCCCGCATCTCACCGAATACCTATCGAGATCATTCAACACATCTTCAATTACCTTCACCCAAGAGAATTCAATGCTGCTCGTCACACGTGTCGATGCTGGATGCGAGCAAGTCTGGACAAAGGTTTGTTGTCATCAATGTTGGAGCGGGGTGGCTGGTCTAGCGGTGCCATTGTCGACTTGAAGCGAAAAATGCACACTCACGACACACATGGCTCTCTCGTTCAAAGCAAAGAATGGTTGCTGAGCCAATACCTGTCACGACAATGCGCCCTTGCCTGCAACTGGACTGGGAACGGACTTGATAACAGGCCGGCCGTGGTTGAGAGCACAAGCATAAACTGTAAGGGATTCTTAGACGGCCATGGCTCTTCTGCGCGTATTCAAAGTACTAGCTTGATCTTTTCTGCTAGTACGTGCGGGCGATTTGTGTTATTCGCCCGGGATACGCTGATTTACATATACGATACTCAGCATGGGTTTCTTATACCCGTTGCCAGCGTAATATGCCCCCGAAGAGTCATTTCTATGAGTATGGACGTCTCTTACGGCCGCCATGCGGTTGCAGCGCTTCTCGAAGGTCGAATGGGCATGATTTACGAGCTCCATCACGATCGCGAAGGTCAGCCTGAGCAACGACGCGCTGCCGTCACATCTCATGGTGAAAAAGCGGATGGAACTGCACAAAAACACCTCTCTGGCACGCAGGAGCGCGAGCTCGATTCCTTCCAGGCAATTGATGTACACTCTCACAATGAACACGTCGGCCTCGAGGGGTTACACGACCAGCATTCCCATGATCGCAATCTTATCACTTCAACATGGAACCTCAACATGCGAAGTCCTTCGAAAGACCCAGTTGTGCCGGTGTCTAGAGTTGGCAGATTGTGGAGACAATTACGAGACCACTCTTCGCAGGAAGGATCTTGTTCTCAAATCGTTCCGATCGGACCAGGCACATCGACATTTTATAGACATTTGTGTTCTGAGGACGATCCGCCTCGTAGCGTCTCCATCTGCCCACAGCGCCGCTGCGTCGCATTTGGCTGCTCCGCAGGTATCGAGCTACACTGGATCGATGCTCTCACGGATCAGAGCTTGAGTCGATAGTTCCCACTCACAGCGCCCAGCGATTATCTATTCTTCCTCCCTCCTCGCCCTGGTATAGAGTCAGCCAAGAAATTGCGCCTCATCTCCAGCGCTGCACATCCTGACGATCGGCCTGCTATCAGACGTAAGTTCTTTCACAATCGGCCAACATTGAGCTCCTTCTGGGGTTCCATTGGTTTCGAATCGACGTCGAATCGAAGAGGGTGTGATCACTATCATGCTGTTCCGCTGAGCGATGGTCACCACGTGCTCTTCATCGATCCGTTGACCGATAAATTGATACTAGGATGCGACGCGCCACTTGGTGGACCTACAAAATTATTGCGCAAGATGGTCTTTGTCCCTCCGGATGATAAAGTGATACCCAGATTGTATGCAGCTGCTGCAGATCTCTCTAATGGCGCCATCATTGTTGCCGTATATGGGGACGCAATTATGCTCTACAATGTACCTCCTGATATCGTTCTCTATTCACGAGCAGAGCAGAAAGGTGATAATACGGATAGAGATGACTTGAATCCATCCGCGGTAAGCGCCAAATCTGTGAATCATTGGCTCAATTGGTGGGACGTACCTCTGACTTCCGATGTCGCGGCCTATGCCGATCCCGAGGACCCCAACTCACCATGGCCCATCGCCCTCGGCGGTACCGAAGTAGATCAGCTCAAGGGTATTTGCGAAATCTCAGTCCAGACCCAACCCGACATTACCATCCGGGCCTTCACGCACTCATCGCAGTGCATATCGTGGCGTTTCCACAACTACGTGGACCCAGTTGTTCGAACGAAGCAATACGTATGCCGAGACGGTATCGTGCATGATCTGTGTTCCATTGACCAGAGCGGGGACATCATCATGCAAGATGCGTCAGGACCTACCTTGAAATGTAGCACGATCAATACACCTGTTGGAGGTCACAACGATGAGCGTACAAAGGCTGAGCGATCGGACATGCTCGGCTTTGATGGCAATGCATCAGGAGTGATGAAGCGAATGCCCAAAGTCCTTGCTGTGGAGAATGACGATTGGGTGGATCTTGTCGATGTGAGGGGCTGTTCTGATGCGTGGTATGATGGTGATGGAGACGTGGTCATGCTCTATGACGATTGAGTCCACCCTATGTCAGCCGCAAAAAGCCCTACAGTGTCCATCTCTATTGCTACAAAGACCTTTATATCACAAAATAGATGTGCCCTACTTGCTCTGAGTCGCCAAAGCTGTGTCACATGCATTCAATTGTCTCACTTCTGCTTTGTCCCATGGGACGCTTTGTGTTCGTGTTGTGGGCAAGGTTATGTCTAGCTTCTACCCGTTGTAAAGTCCCTCGATAGTACTATGCGCTGCAGGAGTATTACTGACATTTTCTGAATCGGATGCTATATGTTTGCGCCGTATCTTGGTATTAATTACCTTTTGAGTGAACGCATTCAGAAGATACATGGCTGTAGCAACCTCGAGGATCAAATTCATAGGTACCATACAGCTTGTAGCGTGTAGCGTCTTGTGTCTTTTTCACTAGACTCATAGCGGAAATCAAAAGGGACTTCGCCTTGCAAAAGAAAAAGGGAGACAGAGAAACAAGCTTGGAAACCAATAATTATGCCCCATCGTGTCCAAGATGTCAGATGCGTTACAAGACCGACAAGTTGATAGAAGAGCTGAGAAGGCCTGGGTCATGCGTACGTCTCTCTGAAGAGGCGGATCGACATGTCCGTATTCCACGAACATGTCGAACTGCGCTGCGCGCCAAATTACATGCGTTCATGGGTATAAAGCGGGCCAAGAGAATCGAAATGGTGATCATGGTAGAAGGAAATACGATCAAACGGTAAAATGAGAGAAGCCTGAGGTCGGTCCAAGGAAAAGATCCCACGTTGTGCCCTTATGTTGTTGCTAGCGTAGAGTTTGCTCAGCATCCGCCTAGCTGATGACGTGACGTTCATGCTACTGTGGTGGACATATGTTCCAGTTCGTTCGAGGCGAACCTATCGGGTCGCGGTGTAGCCGCGGTTATGGTTGTATTGTGCCTGGGTGGCTGCGTTCGCAGCAGCCGCTCCGGTCAAGGATTTCCATGCCACTTCAGCAGCTTCTTCGCGCGACTGCTCAAGGTAGCGATAGTCTCTCCAGAGATGTGCTCGGTATTCGCGACCGTGTACGAAGACGCTGCTGGACCATGCTGTTCTTATGCCTATGTGCTTGAGTCAGAGACAGACTAATGTTGCTACGGGGGAGGGATGCAAACCTCGAGGGTCGGAGTAATCCTGGAACTGCGGCTGCGCTATCTGCTGGGTAGCGCAGTAGTCTGCAACATTTAGCTTTGGTCAACAGTGGTGCAGAGGGTCCTACGCTGAAGCTTCTGGACATAGGTCTCGGATGCTGCCATGCTGAAGGGATCAGGGACGGTGAATGCTGGTGGAATATTCAGGTAGCGACGACAGAGTGGGGTGAATGACCTTGCAGGTGGGTCTGGTAGAACTCAAGCTGGCACAGAGCTGGCAAGTTTGGAAAGACAGTGTTCTCGGGGAAACCATGCTCGCTGTTTATACTCCGAACATGCTATTTGAGAGCCTCATTTCTGGCATCATAAGGGCGTCGCCAGCGCTTTTGCCACATTATCACCCTGCAAGAGTATTCTCTGCAGCCGTGTGGTACACAGTCCAGATGGAGCATGATCAGGGGTTGCTGCCATGTTGCGCTGGCAGGTCTTTCGGTTTCTCATTGGCCCACAAATATGACAATGGGCAAGCAATTGCGGGGGAAGCGAGAAACAGGAAGCAAAAAAGAAGTGCTGCTGTGCTGAATCCAGGTAACGCATTTATGACTTGCGCCAATATTCTTGAAGACCATTGCGTCGGGAAGAAAAGACCAATGAGCAGCAATGGCCTGGGCAAAGCGATGTAGCTGGTGGCCACGAGTAGTTTGGGATGAACGATGTGCTGGCACTGAAAGACGCCTGCGAGGCTAGTTTCTGCAGACCGAGACTGCAATGACAGCTGGCCACGAGGGTCTCGTTGGCTGCGGCGTTCGGACCGACCGGTTACGGTAAAGTACATGAGCGGAGGCGGAAGCGGCACGGCTCGATGCCAGGCAGCCAGGACACCACCCAAAGGTGCGTCATCCCCACGCCTTGCTTTGTTCAGTGTCACCTGCAGAGTGAAATGTGTCGGCTTCGGCATATGGACCCAGAAATGCAGAATGATCTTGCTCTCATTGGATTCCCGACTTTCGAACAAACATGTCTGACGCTTGTCCCTGACGCGAACGCATCAGCCCTAGATATGCTTGTCGAGATGACAGACAGAATGTAACGCACTGAAGCGTGGGCTACCGGTATAGGCTGATCGTGTGCGTGCCCCTTGACCGTTGCTCTTAAGCGACTGACCCTGGTGCTTTGACCACCAGTTTGGTATCTGGTTCTGAGCAAGGCATTACCATAACGTCTGTTCAAACAAGGATGTTCAGGGATGCATCTCGAACGCAATTTGCATCGAAGGCACGATAGGGTTCGGTTATATCGAAGTCGAGAGCGTCTCGACGCGAGGACTCCTACTCGCGCTGCGCTGGCAGATGTTGTGTTGTTCATCATCACTGAACGGGGGTGCCGACATTGTTTGGGAGCGCACTTGCCCTCAGAAGTTCTCCCTTGGCGTCATTACAGGTGGCGTGCTATGACGTGTCGTTTTAGGGTGGATGAATGGATGCAAGGCTACCCAAATGAAAACAAAAACAGCTCGTTCGTGGGTTCGACCGACACACGACGTGCTGTATGCAGGTTCATGCACGTTGAGATAATGCGCTTCTAGAACTGGTCGAACCCTACCGTATCACGTGACATACATGTTCACTCTGCGCAAGCTTCAAATGGACCCAGACTTTTGGGAGACACGAGGCGAAGACTTTGCAGATTTGCGATAGATTCTGCATCTTTCGAAGACCCAAACAGGAAGGGGTGAGTGCTACAATCTGCCAATTTGCGGTCTGGGAAGGCTGCATAGCTCCATACGCTGCGTTCTCCATAGGCACGGTTCAATGCTGGGAGTTTGAAGGCTTCGAATTGCCGGAGATCGTATCGGTAATTGCTTTTCCTGAGTCTTCACCCTCGTAGTTGCTTTACCCAGCTGAGCATGTGTCTCTCGCCTCGCTTCCGGATCGAGAAAGCACCTCGCCATGAAGTGCTTGAGTCTGACCTAGGTGCGTCCCAATCATGAGTACCATAGGAGGAGTTCCCACCACTCTATGTTTGACACATGGTCTGATGCGCGTACAAATTTGTGACAGGATGACGGCTCATACGTCTTTCGCATGGATTCGTGCCTCACTAGTACTGTCGCCACATTGCTGGTACCTCAGAACAACCTAGCCGTCCGAGCCACCACCTCCGTCAGTCAGTGAAGCCTAAGCTGTAGCGGTTTTGACGAGGCAGCCCAGCGTGCTGGAACCGCCTTTAGCGACTGGAAGTGTGGGTTGCGTTGGCGGCCCTGCAGAAACTGTGGCAGCTTACCCGGCCTTGCCAGCGACCGCTTCCGTTTCATCCGCGTCTATCTTAAGGAAAGAGTGATATGTATGGCTATATTTTGACAAGTGCTAACATTTATGCTAGGATCTGCCACTTCGTATACTCCTGCAGAATGCCACGTCGGGTGGGTTGGCTGACCTGGAGCCTTTTACGGTAATCTGATTGCATGTTGTGTTGAATTGAGCGCCTGCAGGGCTTTATGCGGTATGCAGTGCGATATCCTTCAGCCCTCAACAAACACTCTCGACAAGCGAGACCACCGGGGGTTTTGTCATCCATGCTTGCATAGTTTGTGTTGAAGTCTTTTGGACCTCCGCGGTAACTGTAGCTACCACCATCAGAGGTTATATGGACTCAATTATCTTGGAGGATATAGAAGAAGTTGGGAATCTCAGCGCCGGTGGCAAGATCAGCGATTATCGACCTGAACTTGCACACAGCCTGGGAAAGGTCGTACGTAGAGTGCCTGATTTCCAAAAGAGTATTGCGCTTGGCCTCAGAGTAATGCGACCCACTGATTATCTCTGTCGCGCATGATCAGTTAGGTTCTGCTGGTGTGACTCTATGGTAGGAATACCTGTGTGCGCCATACTGCACTGTATTGCTGCGGAGCCATGAGACCTAGTACATGTAGAATCGAGTAATCACTGCAGTCTACCATGCATTATTGCTGCAATATTAGCTCACCTACCATGAGCTTGAAGGCACACGCATTACCACTGAGCTATACAATCGGTCATCAGACCCTGGTCATTTTCTTCTGTTGGCAGTCTGCATTATTAGACTGTAACATGTATCGGCAGTCACTCGCAGCGACCATCTTTCCTTGTTGCATTCTGCACTAGAAACTCCGCATTGGCAGTCCTGTGCATGATTCCCACCGATCTATTCCGTTAACCCATAGATGTGTGAGTCATGATCCGCTATTCAAAAGGAGATGATACATAATTACAGGCGCTAGAAGGTACTGAAGCATGTGTTGCTTGGTTAGCAGCAATCTCAGGAGGGTATACAATGCCAACCTTGGAAGTAAGTGCTGCGCTATGACGTTTCCGATGATCCTGTTCGGACAGTCTGCATATAATGGACTTGCCTCCGTTGGAAGCACACATCCGTAATTGCAGATTGACAGCTCAGGTCAAGGTGCAAGTACCAGCAAGGAATAATGAATTCCCACATTGGTAAATAATGATTGCTATAAACATCTGCTTCAAAGCTTTTGAATTCTACATAACCATACCACACCTGTACCAATTTCAGCCTTTAGAACTCCAGTCAGTCCTGCTAGTTCATTATATTAGCGGCTATGCATGACTTACGTTTGCGCTAGCTTCGGGAAGAGACTGAGGAGCCTGCTAGACTAGAAGGCCTAAATGAAGAGCCTTATACATAAAAGTTCCTGGAGTTGTCAGCATAGCGCCAGAAGGTCTTGGGCAGTGTCTTTGAGGAACTAGATAACTTTGACCTTTCTTGCATAGACTTAACAAACAAATATTTCAGAAATTTATTTAGATTTCGCGTCGGATTTCGAGATAAATGGTGTATTTAATGCGACCAACAATTTCCGCTCTCACTTATAAGTCGTTATACAAAAGAATTTATCGAAACAACTGTGATACGTGCGTATCCCATTTCGTCTATGAAACACCTGGTTCTGAACAATCTAGGTAGTGATACAATCTAACGGAATGAAGATATGTACGAAGTCGACATTTGTTATTGTCCACGATGTTCCCTCAACATGAACCTTGACAAAGCCTTCAACTTCTTGCCGATCGTAGCACGCAGTAAATAGGAATAGTGTTTCACACACTCGAGATGATAGATGAGGAGATGGTGATTCATTTAGTGCGATGTCTGATTGTTCCTGGTCTCTTACAACTGAGTGGGGTACTTTGTCGTCTCAATGTTCTCAGGATACACCAGTCCGCCCTGCTTCCTCACTTCGTCCATGACCTCCATGATCAGGATACTCTCGTCTAGACCTAGGAACTTGCCTTCTTTCCTACCGTTCAGAATGGCGTCCGCAGCCTCGTCCGCCTCCCAGAACATACCCTGACCTTCGCCCTCCGACTGTGTTGAGTTACCGAAGCCGTTGTACCAGCCACTGCCTCGTCCGGGTCCTGGGATCGGCCAGTCTTTCTCCTCGACCTTCCCATCCGAGCCGATGATTTTAGTCTTCAAGGGCCGGAAAGAATGCGGAAAGACCTGTATCTCGCCTTTGGGGCCCTGGATGCGACAACATGGTGTATCCATATTGCCTCCAGGAGCGGTTGCAACACGTAGAGAGGTTGTAGCTACGGCATGTGCTTCACCACCCAGCTCTTTCGAACGAGGGAAGCTCAAGATCATGGTGCTGTGTTCGTCTGCCTTTTGTGTCGCTTCGTAGTTCTTGATGAAGGCAAGCAGCTTTGGCGGCTGGCGATCCTTCTCTGGTTGGGTATGGTAAAGAGTCTGGAAGATCCACGTAAGCGCGTAAATGCCAAGATCAAGGAGAGCACCACCCGCAAGATCAGGATTGACCATGCGGTTCTTGCCGTCAGGGTAGCTCTTCTCTGGATCAAGGGCCATGCTGTTGTCCGATATGACACGTGCAACAGGACCAATGCGACCCGAGGTGATTTGCTCGCGGACGTAGATGGAGAGTGGGAAGTAGCGTGTCCATACAGCCTCCATCAAGAAGGAGGTTCTTCTCCTTTGCCTTCTTGACTAGCTCACGCGCTTGTGCAGCGTTCACAGTGAAGGCCTTCTCACAGAGCACGTTCTTCCCTGCCTCAAGGCATAGCATTGCATTCTGATAGTGATGCGAATGTGGTGTCGCGATGTATACAACATCGATATTGGGGTCTTTGACAAACTCCTCGTACGAGCCATACGCCTTTGCGTCTGACGGGCTTCCTGTCTCTTTCAAGAACTCTTCGGCGCGCGACTTCGACGAAGAGGATGCGGCAGCGACGACAGTGTGCTTGAGGTGGCTGACCCCGCGTGTATTTGGGTCAACGAGAAGGTCTTTGGTACTACAGCATGTTAGTTGGGAGCTATCGCGGGGTGTGGGGTACTAACAATGTCAAGGCGATACCGCCCGTTGCGAGAATACCCCAGCGAATTGTTTTCGGAGATGACATATTGCTTACGACTATTCAGCGCTCGTCTTCGACAGGTTGCAGAGAGAGTGTTCCAGAGGCTGTGAGTGTGCAATGTCAAATGAAATTGGCATGGGTTCGACCGCGGCCCGCGTTTTCTAGAAGCTCCAAACGTCATGACACAACGCCCGCAGTCGGGACTGGGCTTCAACCCCACTCTTGCCTCGTGGGGGCGCATGGATAGCAACCGGTGCCTAAACATGAGGTGAGCAGATAGGTCATATAGAGCGCCATGATGGAGATGAATACAGGAAACAGTGTAGTGAGAAAGTAAGGTCGTGTTCCGAGTCGAGGTGCCGCGGCCAAACACCGGGAATTGGCACTGACGACAGCAAGCATCCTTCACTCCCCACGTTTGATTTGTCGGATCCACGACTAGTTCTTTATCATGTACACGCCATGAAAGAAGTTCGATCTCACAGAAGATATCCAACATTGTGCGGTAAACGCTGTGACGTGTAAAATAAGACGATAATTCTCACGAGCGTCCCGAGGTCACCATGGCCTTGCTGACAACTAAACCCAGCCTTGGATTTTGTTCTTGGCTAGCCCATATTGTTCGACTATCTTCGACAGGTTAACTCGACTTGAAAGCGGTCGAAAGTCGTCCTGTGGTCACACTTTCACACTAAAAGCTTTCGAACAGTGGATGACGTCTGAAGAGGTCCTACTTGCCCTCGAACGTCTCTTGAAGCAAGTCTGGGCATGAACAGATACGTGAAATGACACAGCCCTGTAGCGAATTACCAGCATCATGATCAGTAGACTCAGGAAGAGACAGGTCTATCGCCACCGTGAGTAAGATGCAGCGGGCCACCTTACCCAATTGTCCACAGGCGAGCCCTTCACGCCGTATTGGAAGTATTTGGTCCAGTAAATCATGTTTCCATGGGCTTGTAGCTTCGACCGTTTTGATGAGTAGCTCCCGAGGTCATGTTCCTACACGCCCATGGAATCTACACGCGGCGCTTCGCACATACCACTGCTATAGTGCGGAGCGGAGCCTTAAGATCGGAGGCTTGACAGGTACAAGATATGGTTTGTAAGATGTGTCACGGTTGACCTGGTTCAGGCGCCTCACCCGGACTGAGATCTAGAATTCCAACTGTGCTCTCGGGTTCGGACGCTCGGTCCCGTAACGCAATTTAAGGTTCCACGGAAATTTTGTCCACGAGCCACATGATTTCCCGCATGCTGGTGTGTGGTAAAGTTCAGTTTGCCGAAAAGAATCGTCGATCGGAGTGAACTCCGCCCGAAATCCTGTCAGATCGACGATCAAGCATAACTGAGCCGAAGGTGGCGCGACACCACTTCGAAAATTAAGATTGTGGCGGGAGAAATGGGCGTCGGCTCTTTTCTCTGCGGATTTGTTGCAAGCCTGGGTCGGCAACAGTCCCTATAGGTTCCCAAACCAGCTTTTCTATAGTTGTTGTGAAGGTTTAGGTAGCTCACAGACGGTTTAGTCATGTTTCATCAAGTGCAATTGAGAGCACGAGGTGGCATGGTTTTGTTGTGAATTCACGGGAACAGAAGAGACTTTCTTAGCAGAAGTAGGACACTGTTGTATATGCTTTCTTAAATGAGATGTAATATTGATGGGTATAACTTCAGCTTCTACAATAGTAAACAATATGAGCAGTAACAAAGGAAATAAGCCAGATGTGGTATCCCGATACTCCAAACGCGTATGCACCTTTTGTACAAATACCATATTACAGATTTCCTCCCCGTGATTACCATGTTGAGACTACATACGGTCCATTACTCCGCTTGAAACTGTGATGCAGTCTGCATTATCATCACTCGTTGGCTTGGCATCTTTCTCGAGCTCAGCATGAATCCAGCGCCAGTCTGATATAGAGAAGCTCTTTCGACTACACATTGTTAGCATTTGCATGGAATTGACGGATACTAGGTGAGGATTACCTACTGATTGGCCTTCTGATTGGGTGCAGCATTTGGGAAGAGCAGTGCAAGCCCCTCTTCCCAGCCGCGCTCCGTCACAATGTCAATGACTGGCCTGCCCTCTTCATTGAGAGCTTGTAGGTCGGGCGTACCGCCCATCTCGATCAGTAGTTTCAAAACTTCAGCATCACCGTTCTCGACAGCTTGTAGAATGGGGTTCCATCCCCTGTGCATCTTGTTGATGTCGGCTCCGCGACTGAGCAACATTCGGAGGATCTCTGTGTCTCCGTTGTACCTCCTCAATGCCTTAACCAATGGGAGATGCTCACCAGGGGCGTTTGGATCCGCATTCGCAACGTCGAGGAGATAGCGGACAATCTCGCTGTCCCTCTCACGAATGGCGGAGGTAAGAGGGCTGAAGACACCACAGTTCTTGTCTTCAACGCTGACGCCAGCTGCGAGCAGCATCTTGATGCTCTCGAGCTGGTGCGCACATACCGCCATCTCGACAACACCGCGGAACGCACGAGGGTTTGGTGTTGCTGCGAGAAGCTTCTTCAAGATGGAGGGTTGCTTGACAGCCATGCACAGTGGCCAGTTCTCACCACGGACGGAGGGGTCTGCTCCACGAGAGATGAGCAGGTCAACGAGATCGCCCCTGTTCTCACGGATAGCGGTAGTCAAAGCTGTCGAACCACCTTCTGGGCAGCGGTCATTGGGGTTGACGCCCTGTTCGAGTAGGTACAGGATTGCGTCCTTATCATTGTGAACCACGGCTGTCTCAATTATACCTTTCGGCTTGTGAAGGTCTGCACCAGCAGCAACAAGGCGTGGCAAGAAGTGCAGGCGCTTGTGCGTAATACACTTGAATGCAGGGAACTCGGCACTCTTGAAGTTGGGGTCGGCACCGTGTTCGATGAGATAAGCAAAGATCTCCTCGTTGTTGTCGCGTATAGATGAGCACAGTGGAGTCCAGACGCCATCCTTTCTGACGTTTGGTGAAACACCGGCTTCAACGAGAATCTTCACCGATTCCAACTTCTTCAAACTTGCTGCCAGCTCCATAACACCTGGCGTTTTGCGGTGGTCAGCACCACGAGCGAGCAGTAGCTGCAAGGCCTGGGGCTTGTAGGTCGAAGGCCATAGAGGATGTTTCGGGCCGGGCATATTGGGAGATGCGCCTGCGTCAAGTAACAAGGTCATGAGATCGACGCGGTTGGCTTGAATTGCTTGGAACAGTGCAGTGGTTCCCTCACCATTCTTTGCGTCCGCGTCTGTACTAGCTCCGAGCATTGCTTCCACAAGCTTCGTCGAAACGGTCTTGTTCATGCATGACACCAAGGCAGTCGAACCATTCTCCATGATGAAATTCGGGTCACCCTTGTTGGCCAAGAACAGCTGAACAAGCTCAAGATAATTATTGCTGGCAGCCATTGCGAGAGGGGACTCGGAGTCAGGTCCGGCACTGAGGTTGGGATCGGCGCCATGTTTGATCAAAGCCTTTGCGCTTTCGAAGCATTGTGAACGCGTAGCAGCGAAGAGCGGCGTTATGCCTTCGCGATCAAAACCATTGGCATCGGCGCCATAGCGCAGGAGAAGCACAATGCTTTGCGTGTCGCGGTGCTGCGCAGCAATCTGGAGCATGGCGGCTTCCATTGGGCCGTCAGCTCTGGCACCGCCTTCAAGAAGTTGCTCAAGAACTTGGTGCTTCCTCTGCTCTACAGCTGTGATAAGAGCTGCCTTTCCGCCGGCTGGCTTCGATCCGTTCGATGATCGAGGCTGCCAGGAAGGTGATGTCAAGGGGGAGTCGTGTCTCGATTGTTGATGGCTGTCGTGGAGGTAGCGTTCGTGGACACTAAGGTCGTTCATCTTCTCCTCCATGAAAACCCGCGATTTGGTAGACTCCACTGAGGTGACATCCTCATACACTGGCTCGCCGTGATAGCGGCCGGTCTGCGGGTTGAATACAGTGTCTCGTGTTGAGTGAGTACCCGACCCTGAAGAGTGTTCGCTGGGTGCGCGCCAGTTCTTGTGCAGCTCATTTATGCCTCGGGAGAGGTTTGGATCCTCGTGGTGATGAGAATGAGAATCAATGTGACGATGAGGGTCACTGTGATATGAGTGCACGTCGTCGCTATGATATCGCACATCATTCACAGACGGCCGCTCCAAACGATGGCTAGGTGCCAATGAACTCTCGGTATGACTGGACTTGATCGGTGGCGTTGGAGGAAGATCAGAAGACGGAGGTGGGTGGTGCAGCGAGGGCAAGCTGGCAGCTTTGGCTGGGTTCAAGCGTTCAAGGGCAGCAATCAAGCCTGCGTATCCGATACCCATAGATGCATCGGCCTTTGCTTCGCCAATTGTCCATCTAAACATGGCAGAGCTCACTTTTAATGCGTCGCGGCTGCGAATCAAGGTCGAGCGCATCTTGTCAACATCCGTATCTGCGAACCTGGCAATTGTCAGTTGTCTAATATTGGTAGACTCGAATTTCGTAATCACTTACATCATCCTGAACTTGCGTCCAAAGCCTCCTTTGTGGTTTTCATTCTCGACAAATTTGCCAACCATTTGACCGAGGACGACGAACTCGTCGCTGACTTGTCGTACACGCTTGTCGAGCTCTTGCCCAACTTCCACAGGCAGGGCGTTCCTTGACTTGGCAGCTTCTGTCAAGCCGGCCTCAATAGACCACAACTCTTGACAAAGATCGACGAAATCGGCGGCAAGATTCTGAAATCCGGGAACGGCATTCTTGGCTGAGCTAAGGTACTCAAGCATACGGATAGCGATGGTGTTGCCCTGAGCCGTGACCCGACCACACAGCTCCGCAGAGGTCTCCTTCTTCGCTGGAGACATGATGATGATGATGTAAAGATTGACGTGTGAGGAATGAGTGTAACGAGGGAAGAGGGGCGGCTGAGCTGAGGTACTTGAGCTTTCGTCCACGACTAGCTGCCATCTATGCCGGCGTGAATATACTTGGCTAGTGTACTGAGCCACCCGCTCTGGAACACGCGAACTTCGAGTAATGGCACTGTAGTCCCGCGAATGACACTGGGCCCTGACCCGACAATTCAGACAGAAGGTTTGGAAGTACGGGACAAAGACTAGGTTCGTTCGCCCCGGGACTATCACTAGGGTATCCACATGGCATTCATCAGCGGGATTGGTGGCGTACCATCTGTGATCTAGGCAGACCCTAGATACTAGCGTCTACACGGCCCTCATTCCACGTGCACAGCACACCTCGGAAGGAAGAAACTGGAATGGTCGGCGTTCCAGGTCAAGCCATCCTGCAGGTTCAGCCGTCAAGTTGTGCCGAACACTCTGCTGTATGGCATATAGACACTGTCCTCAGCTAGGCTCCACGGAGGGGTGCCATGCTAACTAATTGCGGGAGATGGCCGAGTAGTAAAAATGTCGTCTCCGCGCGGCGCCAACATCTTGAGTGTCGTACATGATCCGGGGCATGCTTCAGGCTTATGGCGTGCAGCGTTTCTTGCGTTACATATATTCCGTCAGCCGCGGAACAATATCAGCAGCCCTCAACTTATGTTTGAAACCCTCAAGTCTGTCTCATGAACTCCAATGATATGGTGTTGCCGAACGAATTCCAGATGCTGCACCGGCGGGGAAATGGATCCGAACGCTAAAGACCCATCCATTGGTAGGTTTCGCTATCTACGAAGTCCTAGGCCCCGAACGCGGTTGGCGCAAGAGCCCAACGTACCTGCATGAACAGCTGAAAAATCAATCTCGGCGAACAAACACCTGCTTCATTGTTCGAGCCCTGCACGGATCATTTTTTCTTGGAGCTAAGAGCAAGTAATTCAGACCCATGCATTTGGCCTCGAGTCGGATGTCTTCTGCGTACTAATCAGAACACTAGATAGCAAAGTGTCCGCAGCCCTCACTCCGGCGAATCCTGCCCCTGAGAACTCGGTCAAGGAGGGCCATGGCACAGCCACGCGAAGATGTTCAGAAGCTCCTTCCGTCGTGATTTCCTGTTACATGGATGTTCAGACCGGTTAGTTTTGCCAGCCAATGATGTCAACCTCGGCAACTACAGTGATTTGATTCATGTTGATGCATCAGCTAGCCTCAGTGAGAAACTCCCATAGGTGAAATGGCATGCTGTTGAAATCTTGTTGCGCTTTGATGCGCCACCGTGCACTGAGGTTCAGAAAGCGGTCTCTGCTCCAGTTGTGACAGATGTGCGTGCTCAGTGCGACCTGGGCGGAGGGGGCAGACGAAGGCCACAGTTGTAGGCTCATGCTGAGCCCTGAAACTGTTCTCGGTGGACGACCGCGTGGAACCGTCTTCCTCGCTCTAAAAATGGGACGCGAACATGGTCACCACCGACCCCAGGAGCAGCATATAGGTCTGGTGTGGCGGTGGTCTGTTTGAAATTATCTGCTCAAAATGTGAAGGTTCCCTGGAGTCTTCAGGTTGGCATGGCCGTGTCGACGGTGATCCTCCGCAGTGACCCTTGCGTTCGATCCCCCTCGGTTGCACTAGCTCATCTTCACAAGCCACACTCCAGGTCATCCCCGCTGTCTGTCCCTGGCTTGGGAGCCTTTGCGCAATCGCTCGATGAAAATAATTACACTCACTAGTGCCATGGCCATGCTCTGGACCATGGCCATTCGCCGTTGATCATGGAGGAAAGCCATCCGCGGAAGCGGACGTTTGTTATGTGACCAGTGCAAATCCAGACGCCTCTGTTACACAGTACAAGATAGACTTTGACTTTTGCATGATCGACGATTGGCAATGTCTCGGGTGTAGGATAACCCCAGCGCTGTCGGCCCCACTCCAAATCCTTTGCAAGGAGCGCGTCGCTACTATCATGATCTCCTTCGCTTGAGGAACTTGTGAAACTCTTAGCCTCACCGAAAAAGATTCACGAACCGAAGGATGCCAAGAAGCCGTGATGATGCCGATGCTGGCAACTCATAGCGAGTCCGTTCTTGCTTGTCACCGCAATTCTGCATGCTAATGTAAATTCAGGCTGCCAACAGTACGCATGGACTTGATCGTCAGTGATTGCTGCGTGGTCGTGCATTGGTCCCGCGCAGCAGAAACGATAATGCGGCCTCACGACTTGTCTACGGCCTTCCGACATGGGAGATGATGATGAGCATGTGGCCTGCGTTTGGCGGTCCAAGTTGCCAGTCTGATGTCCGGCTCTCCCTAGCAGGTATAGTGTCTCTTCCGTTGAAGTGTTGGGGTTGGATACGAGATGTGCTGGTTCGAAGAGTAATCGCTGTACCAAAAAGAAAAACGGCGTATTGTTCGCAATCATTTCGTGGTGATGTTGACGTCAAGTAGTCGAGGATACTGAGATGGGTGCCGCTGCGGGTTGGGCATCACAGCAAGCGGAAAAGGCGCGATAGCACGTGACGCAATCCCAGTGTGGATAAGCGCCCGCCGGCCGTGAAGCTCGCGCAGTGCCATGGAACATGTACGGCGCGCGCGTCCTCAGCCAAACCGCCACAGTACTGCGCGATTACACCATGGACGAGCCGGACATTGATGCAGCGTCCCCTGGCTTCAACATGGCGGACCTAGTCAAGACATCGCACAACATCCGGCTATACAAAGAGGTTCAGAACCTCAAGAAACTCGTCAACGACCTCGTCGACTATCAACTGGCGCACCCGAAGCACCCAAAACCCACCACTCGCGAGGACATCGACAACGACAAGAAGGCGCACCGAGAGATTGAAAAGCGAGAAAAGTACATCCGCGCCCAACTCTCCATCATCAAGTCACTGTACCGGCAAAGTGTCTTGAAAGTGCGCGAGGAAAAGGCAAAGACGTCAGACGATAGGGCGGTCAACGATGCGCTCATTCTCGGCCTGCACAACCTCAAGTATGAAGAGCAGTCTTTGCGGTCTGAAATCTCCGCTGCGGAGAACTACGAGTGCGTGCCACACCTCCCCCGCAAGACCGTTTCCTAACCACCAGCAGTCACAAGTACATGAAGCTCCCGCTCATCTCCACCGAAGAGTACCTCGAGCAATTTCCCGACCAGAAACACCTCTCCGAGCACGACCTCATGACTGCGCGCATCGAGCACGAACACCAGGTCCGCGTCAAGCTGGAAGAGCGCCGGCAGGAAAAGCTCAAGCAGAAGCAGAAGCTCATTGCGGAAGTCAAGAAGGGCAAGGACGACCTCACCAAGTTGGATGCCATGGTGGAGAAGTTCATCGAAGCTGCAGAGCCGATCAAAAAGGTGCTGGCCACGGATTAGGAAATGCGAGGTCGGAGTCCTTGAGGCGAGTTCCGTGCACATGCAACCTCCGCCCCGGCTTGGAGATTTGTTGATTGTGATTTTCCCACGGCGGACAAACGTGTTGCCGCATTTGCTACATTCACGAGAGCATTGCGACAACGCGACAGCTCTGCTTCGAGTTCGTGCATGAGCTTTTGCCAGACCAAGATAGGAATGTTTTTTACAGTGATACCCCGAAACGAATGAACCTGAATTTCTATGCACGAGTTCGTGATCAAGAATCATGTGAAGAAAGTATGCTCGTGTATTCTCGCAGCCTATCTACCCTGGGTATCTTTTCTACACCAAATGCGCCGTGCCCATGTTACCTAATGCATCCCGTCTCTGTGCGCCATCACTACCGTAGATGCGCGACCCTCAGCTGCCTCAGCACGCAAATGCCTATCCACCTCCCTCTCCAGTACTGGTCTAGCCACTTTCCTCTGTCGCCCGAACAGGCAATGCCACAAGTCGTCTTCCTTGACCTCTTCTCCGTTTCCTTTCTTCCTCAATAGTGCTTTCAGGGGCGCGGCTTGCATCTCAGCCGAGTTTGCCTTGTCCAGTGTGGTTTCCTGGACTGTGGGTATCGCTGTACTTGTCCGAGAAGTCGATGTAGTTGCCTTGCTGATATGTGCGAGACGTCGAGCAACGGAAATGTCGTAGATGGCCTCTTCGACAGTATCGCTAATGAGGTACATGAACACCGTCGTTGGTCGTTGTTGTCCAATGCGATGGACACGTGCAATGGCCTGTAGCTCGATCGCCGGGTTGATGAGCGGCTCACAGAGAAAGACGTACGTTGCGTTGACGAGATTCAGACCTGATGAATCGGACTTGGCATCGAGTAGGAAGCATTCAATGCCTGCATCAGACTTGAATCTCTGAATGCCTTCCTTGTCAATGATGCCACTGACGCCAATGCGCCACTTCCTGAGTGCTTCGCGCAGGACTTCGAGGAAGTCGCCGAACTGGGAGAAGATAATGGACTTTGCTCCTGGATCATTCGCTCGGATCCAGAGGAGATGGCGTGCGATCATATCAATTTTCGTACCATACGAACCTTCAAGATCAATCATCTTGATCTCTTTCATGGTCGAGTCGCTGATGTCCGTGTAGATGGAGGTATTTGAAGAGCCTGGTGTGGATGCTTGCGCCGGGCTTGCAGGCTCTTGCGCTTCTTCCTGTGCTTTGATCTCGGTAGGCTTGAAGCTGATGTCTCTGAAGTCCGAGGAGCCAAGCTTCTGCTTGCATAAAGGGCATGTCCGATGCGCATGCCACCATGTATTGATGCACTCCTTACAATATTTATGTCCGCAGCTGTGTTCGGTGTCAGCGATGTCTCAGGCGTAGACCTTGTGTCAACGACGTACCTTGTCAACACGCCGATCTCAATCGCATCCTGGCAGATGATACAATCGGCTTTCGCTTCGTCCTGGTTCTCAGCCCGCAAATTGGTCAAGTATGTGTACTTGGTCTTCAAGCCGGTAACGATTTCCTTCTTCCGTTGATGCAGCTTAATTGTTTTGGCAAATTCCCGCTCGTCCAATGTCTCATCAAGCTCTTCCTTGTATTTGCCAACCGTGTCTGAAATGTGCTGAAACTGACGGTAGTATTCCAGTCTTTGGTTCATGGTCGCCCGGAATATCTCTTGCTCTTTCTCTAGCTCCGTGATTGTTTTTGCTTGTTGCGTAGCAATCTCTTGGATGCGAACAATGTGTTTGGAGACGACGTTTAGTTCGGTCGCCGCTCTAGTATCGCCTCCATCCGCTCTCCATTGCAGTGCCGTCGCAAGCGACCGAACTCCGGATATAACACCCTTGAGCGAACCGCCCTCAAGCATTGCCTGCAGTTTACGTCGCGTCTGTGCAACTTCGATGACGAGTTCAGGAGCGTGGCCACGGCTTTCCTTCTCTTCGTCAATGTCCTTGCGTAGTGCCTGCTTCTCAGCGACTCGCAGCTCATGCTCCACAAGGGTATCTTGCAAGCCATGGGTAGCGGAGTGACGATCTGCAATGAGTGTCCGCAGAGCCATTATGTAGACATAAAGCTCATCTTGTGCTTTAAGAGATTCATCATATTCCTCACCAGTAGTTTCCTGGTCATCATCATCATCGACCAAGCGCAACAGAAGAATCTCAACAATCTTCATTCGCCAAATCTGGATTTGCTTCGCTTGTGCATTCAGAAAGTCGCTAATGTTGTCCATCGTGTTAAGTATTTGTCGACTTTCGATGCCACCAAAGTCAGGTAGATCGTCAATCGTTGGAATCTGGTAAAATGGCTTTCGGGATTCGACCCTTACTCATCTGCCTCTGAGCTCGGCCTTTGGACTCTAAGAGCAGTTCGCGCCGGACTGTCTTAGCTCGCTCATACCAATCAGATTCGAATTCTTCAAGACGCTGGATATCTTCAGGCTGTACAATTAGTCCACTCTCCTTGATTTGATGATAGGTTGTAGCAATGAAAAAGTTTGACGCATGCTCGAGCTCCAAGAAGGAACGCAGTGCCTTACGTAGGACTGGTAAGCGACCAAGGTTCTCGAGGTCTTTCCCGTCTTCGATGTCGGAGTTCTCGTCCTTCAATGATGCTGGTTCAAGGGAGATTGTGCCTTTGTCAAGTTTCTCTTTCTCTGCCGCAATCTCCTTCCTGCAGATCTCTACATAGAACTTCGCCTCCTTCAGTGCTTCTTCGTAATATGGCAATGCCTGTTGCGCTCTGTCATGTACACTGCCGGCGTACGCCATGAGGTGGCCTAGCTTTATCTGCTGCAAGATCATCTCGCGAGATTCTGACTTGTAGTTTGTATCATTTTGCTCGATCATAACTTCAAGAACTTCATGGACTGTACGGAGCGCTCCGTTCTTTGCGCCCAAAGCTTTGCGGTTTTTACGTCCCACATGCGCGTGAAGGCATGTTTGCCGTAACCTGACCAGCCAATCGCGCATACGGTCGATGACTTCTGGGTGACTCGCATCGTGTCCATCGTCCAGAGGAAGTCCTTCCGGAGTGAGCCAACATGCATCGCACATCTGACGGACCAGGTCGTTATAATTCTGCTCTTCGATCGTTGTGAAGGGGACAGTGATGACAACACGCTTTTGAGGTGGAAGTCGTAGCTCTTCCCGGATTTGGTCCTTTGTGTGTCGCATTGCAATCTGCTTGAATATCGACCTGAAGGATTCTTTGTCGAGGCGGTCCCATACGGCTTTGTTGTTCGCAAAAGCGTCGCATCTTAGAAAGACTAGCAGGCCTCGCAGATCTTGTACGTCTTTGCGTAAGGGTGTGCCAGATACAGCCCATGCATTGCAGCGAGGAATGATGCGAGCAACCTTGGCAGCTTGCGAGACCCCCGATTCAATCATTTGAGCTTCATCGAGGCATACACGCCACCATGATATCTCAACTAGTGGGCTCTTGCGGCGTTCATGACGCTTTAGATTCCTGAGCGAGCGATCAGGAGGCGGCGTCGCATGATGGATCTCTTTGGAAAGGACATTGTACGTCGTCAATACAACATCGAACTTAAGTAGGTTCTCCACGGTTGCTGCCGTATGGTCCTTTTTAGGTGCGGAGGAGGGCGGGAGGCCTCTGTAGTGGAAGACTTTCAGCTCCGGTGCATGCGTGTGAATCTCGCTAATCCATTGTTCAAGAATCGAGGGCGGAGTAATTATGAGTGTAGCACCTGAAGGTATGACGTAGGCGCCAGTGTATTTATCAAAAATCTTGCTTGTGGACACAGATCGTTTGTGATGCGTTATGAGAGCTATCAGCTCGACCGTCTTTCCAAGCCCCATCTCTTCAGCCAAAATACCGCCTCGTAGTGATTGTAGTGTATCACGCTGAGCTGCTCTCAAGTCCTCGACGACCATTCCTCGAAGCTGACTGACGTAGCAGGTTCTTCCTGTCGCGTCTTCTGCTTGCCTAAAAGAGGCTGGCGGGGCGCTCTTGAAATGGTTTTCTAGGTCACCGGCCGGTGTAAAAGCCACGCCTTCTCGTTGCAACAACCAGTCCACAGCTCTGGCCTGAAAAGGGTATAGTGCAGTATCTGTCAAGGCATGCTGAATGCGGGGCGACACGTGCAGATCCGCTGGCGGTACATGGACTGAGTCATAGAAGTCTGAAAGAGTCCAGCCTGTGCTGCCTGGGGCCGTGGTGCTAGGGAAATATTGGGACAGTAGCTTCAAGTCTTCCTTCATATACTTCATCTCCACTTCTGAACTCTCCACGACAGACATGTCCAACCTCCAGCACAGCAGCACCCGCAGTTCATAGGTATTCCGTCCGACGACGGGTGCCGATAATCGACAGTCGACGAAAGCTGCGCGCTTCACATTTCGACTTCTCTTTCCACTATGCGACGTTGCGAGTATAGAGGCGGCACGAAGATGTGGCGATATCGAGTCGAGAAACGAGCTGCACGCGGTGGCAGTGATGGTTGTACCGTGGCCTGTACGCAGATTGTAGACAGCAACTCGGAACGCGTTCTTCTCTATTCTGTGGAAAGACCTTAGAGAAACACCAAGCGGACCAACACCATGGTCTTTGGCCTCGGCAGCAATTTCCAACATTTGGTCTTGCGTGAGCAATGAGAACTCCTGGTTCATGTCAGTGCAACTCTACGGAGAGTGGCGCAAGCACTCACCAACCCGAGAGTCACGCTGGCCAGTTCAACACATTTCCTTTCGACACAGTCTTCGGATCGCTGCGGCGATTCCTTACATTGTTCGAGTTTGCGTCGCTTATGCGCGCGAATTTGTGCCTCATCTTCTGTGCTGGGCTCGGCGAACAGATGCTGGATGCTGTTCACGTTGCTCAAAGCGTCTTGGGCGTCGAGAGAAGTGTGCTTGATTCCTGCACCGGTGGCTGCTGCAACTATTCGACTGGCGCTGAGCACCTCTACCCGGCCCTCAAATGCCATGGCGCACCCGCTGAAGAGAATGCTTCTGGAAGGAAGGACTGTCTTGGAGGTTGAACGCGCGGAGACATGATCGCATGCCCGCAATCTTGGCGTGCCGCTAAGATAGGCAGGCATCAGCGGGCTCGAGCGCCTTCAGTTCCGCTATCAGCAAATGCCTCGAGGGCTAAGACTCTTACAATCGTCTATAACATTAGCAAATCTACCTAGCAAAGCAGTAGATAGTGGCAATCAGACCAAATCGGCGTTGCGAGTAGGATCGTAGTACATATGATACAATAGTTCTTTCTATATTCATTGGACTTGCTATTAACGGAGCTCTGCTCAACGTGTGGCAGTCTGCTCGGAAATCTTCTGGCCAGCACATTCTGCAAGTAACCTACCCTGAACGTTCTTCGCAGCTTGCGCGTACGCGACAATGTCTGCGTCCTTGCCTTTGCCTTCTGCGCCGCCATCAAAAACCTCGTAGCTAAACCAGCCGCGGAAGCCTGTTCGCAGTACTGCCTTTGCGACATCAACAACGGGTAAGTATCCCCCGTTGTATGGGAGTGGTCGGAAGTCGTGACTCCATCGTCCACGAGGCAGTAGACCGGAATCATCTCGTTCCGCACTGAACGGCTGAGGCACCTTGTACCCGTCACTAATCTGCAGCAGGAAGATCTTCCCTTTCGGAATCGTGGTAGCAAGGTTATCGAGGCTCTTTTGGAACCTCTTCTCCAGCTCATCTTTCGACACATCCTCCAGCAATCCGGACTTTGTTCTTGGGTCCGCCCACTCCCCACCAGCCGTCTGAAAAGTATCCAAGCACAAACCAATATTCGGCCGATCCACTTCCTTCACAATGTTCCACACATCCTTCCAGTCTGGTGCGTGTGTACTCCAGCACCAGTTCTCATATGCGCATTTGAAGCCATGTTCGCTGAGCATGGCGCACAATTCCTGTAGATCCACAACCATCCGACTGCTATCCAGTTTCTCAAGTGGGGTATCGCTTGAACCAACCTGCAACATATCGGTTCCACACGCCTGCATGATCCTTATCCAGCCCTTGGCGCGCTCGAACGCATCTCTCCTCCCGTCCGAGCCCTGGGGCCAGCCTTCAAAGTTGGCAAAAGGCTGCAGCATCATGATGCCGAGCTTGCGCTGATCACATTCCTGCTTGATAGCGGCAGCGACTTTGCATAGCTCATCGTAGTTCTTGGGGTCGACTTCGTGGCCGAGCAGTGTTTGGCCGTAAGAAAGTATGTCGGGGAAGGAGAGTTCGACGGCGGCGAAGCCTGCGATTGATATAGCGTGAAGGCGGTCGAGGAGGGGTGGCGGGGAGCTGGGAGAGCCGAGGGAGCAGGTTGCGTAGCTGATGGGGATGGAGAGGAGGGAGGCGTAGTCGAGGCCGCTCATGATGTCTAGCAAGTGAGCAGCGAATCGTATTGACGTGGAAGATGGAGTGAGTTGAAAGGAAAGGAGTAAATTTGTGGTGTTGCAATGTCTGCTCCAAGTGGTTGCAATGAAGCATAATTTTACATGTCATGGCTGTGACGTAGGTGATGCTTAGCAGCTCACCTCGAGCTGCAGCTAGAGAGCTCGATGTTTAGGACATGTGTTTATCTTCCTTACCTTGTATCTAGATTGGAGCAGTGTAAGATGTAGAAAATCATTCCTGCGATGAACGGTACTAATGACTGATGCTTGCTGGTGTTGTCGCATCGAGTCTCCGGGGATTTTTTCTGACGTTGCTGGCGCCACGGCTGCTCAAAGACTTTCGGGCTACACTCAAATGACCAGCCTGCGCTTCGCACGTGTTCAGTTACGGAGACCTTCGGTCATGTCAGATCTTGGAAGTGTTGGAAGACTGGTGAGGATGTTGTGGTCAAGCCATTGAATAATCGAATAAGCCCCGTGGCCCGGGCATGCCCATGCTCAACCACGGCACGATCGGAAGGACTTGACTGTGCTTTCGTCTGACCGGGGATCGATCACGCAGAGCTCAAGCCACCAAGCGCAAGAAGGCTCACTGGCGGTCAATACATGTCCGCAAGCTCAGATTTGCAAAGAGATGCGTGGTGTTGATGCCCGAACGCGCTGCAACAATTGGAGAGCTGGCCTCCGATCTCCGGGCCTATACCGGGACCGCCGCCATACTCACATGCTTGCGCGCATGCGTCGACTCATAAAAGAGTCGAGAGCGGACGGACGCGTTTGCTGTGACTAATTCTCTTCGGCCTACATATTACTCGCTCTCTTCGTTTTCTTCTTCATACCACACTCCTGCTTCGTTAATTGAGACATGTCTGTGAGTACACTCGCTCTCAAGAAGCTTGCGACATTTTCTCTGACATTTCTCTTCTAGTTCCACATCGAGAACCCCGCCGTCGGTGATCCGCACAACTCGGAGGACTGGCGCATTCGCGGCTACAACCCCCTCACACCCCCCGACCTTCTGCAGAGCGAGATTCCTCAGTCGGCCAAGTCAAGAGAGACTGTCCTGCAAGGCCGCGATGAAGCCGTCGCCGTCGTCCAGGGCAAAGATGCCAATGGCAGACTGCTGGTCGTCATTGGCCCGTGCTCCATCCACGACCCCAAAGCCGCTCTCGAATACTGCGACCGGCTGATGGCGCTGAAGGACAAGTACAAGGATGACTTGCTCATTGTCATGCGCTCGTACCTCGAGAAGCCACGCACGACCGTCGGCTGGAAGGGCCTGATCAACGACCCTGACATCGACAACTCGTTCAAGATCAACAAGGGCCTGCGCGTGTCACGGCAGCTCTTCCTAGATCTGACTGAGAGGGGCATGCCGCTTGCCAGCGAGATGCTCGACACAATCTCGCCCCAGTTCTTGGCTGATATGCTGAGTGTGGGAGCCATCGGCGCGAGGACCACAGAGTCGCAACTCCACCGCGAGCTTGCCTCGGGTCTCTCCTTCCCTGTAGGTTTCAAGAACGGTACCGACGGCAGCCTCGACGTTGCCATTGACGCCATTGGCTCTGTCAAGCACCCACATCACTTCCTTTCTGTTACCAAGCCCGGTGTTGTCGCCATCGTCGGCACCATTGGCAACGATGACTGCTTTGTAATTCTCCGCGGTGGAAAGAAGGGCACAAACTTTGACGCGAAGAGCGTCAAGGAGGCGCGCGAGAAACTCGAGGCCAAGGGCTTGAACGCGCGGTTTGATGATCGACTGCAGTCACGGCAACTCTGAGAAGAACCACAACAACCAGCCCAAGGTCGCGCATGCTCTGGCCGAGCAGATCGAAGCTGGCGAGACCGCCGTCATGGGTGTTATGATCGAAAGTAACATCAACGAGGGCAACCAGAAGGTGCCCAAGGAAGGCAAGGAGGGTAAGTTGCACAATTGCGCGAAGCTATGCCTTTAGCTAACAATGGTCAGGTCTCAAGTATGGTGTCTCCATCACAGATGCATGCATCAACTGGGAAGACACGGAAAAGGTGCTTGAGCATCTTGCACAAGCAGTCGCGAAGAGGAGGTCGAAGAACGGCATGAACGGTCACTAAAAAGTGTTTCCTCGCAATTTCTCGATTAGGGCGCGATAATGGACGTGGTTCGGCGTTCCCGGACTGCAATAATACAGGGATGGACGCGCGAACGTCTGTCCCAAGTTCAAACATATTTGACATCGGCCGTTCCGTAAAGATCCTTTCAATGCTTGTGGGCAGTGACGACTTGCTGCATCTGAACATGGATTCACCCATCACTACCCAGACCTGCAATTGAACTTTTGGTGTGGTTGCGACCCTTGTTCCGGTCAACCAACACTTTATAGCCGAACGTTCGACGTGATTGAAGCGTACTTGCATATCAGGCTGGCGCAGCGACCGGCTCAGCTAGGTCGCACGATTTCTCCACCCTTGCAGACGAGACGGCAACGCCGGAATTCCAGAGAAATAGTCCACCCGTTCCCACACTCCGCTCGCGGCTTGACCGATACTATGGCCTTTCCCTTATCGAGCACGAGCACAAGCACAGTGCCAATCGCTTTCTAGCATACTAGTAAACATGTACGATGAGGTTCTAACACAGCGAATCGGCTATCGCCGACCATTGCTATTCTGATCGCAAACCACTGTACGTGCTCCATGAGCGACTGTTCACTGATGTTGTCTGGAAGTATTCGATGTACAAATTACACGTGAGAAATATGCACATCGATGTCACTTTGGCTTCAGCGATCCGTCATGTCACTAGCATCTCGCAGATGCGTGTATGCATCAACCCACTCGATACAGTAATGGCGGACAGTCACACACAATAGGCTTGAAATTAGGTCGTCTTTGCGGTCAGCTTTCGGTGTCTCCAGTCGCGAATATTGCACCACAGTGCCAAGTACCTGCCACAAGAGATCACCTGGAGTTTGTGGGCACAGGTTCCCGCGTCAACAGATATACATATGGTATCGAGCAGACTTGCGGTGAAGCCAACATAGGTTGAAATCGCTTATCGAGCACGTTCACACAAGCAGCGGCAGTTCCTTCTCTCGAGCTACCCGCAGTCTCATGCCTTGTGGCACATGAGGCTTGCAGCATGCATGAATCCGGTGAGCTATTTGCGCTTCGCACAAACTTCTGCACAGGAACTACAATTGAGCCGGGTACTTCTAACGAAACAATTTGCGTTCATTGTTGAGTACAGGATCTGGTGTAATGGGACAAAGCGTCAAGAGCCTCTCGCGCGACAGTAACAGACGCGTCCATCCAAGGCTACGCTCAAGCATTATCCGTACTACTTCGCCTCAAAGGAGGAAGCTCTGTTATTGTTCAGTGAGAGCCGCATCGTATCAGGGGCAATCTTGGAGTGCATTTGCTGGTCGTCTTCCCCAGGCCCTTGGAGCGGTGGGGACTCAGTCAGATGAAGCCATTTCTCAAAAGTAAGCATTCCTTGCCATAACAACACCCTCGAACAATCCCCAGGATTTGGTCTTAGCTATTGGGACCTACATTACATGAAATGCTTCCTATCAAACACTTTCCTCATTCTTGAAGTAAGGCCCTAACGTAAGGGAAATCAAGGCATCCTAACCCGGATTTGAAGATTTGGCCCATCCACTACATCACTCCGCTTGTACGAACTTCGTCGATGTAAATGACCAGTAGGCGGCCTAGCTCTACGACAGCCTTGCATGTCGGGTCTCCTCCTAGATCCGGCGTGCTTTCGCGGTGATTTCTACGCAAGGAGTTATGTACGTGAAATCACACATGTAGTCTGATGCATGTGCGGAGACCGAAACGCTCACACTGCTTCTAGTTTGTCGGCGTCCGCGAAGCGAGCGTGCCGCTGCAGATGCATCTGAAATGCCATAGTATCGGGATGTTTGGAACAGATTTTGGTAGCCGTAAGCAGGCTTGCATGTGAGCTTTTGCCCAGTTTCGCAGACACGCCTTGCCTAAGCACAGACTGTCCTCCCCAGCATGTTCCTGCTTAAACAGCAACTGTCATGCCGTCCACCTATCGCCGTTGGGTCGTATAATATAAGTCTTCACTCAATCAGACCTTGGACCGGTTCCTTCCCCAACATCCCTTTATAACACTCGTTTCCCTCCTGCAGACAAAGCCCACACTCTTTGAATGCATGTCAGATATCGTTTGGCAGACACACTCCCTTTGATACGGCGCCACATCTTATTGATCACCGTTTCTCGTTCCAAGTATTCCAACCAACTTGATCCACCTCAACACCGGAAGCCATGTCTTCCACCTCTTGGGAATGCTGGGAAAGTTCACCTGAACACATGGCCAAACTTGAGAGACATTTCCGGGGCACGATACCCGCCACACCGTATGCGCATACTCGCATTGACTCAGGGGAGGTTGCTGGAGCTGGCGAGCAATTTAGACCGCCTGATTCCCAGACTTCCTGGCCTCGCCACGTCGAGATTGCTCCTGAGGACCTGGAGTTCCAGCACTCAGCTGCAGGCGACCTTGCTGTTGAAATGCTTACCACCCCGCGTCAGCACCTCAGGAGGATTGGTCGGACTCGAGGTGACTCACGGGCGTTCTCTTGTCCTAGTATGCCCCAAGGCTACTCATCAGAGGATGTTGCTTCTCTCGTGACTCAACGAGATAGAGCCCGAGTTGAAGCTACTCAAAGCGGTCCGTGCATCAAACTCTCCTTATGGACTTTGCATTGTGTCATGTATTGTGTCAACAGTCTTGGAGCAGAGAAGGTCGAGAGTTGGGCGCCAAACTTGATTGAAGCGCCCGGTCCGCCCTCTGCGGTGCAAGACACAACCGGTATCTGGCTTGGCTTACTTTCAACAGATCGATCCAGCGAATATTCGTCCGAGTCGGAGACCGATGTCTCCGTCTCCTACGGCTCGTCAACTCTTACGAGCGAGGATGATGACGACGAATCTGCAAACGCGCATACGCCCACGCAAGATAATAGAACACCTCTTAATGCCTCACGACCGAGCACCCCGGAACCGCATTCCTACAGTAGCACTGAGGATGGTCATGGACACCCGGAACAAGATCTGGTCTTGTCATCGCCACCATGGTCCACACAGAAGAGGAAGCGCGTCGATTCGCCGGACGGTGATAACAACGAGTAACTTTTGCATGGCATAGACCATGGGCCTCGTCAGCAGATACATTGCTCTCGAAGTCAAGGGTAGAGACGAGTGCTCACCCCCAACATGTTTCTTCTTGGATACGGCGTACCTGCCTGTCCGAAAATGGACCTTGCCGGCTTTCACCACCCTCTTCAATGTTGCGTCGTCCTACCATAGTATTCCCTTTTCCAAATTGCTGGCGGTCTTGTTGCTTTGCATGTACATACTTCGACACCCTCAGTGCTCAACTAAATCTGATCTTGTACGAGTTCGAACTCCTTTGTCTTTTTCGCATTATTACATCGAGTACTGTAATACACTCACTGACTTTCACTATGAAAACATGGTCATCGCACTGCTGTCTATCCCACAAGGTTGTGCACGCGCGTTACTTCTCACTTCGACAACGTCATAGACGCGGCAAGAGCTTTGCGACGTATAACTACCAACTGGAAGAAAAAGAATAGTTTAACAGAATGTTCATCAAAGCATAATCTGCCAGGTTGATGAAGGAAGCAAAATACTGTGCCGTGCCCCGCAATGTCCACGGGCGGGGTCTGCATGCCTGAGTATACCTGCATTCCACAACGCAGCCTGCTCTTCGACTTGACAAGTGAGAGCGATGCTGCCCGACATCATACTGTGTATGTGCCATGCGCGACGTTGCGATCATCAACGTCACGCTGAGGTTGCCACTATCGCTGCTAGTCCCTTCCCGTCAGCCTCATCGGCGCACAGACCATGTGGCTCCGTCATAGACTCGAATGTCGAGTGGAGGTTTCGCTGCAATCCAATCTCTTCGACACCAAACGTGTTAGTGCAGCATTGATCAAGGAACATGGCAAGATTATCAGGCTTGCAGCGAGATGTCCTCTCTCTATACAGGCAGTGTTTGAGAGCTTTGAGAGCGAAGCCAGATGTGTGTGTGCGCGTCACCACTTCTACAACTTGCTAATGTGACATAGGACACGAGACATAACTTCCGTAACTACACAAGGTAAGGGGGAAATGCCACTTCGTTGGGATGATAGTCTTTGCTCACGCATCCTAGGAAAGAGTTTCGCAAATACCTCGACGTTGGCAAGAAAGACTTTGGTACCATCGAGTACCTTCTTCGAAGAGGCCGGAACCAACTCGAGGCCTATCGCGATCCTGGCATCCGGGACATCCACGGTTGAAAGTGACCTTCTTGTCACAATAGCCTGGATGTTACCCAATGTTAAAGCACGTATCAACGTAATAGATGATGATCTGGTCGAGCCGCGCCATCGATACTCGCACCGAAGGTTCCCGAGACTTCATCGCAACAGTGTGGCCAAATGTCCCACCCTGTGATTGGATGCCATAGCCGTCTGACTGTGTGGGCAATGTTCGATCAGGAGACCTTGTCGCCATCTGACGTCAAACATCGTGGCCTGTGAAGCACCGAAGTTTCGCCGAACTTCCTCAAGATTCCACAAGTTCCATGACGAGACATCACGACAACACTCTGGCAACATCACGATAGTTCGAGAAGCACATGTCCACGCGTCTCGAGTCCTCTCATGATGCTTCTCGAACCTCATCTCTTCGATATATAAACCCCTCAACCCTCCTCCAGAGTCCATCATCAGAACAAAGCAAATCAAAACATCTATGCAAGCAATCCGCACAACAACTCGACGCGTTCCACAACAACTCAATCGCATTAGCAAGCCAATCACCACACGCACACTTTCCACATCACCAGGCCACAATGTCTCTCTTCCCACGCTTCACGCAAGAATTCGCGCCCATCTTCCGTCTCTTCGACGAATACGACCGCCAAGCCTTCCGCGACCTGGACCGCCAGTTCAAAAGCGTGCGGTCCTTCACGCCCAAATTCGACGTCAAAGAGACCAAGGAAACCTACGAACTCCACGGCGAACTCCCCGGCATTGAGCAAAAGGACATCAACATTGAGTGGACCGACAACAACACGCTGTCCATCTCCGGGCGACACGAGCATCGCCGCGAAGAAGGCGAGCGGCCACAGGGCTTCATCGAGGGCGGCGAGGAACAGAAGAAGATTGATTCCTCACACCAGCCGCGCGTCGAGGATGAGAATGCCGAGACGGGCGTGACGAAGACATCTGACCAGAAGGAGGTCGGCAAGCAGAACGACGCCGAGAAGCCTAGGTATTGGGTTAGCGAACGCAGCGTTGGTGAGTTCCATCGCTCGTTTGCGTTCCCGGCGCGTGTGGACCAGGATGGCGTCAAGGCGAGCCTGAAGAATGGCATTCTGAGCGTTGTGGTGCCCAAGCAGAGCGCACCGCAGGCAAGGAAGATTAACATCGAGTAGATGACCAGGGTAGTGGAGATTTGGATGACGATGACATGGAATCGACGGTATGAGGGCATAAGATGTATGATGGCTTTCACTCCTTTTGGCATAGCATTGGTGGCATTTGACGGAGTTGAGTGAGATTTGGACGTTCCTTTTGTAAATTAATGGCAATAACGGAGATGTTTTATTTGAAGACATGTTCATTTGGAATTCCCATGTATTTGATGCTTCTCGGAATGTACAAGGTACGAAATCCATTAGTGCTGTAGTATCTCACATTCGGAAATTTGGACATTATGTTATCTAGGGGTAGCATCAATGCAATGGTTTATACTAGAGATCTGTCATGTTCCTTGTCCGTGATATGGTCAACGACACTTGCTTCGGTCATTTTATCTTTTTTAGTCTAAGGTTTGATGCAAAGCACAAAGTGCACCAGTACTACTTGACAGAACGCATGATGTAGTATGGAGGATCTAATCAAGATTTATGTCTATCCCATTGTATCCCCGCTCTGCAAACACAACCTCAGCCAGTCATCATTCCCAGATAATCTTCAATTCCCATCTAGATTTTCCCAACAATCTTCTCGCTGTTGCTTTCAACGTGGCTAATCACCCGTCCTCGAGTTTTCAATCTTGGTGACAATCAAATCACTCGCGCCAATCTCGGTCAACTTGTCCATGGCAATCGCAATATCCTTCACTCAGCACCATAGCCTGTACTGCGACCCATCCATCCTCCTCGAGAGCGTTGACGGTCGGCGCGCGTCGGCCAGGCGTGATTTTGCGCGCGGCATCGAGTTTCGAGCGCTCGACGTTGTATGTGCAGAGGACGTATTTTTGCGCGGCTGTTGGCTTGTATTAGATAGTGTTCTTCTTGAAGTGTCAAGCAAGGTAGGTGACTTACTGATGACACCCTTTATCCTAGCAGTGATCAGCTCGACGAGCTTGGGGTCAGATGCGTGTTTCGACTTGATGAGAATCGCGCTGGACGACACGACCGTTGAGATAGCCTTGAGACCAGCAGCGCGCATAGTTTCTCCCGACTCGACGAGATCGACAATGCCATCTGCGACACCGAGCGCACAAGCAGCTTCCACACTTCCGCCAACGTATTTAATAATGGTCTTCAACTTCGCCTTGCCATCAGACGTGCCGTTGGCAGCACCGCCTGCCTGCTCCGCTTCCAGCTTCCTAAAGTACTCCTCGGCGAGGTTGGTGAAGCTTGTGACGACGTTCTTTCCAATCAGGTCCTCTGGCTTGGCCAGGCTGCCTTTGGCGGGGACCTGGACTTGCAGCGCGCACTTGCCGAAGCCGAGATCGAGGACTTCTTCGACGCCTGTGGTGGCTGTGGGCGGGACCACGCACTCATGCTCGGCAACTTGGTCGCGGCCAGTTATGCCTAGGTCGACCCGTCCTTCGCCAACGAATGTGGGGATGTCTGCGGCGGGCAGGAAGACGAGGGCGAGCGGGAGGTTCTTGACGAGGGCGATGTCGAGGCGGGAGTGGCGGTTGAACTGGATGTCTGAGCCGGAGAGGAGGTCAAGACATGCTTGGTGGAGCCGGCCCTCTGTCGCAGGCATTAGCTGTAGTCTCGCATCCTTCTCCTCCTGCAAGCATCACATACTCTTGGGCACGGCGAACAGCAACCGGTCGTTCAAACTATGGCCCAAAATGTCAGTCAAAGCCGGGAGACTCCTGCTGCCCTGGCGCGGTCTAGTCTCTCGCGCCAGCGCCATTCGTACCATTCGCGTCTTGATAGACCCATGGCGACACAAGCAAGTAGTAGTACACGACAGTCGTCAAAGCAGAGTGGGGGTTTCAAACGTACGAATTGACCAGATCCATGGCTTATGTGCTAGCACGCAAGTCCGGGGTATGGCAGTACTGCAAACGCGTGGTGCAGCGACCCGTTGGCAAGGTTTTAACGATCTTGTCCGTGGACAGATGCAAGTGCCGACACTAGTCGCTCTAATTGGTCGCCCAGCGTGTACAGTGGAGGACGGCTTATATAGTGACTGCAGGGTGATGTGGATAGCAGGTGGGTTTCGTGTGTCGTTTTGTCGTGTACAAGTTTATGCTCAAGCAGATAGAAAGCAAAGGCGCGTTTTTTTACATTGGCTTACCACAGGTGACTCAGGAGGGGTAGTGCCGCACGTGTGATGAGCCAATGGCTATCGGGCTTTCTACAATATTGTAGCTACTGCTGCGGACACGTAATCTCGAATTGGTATGCAGCTGGCACGGCTGGTAAGGCGCAGCTCTTTCTGGTTTTTGGTTGTTGTTGTTGTTGTTGTTGTTGTTGTTGTTGTTGTTGTTGTTGTTGTTGTTGTTGCTTGTAATGATTCCGGTGTGCGGCCTCGACTTTTGGGGCATGACGTTCGAACATGCCCCGCCATCCCACTTCACGAGCTGTAAGGGCGAGCCAACAACACTTCAGACGTCTAGGTCACACAACGCCTTCAGGCGCTCATTGATCTTGGCATGTACAAGTAGGGCCCATGCGTACAGTCTTCAGGAAATCATCAACAACGTCTTCTTGAACACGCATTGCCGGTAAGAGTCATGTACCTGTAGATCATGGAGGTGGTGTGAAGGTCACCAAGGAGGGCGTTCCGCTGCCCTGTTCTCAGTAACCTACATGATGTGACGTACGACTACTCAACGTAGTTCGCCTTCGCCCCGAAAGCTGCTTGTGCCCTTGACGGCAGATGCGTCTTTCTTCACTGTCAATCTGTGGAGCCATAAAGAGATCGATTTCAACAGCCATGTACATTCCACTCAACAGCACCCTGAAGCCGCCCATCGATCTAGTCGGAGAAGTAGCCGCAAGCAACACCCTAGTCCATGAACAGGCACTACTTCTGTTAGCAGTAGCATCGGCCAGGTAAACAAAAACACGATTCAAGTCCAAATCTCTTTCTGCTTTCGCAGCTCATTACTATATGTACAATCTCACGAGTACGATGCACCGTCAATGCAGTCCAAACCCATCTCTTCTCGCCAGGAACGCCAGTCGTAATTCCAGTCCAAGCGACAAGGGAAGAAAGAGCCAAAAGCTCAAATGCTAAATAGGGTGTGTAGAAAAGAATAAGCGCTTGGAAATCGGTTTCGGAACCCCAGCATCAACCCCGGTGCTACGACATACGAAAACCACGAGAATGCTTGCCTAGCTTATGCGGGTACCTCAACACGGGTATCAGGTAGGTGACGCAGGCGTAACCATAGACTAATGTGCCAAAACAAAGCAAAGAAATCCCCGCATCAACAGCAGTCGTTCTCGCTCAACTCCTCTTCTGCTATCAATGAGGCATACTTTCTTTTCTTCGAAGAAAACGGCACGCGTTCCAACCCAGCTGCGCATACGACGCGATACACCTGCGACGTACGAGAAACCAAGTTGCCTCCGCTCGTTTTGCGCTGAACCGCGGGTTGCTGCTCGAGGTCCAACTAGAACCTCTCTCTTGGGCCAGCTCCGTGGTTTTCAAACAGATCCTCGAGATACGCGCTCGGTGCTCGGCCACCAGCTACGGTCGTCCCGCCTGGGGCATTGAGCGACAGATGGCTAGCGCTGTCAAGGTTTCCATTGCCGTACACGCCGCTGCTGGTGTCCCGTGGTTGACCGAGGGTTGCAGAACTGTTGCGGTTGTACATTGAAACTCCGTCTCGTGACTGAGGCGGGCGGGCATATGATCCCCGCGCTCCCACCGATGGCGAGTCAGGTGGTGAGACGGCAGATCGATGGCTGAAGCGGTTGCCAGGCATGGCCAAGTTGTTTGCGGAAAGATTTTGCTGCCCCCCAACGTAGGTGGTAGGAGAGCCTTGAGCAGGTGCAGCATTGCCGGTTGCGTAGTAGCCTGCGGGAAGGTAGGTTGACGAGCGGTTGTTCGAGTTTTGCACACCACCTGCACCACCTGCTGTTGGAGAGAAGAAGAGCGAAGAGGCCGATTTGCCAGGGGCTTCAACAACCGTGGTTCGTTTCGAGGCCTTGGAGGTGCCAATCGGAGCGGCGTTCAAGTGATCGAGGGACATGGTCGAGTTGGCGCCCACAACATTGTACATTCCCCGCTTCTTCCCTGGCACTGCTGACATTGCCTTGAGGTCGGACATGTTCTGAGCCCTTGCGGCGCGCTCCACGGAGCGATGTAGAGACCAGGCTACGAGGCCACGCCATGCGAGCACCGCAGCGGCGAAGAAGGCGAGAATCGCGCCGACGCAGATAAAGACGGTGCCATCGGGAAGATCAGACTTTTGCATGAAGGCAGCTCCCGCGGTGTCGGGAACCTTCATGTCGGGGATACCAACACCTGCGAGGGTCGGGAGTGCGGATAGTCTGACGCCATTGCCAGGCTGGGTAACAGTTGGGAAATCGCTGTTGGAGGTCTGGCTTGCAGCGGCACTACTGGGAGGTGCTGCCGATGTCTGTGGAGCTTCAGAGGATGTTGCTGGCGCGCTTGATTCCGGGGGCGCGCTCGACGCTGCATCTGTCGGGGCATTTGGTGCAGCGGTCGACAGCGTCGGCAACCCGTTCCCGCCATTATTGTTATTGTTGTTGTTGTTATTGCCTTGCGCAAGAATGGCAGGCGCAACGGCGAGCAGCAGCCCCACGAGGCTTACTGAGGGGCGCATGTTGAAGGTTGTTGTGAAGGAAAGTCGGACCGAGCGGTCGTGGTACAGTGAAATGAGGTCGACGGGAGTAGGGATAAAGGATTGTCCGCAAGACCGCGAAATAGGGATCGGAGGCTAAGCGGCGCGAACAGATGAAGGAAAAGACGACTGGAGCAGGTGGGACGAGATGGCGGAGTGAAACGAGCGACAAACACCTCGGAGGTGGGGAGCAGGCTGCGTGAAGCAGGTTGTGGGTGAGAAGACGGGGTTCCAGGGGGGCGCAGTGCTCAGCGAGGGTCTGCTGGGCGACGAAGTTTGAGCGCCGGGCTGGCGTGCGGCAAGATGGCCCGCCTAAAGCAGCGATTGGAATGCCGAGTCTGGCGACCAGGGGATCAATAGTGGTATCGTGGCAATACCGGGAAAACAATGCAACAGACACCTCGCGATTACTGAAGCATGTGCATCGTGAAACAGAAAGACGATCCAGGGTTCACAGAAAACCACAGCAAGGCCCCGTCACTCACATATGCAGGTGCATTCGACGCTGTCAGTTCCTGCCGCATGTGGCCTTCGCTGATCTATTCCTGGCCGCGCGCGCCACTCGTTTCTCGTTTCTCTGCTAGCCCTCTGCTCGGTCCCGGTTCGCTGTGGCTGCGACCGAACTCTTGGCGTTGGAACGCTCCACCAAAAAGTTCAAGGCTCACTATCGATACTGGCACTTCGTATTGACACCACCACGCTGCCATCATGGGTGTCCAGAAGAAGACGCGCAAGTTTGCGCAAGTGAAGAGGGTCATTGGTACGACGAGATGCTGCTCCTGACACAGTCCACGGCTAACCACCACAGGCCAGCGCGATGCCCGACTGTATGCGACGATGCGCCCGCTCACGAAGAACCTGTCTCGCTGACACCACAAACAGAAAGAAGAACCAGATGGCCGGCGAGATCGAAGCCGAGAAGAAGAAGCAAGAATCCCAGGCCAAGCGCGAGATGTACGTCTGCAGTCCACCATACACGACCTTACAGCGCCAGCAATGAAGAACTAACACCCACCAGCCCACAAGTCTCCTCTGCCCTCTTCTTCCAAGCCAACACCGCCCTCGGCCCTCCCTACTCCGTCCTCGTCGACACCAACTTCCTCTCGCACACCGTGCACGCCAAGCTCGAGCTCGACAAGGCCCTCATGGACCTGCTCTACGCAAAAGCCACGCCCATCATAACCACCTGCGTCATGGCCGAGCTGGAAAAACTCGGCCCGAAATACCGCATTGCGCTGCGTATCGCGCGCGACGAGCGCTGGGAGCGTCTCAAGTGCGACCACAAGGGCACGTACGCCGATGACTGTATTGTGGAGCGCGTCATGAAGCACCGCATCTATGTAGTGGCGACCAATGATAGGGATTTGAAGAGGCGGATTCGCAAGATTCCCGGTGTGCCGATTGTTAGTGTTGCAAAGGGCAAGTATGTCATTGAAAGGTTACAACATGCGCAACACCAACAACAACAAGTGGAGAGGGTGAGATACAAAATTTTCAGGCACATAGCAATGTTTGATTAGGGGTAAACTGCGGCATATACAATAAGTTAGCAAGCCCGATAGACGTTGGCTCACCTCAAAATGGTCCATGCCCATCTGTGTCATGTCATAATACATTGCCATTTAAAAATACATCCTCATCGCTCAAATCGTATTCGTAGTCTAGTTCTACAAGCCGCTCAAACCATCAAGCAGAGCAGTCAATCCTCCAACACCCATCAAAACACCCGCAGCCTTGCTCTTGTTGTGGCTTTTCTTCTTCGAATCTGTAGAGTATCTACTCCTCGACTTCGACCTGCGCCGCCGCCTATCCTTTCCACTATCTGAGTCCGACGTGGTAAAATCATCGTCATACCTTGACTTCACCTTCGGCTTCAGATACGTTTGTCTCAGTGGCGACTGTGGCACCTGGAGATTGTGCGGCTGAAAATATGGCGGTACAGCTGGATTGTGGAATCCTGCGTTCGGTGGGTATCCCTGTGGGGAGTTGTACATCTGTCCAGGATATGGAGCTTGCTGTACCTGAGGTGAGTATGGTCCATGTGGCGCAGAGCCTACGTAGTTTCCAGGTGGCATGGGTATGTGTAAATTTGATGTATGTGGGTTGGGTCCATGTTGATAGCCAGGTCCTGGCATTGACAACGAACGATCCATCGGAGGCGGCGGTGGAATGGGCATCGAGTTCGTCGTCCGTCCGAGTTGTGGATGAGTTTTACTCGGCACCGGAGTGCGATCGCGATCCGTGTCATTTGCTCGACTGATCTTCACCGGTGGTGGAGGCGGTCGGTTAAATGATGAACGCCTGACTTGAGGGGCTGGAGACGGAGGCTTCTTTTGTCGGTACATCTCCACCGTGCGCTCGACAAGCTGCTTGACCTGCTCGAACTGTAATGGCCGTTCGATACAGAAGCACGTCTCGAACTTGGTGCGTCTACCATCTTTCTTGTCCTTTTGAACCTGTGTCACCCGATACCCAGCTTCTTGGATTGCTTCTTTGCACACCCAACTCGCCATAATTTCAGTCCAGCTATTCCTCTCCTGGAATGCAGCCGAGGGAGACTGGTCGGTGTTGGACTCCACAACTTTACCATCGATATACTTCCAGTAATACTTTCGTGTGCATAGCTGCCAAGGAATCTCCAGATCTATATCTTCGTCTTCCTCCTGCGCTTCTATTGCGGCTGCAGCTTCGACTGGTAAGCTAGTTATGTTCGATTGTGGCGAGTTATTCTCATCGGTAGATCCAGCCAGGCTATGACGTGAAGTTCGGGGTGATGCAGCTGGTGACAATGGAGCCGTTGGTCCATACTTGGTGTCTCGTACTGTGCGAGAGTTTTCAGGTTCGCTAAACAATGGCTGTGCCATTCTAGTACTTGTACCAGCAAGGTTCTGCCGCTGCTCGTGGTCCTCCTCATCATCTGACTCCACCATTGGCTGTTGTGATTCTCTCTGTTGATTTCGAGTCTGTTGCTCAGCCTCTCTCAAGCGAGCCTCAAGCTGTGGTAGGCATGTCCATCTCTCCAACATGCGCTCGATATGTGATGGACTACTGTTGTTCATGTTCGATACCCATTGGGATGGATTAAACGTCGACTTGTCTAGATTTGCAAGCTGTCGATCTTGATACCGATAGAGGGTGGTCGGATTGGGCGTGTCTTCTTGTTTGGCAGTGACAAGACTTAATGAGCTGTCTGTCTCCATCAATAATAGAGAGTCTGATGACGAAAGATGTTCATAGGTACTTGACGCAGTCAAGATCAAGATCTGCTGTTCCATCACAAGAGTTTCAAGTTGCAGCCGCTCATTAGCGACAGCCCTCTCCGCTTGTTGTTGCGATATTGTTGGGCGGTACCTGTCATGATGTTAGAATTCAATGATGACATCTTCGGAACAGATGGCAGCTATGGGAAACTTCCGATAATCAAAGTGCTTGAGTCTGAGCACTGAGACATCGGAAAGATGACATAGCGGAGTAGAACATACTTGGACCAAATTATACTCTGCGCTGTGAACAGAGTCTGGAGAAGAACCGAAAGGGTGGCTCTCAACGCTTCCAGATGGGAGACGAGGTATACGAGCCTCGTTGCTTGCGGCGAGTCTGAGTGTCCGAGCCCATGATCGTGTGATTTTGCGCCCGGTTCGCCGCAATGGTCCTCGACTAAGATGGCAGAGAATGATTCAATCTCAGACGATATGGTACGAGACTGATCAATCAGATCTTCTAGGGTCTCGATGGCCTACATGTCTTTTCAGCCCAGGTCATGAATCAATGGATCGTCGTAGAAAATGTACAAACGCCCAAACAACGTCCAACCAAGGTGAAGATCTGGGCTAGGATAGCAGTACAGAGAGCTAGGGGGCGTGAGAGAGCGTGGCGGTGCATTGCATAAAACCGAAATGTCGACATACCTCAGAAGATGGCAACCGATCGTCCTCCTTGATGATCGTCCCGATCTGCTTCAGTGTTGAAGCAAAATTATTGATTGTGCTTGCTGCCTTGATGAGGTCCCTCGCAGCCGCGTTGTGGGACGAGGCGGCCACTCGGTATAATTGAAGGGAAATTCCGGAGCTCCGTGCCACTGCTGGCAATATGGCTTCGAGTACTGCCATCATTTTCGCGTACCAGATCTCAGGATAGCATCGAGGAAGGATTGAAGTGGAGATATGGGGAAATTACCCGAAAAGCATCGAAATCTACCATGTGTGTTCTACTGCCGATGTGAGGTCATGGCGCATTCCATGCAGGGCAACGCTGACCGGGGCCCCAGAAGCGGAGATCATCACGCTACGATTGGGTAATCCCAGGAGTCAGCATGCAGCGAAGCGAACTGTTTGTCGTCTAGGTTGAACGGTAGGCTCGGCGAAGTTTCTCGGATGCAGGTGGCAGGGCAGACATGGGTGAGGCGATGCTGCAATGTTACAAATAACCAATGTGTTTGATCAAACTCTGTACAAGCTTGTCCTTCGTTGCGTGACGATTACCCGCTGTGTTGAGATTTGAACAGGAACACTCAACGTGCTGCTGTTGCGTCCAGAGCGCCTCTTCTGGAGCTAGCGATCGTTGTCGTGAAGATTCCATGCGAGGGTTCATTGTGGCGGGCTAAGGAGGGCGCCAATGGTGTGGCGCACATGACGCCGGGTATTGCGGACGAAGTTGGCCACCTGACGATGTTGAGGCTCAAGCTGACAAGCCCACAGCGCTTTGTTAGGTGAATCAGCCTAGGCAGTGCTCGTATGGCGTGCGAAGCTAGAGGTCCGGTGAGAAATTCAAGTCTGAGGTGCAAGGTGAGGAGATTTCGTCGCATCGCTGGCGCCAGAGCTGATTGTGCTCAATGTGCTGTCATGGACACATCTGACTGCGGAGACCGGACAAGCGTATCACGGTTTGAGTATGTTTGCTGATGTTGGAAGCGTGCGACTCGAGATCCGGTGGCCAAGAACAGATACCGGACGATTTGGGCAGCGACCACCCTACTGGGAAATGCACAGATGATCTAGGCAATCGCACCAAAGGTTTCGGGTAGATAGATGAGATGTTCACGTATGCTTTGTAATGGTACAGCGAAGCTCGCCATGTAAGGACACCCAACACCATGCAATGCAAACCCCACCATCCCTTGTCGTCTTATACACATAAGTCTACATGCCAGTTACAGCAGTGCTCTACTCAGAACTGCCATTTCTGTTGGGTCTGCATAGTTGCGTTTTGCCGGACCCAGTTCCAGTCAATCTTGTCCCACCACGCCTCGAGGTACTGCCTCTTCCCCCTCACGCCATAGTCGTGCAGCCAAGCATGCTCCCAGGTGTTTACGCAGAGTAGCGGGACAACATCGACCCCGCCAAGCGGCTTCTTTGGCTGCAAGTTCTGTTTGGCCGCCGAGCCGAAGGTGCCTACCGTGTTCAGTGCCTGATACGAGTCGGCGTTGTGTGTGTTCAGGTCATGCGACTGCCGCCTGTAGTGGGCGCCGGCCAGTGGTGATCCAGCTAGATATGTGGGTAGTATTCTAAGGCTGCCCAGCTGCGCGTCGTTGGTCTGCACAAGCCAGACAAAGCCGGGGCCGAACATGGCCTTCTGCCGTCGCCATAAAGGTCTCGCGCAAAAGTTTTCAAGAGACGAGAAGTGTTTCCCGATGGAGGGTTCTCGAGCCTCGGGGGAAGGGCTTTGGACTGGGTCTCGGGGGTTTCGGGTTGATGGCCCCGGAAGAATAAGTTGGTTTATGAAGGCCCATGCTTGCGCATGTTTAAAGGCTTATGCCTCGGGGGGGGTCGCGTGCGAACTCTATGACGAGCGCTTTTGCTTCCAGGTTCTCGTACGGTGTGCCTTTGCAACTCAATCAGTTTCTGGCGTGCATGTGACCTGACAGGATGCCCATTGAGGCGAACGGCACATGTGCATACCTGCAGTGGACTCATTCAACTCGTCGATCATGTACTTCTGGTACTCTGTATACGCCGTATTGAAGCCCTTGGGCGTGAACAGCCCAGGCACGCCATTTTTCTGCATCTCGACATGCTTGTCCAGCGTCGGCACCGTGTATGCAGTGCGCACGAAAGACGGTGTTTGCTATACACACGTCAGTATCTCCTCGACCCGTTGTGCGGCCGCGACTGCAGCGCATACCCTCGAAGCACTCGCTAGGGACTGGACAGCACCGGGCCGCCTGGCCATACAACGCAGAATCATGATGTCGGTGTGCTGAATAAGGAAGCTTCGGAAGTGGCTGTCGTCGGCTTGTCGTTTCCCCAAGCTCATCTTTTTTCCTGGGGCTCGATTACACGCTAGGGAGGTCAGCCAATCACCACGTGCACGCAAGCGCCTACATCGTGTTTCACTGTTTCACCCACTCGACGTTCGCGACTGCTTAGCCACAGAAACCGAAGAGTCATCTGCCACTGTTACGCCGCTAGCCGACTTGTACGGCTTCCATACAGCTGCTGTCGTCCACTCGGCGCCTCCAGTACTCTATTTGCAGCTCCTGGGCGACGAGAAGCATCGACGCGGTAGGGTCTGAAGAGCCCGAACACACAATGGAGCACCTCGCTCGTGGTCCTCGGGTGTCTTTTCGTGTCTGAATATAGAGGTTACATGCGCCCGTAGTTTGTACAGGTTTGTTTCTCTTGGACTTCATTTGTTTCGCGATTTGTCTATTTCGTCATTTCAGCACATTCTCTGCTCTTCCTAAATTCCCTTATCTTCCTTGCCGGATCCATTCAGTACTACTCCAGCTGCGACGTCGACTACTACAAACAACATCACCATGGTTTCTTCATCAGTCATTGCACGCCTTTCCCGGATATCTATACTTCTTCTCCTTGCAACCTCAGCACAAGCATCGCACATCTTTCTCCGACAAGCTCCAACATGCGGTGGAAAGCCAGATCTACAGCAATGCGGAACCGGCTTCCCATCTGACTTTTGCTGCCCCACAGGCACCAGTTGCATGTCCCTCAACAGTGCAGCACTGAAGGCTCGCATGATGCAGCGCGATGACAGTCGGATTGCGGTATGACGCTGACGTGCAGCCACCAATTATTTCTTCAAAGAAACTTGCGGTCCATGGAACCAGTTGCATCTCTCAGAAACAGACGGAGTGACCCTCCCCACATGTGGCAGTACCTGCTGCCCACTCGGCTACAAATGCCAAAGCAACATGTGCTTCAAGGAAACGGCATCACCGTCATCGTCGCCCACAACTACACTCCCTACGCCCTCTGCTACGAACCCAGCGTCAGCCTCCCAGAGCTCTTCTTGTCCAGCAGCGCCTGTGCAGATGGATGCTGGCTTCAATGGTTCTTCTTTTGCTGCAGGCTTCTTTCCAGGTCTTCTCATCGGCGCACTTGGTACCATTGGCCTCATGTGGGCTATGAAAAAGCGTCGCGAATCTCACAATAAAGAGCGCTTCTCTGGCGACTTTGGACATGTTGCGCGTCAGATCAGCGATCCAATATATGACCCGCAACACGCTGCTCGGACAGACTTCATGCGCCGCGGCTCTCGCTCCGCTCAACCCTCTCCCAATTCAACAGCTGACCTCGTCTACAACGACAAGAGCAACGGGCAGCCTGTTCATGGCCTCACGCCACGCATCAAGAGCATGTGGGATCGCACGCCGAAGCTCAATTTTGGCTTCAATTCCGGCCTTCCCTCCAATCCTGCACCACCACCCCCAGCCATCCGCGCCGGCAACAGCCAAGACCCATACACTACACCTCGGCACACGCCCCGTCGTAAGCACAGGTCGCATAGAAGTACTCGATCACACCATCGACCCGAGGCTGCGAGAACAGGTTCGACGGAAACAATCGACGTGCTTATGCCAGCTCCTAGCTTCCTTGAACCGCCTAAAGCACATGGCATGCGCGAAAACAGATTCACCTCAGACACCACAAACACCACGTTCACAAAGCTGATGGAGCGTGCTGGATTCGATGACGAGGGCCGGAAAGAGGTTAGGAACTACAGTAGTCCGAACCCCCCAAGGATTTAGATCACGATAGATTGTTGCATTTTCAGTGATAATTTTGTTTATACGTTCATTTCCTGATTGCTTAGCGTTGGCGCTGGATATTTTCATTGCTGCATTTGGCGGTATTTTCATTTTTCGCACACACGATACCAGGACAGGATCCACTCGCTCGCTGCAAACGCGCACAAACATAATTCCTTTCAATATCATCATTTCATCAAACTTCGTTGCATCCAGCTTCACTTCATCCAACCGTGTGCGTAAGGGAATATACTTATGATTTGAATGCGATAAAAAGAAAATTAATGATCAGCCATGACTGTCGCTGCCCATATCAGCCACCGCAACACGCTGGCGGCGCGCTCGCCGCCACCGTCAAAATGAAGTCCGTAACTAGGACTAGTACGACTGTACTCGTCGCCGTCAACCGCAAACGCGTAGGACTATATACACTCATCAGCAAATTGCCTAACATTTCTGTCCAGGATACAGGCACCAATCTCCAGCAGACGCTGACGTCTTGGGCTCCTGCTTCTACGTCGAAGTAGACTGGCTCGACTACGTCTTCGTCACCAGCGTCGTCTCCGGCCCGCCACAATGTACGTACTGATACGGGTACGGACAGCGCCCATCGTCCGACGACAACAGACGTGACGACCGTAGCGGAATCAGTCTTCGAAGGCTTAGCAGTTGACGAAAGCGCAGACTTGGACATCGTTTTAGCGTTAGTAGTTGATGCAGCAGACTTTGCAGACGAGCGACTCACGCGTAGAGTCGAGCTGGGGAGTCTGCTCGTCACGATCGTCGTCTTGATCGTAGTTGTGCGTGTCGAGCTACTCTCGCTCTCGTCATCCTGGCGCTTGTCGACTGCGATCGAGAGGGAGTCTTTCGACCAGTTGAAGGATCTGGCGAGGACGACGGGGAGGCTGGTGGGGACGATGACGATCGCAGTGCTTGTGGCGGCCATGCTGGTTGGTGTGGGCGTGGGCGTCAGGGCTGACGGAGTTGCAGAGCTCAATGGAGCCACTGGTGCCGCACAGGATGCAGGTGCTGGCTTGTAACCGGGAAAGCCATGCGGAACAAGTGTCAAGGATGCGGGGAGCTGAGTTGGTGGACCTGCCATGCTTGAGCTCGCCTTATTACAGGCAGTGGTGCTTGCCTCTGGAGCTTTGGAAACAACAATGGTGGCAGAAGACAGTGGGGAAGGTCCCGGGAGTCCCGAACCGTACGGAATTAAGCTACTGCTGAGTGCTAAACTCGGGATAGCACTGGGTTTTTTGGATTCTACGATAGGAACCGAACCTGGTGGGGTGGGTGCAGGTGCTTGTGATGCTGTGGGATACACAGTTATGTAGTCAGTAGCAGTAACATACACCCATTTGACTGCTTCAGAGGGTGCTGCTGCTCCAGCTTGGGTGGTAGGATTTACGTCCATGTCATCTGCATGGCGTGGGAGTCGAGTCGCGCTCGTAAGCGCAACGAAGAAGGTGGAGAGGATGATGTTGACCATTGCAAAGATGGTTGACTGATTAGAAATGCGTGCGTGTGTAGAGTGATGGCGATATTCTGATAAAGATCACGAGGGTTTATGTAATATTGTGAGAAGATTATCGTCACTTACTCTAAGTGTTGCTTATTCTTCGATGAACAGCATTGTTCTTTGACAAGAAGACAAAGATACAATTCTACGACATAGCATCCCCGGCTCACAATGTGCGACGATTAACAAGGCCGGAATCGAAAGGCTTCACGGGCCATCTTTATTTATCCACAGTACAGTGTTCACAGCGTGTGTTCTGTAAACCACCAACACGAATGTGCCACAGGCAGTAGCGAAGAAAACTGGAGCGAGGAGATCATGAATAGACAATACAAAATATTTGGACGCTCAAAGCCGGAATGAAGTTACCTACTGTACCTAAGCACATTAGCTTTGTCTTACATCAGGGATCAGCTCGGCCTTAAACTTCGCTGCACTTTTCGACGAGAGCGCTTTCATGTGATCACATCTCAACATCATGGTACTGAGTAAAATTCGATGCAGCAGATGATCTCAAATCTAGCTTCCGGCTGATGATTCCAAGCGTCCACGGGTGTGAGATCAGACGTCAAACCCGGGATCCTGCGCGCCTCGTCTGGCATCGGAAAGCATGCGTGCAGGATACTGCACGTGTTCATAATGTCTTTGAAGTTGCGTACAACGGCGTGGGGATGTTGTACCGACATGCTGGCCAGCCACTGTATACAGACTCCGTGCGCCAAGGCTTTCCGGGATGTTCGGCTCACCACCCGTCGTCGCTGAGAGGAGCGAGCGACTAGAGCCATCTACAATGCACGGATTGGCACATGCATCTCGCGCGCACTTGGATGTACTGCGGACCGTTGACCCGTCCCAACATTTGGTGCATCAACTACACACGGTAAGCAGACATGTTGCGGGCGGACGGACTTCCTTGGGCAGCGCTCATTAGGCTGAACGGCACCATGAATCTGTTCCAGACCCTTTGTAGTGCGCCTCAGATTGCGTCTAGATAAACGCATAGCACCAAATCTTAGCCCGCGGTCCAGAGCATAAGAAGTCGTTGAAGGTACGTACATGAAATGTAGAAGTCATCTCTCTGCAAGCCTCGAAATTTCAGTGATCCGATAAATCCAGGACAAATCTCCAACAAACACAATGCCGTCCACCAGAAGCAAGAATATTATCATCACAGGCGGCGCTCGAGGTATTGGACGTTGCACAGCACGACACCTCTTATCCCAGCCCCAACAACACAAGGTGTTCATCGTTGACTTCGATGTTGACGAGACGACATATTGCGTCGAGGAGCATCTTGCCACATACGCTCCGCGTGCCGACTTCTCAATAACCAACCTTCACAACCCAGAAGAGATCCGGGCAGTATTTGCCAAAGCCACAGAGTTCTTTGGTGGTCGTATCGATGTTGTCATCAACAACGCAGGCATCGCCAGAGGTTTCTTCAACGCTGGCAATGGCACCATGGAAGACCTTGCCACAGCCGACCAATGGCAAGCATACATCGACACTAACCTTAGCGCGCCTTTCTACATGAGCCAAGCCGTCATCCCTTTCATGAAGAGCCCAAACAATCAAGATGAGGCCGTCCATCAATCCAACGACTTGAAGCGCACAGAAGAATTCAACAACCTGCCCCTCAACTTACACGGCGATGATAAGCTTGACGAGGGTGGCTGCATCATCAACGTCGCTTCTTTCCGCGCACACCAGTCTGATCCCGACTGCGAAGGCTACGCAGCCTCCAAGGGCGGTGTCCTCGCGCTCACACAGGCCATGTCCGTCTCCTGCCAACGCTGGGGTATTCGGGTTGTGGCTATCTCTCCTGGATGGGTCAGCGTGCAGCACGAATGCAAGGCCCGCGACCTCGAATCCATCGCCATGCAAAATGGCTCGTACAAGAAGGTCGCGCCACATGAACCCGAAGCGTTAGCACAGCGCATGAAGTCGTGGGCGAGCGATCTTCCGGATATTCATCACAGGCAGCATCCCGCTGGACGAGTTGGGAGGGGTGAGGACCTGGCAGAGATGGTAGACTACGTTATTGGTGCGGGCTTCTTGAGTGGGCAGGAGCTGGTTCTTGATGGTGGTGCCAACCGGAGAAAGAACCCAGATATCTAAGACGTTATCAGAGCCAAGATATGGCATGTTGAATAAGTGAGCCTGTCTTCATCCAATTAATCGAGAAGTTCAATCCGAGTTCCAATCTAGTGACCTATATGGCAAGGCAGTACAGACGCGCGATACCTGAAGTGATAACTAGGGCAGACGTGATCAGTTCGGTACCGAAGAACTAGCAGCGGATGATAAAGACGCGAGTATGTATTCACGAGGGAAGGGCAAGAGCATGTTTGCTGTTTGCTTTCAATTCAATTCGACTCGCACTCAATGCAAACTTCCAAGATCGATGTCTCCTCCATTCCATTGGTTGCCTCAAGACCTCATCATCATCCCATCGACCATCCATCCATTGCCGCAAAAAACCATGATCCAGCATCCGTCCACCCATTTCTGCAAAAATTCACCAACTCCAGCTGAAACTGCTCGCAACGCCGCCATATCGCCAAATTACGTGACCCAAAAAGAAACAATCCGATCCATGCTGTGCTCCCTCCAAAATTCCTTGTGAGCCCTTGGGAAAGGTCCCTCAAGCCGGTACTGCAGCGGGATGATTGAATGGATGAGTTTCGCGCTTCTCGTACTTTGCATGCCAGCGGCCCCAAACATCCTCATTGCGATCGAGTAGAGTCGAGGAAGACTTGGTGCGACACTGCTCAAGTTCCTCTGGTGTCTGAGTCGCACTCGGCACGTGAAAGCCTCGCTGGACTTCAGTTGGGGTGAAGACGTCCTCGAACACCACGGCGCCTCCCGTGGTCTTGTGCAGCGGAGCAGTGAAAATCTCCCTGGGTCTTCGCACATGTGACGGCTCGTTGGCCACACGGCGCATGATGGCTGGAATAACCTGCGCATGAGTGAGGCGTGGGGGCGTAGGAGGAGCGAGTGGGGGAGTTGGAGTGTATTCGGACTGCGCTCGACGAGGGTTCTCAACGTTGTCGTGGTCAATGTTTTTGACGGGCGTCGGTACAGACTGGGATCTGAAGTGATGCTTGCCGTTGTCGGACTTTGGGGGGCTCTGACGGCGTCCAGCAAAGAGGGTGACGAGCGTCTTGATGAAGGAGCTGGGAGATGCGCTGGTTTCTGAAGTGTCGGTTTTAGGTTCCTCAGTCATTGACTTATTCGGACGCTGGATTTCTAGGCGGCCGTCGACCTCCCTGTAAATTGGCGCCTGTATGATGAGTGACTCGGGCGGAGAGTCGTAGAGGTCGTCAAAAGATGGCGGAATCGTCTGAGGCTGGACGGCCGTGTGGGTTTGCTGCTGGCCTTTGCGCGGATTTTGCTCTTTGAAGTTGCCGCTGTGCGCGATCTCCTCTGTAAAATGTGACGCGCTTCTTGGCCGAATGAAGGGTACCTTGGACGGAACAGGCTGGTCGCGAAAGCCAGCTCTTATGGATCTCAATGTTGTCCGCTCTAGACCTGGTTTCTTGGTCGGCCAGGGCCACCCTTTGGTTTGCTTCCGTCCTTTTACCTGGAGCCTTGGGGGTTTCACTTCTTTCTTCTTTCTAGGGCCGTGGAACTTAACACGAGATCTAGGGCCCATGATGATCATCAAGGGTGGCGTGTGGTTTGCGTTGCGGGTTGAGGTGCGAGTGTTGTGATGAGCGCAGGGCAGAGTTGAGCGGGAGGATGGGGCGCAACTGAAGCTATTGTCTAGAAATCGGACTTGTACGAGCGCGGCGCACGGCAATAAAGGAGCTGCTAAGGAAAGTTGTTGATTGATGTGCGAAATTGTGGTTGGGGTCAGCTAAAGGAAGAGAGGGGGGTGCGCGAGAGGAGGCGGGCGGGCAGGTTACGTGCGGTCAGGCGAGAGGTGAAAGAGGACGACACAAGTGAATGAGAGTGAACATGCGCTGGGCATGTTTGTGTTATTATTGACAGACATGACGATGCAACTTGGACTTGATGAGAAGTGAGAGAGCGCATGTTAACCAAGGCTCTACTTTCCAGAGTGTGTATAATGAAGCAAAGAAAGGGAAATGTAGCTGCTCATATTTTCATGCCTGCAACTTTCGTTGTATCCTCAAGTTTTGAAAATCGTCAAGCATGGAATGTTACCAGACCTTCACCAGATCCGCTTTGACATGGACGCCGGTTTCCTGTCTGTCATCACATGCACGCCCCTTGCCCTTGACAAGTGGTGGTGGCATCACTGGATTTGATGGATCCAAGCTCTTGCTGAATACTTGCTCTTGCTCCGGCATACTCCTGCTCTTGCAGTGCTTTGGTTTTAGGCATTATCTGCGCTGATATATGTGACTACATATGGGGTCAGCGATGGAAGCAATGCCATATTCAGAGAAACAAACCATTGTTCCCGCGGACGAAGGCATCTCCCCAGTTGCGAATTACGCGGCCCTCTGCGACTTCCTTGCATCGTTCAAGAGCAATGTTCATGTAGCCATCGACAGATTGCAAGTCACCTGATCGCGTCAGAACAGGGTTCAGATGTCCCAACAGTCACATCGAACATACCCTTGTAAACAATGCCGGAGTTGAGCTTGACGGTGACAGGAGCACCGATGATCTCGCTCAGAAACCCACTTGGATCTCTCGAATCGCCAGCGCCCTCTGGTGCTGGACTTTCGCCGTTGGTGGACATGATGATTGGAGTTACGATTGACTGGGTTTGGAGAAAGTGGAAGGTATGACAGCTACGTGTGCTGAACTTGTATATCGAGAATGTCTACGGGCTTGGCTGATAATGACGTTTCCGCAGTCAGGTAGCGTCGGCTATGTTAGAGAGCGATGAAGGCACGAAACGCACAGACCACCTCTTTGCGAAAATGGCAAGCGCGGGCAGGTGACTTCGCGTCACACCTCGCCAACGCTAGCACCGATTCATACTCCACTTTGTCCGTACAACCCGCCCACCTCACGTCGAGCATGACAGACACTCCGAAAGACGCGCCGCCGCTAAAAAAGCGATCGCTTTTCAAGCGGGCTGCGTGGCAGGACTCGCCCACGAATGACGAGGATATTTTTAGCCACTCCAAGGACTTCAAGCACATTGTCGCTCAGCAGAAAAGATATGAAGCCGAGAAGAAGGAAGCCGAGAGGAAGAAGAAGGCCGAAGAGGGCCGGGAGCGAAAGCGGAAACTCGCAGCCACAGGCGACCGAAAGCGGAGCAAGGTGTCCCGCGACAACGAGAGCGTGCTGGCGGGCAGTGCTTCTGGAAGCTCCCCGCAGGCAAACGAGACTTGCAGCAAAGCGTATGCAGCAGAAAACCTTACCTCACCACTGTCACGGCCAGCTGACTCAATGACAGACGTAGCCAGACCCCTCTCTCACCAGTAAACCTACGGGACTCCTCACCCGCACCCGCACCCTCACGTCCCCCGCCCGACTCGCTGTCCACCCGATACGACAATCTCGCCAAAGCCGCACCCTCCAGTCGAGCCACACGCAGTACGCCCTCTGTTGTTGTCGACATAAGTGACTCCGACGACGATTTCCCGGAGCCTTCAGATCCAGGGCTCGCCGCAATAGCCGCCCGCGCCCGCGCACGTATCGCCGAGAAAGCAAGAATAGCTGCCCTGGTCGCAGCCGGCGAGGAGGTCACGAAAGCCCCGATCGTACAGCTGTTGATACAACCCGAGATACCCAACACCAGGCCACTAGTAGTCAAGGTGCGCACTGATCACACGCTCGAGAAGACTCGCTTGGCATGGTGCGAAAAGCAGGGCTTCAGTCCGGCGCAGACACAAGCCGTGTTCTTTACATCGAAAGGGAAACGCATGTTCGACAGCACCACCGTCCAACGACTAGGCCTACAAATCGACGAGTGGGGCAATGTCGAGATCGAAGGCGACCTCAATGTGTACAACAACGACAATCCCGCGAAAGTCTACGTACAAGCATGGACCGATGAGCTCTTCAAGAAGCACCAAGAGGAGGAGGCTGCTGCTGCCACCGCGAAACAGAAGGCGGCTGAGCTAGCGCTCCTGCCACCGCGGACCCCAACGCCAGAACCTGTCAAGAAGTGGAAACTTATCTTGAAAGCAAAGGGCAAGGAGGATTGGGGCATCACTGTCAAGCCGGTACGTTGTACGCTGCTAGCTTTCGGGTAATACCATTAACAATAAACAGGATTCAACCTTTGCTCACATTGCACATGCGTACAAAAAAGCGAGAAACATCGACGAATCACAACCTGTCACGCTCATATTCGATGGCGAGCGTCTCGTGCCAATGGATGTCATTGCTGACTCCGATCTCGAGGACATGGACTCGATTGATGTCGTCTTCAGGTAACCGCAGTCACTCAGCCAGGGGTCTGGCATTTTGGCGCAATTTCTCCGTATATTCTGGTCCTATCTCATCAGCGAGCAAGGCGTTGGCAGACTTGCAAGTTTTGGGAGTACATAATGTTGCTATTGATTCCCAGCCACCATTTAGTGGAATGACTTTACGATAATCATAGATGCATACGCCGATAATTGATTGCTAAGTAGCCAAGCTACAAACATACCATGTTTGGACATCTTCTCATGTCATGATACTAGACAGTCGTATCGACTGCATGATCCTACACGCTGCACCCGTAACATACTTTCAATGTTGTCACTCTGTTCACATAGCGGTCTGATGGCATTCGATAGCTTAGGGTATAGTGTCCTGTTTTTCGGGTAGTGTTTGAAGCTTTACAGACTCCTTTGAAAGTTGATGAAGTGCGCCTAAATTGTATTGTACATACATTAATACACGAAGTGTAAGAGGATGCACACAAGCTGGCGCTTATTCGGCCCTTTACGTACACCGGGCGTGTCCCTACTGTACGTGGCTGGAAGCCTGAAGCGATCTTCGCCCGAACCAGCGCGAGGCGTTTCGGCTGATCGACGCAGGAGTCGAACACTTCCACTCCCAACAGCACGTCAACACAACTGATATGGGATATGTACTGATCTCATAGCCGCAGATATGTCTTTCGTAATTCAGGGCACTCGAACGCAAATTCGACGAGCTCGGGGCTTGTGATTCGGCGCGCGACACTATTGGTAAGACATCTATGGGGAAGCGAGGTCGCGGATGCAGGTGCCTCAGCCCCAGCTTCTGGCCCCCGTGCGCGGCTGAAACGACTCGATAAATCCTTATAGCTACGCCGCGCCACGTCTGCACATTGTAAAGTTAGACGTTCTGTCAAGAAGATCTGCTTGAAGTCGCACAGCCATGTCGTCCTTATCGGAGGATCGCGACGCGAAGCCTGCGCAATTCACCACCATTGAAAGCGGCTTTGCTCCATGGTCTTCTAAGAATGGCCCAGATGATCCCTACAAGGACTCCAGGAAACTTCGTGATAATTACAAACACATTGGAGATGCATACGATCGAAACCAGGAATCAGCGAATGCGTGGGAGATCAAAGAGCCGTAAGTAGAGAGATGGCGAGTGGCAATACGGAAACTCATGTCTTTTAGCGGGCCGTATCTTACGCACATCAAGTCGCTGACACCAACATGGAAGACACTACGATATTTGGCCGATTGGATGGAGGTTGGGACCACGCCATTGCGATGGCAAGAACTTACTAAACTAGAACGAACTGAACGAGCGTATCGGGCAAAAGTTACGTACATTGAGTATGAATCTGCCACCGCGTCGAAAGCAGTGGAAATTGATCACAGCGTCAAGTTGAAGGAGCTTCTGCAGTCACTCTCCTACGACGCCTACAAGGAAACGCCTATGAGGCTGTTCATCGTCGAAGATCTCTCCCAGCAAGTTATCGAATTACTTGGTGCAAGATTCGACATCGATCCTATGTTCTTCCGCGAGCATATCGATGACTACGTATGGCACAATGTCCGCGATCCTTGGGCACAACCACGGAGTCTCATGGCCAACATGAAGCATCGCAATTGGTTCCAGATGCGCAATATGCGCCTCAGGTACTATAAGACTGAGAAAGAATTCCAAGACGCGGCGGCTGGTGCCAACCAGTGGAATGTGCTGCGACGGCCAGAAGACGACATTAACCATTGGAAATTTGCGGATTCTGCAGACTCCGTCGTGGCGGTCATGCGCACTCGAACGACCTTGTGGATAGGGAAGGACAAACAGTGCAAGGACGGTACTGTAGGTATTATTCTCGTCGACCCAACGACAACCCAAGGACAACCGCTCTGGTACGATCGTGCAAATTGGCTTCTTACGCCAAACATGAACGACCCGCCACCATCACTAGCTAAGATGTCAGAGTCGTGGTACCAAGACATCATCAACATGACAAAGCAATTTCCATGGTTCGGACACCCCCATAGCCGTGGAATCAATCCGCAGGTCCTCGCGAAGCCAGCAATATACACGATATGCGCGGAATGGCTGGTGGTTTGCGACTACGTCAAAGCCCGTCTCAGTCAGATCGAGCGCGAACTCGAGATGCCGCGTCTCTTCCGCTCAAAGGGCGATGCCATCGACACGTCGCTCAAGCGCCTGCATACATGGCGACGGCAGATTCCAGTGTTCAAAGAGATGGTGACAGAGACATTGGAACACGCACTACCAGCGGCAGCACGACTGGCAGCATCACACTCGACGCAATTCCCAGCTCCCACTTCTCCGCGCTCGGTCCAGACTATAGTCACGGATAACGCAGTCATCAACTTCGACGACCTGACCGGGTACGAGGACATTGTTCCTGACTTCCGCCGCGTCCTCGCCGCCGTCAACGTCCTACAAGAACGCGTCGATCGCCTCACAGCCATCGTCACATCAGAAATCTCCATCGAGGACTCGCGCCGGGCCATGAAGGAGAACCACAATATGGCGCGGTTGACCTGGCTAGCGACCGTTTTCATTCCGCTGTCGTTCATCAGTAGCTTCTACAGCATGAATGAAGACATTTCGGCGCTGAAAACAACTTATGGATGGTTCTTCTTGACGGCGGTTCCGTTTACGCTGCTGATCATGGTGGCGGGCTGGATGATTGGGACGGAGAGCTGGACGCCTTGGAGGGATAGTGAGCATGTGGGTATTTTTCACGGGAAGGATGTGACGAAGAAGACGGAGCAGGAGAAGAAGGAGAAGACTACGAAAGATGATTGATTCAGTGTGGTGAGCGGACTTGTTTGTGAGTCCTACCTTGTCATTAGCTTAGCTGTTAATACCTTATTATATCCGGGACTTATTCCCTCCCGTCCTGGCCAAGACTCTACGAAACACACCATGTCCAGCAAGAATTCGTGTATGTTCTAAGTGTACTCCATGTACTATCATGTCAAAAGCTATCGTGTTATACGAAGGGCCTGAATACATTTCAATAGCTAAATTAGCACCTCACAAATGTGCTAAGAACGCCTTGGGTGGGTCATGCGATCAGCGTCACTAACGTGGAACACTTTGTTCATCCTACCGGGCGGCACGAATTATTCCAGCTAGAGGGATGAGTTAGCTTGCCATCTTCCCCGGCATCCCTCGTCCCCGCGCGTGGGGGAAGTCCATCAATTCTTTCGTCATGACCTAGCTGAAAGCACGGTAACTACAAGTAGCCCCATGCATGTTGCAGAATGCCTTGATTAGAAGCTTGCTCGTGCCGTTGCACAACGACACCAACACACACACACACACACGTTCACTCTCACCTCTCACAATGTCTTCCCTCCGCCGCAAACCCTCCACCTCACGCATCGAAAAAGCCCTCGACGCAGACCTCGATCCCACCATCTCCAACCCCGACCTCGACCGCCGCTTGAACCGCAAATTCGACACGCGGATCCTGCCATGGCTATTCGGCATCTGGCTGTTTAGCTTCATCGACCGCAGCAACATCGGCAACGCGCGCATCGCAGGCCTCACGCAAGACCTCAATATCACCACGGGGACTTCCTTCAACATTGCCCTGCTCGTCTTCTACATCCCCTACATCCTCGTCGACGTCCCCTCCAACCTGCTCGTTAAGCGGCTGCGCGCAGGCGTGTATCTGCCCGCGCTGATCACGTTGTGGGGGATCGTTTGTTTGTGCTTGGGCTTCGTGACGAGTTTCGCGGGGCTGATTGCATGTCGGTTACTGCTTGGGTTATTCGAGGGGGGGATTCTGGGCGGCGTGATTATCTACTTGGCCATGTTCTATCGCAGGCATGATATGATGTTGCGGAATGGGCTGTTTTACTGCGCGGCGCCGTTAAGTGGGGCGTTTGGAGGGTTGTTGGCGTCTGGGTTGGCGAAGATTGAGGTTGGGGGATATGAGAAGTGGCCTTGGATTTTCTTCAGTATGTTCTCTTGGATACTTGTGTGTGAGAAGGAAATGCTGATTGTCTTACTAGTTGAGGGAGCAATGACGGTCGTTTTTGGCATTGTTTGCTTCTTCTTCATGCCTGATACGCCTGCTGCTGCCGGCTTCTTGACCGATGAAGAGAAAGAGTGGGCACTTCTGCGGATGAGACTCGATGGCGGAGGCTCAACTACAGCAACTGCCGTTGAAGAGGAAAAGTTCAGTTGGTACTGGGCAAAGATGGCTTTGCTGGCACCCCAGACGTACTTCTGCTCCTTCATTTGGTTCTTCTTGCTCGTGCCACTTTACGTAGGTATCGACTCCCCCCTTCATCGTGACGCGCGCTAACAAAATCCAGAGCTTCACTCTCTTCCTCCCGTCTATCATCTCTGGAATGGGATACACTTCTACTACTGCTCAGCTGTTCACTGTGCCTCCAAACATGGCAGCTTTCGTCACTGTCATAGTGACAGCATACTACTCCGACAAGGTGAAGAATCGAGGCTATTTCATCATTGGTGGCGCAATTGTAGGCATATGTGGATACATCATGCTTCTCGTAGCAAAGACGAACGCTGTGCGCTACGCTGGGACTTTCCTCGTTGCAATCGGTGTTTTCCAAGGCTCGCCTATGATCATGGTATGTGTCAGCCCTTTTACCATTGTCCACACATCTAACAACAAACCCAGGCCTGGATCTCTAACAACGTCGCGCCGCACTATGTCCGCGCCGTTGCAGTTGGCATGGTGATCTCAATAGCAAACTGCTCAGCCTTCATAGGTACCTTCATCTACCTCCAGCGTGATTCACCAAAGTACGTTCTGGGCCATGCGGTGTCCTTGGGGGCATTGGTACTCACAGTGATTCTTGCGGGTGGACAGATTATGTACCTGCAATGGGAGAACAAGAAGCGAGATAGAGGTGAGCGAGATGATCGTCTTTGTGAGGAGAATGAAGGAAGGCTGGGTCATCAACATCCAAACTTTAGATACACGCTGTAGACTTTACTGTCAACTCTGAGAACTACCCAAGGGCATACATACCAAGCCGTACAATATCAAGGTTGTTCTGATAACTCATAACCTGCCACCACCCTGTTGAACCTATTCAGGCTCGTATACAAGAGGACATGTCTTCCCTCATAGTACTTTGAGTTTGACCAGAGCATGCACGAATAATGGCAGCACCTGGAGACGGGAATGAAGTAGACCGCGACAGAATGAAATTGGTAGTGGGATATCGAAAAAAGGAATATCATACACGAAAAAAGCTCGCTTCCGCTAAACTATTCCACAATCTCCAATTCTCCCTGCCTGTTCCTGGCAAACGTGTCCTTGTGCTCTTCCCACATTCTCAGCAACTCATTCATGTACTTTTCGTGAACCTCGTTGATGTGCTCGTTATCCGGGTGTTTGTCCTGCACCACGCGGATCGGCTTACCAACGACGATGTTGATGGGCCTTCGGTAGGGCATCATGCCCACATCGTAGTTAAAGATGCCTCGAGCATGGAAGATTGGTATCGTGAAGCCCATGACCTTCTTGACCAGCAATTGGAACTTGTGTACGTAAGGGTGTGTGTCGGTGTCGAGTTGGTCGTAAACATCGTTTTCGCCAAAGGCGAGAACGGGGACGAGGTCAGCGCCGGTACGAATGGCCATCTTGACGAACCCCTTGCGCCTTCGCAGTACGAGGCGGATGGTTCCGGGACACGCATCGAGCGACTCGCGAGCACCACCTACAACGATTGTGATGGCGCGACCCATTCCCTCACCATTCTGGCCTCCCTTGGACAGGATGTTCTCGCAGGATTCGCGCGACACGGATGCCATGCCGAGACGGAGGGCATACTCGCGGTAGATTGGGTAGCGGAAGTTGGAATCGAGGGTGAGAAGGGCGTTGGTGATGCCAGGGAACAGCTGGGAGAAGCCCAGGGCTTCCGTCGCGAAAGCAGCGAATGCGCCGTGGGAGATGATGCCGTGGGGATGGTACCCGAAGATGTACTTGCGGGTGGGCTCGAGCTCCTGCGATCGGTGCAGACGGGCAGGGAAGTAGGAGGCGAAGAGCGACCAGATGGGCAGGCGTCGCAGGCGCTCGCTGCGGAAGGAAAGCTCGCCGGACGTGCCGGCGTTGGAGAAGAGGACGTAGACGGTGTAAGGGAGGAGTATGGGCCACAGCAGCGGTATGCTGCAGAGGAAGAAGAATATGGCCAGACCGCCGACGATGCTGAGCGTGTGCATGAGGACGGCTGCGGTCTGGAGGCGGCGTTGGAGGGGCACGTTCATGGGCGCCCAGCGCATCCTGTGACGGTTAGTTGCTGGTCGTACTACTGCAGTCGTCTTCAACGTACTTGCTCGTTGCCCACCCCGCACCGGCCTGTCGCCCGGACTTGAGCTCAGAGTTGCGGCGCTTCATGTCCTGCCTGCGGTCCTTCTCCAGCTCCCGGGAGCGGCTTCACGCTCACCAGTGCCTCGCCATTGCCGTTGGGATGCTTCTCGAACACCTCCGTCTCCAATTGGAATCCGTCGTTGATCTGCTCGCCGTGCTTGCGTCCGATGGAGCCATGCGAGCTGCGCGAGTCCTTCCTACGGTGTCCACGGGGTGTCGGGCTTCTGGGCGACTCGTCTTGGCCAACGCCTTCAAGCTTCTCCGCTTCTTCTTTCGAGGATTTCTTGGTGTAGCCATTGGTTTTGATGGCCGTCGACATGAGTCTTCAGCGGATATCAGGTGTGTTCGACAGAGACCATCGCATCCGTGGGCATATGATTTTGGCTCGAGCGCTTTCTTCGGCAGCGTCGGCGTTACGACTTGGGCGGGAGATTGAGCTCGGCCGCGCTCCTCCAGAGCGGCAGGCTCGGGGTTCAGCGACATGGCGGCCGGACGTGATGGGCGAGAATGGGTGCTAGAAGTGAAGAGGCGGGCTACGAGGACATGGTGCGAAGTGATGCGAAGTGGTGCGAGGTGGTGCGAGGTTTTGTTGGGGTGAATGGAATGACCTAGGTGTGGGCTTTCATGAGCTGCGACGCGGACATGACATCACATTGTGGCTGTTTCGGAACTCGCCCGGAAGCTGCGAACGGCGCACTCAGCCCAAAAGCACGTAAATAAAATCAATATCCAATTGAGTTTCGACATCCCCTTGCATGTGACGCTTGGCTTCGACTCGACCCTGATCGCCTCATGGTTTGCATGCACCCAGGAATGGTGTAGCTCGTTGTGCATCAACAACACCATCTCTCCCACCTTCGCCACTCCCTGATTCGCCAGTTCAAGCACATGTTCCTACTCCGTGCCATGACTAATCCTGCCTTCTTGCCTTTAACATTCGAGACGCTCCTTCCGCCTGACTGAATATCACGGCTGCCTATCTGAAGTGACAATTATGCCTCACCAGCAGCAAAACCAACCATGTCGTTCCAGGCTACGCCAGCGCGCTCATCGCGCATCACCAAACCAAGGAGAACAAGCGCCGCTGCTACACTAGGGCTGAAGCGATCCACGTCCTCACCATCCAAAGCTAGTCCACGGAAGCGGTCCTTACCATCTGAGCAATCTATCCAGTACGACGACGATGAAGAGTTGGACGATACGGGCATTATAGCATCACTTGCCGATGATCTCAACCTTCGCGATGTTCCCCAGTATATGGAGTACATCCGCAACCGTATGTTTAGTGATATGCCAGAGAAAGCTGGTATGAACTCGACCAGGATAGCCGAAGTACTCAACTTCCGGAGAAGACTCCCGCCTTTTGTAACCATAGCACACATTGACGCGCTGAGCGCTTCATCCACGAGGATCGAACGGGAAATTGCGGAGCTTGCACAAGCAGGCATCGTGCGGCGCGTAACAATCCCAAATCGCGGTGCTGGTGCAGCAGCCGTTGGTGATGGTATCGCAAGCGTAAGAGAATGGCAAGCACTTGTCCGGGCACATGCAGAGCTACCCGAAGAGCTTAAGGGTACGTCGCCCATGTTCACGACATGGAGTCTTCAGGTGGACTAATCTTGAAGCAGAGAAATATATTTCCCTCCTGAATGCGAACCCCAGCTCTGCATCAATTTCCGGCATAGCCTTCAAACCAGCTGAGCTCTCCGCCTTGACCGGCGTAGGCCTCCTCACATCAGTTAATCTCACATCGACTTCATCATACTTTGGATCTCCAGGCTCCAGTTCTCTGACGGCAATATCGTCATCCGGTTCGCGCCATTTTGCAGGCTCATTGGAAGCCGTAGGCGGCGCTTCAGCAACCCAACACATTCATGGCGGCACATCACTCAACTCTTCTCGAGCAACGCTAACCTCTTACAACTTCTCCCTCCCAAACACCGGCACGCACATCAAACTCCTCGTTGAAGCACGAAACCATCTTCTTGGCATCTTGAAGAAGACCAAGTACAAAGAGATGCCACTCGACATCCTGAAAGAGAAATGGGATGGCGGTGTTGTGGTGCATGGCGAGCGCGAAGACAGGAAGAAGGCAAGGGGAGAGTTCGCAGGCGTGTTACCTGGGCGCACAAAGAAGTGGAAGACATTCTACGGCATGCGCTTCGAATGGATTCTCGAAGAGTGCTTAGGGGCTGGTCTAGTTGAATTATTCGAGACTGGCAGTGTCGGCAGAGCAGTTCGAGCAACGAGATAAATGGCCTTGATTACTATAACACAATGTATACGCCACGATCTTACTCCTCCACATTGCAATAGATCATCTTGCGAGCTACCTGCTGCTTTTCAGCCGAGATTGCTTGTACTTTATCCATACGTCGCCACCCGGATGCTGAGCTTCCAGCGCACGAAGCCATACAAATGGTTCACCAGCCCGCCCGATTGAGTCTGGCAACGAGACGTTGAACCTCAATTTCGTCTGCTTGAAAACGTTTAGTTTCCGCCTTTGCTTCTTCGAGAGCTTTGAGCTCGGCCTTCTATGCCTCAACGCGCAAGCGCTCGCGTTTGATGGCCTTAATAACTGCCTCTTCAATGGCCTTGGTAACTGCCTCGTCGATAATCTGCGTCTGTCTTTCCCGCTGCGACTTGGTAAAGCCTGCAAATGGATCATCGACATATACATTTTTAGGATCTGGAATGACGGCATCAATGGAAAGTTCCGGAACCGAAGCGTCCGAGGCGAAGCACTCCTCAGCCTCGGTGTGTAAGCGCTCGTCTTCGAAAGCCTTAGCAGCTGCCTCCCTTCTCAATTTGTTCTCAAGCTTCTTCCGACGCATCTTACTGAGGCCCGCGAACGGGTCAATGGCAGGCACTGGTTCAGGATCCGGCATGACCGCACTCGCAGCACCGTCTTCCGCGCCTAGTCTCGGCGCATCCAATTCAGGGTCTTGTATTGGTGCCTCTATGGCCACCTCAACAGGAAGCTCTGGAATCGAGACGTCGGGGACGGAGTACTGCTCAGTGGAGACTGTTTCGTCCAAGGAAACATCGACGGGACACCCCGAAGATGGGCAGCTGATTGTACAGAAGTCGTCGCTGGACAAAGTGTCATGTTGAGTTGTGGAGTGTTCCTGGTCATTGACACTCTGCTCGAGAACATCGTCTTCGACCGACTCTCCCTGCACGAGACCGTTGTGCTGGACCAGTCTTTGCTTCAATTCCGTCTCTGTGTCAATCATGCACGAAACCTTCTCGTGGTAAAGCTCAATCACACAAGCCATCATGAACTTGTGCAACTCTGCGCCGCCAATGCTCTCGATGAAGGCCTCCGTCTTGAAGATGGCGTGGTTCGATTCAAACGCTTCTCGGGCTCTCTTGAGCAGATATGCATGGATACGGCTATTCTCATCGAGCTTTGAGAAATGACCCTCGATCTCCGCAAGTGTTTCGAAAAAGGTCAGCTGCGACCCATGGTTTTCAATCTCACAAATCGACAGCTCTTCGAGTTCTAGTGGGAGGCGGTATTTGTCGGTCATGATGTATACTAGAAGAGCTTGACCAAACTTAGAACACGCCGAAGACTCCGTGGCTAGTGTTTCGTACGACTTGGTATACAGGTAGTGTACAAGCGTGTGACCAGTCTCATTGTTTACGTCTGGGAGCGAGAACTGTTTCTCCTCCCCAGTATCGCTCCAGTCCTGAGGTAGAAGGTGGCGCGGAACATAGAAGACCGTCTCGTCTTGCCCGATAAGGAGTTGGACCCGGAGCTTCGACGTAAGGTCTGTGGCTGGTTTAGTACATATGGCATGAATTTCAGGCATGTTGTGGAATTTCTTACGACTTGCGCGAGTTCTCTGGACTAGTTTCAAGGTTTTCGAGCGCTTCCGATGGGGATGGTTCGACTGGAGCTATTCCCAAGCCCGTTGTGGACGGCCCTGGATCATCCTCAGTTCCAGGACTCGTAAGCACTTCCGGCAGTGACGGTTTGTCTAGGCCTGTTCCGAAGCCACAACATTCTTCCGTTGTGGATGGCTCTTGAGCATCCTGCAAAGCATTGAGCGGGGCCTGTTCCTCAATTCTGAGTCGCGCGGCAGCGGCCTTCTTTTTCTTTGCCATGATCAGCGTGAAAGGCAGAGAAATCTGAGATGTTGAAGACAAAGGCTGTCGAGACTGCGACCTCCGTATGTTTGGGAGTCAGTCAGAGGAGACGAAGCGCATATTAGGCAGCTACGAGTCCCAACCTGTCCAACTCATGCATGTTGTGCAACCTACCCCGCTAACAGAAACCAATCCTCTTCCGCGCACCTTATCATACAATGTCAGTCCCTGAACTTAGTGCCTTGCAAAAGCCATCACTGGTGGAATGGATCCCGTGGCGCGATCGCAGTGTCGAGCACAAACAGTGGAGATAAGTTTTGCTCCAGTCAAACGCAAGACTCAGTATGACATCCACTTTTCTTTTTCGAACAGCAACCCGCGGCGACATGTGCCTCAGCCTGCTCTTAGTATGGACACAAGGGCTGCCGTATTATCTGACGTTGAAGACTTATAGGCTAGCATGAACGATGCCATCACATCATCTCCTCAGACCTTGAAGGCATCCCCGGTAACGTTTCAGGTTTTGCTATTGGTCTAATACCCAACAGACAACTATCTCTGGCCTTATCCTATAAGTCTTTCATGTCAGAAAATACGGGGTACAAGATAATAATCAAACGCTGCGGTCGTGCTCAGAAACAGGCTCCTCTTCAGCCCATGTGTTGATCTTGCCTATCCGTCTTTCGCCAATACCTCGCTTCTGGTGATGAACACGCGTTGATTTCGCGACCAAGCGTGCAATTGAGTCCTGATTTTTATCCATCAAGTGCTTGTCTCCGATCTTGTACAGCTTGAGTTTTTGTTCCATCAAAGTCCTCGCCCAGTGCTACAAATTGTTGCTAGTCGCCCTTAACGTACACCACCGCGTCTTGTACTCTCCTGCCTTCGACTTATAAGCACCGATCTTCCGTTATGAGCGGCCGATTCATGACCAGTCTTGCGTCCTGCCGGCTCATGGCGATGGTCGAGCACGGTCGGAGGGCTGGGCTGGCACATTTCGTAAGAGTGATGGTGGGTGCTCAGACCACGACGCGATTTGACGTGTAACACAGAGCAGTCTAGCAATTTTTCGTAATGCCTTTTGTATGCCTCTAGTCTTCTCGGCCACTGTGCCTCTGAAACTGTAATTCGCGCCTCGAGGCTGATCGTGACTAGACAGCGCGAAGCGTTAAGCGGCGACAAAGGTATATGCTATCCCAGTTATTCTCCCACAGCATTCCTCTCCTCCTTCATCGCCAACCTCCTCTTCATCTCGTACGCCTTGCTGTTGTCCACGCCAGCGGAGGCCTGTGACAGCGGACCGTAGTCCAGGTCTTCGATGCCCGTTCGTGCCTTTATCTCCGCCTCAAGCGCCTTGACTTCCTCCTTCCTCTCCATCTTGCGCTCAGCGCGCCCTTTCTGCTGCTTCGTATTTTCGGGCTTCATGTCCATCATGTCCTCGGCGCGCATCCTAGGCGGCGCGCGCGGCTTGTTCTGCGCATGTTCTTTGTCGCGCTTTGCGTAAAACCAAGTGTCAAACTAGGCACCAAATTCTTGAACATTTTTCACTTGAATAATGCGAACATGCCTAAGCTTACGGCTTCAAACCACTTGTCAGGATCATCGTGTGGCTTGTTCAAGGCCATGCTAGCCTTCAGCTCGGCGCGCATAAGCTCCAAGAGGGACATGGTGGTAGTATTCTTGTAGGTAGGTATTTGGGTGTGAGTGTGTTGGTAAAAAGATTATGTCTGCTCTGAAGGCAAAATCTTGCTAGTCTTACCAAGTTTTGGTGAAGTGAAGTTGAAAGGTTGATACACCATTTTTGCACTTTCACTTCCGATTTTGCTTAATGAGGGCGAAGAAGCTTAATGAAAGCGCTGATTTACAAGAAGAGTCGAGGATAGAAGACACTGGGTATGTGTAATAGTGCTCAGGTGCGTCATAGAGTGAAAGTGAGTAGCGTTTGCTCATTGTACGTACCCAATATGCGCACTGTGCAAATGTGCTCTCACCCACATTCCAGAATTGCTCAATCTGTAAAGAGGCGAGCTTCTTAATCTATGAGTTAGATATTAGTTAGTTTGCCATCATCTCATCAAATCCAACAGCCACGAAACTTGTTGGGGGCGAGCGCTAGGCGCACGTTCGTCTGGATAAAACCTTCGTCATCATCATAAGGTTTTCAGCTAGCTACGGATATGTGTGGTCGGCTAGTTCTTTTTGCTCCTCTGTGTGTCCACAGTTCGAACCCTCTTACATCCTATAAATCATTTCATTATCTTTTTTGCTCTGTGTTTACAATGAATCCAATTTCGTACCATCATGTCGTGCCTAGGCCAAAGCTGGCCGATTGATTTACCAAACCGCCTGACAGTAATAAAGCTGTATAAAACATACAAAATTAAACTCCTCCAGAGTTTATGCTCAATTCTGTTTAACAAAAAATCACAGAACGATCTGTGTGTCGAATATACGGTTCATGCGGTGGTGAAGTTCGGGGTTGGAGATGGCCCGATTCGAGGTCTACGTCGAGACCTTTTTCGATGCGCTCGGTAGACACACACATCGCATCTCTCTCTTTCATTCTACCAGGACAGTTAACAAGTAGCATTAAAAAAGTGCCATGTTTCCTGAGCATGCTATTCAGGAAGTTGTAAGTGTCTCAGTAGGAACAACTTACTCGCCCCACACTTGTCATGCACACCCCAAAGAGGACGCGGGGTCCGCCTCGGATGTACATCGACATACGGCCAACTGAATTACGCCATTATAAGGTATGCTGCAATACTTCCGTGAACCACCTTCTTCGTAACGTTTGCAATTGAGATAACATCGTAATCACTTTTGTGTTCTTGTGCAAGCGGCCATCATGACACACGACATTTTCAAGCCGCATTGGTCGCGATACCTTGGGCCCGAATCTCCCGATCCTCAAAAATATCGATACCAGACTCACGACCGCTCTGTCTTCGCGTCGCCATTTGGACCATTCCCACCGGCCCCAGAAGACCTCAACATTCACGAACTGTGCTTTCCACCGGGCAATCCGCTGCCAGAAGACTACCCTCTCTTCATAGACGCTGCCACAGAACAAGTCATCACATTGCATCAATTCTATGCGCGTGTATGTGCATTAGCACGTGTTCTCAGGCATGATGGCCCAAATCCACTTGGTCTGGGCAAGAGCCCAAGGCACGATAAAGAAGATGGCGAAATCTTGGGTCTATTTTCGCGCAACCATCTAGACTATCCTGGAGTAGCGCACGCTTGTTTCCGATCAGAGTTGGTGTTTGGTGGCATTAGTCCAGGCAGTACACCATACGAGCTCTGGTGGGTGTTGCGCAAGATGCAAATTACAAGCATCATGTGCCATGAAACGTTGTTACCTGTATTACAGGAGGCGTTCAAGCTGGGCTCTGGAGACCGTGATAATCTACCACTGAAGCTTGTCCTGGACCCGAAGAAGGTGATTGTGCTGAGCGACAACTCAAACTTGGATGCAGTTGCCGGACATCGAACCATCGAATCGCTCATCCATGAAGGCATGGAGCTACCCGAAAGACCACGGAAATTGCTTGGAGGTGACAGGATGGCGTATCTTTTCCAGTCTTCCGGTACTTCTGGCTTACCCAAGGCGATGATAATTACCCACAAAAACGGGTATCGTTCAGGCATGCAGACAATCATCACAGCAGTACAAACAGCTCGATACGCAGGCGTTGAGCCTTTGTCACCTCCGACACGCATGCTAGGCGTCATTCCCATGTACCACTCTTATGGCATGCTTCTCTGGATTCTGCGCATCAACATGCTGCAAAACACGAGCATCATGCTGCCCAAATGGGACATCGAGCTCGCACTCAAAAGCATCCAGAAGTACAAGATCACGCATCTCCCACTCGTCCCACCTCTCGTACGACAACTCGCTCAAAGCGACCTGACAACAAAGTACGACCTCAGTTCAGTCATTGGTGCTGCTAGTGGTGCTGCCTATCTCCCGCCGGATGTCGCATACCAACTTGCGAAGAAACTGCCTCAAGGCGCAGGGATGCCTGTTCCCAGTGGTTATGGTCTTTCGGAAGCAGCTAGTATTGCCAGTCCAGCCGCACCAGGAATCTTTGGTCTCGAGCCTGCCTTACCGGGAACAATCGGGTATCTATTACCGGGCATGGAAGGTCGTGTTGTTGATCTCGATACACTGAAAGACGTACCCAAGGGCGAGAAAGGCGAGCTGTGGGTACGAGGTGCGGTTGTCACGCCAGGGTACTTCAAAGACCCAAAGGCAACGGCTGAAATCTTCACCGAGCCGGATTGGCTGCGTACAGGTGATTTGGTAATCCGCGATGATCAGGACCGCATACATTACCTTGACCGATTGAAAGAGATGATCAAGGTTAAAGGCCTACAAGTTGCTGCAACTGAAGTTGAAGATACGCTGCTCGAGCATCCCGAAAGTCTGGTTCGCGATGCTTGTGTAGCTGGTGTCGATAACGGAAGAGGCGATGGGTCGTTGTTCGTCCGAGCATGGGTGGTACTGACAGGTGAGGGCAAGAAGCAGGGTAAGCATACTGTAGCGACGAAATTGGATGAGTGGGTGCGAAGCAGACTCAGTAAGCACAAGTGGCTCACCGGAGGCATTGAAGTTGTTGAATCAGTAAGTCCGACTAGTTTGAAGATGTAGATGATTGATGCTAATGCGTAACGTAGATTCCGAGGACGCCGTCTGGCAAGATGTTGAGGCGAGAGATGCGTGATCAATACCATGCACGTATGAAGGAAGGTAGAGCGAAACTTTGAGTTGGTCAGAAAACTGCAGTTATGTTGGGAAATCCTGTTTTTTGCCAGCTCTCTTCGTGTCTGCAAAGCACAAGATGTATGCACTCTATTTTTACAACGCTATGGAGTATTTCGTGATGCGAAATATCTCTGCGCTCACTCCCGTCACACCTAAACCGTGTTCAATGTGCAAATCTAAAATCCAGTCGCTTCATCCCCTCGTCCTTGGTGCTGATCACATAGTCTTCCTGCTCCTCCTTTGTCAAAGCGTTCCACTGCCTGTCCCGCACTTTGTTACGCCATATATAAAAGGCCTTGACGAGATAGAACAACACAATATTGAAGCTGCAAATTCCCAGCAGAATCTTATTGCCGCGACGATACAGCGGCTGATCATCATCTCGGTAGATATTCGAAGAGATGATATTGCCGGATTGTACAAACATGTTGTAGAATGCCGCAGACACGGCGCGCGTGCGAACAGAATTCGAGTTCTTTGCGTTCCAGCCGACCAAGATCGCGTGGCAGTACGGGTAGCTCAAAAGACCAGAAAGGAGACCGTATTGGATCCACGGGCTAGACCCAGCTGGCATGGCAATGAGGGCAACAAGCCAGGGAAAGATCCAAATGTTGGAGAGACTTGATACTATTGAACGCTCCTGGAACTTGCTAGAAAGCCACGTGAGGATCAGCAGCTGAATTGCATATAGGAATTGAGACGGTATTGCGAGTAGGTTGGCCTGGAAGACGGAGAAGCCAAGGCGGCGCAGGATGTAGGAGAGGTATGTGCTCGGCGGCGCGGGTGGTATGTAACAAGTCAAGCCGATGAGATATAGGGGCCATTGCTCCCAATCTGTGATGACTTTCCATAGTTGGGCTAGGCCGACTGCTTGGCGGTTGTTCATGTCGCCCTTTGAAGGATCATCGCGAAGGATGCGGTTGACGAGGATCTTTTCCTCGTGCTCGTTGAACCATCCGTTCTTTCCGCGGAACCAGTGCTTTGTCTGGCTGGCACCGGGAGGCATGAGACCGTAAGAGAAGACGCCGATCACAAATGTGATGATGCCTTCAATCATGAATAAGTACTGCCAGCCTGCCCATCCATTCAGACCGCGCATCTGGAGGATGCCTGCAGCCAGTAGAGATCCAACGATGTTGCATGTACTGAGCGCGGTCCAGAACCATGCGAGTCGCAACGGAAGTTCACCAGATTTGAAGAAGTATGTGAGCCAGAGGACGATGTCACTGGGACTGATGTTAGTCTGATAGCTGTGAACTTGCAGCAAGTCACTTACGGGATGAAGCCACTCATCAATAGACTAAGCAGACACAGGATAGCATAGTACTGGTCCTTTGTCTGTAGGGCACACTGCGATGCACTGACAATCGACCATGCACAGATGAGGGTCGGGATCCAGCGATCAGCTCCGAGCTTCTTACTTATTAGACCGCTGGGAAGTTCAGCGAACAGAAATGAAGATAAGAAGATCTAGTCAAAGATTAGTATAGACTTGATCCAAGAATCATGAACAGCACTTACCGTTTGGCCGTAGTTGAAGTCATTTGTGTTCATTCCTGCTCTTATTAGTTGTGGAAGAATCCAGTATTTCATTAACATACCCAAGTCTTTCAACATGTTGTCCGAGATTGCTCGGTTGATATTCTTACGATTCAAGTCAAGCGAACAGAACATGACCCATGCCCATAGAGTGATTCTTAGGTCAAGCTACATCGACGTAAGTTTCGGCACGCAAAGGCTTTTGTGATCGCTGCCCTACTCACTTTGCGAACGAGCCTCTTCTCTTCCGCAGCCGTCCATGTATAGCTAGGGTCGAATTGATGACGACCTTCGTACTTTGCGTTGTCGTATACATCGCGCCAGTACTGAGCTGTCGCGGCGTCCTTGAATGGATGATCCTCGTATGACCCATGTGCTGGTGGCGGTTCGTGCGAGATCTCTGAAGAAGCTGTATCCGAGGACTGAGTGACGGGCGCCTGCTTAGTATCGCCATAAGCAGCGGTAGTAGCCATGACGGGTAACTCAGCGATATGAGTGTTGTGTGGTGAAGATCACTCCTGTAGCCGTAGGGAACTAGAATTAAGAAGACACTTCCGATCCTATAAGGGACTGTAGAAGCCGAATTTGCGTTCTCGATCTCGGCATGATGCAACAACAGCCGAGTTTGACAACATTTCGAGGCTAGGACATATAGAATTTAGACGCAGCATCAAGGCTCCGAGAATGGCGCTGCCCATGTCTACGATAAGGAACAACATGCACCTAATTGGGTGACACGAATTTCCCAAGACAAGTGGTGGAGTCATTCCTTTACCATATGTGCAGATCAGTGGCGTCCGTGGCGTAGCTACCTATCGAGTCTCGATCGAGGGCCTTGTCTTACAGGGATGCTATAGCACCTTTGAAGCCGACTCCATGGTACAGAAGACATTTCGGCCGCTAAGTGCAAACCAAATCGGATGTGAAAGCACCTGCGTACTTTGTCCAGGAATACATGCACCGATCAGTATAGAAATACGTCCAATACAATTCTCTGCTTCTTTTTATCGAAGAAGCCTCCTGAACCTAGTCTTTGGCATCTCCTCGAACCCAGGATGGCGTTCTTACACCCTTGCTGGCACGTCAATATACTGAGCATGGCGTCAGCTATTATGCCTTGGCGATGTAGATAACAGTCTCGTCTAGGCCCCGCAGCCATAGCTGCTGCCGGCTTTGTGTTTAAGAGGAGAATGCAGTAGATTCAAAGCCCCAGACTGCCGAAAACGTGGTGTCCTCGGCGCGAATATGTCGTCTTCTCGGCAGAAATGTCGTCAGTTGACGCACGTAGCACGAACGCGTCCCAAGATGGATCGCATTTCATGAACGATGCATTGAAATCTGGATATCGTCAGAACTATATGTATGTTATTCCCGTAGTTGGGACAACGTCCCATAATGTACTTTGGCATGTACGGGTAGTGTGGTGTTCGAAAATACCCTGGACGGAAACACCTGTACACATTTTCGATGCGTTCACGCTATCCCTCTATGGGTAAGGTTAGCGCACATCTCCTCCCGTCGACGTTTCTGTTCTTGAGAACGCCTCGGCTCGTGCGTCAACTTCATTATCTGCAGCAGGATGATTCTGTTAGAAGCCGTTGCAGATGTTTTCAAATCGCTCACTGTCATCACGAGATCTTAACCCTCCAAAGCTTGGAAGCCCGTAACAGTATTTAAACCCTACACGCAGCTAACAGACATAGTACCGAAGTACTCGTCATCTGTAGTTGTTGCCAGAAGAGGCCTCAGGTGGCAATATGCCTGTTCTAAGCTGTGTAGTTCGCCTGCGAATGCAGCACGCAATGACACCCCCACATAACGTTTACTCGACCCCGCAAATGACCCTTGTCCTAGAACACAAACCTTAGTCGAGCACGAGTCAACCCAATGGGAAGTTTTGTTTACTGTAACATAGATAAGATTTCGCGAAGGCGAACTTGTGATCTCTATGTGTATTGCGAGATGTAACCATGCAATGATGCCAAATTGTGGATCGTTCTTGGAGGCGCAAAGGCCTTAGAACTATAGGAAAGATAAAAGGGTATGGTTTCGGCTGATTGCTGTTTGTGATCCCCAACCTTCTGGCATTAATCCAAACTTCCAACATGGCCACTGAAACTCAAACACAGCCAGCGCAAACTCCATTAGAGCCTGAATCTCAAGCTCAAGCCTCATATCCTCGCGACCCTCTACAGCTGAAAGGCGTTCTTGATCAGTATGAATCCTTTGACGTTACTCCGGTCATTGGGCGTGAGTTCAAGGATGTAAATCTAGCAGAATGGCTACGCGCTCCCAATTCTGATGAGCTAATTCGAGATCTTGCTATTACTAGTACGTCTCAATGTTGTCTGTTATGTGCTCTGTACTGAAACACTTTCAGTCTCTCAGCGCGGCGTCGTCTTCTTCCGCGCACAGGATGATCTCAACAACGATCTCCAGAAAGAGCTCGCTCAACGTCTTGGCGAACTCTCAGGCAAGCCAGCGACTTCAAAATTGCACATTCACCCTGTCATCAACTCTGGCCGTCGTCTCGGTGGAGGCGACAATGAGATCAGTGTCATCAGCTCTGAGCAAGCGAAGGAGATTTACTCTAAGCGTCTCCTCGACTTCTCTGCGAAGAAACAGAGTGCAAAGAGCGGCTGGCACAGCGACATCACATTCGAGCCAATCCCAAGTGACTACGCTCTTTTGCGCCTGACTGAGTTGCCCAAGACGGGTGGAGGCAAGTCGCACAATACACTCCCATTACACATGTAATCTAATATCCACCAGATACCCTCTGGGCCTCCGGCTACGAGCTCTATGACCGACTCTCCACCCCTTACCAAAAGTTCTTCGAGTCCCTCACTGCCACCTACTCTCAACCCGAATTCATCAACGCCGCTAAAGAAAAGAACTTCCCATTGTACACCGCCCCGCGCGGCGCACCTGAGAACGTCGGCGACACCCTAACCACCACACACCCCGTTATCCGCACCAACCCCGTGACGGGCTGGAAATCCATCTTCGCCGTCGGCCACCACGTGCAGCAGATCAACGGCCTGACCAAGGAAGAAAGCCGCACTGCGCTGGACTGGTTTGTGTCGCTGATTACGGATAATCACGATTTGCAGGTCAGACATAGGTGGCAGAATGTGAATGATTTGGCGATTTGGGATAATCGGAGCGTGTATCACACGGCGACTTTTGACTATGCGGGACAGGGACCGAGGACGGGGCAGCGCGCGGTGAGTTTGGGGGAGAGGCCGTAACTTTGATCCGGAGAGTAAGAGTAGGAGGGAGGCGCTGGGGCTGACTGATGTGGTTTGATGGGGTGTGATGTGCATGTTCAGATCACAGTGATCAGGTTTCCGCTAAGTGCGATGAGAGTTGCGGGTGTGTGACGTTCTACAACTCACTATCACAGATATTGCACGTTACCAGGCACTTCAAGTCTTTTGATGATGCAATTTGATGGCATATTCTGCCTTTCACATCCTTCTTCAGCTTGTCTTCTAAGACACTACTTCCATCTCATCTTCATTATAACTCTGCTCCGCCTAACCACCCAAAATGTATCTCACCACCCCATCAGCCCTCTTCGCCCTTCTCCTCACTTTCCAGCGCCGAAATAACTCCCTCCCCAGTCATCGAGCCTGTCACCATGACCACAACCGCGGAAAAACGTTCATAGTCGAACCCTAGTGGATCACGCCAACGTGCCTAACCGGCACTGAACAATGCCACTCCATGAACGACAATCAAGTGGTGTAACCAGATGGGTGGATGCACGGTTCAATAGTGTAAGGGATATCAGACATGTATTAACAAGGACAAAGCGGCGATGAAGGTGCCGGGGTGAGTATAACACGAGTCAGCTAGGGTGCTGAGAGATTAGGAGACACGTCGATGACAAGTCGGTACAGGATAGGTGGAGGACAACGGTGTATCCGTTCAATTGACAGAGATAACGGGGCGACGGGATGGTAGCTTTGGGGCACGGGTATCTGGTGCTAAATCCTTACATTCGGCTGAAATATTAGGTGGCGGCGATGATAGTTAATGGTGCAATCCCATCAGCATTTGATGAAGATCTTCCACCCAAACCTCATGCATCTCGCAACCGCACACAAAGCCGTCCCGACACATGTGCTTGCACTCGCCCAAGCAATAGGGACCGTGTAATTTCCGTCTGCTGCAAGTAACAATGCACCACTAATCGGTCCACCCACCAGTGCTGACAACCCAATGACTGCAAACGCCAGACCCACTCTTGCACCCGTCTTGGTAATATCAGTTGTGTAAGCCGCTATTGTGGTGGTAAAGAGCGACTGGAAAGCGGCTGAAGCAATTCCATACGCGACGGCCCAAGCGTAGTAGGCTGGGATACTTTCAATCGCGAGCCATGACCAGAGAACGATAATGTTGAAAACAAGGCTGAGAATCATGACGTTGAGAACGCCAATGTAGCGATCTGCGATATACCCCGGTAGGATACGAGCGGGAGTTCCGACGCCGTTGAGAATGATGACCAAATTAAGCGATTCGGTATACGGCATGTTGAGAACATCTCGAGCAAATGTTGCAAGCTAATTGGCATTAGATGGGTCTCGAGACCAATTAGTATACGGATGTGACTTACATAGTACAGGACGCAGTACACCGGGGGCATAAGACAGCATATACCCAAGACGTGCAAGCAATATGGTACATCCGTGAAAGCTTCCCATTCTATGAGTGGTCCAGCCTTTCTAGGTGGTAGTCGAGGCTTCATGAACGCAAGTGCGATCAAGAGACAAACGACATTGAGAAATCCCAGAACGCGAATGGTCCAGCCGAAGCCAATTTTGCCTAGCAACTGACGCACCACGACCGGGTAGATGACAGCACCCAATGAATTTCCAGTCGTGATAATGCCAATAGCGATGCCGCGATGTGTAGAGAAGTATGTCGAGCAGAGACCCATGATTGGCACAAAGAAGATGCCGCCTCCCACTCCAGTGCAAAAGCCTTGGGTAAGGAGGAACTGCCAATAGGTATGCGAGAAGCTGAGCGCAAATATGCCAAGGAGCTGGATGGCAATACCAACAGCAACGGTGGGGCGAAACCATCCACGGTCCAAGGCACGACCCGTGATGATGCCCAGACTGAACATGAGACAGGCTTGGACGCTTCCGATCCATGAGATGGTGGACGCTGGTTCTGGCAAAATAGACTCGTAGTATGGTTGGAAAGCGCCAAAAGAATTGACGAAGCCCCATGAGTTCATGATGGCTAGCCAGGCACAGAAAATCTGGGTCCATGCGACCACGCCGCCATCGGGTGGTGGTCCAGGATCTCGAATGGAGCGGGTCGTGAGGTGACTTGCAATTCTCGCGAGAGTATTCGATTGTCTTGACTTGGTTCTTGAAAGTGACTCATCCAACTCGTGTTGCTCTGGGATAGGTTTGGCTTGAGTGTCGTGGGCTGTTGGAAGTTCGGACTTGATGGCAGCGGATTCAATGTCTCCCATCTCTTCATCAGATCTTTGTAAAGCCATTGCGACAGAGCTGAAGTTTTACACAATGAATTGCGAAAGTTGTTGTGAGGGTAGAGACCACTCATGCGACCAGCTTTTATGCTCAATTGAGACTTTGACTCATGGAGGTCTGAAGGTCGCTAGAGCGCTGATCGTCCCTAGATGTTTGATCTTGCTCGGCGCATTTATGAGTCGGAGAAGAAAAAATGCAGAAGACGCGCGATAAGGTAGCGCATTGATCAGATTATCCACCGAGCAACTAGTTGGGACGCTATCTGCACGATCTTGGACATGACGTCCTTCCGTTCTGAGGGGAAGTGGATATACGGGGTAGACGCCAGGTTCCGTTAGGGGACGGAAATAAGCGGCGATTAATTGAGTCACAACTACGGATGGGATACATGCTGCCGATGTAAGCCAACACTAGGGAGCTGCAAAAAAGGCCTCTCTGCAAGTGAAATAGATGGTCAAGCCATTTGCCATGCGGTTCGATACAGACCTCAGAGTCGTAAGTTATTGAAGTGCACGATGCCAGTCTCAGACTACCGCTGCATAGTATTTCAATGGCGGGTTTGTCGTAGAGGCGCGTTCGACCTCACGAGAGAACATGGACGACTTGAAGTGAAGCACGTCGGTCATCCAATTGTCGTGATCGATGCAGCACATCATGTGCGTCAGCTGGGCAAGCTGATCACTGTAGCAAATTAGTACCAGCCTGCGGGATTAGATAGGGAATGTCTACAAAGGTCGACACGCAAAGAAAACAGTAGCCCACAACTAGTCAGAAAGCCCGAGGATCATATTACCTTTTCGCAAGGCGCTGCACAAGCTCTAAATCGCGCTCGTGGGAGCCAGCGATTGTGTATATCCACCGTCCCTCAGATTTTCTCCACCACCGGTTCGGTAGGTAGGCTTCGCTAGGAGATGTCAGCAACGTGCCTGCGGAAGGAGCAAGTGTTCAACATACAGCATATAGTACTCGTCGCGATGATATGGAAACTCCAAGCTCGGTGGCCCATGCTTGGCGAGGAAGCTGTCCTTCGCTGCAGTTTCCTCCTCGACACTCATGTCGACATGGGCCCTCTTGTTGCCCTTGTTTTTCGCGTGCCGCCTGATTGCGCGTATAGTGCTGTCAAGATGGACTTCGAGTATGCGTGCATGCCACAACGAATCGTCAATCGCCCTCCGCGCAATGCGAGCATTTCGCGAAATCAGCCCCTGATTCCACTCGGGCGCCTGTCCTCGTGGAATCATAGGAATTGGCTTCCCTGTGTCCAGATTGTCCTGCCAATGAGCAAAGTCTAGCACCAGACTCAGGTTGTTCCACGTGAGAATGCATGTCAAACACGTGCATAGCTGCTGGGCGTCGGGCGACTGTATGTGCTGGTATGGACGTTTGTGTATGCCGAGCTGGGTTTGTCGATTCGCGTCGGTAAGGATTGGGCGGATTGAGGGCTCGACGTCGGACAGCAGCTTTGGCGTTGGGAAGCATTGGACGAGGATTGTGTAGCGGCTGGCGATGATTGCATCGCCAATGACACTCGAGTTCGCGTTGACGAGGTTGAGAAAGCGGCGGTTGACAAAGCTGAATTGAAAGACGTCTCGCGGCTCGAGGTATTTCAAGCTTTCGAGGAGGAGTTCTGTGGGCAGCTTGGTAAGGTTGACGATGGCGTCACGCTTCTTGTCGCGCGTCACCTTCTTGCGCTGCATGCGCTCCGTCCGCTTGTTGTGCAGCGTCAAAGCCGCCGTCTTGTCCTCGAGGGGCTCGTCATCGTCGCTCACGTGTCGCGGCATCTTCGAGGTTTACATGAGCAGATATATGAAGATTGCTTCGCCAGTTTCCTGGATTGCAGCAGCAGTCCGCGGGCAGCCGCCACCAATGGGAGCGGGTGCGCGGGGTCCGCAGTCGCGCAGCCTCTCAACCCCTCGCGACTTTCTTTCTTTCTTTCTTCTTCACGGCAGGGACACATAAAACTCAGTACCCCATCCAGCTCGCCAGTGCTTGGTTTTCCTGGTTTTTCAAGGATCTGTCAAAAGGCGATTACTGGGAGCCCTGCTTCATCACGCATGACAACCTCAACTAGCGGCACAAGCAACGACTCTGTCAGACCTGAACAATGTATCGCAAGTGACATCTCTTTGCCCTTGCTTTTCTGGTTTCTATCGCTCAGCTAGGAAACTCAACACAATATCCACGCAACAAAGCCAAGAAAGCAAGTCGGCTGCGGCACAGAGCTAACCTCTCGAACCACGGAACAAAGCCTATGTCAGTGTCTCTATGGCACGAGATATTGCAAAAGTAATGCGAACAGTCCAAAGTATTCAATAACATACTTTTTGCAGCTTTCTCTTAGTTGTCCTTCTGAGCCCCCGACTTCTTCCTTCCCCTCCTAGTTCTGCGACATGAAATCCTTACATGGATCAATGGTCGCTTCCGTATCCCTATCTTCTACCCTGGTAGCAACATAGTCAGTTACTACCGATAGTATTTCCATGATCGACCAGCACAGTCATTTCAGGAAGCTCAAATTCCCACTCACCTACCACGCTTTCTGTCACTGATTCAAGCTTTACTGTAATCAGCTCAACAGCGGGATCTGTCTCCCAAACGTCCGCCGTCATAAGTATCCCTAAGACTGATAGGACGACAACCGTGACCAATCAGTCACGTAGTGTATCCGTCACCTCAAGCGGCACTTCGAGCGACACGGTGACCAGCGTCGGATCCTACTTTTCTTCTGGTACCTCTGCCCCCATCACTAGCGCGAGCTCTACCTTAGACAGTAGCTCTGTACAACATGCTGGTTCAACAAAGCCTGAGGCTTCACGTGGAAGTGTGTCTTCTACCTCTGCAGGTGTGTCTCGTAGCTCGACCGTACAACGATCGATAGGCGCGTCTTCGATGGCGTCTTCATCCATCATCGCTTCATCCGACTCGAATTCAGCGTCGGCATCGATGTCCGGTTCTTCAACGTAGTCTTCGAAGCCAACGTCAGCGCTGCAGACAACAAGTACCACACAAGCATCATCGACTGTCGATATGTCAACCGCATCTAGGTCTGCTTCATTTATAAACACGGCTTCATTGCTGAGTTCTCCAACACCAACAGCATTGCCCGCATCCAACCAACCAAGCACGTTGCCAAAACTTCAGTCGTTCTATCTAGTTCTGCTGCAGATGTACCAGCCCCAGCCCCATCTTCGACATCGGCAGTTAAGCCCAAGGCATGCAAGAAACGTCGTAGGAAACGTTCACAAGGAATGATATGACCTCATTATTAGAAGTGAATACGAAGGATATCTTAATCTACGATGGTTCGATATTTCGATTACAAGCTTCTACCATAGGTGTTTGTCCGCATGGGGCTTACCTATAAGAAGACAAGGTCGGTCTGATCTTTTGAGAGGACATTTTAGTTATTGCGATTCTTCAGTAATGATCGAATAGTTGATCAGGTAATGAATGTATACGTCATTTGTGAATTCGTACGTAGTTCGGGGCGTGCTTCTGGATTACTTCGCCTTGCGTATATCCCAAATCTGCGACGTGTTTCCACTGTCATATCGGCTTCTTCATGGTTAACCACGAGAGGATTTGTGAGCACAAACGAAGATGCGTTACATTTCTATGGCCGATATTCCCATTCATTACCGATCAAAGTAAGAAATGGGTGGTGGCGATCCACAAAATTCCGGTCGCTGCTGATTGGTCCCGATCTGAGAAGCTCGGCCAAAACTCGCGATTGCGTCATGTTCATTTCTAAGCAGCTACTACATAAACACAGCATCGATTCATTCATGTTTGTTTTTGCATTCATCACAAATACCAGCCTTCAATATGACTACTGCAAATTTCAAGCATATCGACCTCGGCAGTTACCAGGGGAAGGCATGGGCCAAAGTCGATGGTCCGGGCAGCAACTTCCAACAGAAAGACTACAGCCGCGACGTCCATAATCTTCGAGGAAGAGAACATGAATTCACTACCGACAATTCCGGGTTCACGGTTTACAACTATCCCGCCAAGGAAAAGCTTTTCACCGACGAGAAGGCCGTAAGGGAAGGGTACTACCAAGACGTCGAGAACTTGCTGCGGGACAAAATTCCTGGTATCAAGAAGATAGTCATATTTGATCACACCATCCGCAGACGCAATAAAGATGCGCCTCGTCAGCCCGTACAGCAGGTTCATGTAAGCAGTCTTTGATTGCGAGTTTGGCGCACACTGACCAGTTGCAAGGTTGATCAAACGCCTGGCGCAGCGGAAGCACGTGTACGACGTCATCTGCCTGCAGAAGAGGCAGAGCAGCTTGTGAAAGGACGCTACCAGATCATTAACGTGTGGCGCCCGATTGAGAACCCAGCATCAGACATGCCTCTGGCGGTGATAGACTGGCGTAGCACCTCACCAGAGGATTTCATTGCTACAGACCTCATGTATCCTAAGCGCGCAGATTCTCTAGATTTGGATGACCGTGGGAAGGAGGTCTTGCCCGATCCTAACAACTACACTTCGACTGAAGGCTACGAAGTGAAAGGAGAGACCATGGGTGTTGCGGCGAACGACAAGCACCAGTTCTACTACCAGAAAGACATGACACCCGAGGAGGTATTGCTGCTCAAGTGTTTTGACAGCTGGGGCGAGGGCATGCCAAACGGAAAGAAAGGGATTGCGGTTCGGACGCCGCACACTGCATTCAGTGACCCAAAGACCCCAGAGGATGCACCCGGACGGCAGAGCATTGAGGTCAGGTGCCTTGTGTTCTACAATTAGTGCTGTTGCAATTGCTCTTAAGCTATCTGTCATTGTCCTTCGAGTGGCGCTCAGTCATAATGCTCTTGTCACATTCACTCTCACCATACCCCACTTTTCAGTGCCTTCAAATTTTCATATCCATTGCACCACCCACCTGACCTCTAACACCTCAACACCGACTATTTTTGGGTACTCTCGTACGATATCACAAACTTGAAGAGCTGCACACGCGCAACGTGGGCTTTCTGTTCGCAGCTCGACATCGCGCGCTACTCAACGCGTCACATTTGCTTAGCACGCGCTCGCAACAATGACGCTGCCAGCGACTCCATCTAAGCCTGCCCGAAACGGCAAGCCTGAGCCCAAGTCACCGCATCTATCAAGGGCAGAGCGTCGCGAAGAAAGGAATGCTCGTAAACACATCATCAAGATCGAGACTGCGAAGCATCGATCTCGCGTAGGCAAGCGCTGCGAGAAGAACGTCCTCAAAAACGCTGAGAAGAAGGCTCGCAAGGCCGCCAAAGCCAAGGCCAGAGCACGCCAGCATGTCGCGGGAGCTGTGAGCGATACTTCCTTCAAGACGTCGTCGCGCCAATACAGTGCGGTCAGCCGCGCGCCATCTATCTTCAACCTGACGCCTGAGACCGCGAAAGCTATCGCCGACGCGGCGCAGAGTGATTCGCCATCACATTACAGCCGCAAGGTTGGCACACCGCTCCTTCTCACACCAAGCCAGGGCGGTCATTGCAAGGTGGAGCGCAGCCTCACTGATGACTTCCTACGCGTGCGCGAGGTGGTCGAGAAAGAAGAACGCGCACTTCTATCCACACCCGATAGCATATCAGACCTCGCTCAGGAGAGCAACGACGAATGGATCGGCCTTGCCGACGAGATCGAGGGCCAGGACAGCGAGTATGACTTGCCAACGATTCACCCCGGCGCGTATCTTGAGTTCTTTGGCGATCGAGAAGAGAAGCACACCCGTCTCTTGACTCCCGACAGTCGCGGCGACGTCGAGGCTACTCATGTCAACAATCCGAAGGACTGGGACACATTCAAGCAACGTGAAGTGGAGTGGATCAAGCGAGAGGGTGACCCTCACCGTATCGCGTTCGACGAGCAGGGTAACGAAATGCGCGCACTCAGCTACTGGAGCGACTTTGACTCCAACGAGAACGATCCCGGTGACGGACACGATCCCTTCTGGGATAACCTTGACTTCCGCGCCAACCCATCTGAAGATGAAGCTGAAAATGTCCACGAAGCCGTTGTCCTCAGTGATGACGAGCCCGACAGCGATGTTGAAGAGCTTCCTTTCATCGATCTCACCCAGGAAGACACCGTCATGGTCGAGACTGACGACGAGGACGACGTTTACGAGATTGATACACCTACTTGCGGATTGGCAACACCCAACCATATCATAGATCTTACCGAAGTTCCTGATCCTATGGAGGAGACCTATGGCGATAATTCTGATCAAGAGAGTGTTGCACCGGCTCGCGAACCGTTGACCAGCGTGATCACCGACCTGACTCGAGACAAAGACTTTATGGATGAGACTGAAGACGAGGACGACGTCCAGCGAATTGATTTGCCTGCTCTTGCGCCCGCACGCAACCGTGTTGATTTGCCTGTTCTTGCACCTTCAAGCAACCACGTCGGCCTTGCCCAAGAACAAGACTTCATGGAGACTGCCGACGAGGATGGCTTTGGGGTAAATCCCACACCCACGGTCGCGATAGCGCCCAATCAAGGTGGTGATGCTATGGACGTGACTGGAGATGAGCAAGATATCCCGGAAGTCAACGCGCCTACAGTCATACCAACCGCTGCTGAACCAGTCGATGCCGTGGCAGGTAGCTCCCAAAACAATCCCCAGGTCATTGATGACGACAGCGAAGAAGCCCACGAGGCAAAGCTCGAATTAAGCCTTCAACAAGAGCTCCTGCGTACCCAGGAACGTCGCGAAGCTGAGACCCGCGACGCCAGCCGTCTCGAGCAGCTTCTAGCCCGTGATCATTCCTCCCTCACCCTCACGAGCCTATCTGACGAGTATGCCGACGTCCGTGACTCCTTCAACTTCATCCGAGGCATGCACGCCGAGCAATCCGATCTCAACACCAAGGCATCCGTAATCGAGAAGCGGATGAGGGTATTGATGGCTCCCGATCCAGTTCCATTCGAGAATAGAAGAAAAGCGGAGATTCTTGGCAAGCTGTGGTACGCGAACGAGAAAGCTGCTACGTATATGGTTTGTGCGGAGAACAAGTTCAGGGATAGGGCAAGTAAGGAGAACCCGCGTGACATGCGGGTGTTGCTGATGGCGATGAAACATCAACTCTTGGAAATGTTTGAGAAGTATGACGCCAGGGTGAAAGAATACAAGGCTGCTCTGGAAAGCGAGGCGGAGCGTTAAGCTGCATTGGAGACGGAGCGGCTGTTCTGACATGAGGCTTTGCTTGGAGTATTGTACATACACTTGAATGACAAGTCGGGTGGAATCTGTTGGGGAGAGCGACTGTGACTGGGCATTGATGAGTCGGAGCACTAATGGCATTGGACTCCATGAAGGGAAATATGCCGGACAAAGTTGGTAGCGTACGTTCACGTAACGTCTTTACTGATGTCGCATATCAAATGACGATACAAACATACAAATGATGAGCTCTAGCAACTTGGTGATGTCTATTGCAAGCTTCATGGATACATTCTAATATCGCTGTCTAACTACCACGCCCTTCAGCCTTGAGTCTATCTCGTTCCTTGAATCGCGCTGTCCAATCAACTTCCTCCCTTAGCTCCTTCATCTTCTCTTCCACAAAGCCTAGCAAATCTGTCTCGAAGAGCTCATATTTTCCATTAGCAAGCAATTCCGCAATTCCGACCTCCTTCGTACGTTCCCATTCCTCAATCGCATTTTCTATATCTTCAACAATGCGCTTAGTCATTCCGAACTCAAGAGCTGGAACAAGCTTTTGAGCCCCGGCTTTTAGATCAGAAGTGCTATCGACCGGCTTCGACGTCTTGTACGTCGTACGATAAATATCTGGCTTTAGACATGGGTTGAAGATGCTAAACTGTGGACCGCTCAGATCGATGAACCACATTGCCGGTCTGTCTGGGTTATCTGGTTCGTCTGGTTCGTTTTCCTCAAAGATTTTGAACAATGTATGATTGTGGCAGCGTCCATGCAAATCATTCATCTTTGGATCAGCATATTGTGTAATGGTTCCGGTGGGAGTAAGCGAGAGAGTTGTAACGCCAACGCTGGTATTTGTACCTTCGCACGATTTAGCTACATATCCATATGGTATAAGTAGACAAGGGGGTATACCTTTCAAGAACTTCGTGAGCAAGTCCCTGAAATAGATTGCTGCACTTGAGCAAGCCAGATGGCTTACTACCATTGACTTTTGTTGTTCAGTCATCACTACATCCGGTTTAAACTTTGTATACTTGCCTTCTGGAGGCAGGTGGACGTGGATGAGCAGCTCTCCGTCTTTTTCCTCAATAACCGTGGGCTGAAATACGAAGTTCATTTCTCCGAATTGGAAGAAGAGCTTTTGGGCCAAGGCAGCTGCCCGTTGAATGTGGGTATCGTGGGATCCCATGGTTTTGTGGACGATCTGATCAAAAGAATACGTCTGTAGCTTTTGTATTGAAGATTATGAAGTGCGGTACGATGTCTGCTATTTATACTGAGAATCTACTGATGACGCATGTCGCGCACTGTGTCATGATTCTGAGTAACAGTTGTGACAACCTCCGATGACTGAACACAGCATGGTAGTACTCCTCCGTTCCGAAAGTACAAAGACATGTGACATATAAAGCGGAAATTCAGGAATCCCATTTCTTCCGCGCGACTATATGCGGCACCTCATGCGACTTCGCAATACCAGGCGTAGTTGGGCGGCGACCTCCGCTTCTACTCCGACTCTTGCTGCCGCTCCGATTGCGAGAAGTACCACTTCCAGAACCAGCTCTTGACTTCCTAATAGGTGTACCTTGGCGAGTCTTGGACTGTGTGGACTCATCGCCGAATTTGGTGGGTATGCGCGACACCACTTTTCGAGCACCGTTGAGTCCCATCTCCACATCTACACGACCCGCTTGTAGCACCCTCGTTGCTGGAAAGAAAGGAGCGTTTCTGACGTACTGTGTAATGGCATCGGTCGTGACCAACACTTCCTCGGCTTGGTCACCCAGCGGGATCCGCTTCGCTTTGTTCGGTGGCAAGTGTCGTGGACCAGATGGAGTCGTGAGAATTGGTGCGGAAGTGGTGCAAGTGTGAAGCGGCCCTCTGCCATAACTTCTTGGAAAGCCAGTTCGCCAGGAAGATGCGCGACGCTGGTAGGTATAGGAAGCAGCCAGTGCATTCGGTGCCCCAATTGGGAGGCGCTACGGCAGTAACCTCTTTCTCTGAACGAAAAGGAAGCCCAGAACGCGGAGGAGATTTTCGGTGCGCGAGCTGTGCAAGTGTCTTATTTTCTTCATCCTGGAGGTCGCTAAAGCTGCTCAAGTAATGCCGCTCGCTTGCCCGCGATGTGCTGAAGCTGACGCACCAATTGGGCAGGACTTTTTAGGTCCACGTCTATATCAGTCGATAGGGCAAGATTGCTTGTAAGACGAGCAGTGCTCGGCACATCCTTTTTGACAGGGTTTGTGATGCTTTGAGAGTTCTCTATGTGGCTGGATTGACCAGCCTTGGACTTTGAGATGACCGGAGGCGCATCGTTCTCGTTATCTCTGAACACAGTAATCTTATCGCTGGTAGCACTGATATTGGAAGTTTTGGAGTTGCTGCGCGGCGTCCTCGTAGTTGTCGTGAGTGCTCCTGGTACGCGATCGGCGGTAGTGCCCGGATATGTGGCTGAGAACAGGACTGGTAGTTCATCTTTTGGACCAACGTATTCCTAAAGTCAAGTTAGCATATAAATTATTGTTATGGGGCGCGTGAATACCTTTTCTGCATGTCTCAATTCCTCCATGTCCCGCATAGTTTCTGTATGCTCGAAGTCGACTGAGTCCGAAGAGCGGAGATGTGCACGCATGGTCGGCATGTTTACAAACACGGTTGAAGATGAGGGCGATTATAACTTACTCGGTTTAATTCTAGCAGTTCTTCTGGGCGTAAACACTAGTGGGGCAAGGTCGCACTTTACCGCATTTGTCCACTGTGCAATTAAATTCACTATGGTTTCCAGCTAGTGGCAGATAGTCGCGTACTTCGTTTGATACACTTTCACTGCAGCAAAAGACTGCTATGATTTGATGATCATGACCGTCCGCGAGTCGAACTCAGATAGCAAAAGGCAGACACCCGGGGGGAGGGAGCCCTCCACGTTATCATTCGAAGATGTAGCCTCGCATTGAACATTCTATGGACTGCCTTCCTAGCTCCTGGCTTTCGGCCCGAGCTTTTTTGTCTCAGATTTGCCTTATTACAAGGGCACTCAATTGACCTGTCGCCTGGGAGAGAGGGTTTGATGACAGAACTTTAAACGGAGCATAGCAGAAGAGGTATGAGCGTATTGACAACTGGCCAAGACGTGCGAGGGGAGAATAGAGATACAAAAGCAGCTCAGCTATATACATAGTCTACCAAAGCACAAGGATCTTTTCTTTAAACTCAAAGATGTGCTTTTAAAGCTTCACTTTCCCGGAATCGTTTCGGCCAGATTCCTTGTTTACCAGGTGACAGTATGCCATTTGGATCGACGGCGTCCTTTATCGTCTCCACAAAGCGTCGGTACGCATGATCGTTGAAATCGTACAGCGACGCGACGCGATCTGTAACTCACTGTCAGTATTACTGAATAAGGGCTCGCAAACATGAACTCACCCATCGCGCGGACGTGACTGCGATACTTGCTATAACCTCGCTTCTTGCCTTCCTCGAACAGGTTGTCAAAGATGTTTTGTACGGCTGTTCGATGTACAGCATTCGTCTTGTCGAAGGTAAACATGGTTGACGGAAGGATGACATGCCGAGCTCGGTGCATAAAGGAAATCGGCAGAAGGAGATCCCCAGGATTGGAGCTTCGGCAAATCTTCTTTGCGTTCTTGACCCAATCCAAGATCTCTTTGCCATTGCTTGGGATGATCGGGCTGTAGTCATAGTGCGCCGCGATACCACCACCCGATTTCGGTAATCGAAACTTGACCCATCGGAAGTGACCAAAGACTGGGTATTCCGACGAAGAAGCCGCCTTCCTTCTCTGGAATAGACGCGGGGTCGAGAGTCTCGCCTTCGGGCGCTGAGAATATCTTGCCCTCAAAGCGGCCTTTGGATGTCTTCTTCTCTATGATCTTCTTCACCTCATCGAAGTGCGCTTGTATCACGTCTTTTGCACCATACAATCCAAACTTTGCGTTCCAGTAGCCGAGATCAAACTTCTTCTGCAGCTCAGCAACTTTCCAATCTGGTATCGGGCTTTCGTGTGGCCAAAAGTCTTCGCGCGACCCCATCATACCGAACCACTCGACCACATTGGACACATATACCGTGTTGGGCAATAAACCGTCTCGACGCATTGGCCCAAAGATGTCAACGATAGTTTCGATGTCCTCAAGGTCGGGCATATCGAAGGAGCATGACATGTAGGCCTGGGGTGCCGGAGAAAGCCATATTCCGAGTTTCGTTACTATACCTAGGTTGGACTGCAGGAAAAGACCTTCGATGCTGGGACCGAAGGTGAATTTGGAGAGATGCGCCGACCGCGAATTCGAGATGCCAAACTGTCCTGTACGTACAAGGTCACCATTGGCGAGCATGGCTTCTACGCCTGAAATGTGCTGATGATGCATTGCAGTCGGTGTGAAGCCTGCACCTCGATCCAGGGTATTGCCTACTACTGAACCCCATCCAAGTGACGGACAGGATGGCCAGACATTCAGCTTATTCTTGACGCAGTAGTCATAGAGGTCGGTAAACGTGACGCCTGGCTCGACAACCGCATATGAGTATTCAGAGTTCACCTCAATGATCTTGTTCATGCGATGAAGATCGAGCGCGATGGATCCGTTGACTCGAGGTGCTGGACCACCATATCTGGCCATCGGTGAGCAACATGCAATAATGGTGGAGGGAGCAATAATGTAGCGGCTTACCCAAGGTTCTTTCCTCTAGAGAATGTCCAGACCGGAATACCAAACTCATTTGATACCTTTAGGACCTCCTTGAGCTCTTTGATGCTCCCGGGCCGCACTGCCGCGCTGGGCATCTTGCGCGTTCCCTCAGCCTCTTGTAGCTCATATGGATCGATATATTCCGTCAGATCATGGTCTTGCAATACTTGGTCATTGCCAACTGCAATCTTGTACTTTTGTATCGCCTTGTTGAAGACATCTTGCTGTATCCCAGGAGGAAGTACGGGCTTCAAGGGCACGGTGATGGACTCCTTAAACAGGTTGTAGTGTGTCGACTGATATTCCTGATCAAGATATGCGGTAGAAGGCATAGTGACGATGTTTGATTAACAAACGAGGTTTGTATCGTTAGATTTTGTTGTAATATATGCCGCTCGTTCCTGCAGCACGTATGCTTGTCGATTTCTTGCGCTAGAGCGCTAGAGCGTGAGGTTCGTTTGGGGATGCTCAAGCTTCCCCACAATGCGGAGAAGACCCCACATGGCCAACTCTCCGACGTTCCCGCGTCGGCCATCCAGCCTCCGAGAAAGCTACTGTACACTGCAATGCGGTCCGATTGCGATACTTTGCCTTAAGGTAGTGCTGTCATTGACCTAGGTGCCGAGTGGAGATTTACCGAGCCCTGGATGTTGTGGTAGGTCTCGAATACGAGAACCATGCGCGCTAGTCATATCTAGGAACAGTCGCACGTTACGATCAAGATTCCATAGTCGTGACCTCACATGGATGAACAGATCATGCTGTCCGCGAATAGGAAGGTGCGAGACAGGAAGGAGTCAGGAAGTCAGTACTCGAAATTTGGGAACGCATGTCCGAAGCGGCACTACGATGCCACTCGTAGCACGCTCGACATCCATCGATCCTGCCCAACATGCGGTACTACACCTGGCCCTTTGCTTTCGATTCCAGAGCAGCGCGATAGAGGTGGGTTCGAGAAGATGTATAACATTTCTAGGACGTGTGACTTCGCGTTTTTCGCGTGGGCTGCACCTGAGCAGGAACGGGCTCCCCACTCGCCTAGACTTCGGAAGCTAAACGAGATGAAAGGCGTTTGCTTCTCCGCATCAAGAACCTGCCCCCACCAGGTGCAGCAAAAACTCATGCGCTCTGTGCCTCATGATTCTAGGCACTATCTAAGGGCAGTTCTGTTAAGCTATATCATTTAAAAGTTAGGGTTTTTTTAGCTCTTCGCAACGTACCTAGGTACTACGAAATGAGCTGTTAAGTATATTTAGGCTTATACATTTGATGACAGTTGCTATCTAATCGCAGTGTGAGTTTGAACAGAACGCGCACGAAAGTTTCAAAGTGCAGTCAAGGCTTTGCAAATTGGAGCTTGGTTGCGAGAAGCGCTTGTAAGTGGGAAACAGATCTGGTTCGATGAGTCTGGCAAGCGCATTGATTGGGTAAACTTATAGATTTGGCGGAGAGGGCCGATAGGTAGAGCACACCACTCTAGACAATGGCGAAGTGGTGGCTCGCAAAATACTCTTGGCTCACGCTTCGTACATCGACCCTTCTTTGCCCTTCGTCTTGTCGGCGCTGCACTTCTTCTAGTAGGTCTGCGGTAGGCTTTGCGTTTGTTGCAATACTCTCGAGACCACGAATGGCCTTGACGATCCACTTGCGTTCCTCTACATCGTCTTCTTCCGCGCCCCACATAAGTAACGGCCATAGTAAATTGACTGGCAGTGACTCGTCCGTTTGTGCCATGAGATGCGCACCACCCTTTTTGATTTTCACAATGGCATCTATTTCGTCTTTTGTTTTCGGATACTTGAACATAGGCGACGCGGTGGAAGATGTAAGAATGACGCGTAGTAGTTGGCCTAGATAAGTGCGAAAACTACGCGTGAGCGCTGCCACTAAGTTTCTCGCAAAGATGCTTTTCTGTCAGGTTACCAGCGGCAGCGTGATCCATCAACGCTGGTCTTTGCCCCGTAAAGAGCATTGCAGATCTTTTTGAAAATTTGCGAAAGCAATTGCCATTACCTCAGTCTCATCTTGTACTGTGCCACGACCCGCGAATGCCAAGGGTTCGATGCGTGTGATCCGGCCAACAAAAGCTCTGTACCTTTTGGTAGAACACAATGCCTGGGTGGTAAAGGACATCAAATAAGATTTCCTCGATCTCAGTATCAAGTGTTTCTGGCTCTGCGTTGACGTCTGCCGCAGGTGTTGCATCGAACAAGGTTTCATCCGTATCAGCGAGGAACAAGCCTTCGCCACCAGCGGTCGAAATTGCACGTGCATCCAAGAGGCGGAGCCATGATATGATTCGCCTTTCGGGGATAGAAAAAGAAGTTTTATCAACGTTCTGTATCAACGTATAGGCTTCTCGGAGATTGGCATGGGCTCTAGGAAGTGTCTCGGTGAGTAACTAGGTCTTGATTAGTTTCTGCTCGAGATCAACCGCCAGGCGAAGCACTGTAATGAACTTACATCAGTATATGTTAGCAAGAACAATGACGCCAGGAAAAACTTCAGTGGTATTTTCATGCCATCTTTCCCCTCCTCTTTGCGTTTGCTGGCAAGAGCGCTAGACAAATTGCGAGCGGCACTGTCATATAACGGCCTCCAATCAGTCTTCATCGCATCACCGCCCAATCCACTTCGTTGCATCTGCATAGCTGTAAAAGCCATGATTGCACTTCTAACGACGAGAGATTCCGCGGCCATAGCGTTGAAGAATGCTCTTGTTGTCGCCCACTTTGGTCCTATTTCTGTAGTTGCAAGGATTGGTGGCATTAGCATCTGCAAAAATGTATTGAGGAGAAAGTCTTCATCGATAGTGCCATTGGGGGCATTTTCCGCCGAGAAAGGCGATGTAGACGCAGCTTCTGCTTGCTGATGTCCGCGCTCTGGGATGGAACAAGCTCTCCTTCGGGTGCCTTTACCCGGGGACTGGTGACTAACTGGTGGCTGATGAACAGGCTGTGAGATAGCGTCTAGTTGATGCTGTGGGCCATGGGTAGATAGATCGGAAGGATTGGAAGGCCATGAATTAGGACTCAAGAGCATAGCTTCATCCCATGTCCCAATTCCTAAAGGCCCTGAGAAATCGAAGAAATTGTTGTTCCCCATGTTGAACCCGTCAAGAGCAAGAAGGTTGGGATTGAAGAGCTGGTGTTGAAGAACTGGAGTACTTGAGTTCGTCATGGAAGCTGAAGTTGGTCCCGTATCATTGCGCGATGTTGTGGGACGATTCCAAGTGCAATCCAAATTTAGACGCTCACAATGAGCACATCTTGGCCGTCGCTCGTTGCATCGGACTTTCCGCCTTCTGATACTTGATAAGCCATGTCTATGTCTGGACTTGGTATCACGACTTACCGGCATGCATTGCACCCATTCTTCGAGCGAGCTGGACGGGGCACGGCCAAGGTGTGTCCGGAGCTGGCTAAGCTGGCGGGTGTTGCTGGTGGTGGATGCTCTTGTGGCGTTGGATGCGACATTCCCAAACGTGCGTACCAATACGATGCTCACTTCCTGAACATGATTACCTTCTTCATGAACCAAGTCAGATCTCACGACGTTAAAAGTGTTGTTGTAGAGATGGATGAATCTGTCGGGCCAATGAATAGATGTTACGGCCGCTAGCGAGTCATTCGTGGCTTTTTTGTCATGCGCCATCCGTCTTGCTGACTTGGCTTCAAATGAGTCTTCTCACCATCAACTCGGGCGATGGTCTTCCATCTCACTTTTTCGCATTGCGTGGTTATAGGTCTCAATATTCCTGTGGTCTATATACCTTATCTTCATCTGGACTTTTGACCTCCGCAATAAGACCAGCTGCCCGCTTCATCTAATCGCAATGCGCTGACCTTTCCTTCCTCCTCCACACTTTGACCGACATCTCACCCAGCAACCGATTTATTTTCTCTAGTCGCCTGATATCCCGCTGTGGACTACTTTACGCGAATTCATATCTTCTTAGAACACTTGTCAGCACTACTGATGTTGCGGCCAGTGCAGCCCATCACCCCTGCTGAAAAAAGCTAGGATGAAAGATTGGAGCGATTTGCCCTCTTCTCCCAACCACCGCTCCGAAATGTCCTGATCCGCTCGGGGGAAATTTTGACTCGATCCTGTGCGCGACGAAGGCAGACATAGCAACAAGAATGCCTCCTGAATACCGTCTGGTGGTATCTCCCGCGGGAGGCCATGGGGTGTTGTCGGGAAAAGGCGCAGTGATTCATCCAGGCCTGTCCGCAGGTACGGCATATATTTCATCTTGTCGCATGGGATGACTCCGTCCTTCGGTTGGTCTTCTTCTTCGTTCAGTGCATCGTCTATCTCCTCAATCAACTTTTCCAGAGTCTTCGGGTTCTTCACAAGCTGATACAGCACGTCGGTCATTGCTATCGCAGTTGTCGCAGAGCCGGTATTCATCAGGATACTGACTTCTGCAACGATTTCGGCCTTGTAATCTTGTCATCTCTACGATCTAAGAACCCTAAAGTTTCCGAGAGGCCAATGTCTACAGTCCCATCAAGGGTATAAGAAAAGGTCCATTTACGGCAGTCCACAGTCAGGTTATCTGGTCTTGAATTATCTCCCGAAGCCAACAGTATAGTGCAACAGTCATCGAGATACTGGCCCAATCTTGCCATCTTATCCGCAACGGCGCTACTATGTACATCTGTGGTAAGGCCAGTATGGCGACGGATGTGCGAGCGACAATTGAGGCCGCAACAAGCAGCATGAAGCATATGAGCGGAACTGAGGTCAAGGACTGGGTTGATAGCTTGAAGAGACGTGGAAAGTGGAAAGCATATGTTTGGGGGTAGACCAGTGAATCAGAAGAGGTTCCCACTGTTCTGCAGCGATGAAATGACTATAATGGAATTTCCATCTGGTCGTAGCATTGTTCTCCCTTTGCTGCTCAGCTTTTGGCAATATGAGGTTCACCACCACCAGGTTTGAGCACATGGTCAGCCACAACACCAGCCACAATCTATTTGGTGTCCGACGCTATGCCTAAAAGCGAGTATTCAGGCGATTGCCCTGTTCAGGCAGGTCATCGTATTCACCACGATTCATAAATTCGCGCCATCTCGGGACTTAAAGAGCATGAGTTCCCCACAACGCACTTGCAAAATTATTGGCATCCAGCATCATGCTTCTTTTATCCGTCCTCCTTACTTGCGCAACAGCATTCGCGCAGAATGCAATTGTTCTCCCGCGAAGCACAGGACCTTACGCCACAACCCTTGCCATCGAAGAATGGGTCGACTCCTCACGCGTAGATCCCTTTAATTCGAGTCATGCACGGCGGATCATGATATCGCGCTTTGACCCGGTTCCGATCTCGCGGTGCAACTTCGAGCAAGTGCAGTATATGACGAATGTGACTGCCGCCGCTGAAGATGAAATCTTAGGGGACTATGGTTGGCCGAAAGGACTCTTAAGGCGATTCGTGCTTGAGGTGTGTAAAGAGAAGTGCTCAGCATAGGGGGCGGAGAAGGAAACCGAACGGAGAAATGGCCAGTGGCGCTGTTCAGCGGAGGTCTCAACACGACGCGGCTCTTCTACAGCCATCTTGCGCAGGAAGTCGCTAGTCATGGCTTCATAGTCATCATGATCGATCACCCCTACGATACAGACGTTGTCGAATTTCCAAATGGCGACGTCATCTTTGGTGGAAGCGTGGCGTCGCCCGTGAACGGTTCCGAGCCTACGTCCTTGAACTTCGGGCTGGAAGTACGCGCTCAGGATGCCTCGTTCGTGTTGGACTGCCTCGGTATAAGTGCTGATTCAGGAGAAAAGGCCGTCATATTTGGACATAGCTTCGGTGGAGCAGCTTCCGCAACAGCCCTCTTAAACGACAAGCGGTTCCGCGCAGGCATCAATCTCGACGGCAAAATGTACGGTCCCGTCCTGAACAGTCCTCTCGGCACACCGAAGTTCCCCCAGGCTGTCGCACTCTGGGGCAGCGACGGACATAATTCTTCGATCTCCTCAGATCCCTCGTGGGCGACATTTTGGAATACTCTGAATAGCAGTGCGAACGTGGATTACAAGAGAGAGTTTACAGTTACGAATGCCGCGCATGGGTCGTATTGGGATTTGAATATCCTTGTAGATGTGGCGGGTATTAGGGGGAATGTTAGTGAGGATACGCTGCTCTATTTGATTGGACCAATTCCTGGGCCGAGAGTGTGGGAGATCTTGGGGAGGTATATACCGTCATTCTTTTGGTATACTTTGGGTCTGAAGGGGGAGGATGCGGTGTTGAAGGGGAAGAATCAGGAGTTTCCCGAAGTACAGATACTGAACGAATAGATGTGCGAGATACTCTCAGATGGAATGATTGTTCTAGGCTAGGTCAAGAGACCTGGAATTCGTCCTAGTGTCGATCGATATAAAATTTGAGCTGATGCAACAGCGGAAAAAATGAATCTAATATGGTATGCGAAGATTGATCTTAGCAAAGGCCTTGATATCCAAAATGCAGGGCAACGATTGTAAGGCTTTGTGGTAAGTATAGAGATAAGGTTAGCACAAAGATCTTAGAACGAGGTAGAGTAGGTTATAGATTAGTACTTAGACGAATTATTATCTTTTCTATAATAATCTTATATCTCTTTTATCTTACTTGCTAAGAGATCCTAAGATTGTTGCAGCTACGGTCTCCGCAACCAACTTCATACTTAGCATCATGAAATTGGTCATTGTGGACATATTCGATCGCCACCGCATCTTGCTAGTCACGATCGCGGGCATGTCAGTTTGTCCAGTCGTCGGTATAGTTCCATTTCATCCCAATTGACTCCCCCACTCTCGAAGCCCAGAGTGACGGAATTGGCTGGCCTGATTATCTTCTCATCGTCGTCATCATATGCTTCGTGGTTCATTGCATCACCTTTCTTGTCCATTATGAAGGGTATCACATCCAATGGCAAATTTGGCTTCTACGTAGCGATCTGCTTCTTTGGCTGGGTCTTTGTGGTCTTCTATGTCCCTGAAGCCGGGGCATGCAGCTCGAAAATATTCGAGAGATCTTCAATCATGGCTTTGGTGTGCAATATAATATGCTACACGATGGCAGAAAGAGAACAAAGCGCTTGCCAAAGCCAATGCCGGAAGTTTACAGGGCTTTAACCATTGAAGCTCTGAGACCAACGCTGTGATAGGCAATTATAAATAATATGTGCCACAATACCTTATAATATATTCTTGAACGCTTCAACATATACATATATACTGTCACAAAGTCAAACGAATCACTGAAACCATAGGTTGTAAAACAGTGAGATGGGATTAGTTTTCGTACGAACTAGTTGTTTCTACGAAATTTGAGTGCTAGAAAGGAGAGACGTAAATATCCCGATTTGGGAACCGGCCAGTGTGTACCCTGGGTTCCCTGTTGTAGCCCAGTTCAAACTATGCTCGTGTCTCCCCATCCGGGGTGCCCAGATTCTTCGCTCTCAATTCATATTCGTCTTTGCCCTTCAGGCCAGCATTTCTGCCCCGTCGCCAAAACAAGAACCCGATGGCACCAAGTAGTGCAAGACCAGCAATGACAGCTCCAACTGCTATGCCTGCTTTCGCCCCTGTTGAAAGACCACTACTACCACCACTCGATTGTTCAGACGGTGGGCCAGTGAGACCGGTGTTTGATGGAGAGAAGCTGGAGCTGGGCGTGGGCGCATTGAAATCTTCGCTGGTCACGTTGAAGCATGGGACTTGTATTGTAAAGTCTTTGGTCTCGACGAAGGTCTGTTGAAGCATCAGTTCCTACACTCCACTCTTGTAGAACAGGGTACGAACGATATCAGCGCAAGCGAAGAACGACTGGTTTCGGCCATCGTTCTCGCCTTCGAACTCAGCCCAGTACTCTAGTTGGATAGTCGCATTCTGGCCAGCAGAGACATTGTCAAGTGCATCAAGCTTGTAGCATTGATGGCCTGGATCTATGTCCGTGGTGTTGGCGACCACTTGGTCGCTGAAGTCGGATTGTGATTTTGGATCTTAAAGGATGATCAGCTCACATAACTTTACACGAAACGACAGTGACTAGTCTACTCACCATTGCCGACCGCAAGTCTGAATGCTACGAACCACGCATCGTCGGCGATACTAAGTGCTACTTGTCCTTGCTGCAATGGGAACACTGTGCGATTTGATGGGCCAACTGCACTTCCGCAGGGTGCTGTGTTGTCATGTGCGGCATCCCAGATCCGATCTGAGGGCCACATAAAAGCTACCGGTCCCATCTCTGTGCCTTCAGCACCTTCTCCATGAGTCTGTGACGAGACATGATCAAGGCTGGAAACGAAAAGGATGAGCGAGCAGAGGTGTCGGAGGTGTGTGTGCATGATTGCGATATGCGAGAACACAAAGGTAACAACCCAACAGTGACAGATGCGGCTCCCATCCGTCTATATTACCACAGGCGGGGCTACATACATGCTGTCATGTGCAACCCACGAAAGGATCTAGATGACGAGACTGTTCTAGCACCACCGAGTCGCGTGTTGCATGTGCCAAGTCGCTCAACTATTGAGTTTCTGCTGGTACTCCAATCACCGCATCTTTTCAGACAGAGTCATTGTGCGACCCAGCCATCAGCGCCGCTTCTCCCTGTCAATCGAGTTCTTGGACAGCTTCGTGTTCGGAAGCTGGGCAGACAATAAAGTTATCTGATTGCGCTAGAGACGCCCCCGCTTCGGACAAGCCAATAACGCAAGGACGCGAAACCTCGGAAGAGCTAGACGCTCACTTGGCATCAGCATCTTATCAGCCCATCTGATAAAATTCTGCATCTCCGACGTTCGGCCGGTGTGATATATGCCGTGTCCAGTCCACTTTGCTCGTGTTGCTCCGACTTCGACAAGCGGGACAAAGTCTTGGGAATTAGAAGGTATGCATGTGATTGAGCTACAAAAAAGCCATGTTCCCAGTTCCTGCATGTTGTGTTAGTGATCACTTCAGAACCATTTGATTGTGCCCAAGCCAACCTCACTCTCGTTTTGAACTCTGAAACATTGCATATCAAAATGCTCGCACCTAAATTCCTTGTCGCAGGCTTAATTGCCCTTGCCAGTGCCTCAATTCATCCAGAAGACATCAAGTTTGCCGCGCTTCTCAAGCGTCAGGCTCCAGGCACGCCCTCGTACAATTGCCATGATAATTGCGGTTGGTCTTTCGATATGTCTGTGCAAGCCTTAACTGACCAAATGATAGGCACCGCCATAAGCCTCTCGCGCCAACCTAACAAGTGCGAAAACGACGCATTCAAGACCAACTACAAGAACTGCCTGCAATGTGCTGGCCCCGACAACTACAACATCTGGCGCATGTATGGCAATACGTTGAGTACTGCTGGCGCAAGCTGTGGATTGAGCACCGAGCCATTGGCGGGCAAGCAGGATGATGTTGGCCCGGCAGTGCGTGCTGGTAGTAGTTCGTCGGCTGGTGCTGCGTCGGCGACATCTGCTGCAGCTACTCCAGCTCCAGCTCCAGCTACTGTAACCTCGAGTGCTGCATTGAGCTCAGTCTCCGGCTCTCCTGTTGCAAGCGGGAACGCGACAGCGAGCTTCACGAACGTAAGTGTAGTTCGGCGATATTTTGAGTAGTAGCTGACCAATATTGTAGTCTGTTCCTCCTCAGCAATCGATGAATGCCGGTACTCATATTGGTCCGGTCGGTGTACTTGGCACCGTTGTTGTTGGCGCCGTTGTTGTTGGCGCGATGGCTGTGCTGTGATTAATATAAAAGTTAAGTAGCTAGTGAGTAATGTAGCATATGTATATATGGAGATCATGAAATGAGACACTCTCAGTTTTTATTCAGGCGAGGATTAAGCAAAGTCGTACTAGACCAGACCAAGACAGTCGCAATATTTTCACTTAGTTTGTATCGTTCATTTACGAGCAGACAATAAACACTGGCAGCTCGCCAGTATTCACCTGAGCTACCGTAGTCTCCGAATAGTAAGCGTACCGTATACTCTAGAGAATGGGAGTTATGCTATGCCTAACAAGGTAATGTCCGAGGACGGTAAGAGGCTATTGGCTGGCCTTAGATGCAGGAATTTGGCTGCTCTACTGACGCTCGGATACTAAAGTATGAATAGAGGAGGCTTGTGGCAGCAGTTGTGTACGTTCTTGTTAGGAACTCTGCTATCTCTATACCTTGCGCAAGTTAGGCATAGCAAAGCTTTCAATATATAATTCATTTAGGATCTTATTTTTCTCAGCCCTATCTGTGAACGCTAAATTACCTTACTAGGCCTAGTAAAATCCCCAATTCCCGCAACGAGTCAGAGCTTGGAGTTTTCGTCTTCGGATAGTAGCGATACGGCGTCGTTGTACTGCGAGGTTGTATGCTTTGACATTTTGGACAGGCCTGTGTGGGGCAGGTAGGGCACTCCAGTGGATAGTCCCACACGTCTTGACACCTTGGACACACTGCGTAACCGAGGAGTTCGCGGAACGAGCATCCATGCAAACAGAACAAGCTTTGGAATGTTCGGCTGCCTGGGTGTTGGCTGTTGAAGTCTTCTTGACGCTGCCTTTGCGCTACGTGTGCTACCGCCTGTCGTTGGTATTCCGCTACCAGTCTTGCATCAGCTGCTTGTCTGCTTCTTCTCTGCTGCTCTTCCTGTTGCTCTCTGAGGATTCGTGCTCTCATCTCTTGCTCCACCCTCTGTTTCTCCAGGCTTGCTTGCCATGCGCGGTCTTTTTGCTTTCGGGCTACCCGTATGGCTGCTTGATCCTTCTCCCAAGCCTTCATTGCCTCTCTATCCCGCCTCTCTTGCTCCGCCTGCTGCCACCTTAAGAACTCGGCTCTTTGTTCCCGCTCAACCCTCGCCTTCTCTTGTCTCATCCGGAATTCTCTGGCTCTAATATTGTTCTTGATAACTCGTATCGTAAGCTCATCGCTGCGAATGGCAGCATTGATGTCTTCTTCTGCCTCCCTGAATTGGATTACAATTCCTGCGATCGTCGCGTCCAATTCTCTCTTCTTAGTCTGCAATAGCTCAGTGCGCTCCTGATTCGACTTGTTGAGCACTGCTACTTGTGCGGCTTCACTCAGTTCTTGTGTTTGCGAACTCGACGCGGCTGACGGCTGCGCTTCCCTCCTGCTTTCTGTAGACGCGTACTGGTTTCGAACGGCTGGGTAGAGTATATTATACGCTCGGCGTTTGGCTTCGTCTTTCAGCGTCTCGTAGGCTCGACCCAGCTATGTCGTATGTCAGTCGTGGCCAATGCAATGTATGATCTCAAGCGTACCAGTTGGAAGGCTTGCGTCGCATGGGGTCCGGGATTGCGATCTGGGTGGAGCTTGAGTGCCAGCTTCCTGTAAGATCGAACGATCGCCTCAGGCGTAGCATTACACGTCACCCCCAGGACAGTGTAGAAATCTTCCGTGGTCGGTAGTTGAACGATGTTAGGGGAATGAGTCTATTTTCCGTAGATCGTGATTGAAGGGGCCGGCAAAATGTATAAGGAGGACCTCACTAAAGTCACATGATCCGAGTAGAGGCGAAAGTGAAAGTTTGGGTGTTCTAATAGGGCTACGGGGAGCGTAAAGACGAATTTGGCTGTAAATCGCCAAGAACATGGAAATGCACTTAAGTTCATTGTGCTTCAACCTCAATGCTGGCACGGGTCTGCTGTGTCCTTACCCTGATGAATAGGGATGATGTGCGGTGTAAGGGAGACAGGTTAGCGATGAAAAGCGCAACAAAATTGTGACGTCCTCCACGAGCCACCCATGGTACCGTAGGTACGAACCCAACCTGGAGTGCATATTAGCCTGCCCCGCCAAACAAGCAATAACATCACTCACACATACGCCTTCTTTTTCCAGTAGGAGCACACCCATCTCTGATTCCAACCAATTAAAGTGCATTGCAGCCGCGAACACGGCGTGCGCCTTGCGCCCTATGATGCAGACGAAGGAGCCCCCACGAGAACCTGCGACAATGGGAGATCTATAAAAGAGCTCTTATGCTCTTCCTAATGGCAGACATATCATCATGGCTGTCCCTAACCGCGGCCCGGACACAGAATTATCACCGCGCCTTCACCTCGCCTCGGCTATCCGCGCCGATGCCGCTCTTGTCAATACATTAACAACTTTCATAAATGAAGGTTATCGCTACTTGACACCCCGAGAGTGCAACACGTTGGGACGGGGTCTACGGCGGCGAGCGCCTGTCGCAATCCCATTCGATACACGACGCTCTCGGTCATGATGGCATGTTCGCCGTCATATACGATGTGCACGACTCTGCCACTCCAATTGCGTGCGCAGCTGCGAAGCGCTGGGAGAGCGATCTAGATGACTACAGTGCCGCCGATGAAGATGGTTGGGAGATTTTGATGGTCGCGACGCGGGTGGGATGGATGCGACGAGGGCTTGCAGGACGATGTGTTGACGCGCTGGTTGCGAAGCTGATCAGCCAGACACGTGAGGACGAAGCGCGTGAAGACGGCCATGCGAAGGTGAAGATATGGATTCACGCGGTCGAGGACTTGAACGGGGCATATTGGCAGAAAAAAGGATGGGCGGTCATAAGAGCGTACGAAAAGCCAGCTGGTCACTGGGGCTCGATCTTGGGGTATCGGCTTTTGGTGATGCTACGGGAGTTCGGCCTGCGTTGAGCAAGTGTGATGAATACGCATTTGCAGATGTCTACAGCAGCACGTATGAGTATGACGCGTCGATGAGATAGTGGATGTTGGTCCCGCAAGTGCCTGGCCAGGGAGCCCGAGATTAGCGTCTGCGGTGTCATGCCCGTGTAGACGCACAACTCTACAACGATCTAATACGGACATTCAGCATCAAATTAAGCCATTCTCGTGAACGCAAATCGTAATTTTGAGCAAGTTCAGCGCTCCTTATGATGTTTTTTTCTAAAAACTGTCTTTGTAAAGACTTCAGGCTCCCCTCCCGCCCGTTTCGTGGCTAAGCTGATACGTTAACAGTTATTAGAAACTTTTTGAATTATGAAAAGAAGATATAAGAAACTTTCCAATAATTGGCAATGATGAAAATTTTAGGTCATGCTCTCCTCATCGCACCACTCCTTGTAACCCTGATCACCTCGTCTCACCTACATCTTTCCCGATTTCGACCAAACCTTTACCTGACCGAACGATCTGTACAACATCATTCCCTTCTTCTTCATTTTGGCCGCCCCTTTAAGCGTGTTAGATACTCCAATCGTATACACAGCGATACCCTTTTTGTCAAACTTGACTGGGACTCGGAAAATGTTCTCAAGCAAGTTCTTGTAAGCCAGAGGTCCAATTTGCATCTGCCCCGGAGCAGGAGGTAGAGCTTGACCTTTTGCAGCTTGCTTGTTCACCTTCGGCTTGATCGGTCCGGCTGCCTTAGTAGCTGGGTTGAAGGCTTGGTAAGTCTGGCGATTTGGTGGAGGTGCAGTGGCTGAAGGATTGTAGGCTTGATACACTTGATTGTTTGTTTTCATGTTTGGTCTTATCGCAGAGGTAGGTGGTGCAGCCTTCTGATTCTGATTATTCAATGGTATGCCTGCGCTCGGAGGGTATTGAGGTCTCTGACTGGTGGCAGGTGCATGGGCGCCGCGCGAAGCAAGTTTGTTAGGCTGAGACGCTATTCCAGGTTGGCCTCGAACGTTGCCTTGGGTAGGCTTCGGATTGAACTTTTGCTTGCCTCGTGGATCCGGATGACCGCCGCTCCTCAACTTTGGAGTGTCTTTTGGAGGTGCACATGAAGGTTTGTGCTTCGCATTTACCGGCGGACGGGGATGACTGACACTGGCTAACGACGGGGCTTTGTTTGAATTTGCTTGCGGAGCCGCATAGTATGTATCAGGTACTGGAAGCGCATGGTAACTGTTCGCTGGCGGATAGGCGGTGTTGGTCTTGGGTGCCACAGGGTTGGGCTTCGGCTTCCTCAGACCAAAGAACGAAGACTTCTGCTGAGTCGGCGCTGTCCCAATGGAGCGGGGGGCATTTACCGCAGGATTGGCGTTTCCTGCATTGTCTGTACGTCCAGTATGATTCGGCGTCGACGAAGGGAGAGAGTAGTTTGCACGTGATGCAGGAGCCCTGTCGATGCCCTGGAACGAAGGAGTGTAAGCCAAGTACGATGTTGAAGGTGCGTAGTCGAGATTGGCTGATACAGGAGCATAGCTCAGATTCGTCTCAGAGAGATCATAGTATGCGGCTGATTGGTTGGTTGAGTCATCGTAGTACGACTCATCGTGTACGTAGTTGTTGTGATTGGTAGACTCGTAGTTGATGTAGTTGATGTTAATGTTGGTAGTGGCAGCATTTTCCGCAGACCTGTCATTGCCGGAAGCCTTTTCTGCATCCTCATCCTCTGCCTCTTCCTCACTTTCGTTCACATCCTCATAGTCGTCGTCGTTGTCTTCCTCATCATCTTCGTCATCATCTTGCTCGCCGTCTTCACCATCATCTTCCTCATTGTTGTCACTGCTTTCGGACTGTTGCTCTTCTTCACTCTCTGAGGTGTCATCTGAATCGCCAGTGGGCTCAGCGTCAAACTGTACAAGATGCTCGACTTCGTCGTCCTCTACCCATGGAGCACCTGAGGCATAATATGTGCCGTTCTCAAAATTTTGGCCCGTTTCCTCTGAAAGATAGGAGTAATCAAGTTCAAACTCGGCCATGTGGAACGTGGTGGTGAACGAGAAAACTGGTTTGGGGCTGTTTCAACTACAAGATCGAAGCTTAGAAGCTAAAGGAAAGTTTGAAAAAGGGGCGCGGAGGCCTAGGTTTGAGCCTTTGCACCCGGATCAGAGTTGCGCAAGACGTCGCTTTCCGTCCAGCGTGATCCATCGTGTCACTGACCGGTCAACACTTTCTATCAGCATTACCGACCACGCGTCGCTCATCCGGACTCCTTTGAGAACCCAGCGATTGCCAATGAAATTTTGCGCGTTTTCCGGCATCTCTGTAAGCGCTGCATACGTAATGCCGTTGATGCAGTGGTTGAGCACTGTGAGGTAGTACGATGCTACATAGGAACCGCACTGAATAAATGCGGCTACCACCCTTGTACGCGGGATTGTGAGCAAAGTTAGCGGAACCACGTACGTGTATTAGCTTCAGAATCTCAGCAAGCAGTAACAATCTTTCCCGAAGATCTAAGCAAAGTCGGAAGCCTCACGTGATGCTAAGTCAGAGGCAGTAAAGCCTCGGTGCGTGTACTGGCGCTCCAAGACCATATTTTGGTTGCGAAGCGTTTCCAAGTAACACCCAGTGTGATATCAAAGCAAAATTTGAAAGACAGTAATTCATTGGACAATACATCTTCATTCAGGATGAGTGGCGGTTTCTTGCTCGCGAGTCTCTGCTGTGCCATGAGCCTCTTAGGTAGCATCAAGATAACATCAGACACGATCGATGTGAGAGTGTGCGACCTTCTCGTTGTGCTCGCTCTCATCATCTGCAAGCTTGTTGTCCGTCGTGTGTGATTCCGGAATTTGGACCGACCGCTCGAAGCCGAAGAGCTGGTCCATTTGATCCATGCGCAGACCTTTGGTGTCGTGGATGAAGAAGAAAGCATAGACACTCGCGGCAATCAACGCTGTGGCGAAGAATACATATACGCCCCATTGCATGCTTGTGTACATCTGCGGAAGTGCCTTGGTGACGACCAAAGTCCAAATCCAAACAGATGCCGCAGCGAAAGGGACCCGAGATCGACCTCAGTGATGACGGGAAGATCTCTGCAGAGATGATCCATGGAAGTCCATTGGCACCGAAACTCTGTCATGCAGCGGTTAGCTATTCTCAGAATACAATTCAAAGGTTTGGACGGGTACATGGTGGCTGCGCTCGATACTCGTGATCAAAATTCGATCGCATCGTGTAACGCCACTACCATTCGCCGGGAATTCACTCACCCATGCAGCTCCAAAGATCATAATCATGGCCGTTGCTCCCTTTCCTCCGGCGACCGTCGAGTCGGACATTGGGTTGGCCAACCGTTGGCTTACCGAGTGCGATGTATATAGCCAGGTAATACTGACAGAATGCGCAGATCAAGGACGATACAATCCAGGGCCACTTGCGGCCAAACTTATCGATGAACCAGGTGAAGAATATGATAGATCCAACGGCTTTAATGATACTCGTAAACACCAGTCCAAAGCGTGACGTCGCTCAGTCCGATCGACGTGAAGATGGTTGGTGAGTAGTAATTGGATGGCCGCGGCACCACTCCACGCCTGCCACATGAACATGAGGAAGACGAGTAGGAAGCGGTTGCGCATGCCCTTTGTGCTTCCCTCCTTGGCGGCACTCTTGATCATGCGACCGAAAGTCGCATGCTTCTCATCCCCAACAAGATGAGCTCGCTCCTTGGCAATCTCAGTCTTGACAAACTGCACGTCCTGCTGGATGTATTCGTGGTCCTCCGGCAGGTTACGGAAAAAGCTGTAGACCTTGAGAGCGTCGGCATCACGACCGCGCTTGAGCAACCATACAGGCGACTCCTTCAAGAATGGGATCATGATGGCGAGTAGTCCGGCTGGGATAAGCTGTACGGCCATTGGAATTCTCCAAGCGGTGGACTTTGTACGATCCATGTTGTGTACGATGCCATAGTTGATCCAGAATCCAATGACGGCTCCGGTCTGGTAGAATGACTCGAAAAATCCGGTAAGACGACCACGAATGGCGGGTGGGGAAATCTCAGCAATATATATTGGCGAGACGGCTGCGATACCTCCAACTCCCATCCCAGTGAAGAAGCGGCCGGCATAAATAAGACCGAGCTGGTGGGTAGGAACAGTGCAGAAGACGGCGCCGATGATAAAGATGGTATCGGCAATGATGACCGTCATGCGACGTCCGAGAAGCTCGAGTGCAGGGTACATGAGCAAAGCACCGACTAAGCCTCCTGCAGAGTCTAGGGACGTGAATTAGCATACCATTGGCCACTCTGCGAGTCCTCCTCGGGATATGTGGTAAGTCTTTGAGATGCTTTACGCGTCGCAAGTTATGTCGTATAATTCCAAGAGACTGTGAACCTACAGATGGATGTGATATTGCTATTGACTTCATTAATCTCCGCTTTGGTTTTCTGAGATGGAAGAAGTCCAAAATCGCGCTTGAAGCTCTCGTGCGTGATCGTTGTTCCGATGAAGGCAGAGTCTGCTAGCTAGTTAGACCCAGATACAATTGAAGGCTGGTGTCGGAGTGCTGACCATAACCATATGCAAGCACGCCCATAGAAATCACCAAGGCTGCCATGTACACCTTCCAGTTGTACTGTTCAGTCGGTAAGCATGAGTGTCATCCATGATGATGACCGTGTTGTATACTCACGACTTCAGGAGGCGTTGGCCTATCTTCTGGAGCCCTTGCGAAACCACCCATGATGACAGAGATACTAGAGCACTTCGACAAAAGTAACAGAGGGTTGAGGCTGCACTGATGCTGATCTCAAATCCGGGGTATCACGGTCTTCTTATGCAAACATGAGGCTCGGAACCCCAGAGTTTCTCGCTTCTCCACAGTTCCTTGTCACTGGGGCAGACGACCGGGGTGTTACTTCCGAGAAGACGGGTCTTGGACGCGGATGTCGACGTAGCGACATGTCGGAGGCCATCAGGATTTTGCACGCCATGCGACGACAAGTATTGACACCATGCGACGCCTTTGGCATGCTCCGGCATACAAAATGGGGACGGGAGACTCCAGTGGGGACTCCATGTGGCGTTCAGGCCCCATGGGACGCGAGACGAGGCATAACAGAGTCGTGGAGACGGCAAATGCGCCCGAGTCATCGCGTGGGCTCGCAAGCGCTAGTATGAGACAGGCAAAGGTACTGCTCTTTCCGGCCCAAGTGCATATCTTTCCGACATAGCTTTGCCGACAAGAAGCGACTGCCAGTCGATACTCCCAAGCTCATGCGATGTCGCCGTTGGTGGGTCCCATACACTCTCCACACTTCTCCAGAGAAGTCGCGCCTTCGGAATCGTCGGCTTTAGATTCGGAACGCATCGAACAGCAGAGGAATTCATAATGGCGTCTATCCGCTCTTCGAGCTTTGGGATTTCCAGGCCCCTTCTTGATCTTTTGATACTAGCTGAAATACATATCCACAATCTTGCAACATGCCTTCCGCCGAAACCTTCCCCACAAGCAATGGCCAGAGCGACTACTCGTTCGCTCCCGGCATTCACGTCCCTTCTCTGACATGGTTCAAAGATGACGAGACTCAAGAGATCGATTGGGACGTTCAGGAGAAGCACTTCGAGTTTCTCATCTCCAATGGCCTTCACGGTATTGTGATTGCTGGCACGAACGGAGAAGCAGCAACGCTTTCATCAGCAGAGAAGATGCAGTTGGTTCAAACGGCACGCAAAATTGCTCAAAGACTCGGACGCGGTGATCTACCTATTACAATTGGTGGTGTGGCAGGCTGCACACGCGATACCATCCGCCAAACAAAAGAGGCCAAAGAAGCTGGCGCATCAGCCTTCCTCGCACTCGTACCGTCATACTTCCACTTCGCCATGAACCAAGAAGCGATCGTCAGCTTCTTCAAAGAGCTTGCAGACGCTAGCCCAATCCCTATCGTCATCTACAACTTCCCGGGTGTAGTTGCAGGTCTTGAAGTGAACTCTGAGATGCTCGACATCTTGGGCAAGCACACAAATATTGTAGCTGTGAAGCTTACTTGCGGTGGCATTGCGAAAGTAGCCAGGATATCGGCTAGCTTCAAGAAGAGCGAATTCGTTGCGCTTGCTGGGCAAAGTGACTGGTTAATTCCAGCGTTGAGTGTCGGAGCTGTTGGAACGATTACTGGCGTCGCGAACTTGTATCCCAAGGTAGGCATCCCAACATCATCTTTGTCCCTCGATCGTACTAATGGTCTTTAGACATGCATTCACATGTACAACCTCTACCAGCAAGGCAAGCACGACGAAGCATCCGCACTTCAGATCAAGCTCTCGGTCACAGAGTGGGGCTTTGGTAAGGGCGGTATCAATGGCACCAAATGGGTTGTTGCAAAGAAGAGGGGATACCCTGAGGCGAGCGCAGACTGCAGGCGGCCATACCCCAGATACACAGATGAGGAGAAGAGGAAATGGGTTCTCAACCAGGTTTCTGGACTGGACGAGATCGAGGCTTCGCTTTAAAAACCTAGATCAAATTATATGCAAAGAGCGAAAAGAAATCCAGATTCAATGTTGTGACTACGTAAAAGTACTATTCCTAGCGACAATCAGGTCTTTTGATCGCAGTGGTAGCAACCACAAATCAAGTTGGGCTGACGAGGTTCAGCAGGAGAACGGTTTAAGTACCGTATCGCTGAAGTGAGTTCGCACTGTATCGTTCGCAAGCGATGCACTTTTCTTAGCCTCATCCGTGTCGAGACTGTTGCATTCTTCTGTCCAATCAACTTGTTTGGTGAGGATATCCACAGAGCTATTGATTTGTTGAAACATTGCATCGACGTGTCTATCATAGACGGCGGTGTTTTTGATACGGAATAGTGCTCGATGGGTCCTACCCGAGCTCTGCTCCCAGGTATTCATTAACCCATGTGCCGTCGCAATGGTCTCTGGTCTAAGTCCTTGTACCTTACCGTACCAGTTCCCTGTGGCAACTATGTTGTCACAAACGGCCCTCGTGGTGCTCAAGGGAGCGACAGCTATATGCTTGTCAACATATATCTGCTCGTATATCGTGACGTCGGTGCAGGGCTTGAAGTTGCCGAACTGAGATCCACTAAAATCCAAGCAATATATTTCATTGGGGTTGGCATCAGAAGTAACCTCAAAGATCCAGTGGCTTAATTGCTCTATTGGTGGCCAATGGGTGGGACGAGACACCTCGATGGAATCCTTCAGATCGAAGTTCACTTCTTCGTACAAATGACATACTAGTCTTGTTAGCCGTAAATGGGAGTGCAAAATTACTACTGCAGGTTCTCACCTGCGAGGGAACGCGAACAAGGTACCTGGAGCTATACATGGGGCCTTGCTGTTACAATTGAAGCATGGTGATACTGTGTATAGCTTCAGGCTATTGGATACCCTTACTACTTTCCGTCGTAGTTGACAACCTGCAGAAAAGCGCCGGCTGTATGTAAGCGATCGCTTGGTCGTCCAAAAGAGAGTAGTCATGTCCGGCTACAAACTCCGTGACTGTATCGTACCGAATTCGATATAACATCCCGTTGCACAAGATTTCGCCTTACGTTGGTGCTTTTCTATGCGCGCTTCTCTCCGGCAGTTCGACTCGTACAGGCTAATTGCAAAACCACGTTGCACAATATCTCCGTTGAACTATAATATCGACCGACAACCCAGGGTCGTGCATCGCTAGGAATAAAAGCGAATATCGCCGGTCAGATACTGACAAGGGTGACGTTTTCGGCTCCACCTTCAATCTCGACATTTTGGATTTCGATTGAGTTAGGGAGTGGCCGATTGAGGCTGTACAATAACCAAGCAAACTTACATGCACTTCATTTGTCGAAAGAATGAGAGGAAGAAAGTATTAGTCAAGATTCAAATTGCTGGACTACCTGGATATTGTCAGCAGGTATAAAGGCAGTGGAGAAGCGGTTGTCCCTGTTCTGCCTCAGTATTCTGCATTACAAAAATGTATCTATCTTTTTTCGCCTGCATAATCGCTCTTCTTCCAGCATGTGCGGTGGCTGCACCGGTCGCAGCTCCTGTCCTTCCGCCAGCCGGCGGTGTTAGTCTATCTTCCCCTGTTGTCGATATGGAGGGCAGTGGTTGCAAGCAAGGAGATGCGCACGTGGTAATTGCTCGGGACAACTCAGCTATGACGATTATCCTCGACAACTTCCAGGCTGCCGACGGTCCAACTGCTGGAAAGATCAAGAGTCGTGCTTTCTGCCGAGTGACCATCGGTATCAACTCTCCTGGTTGGGCCTTTGATATTAGCTCCGCCGATTTTCGTGGATATGTCAATCTCGACACTGGCGCTGAAGCAAGCCTAGTCTCGAGGTGGAAATATGTTGACGCAAACGGGGTCGATCTGAAGGGCAAGGTAGGCAGCGAAGTCTAAGCGCTTGAATAGAACAATTCGCTAACCAATGAATTTTTTAGGGAAACATCCACAAGATCGTTACCGGCCCATTTAGCAACGATTTCCTCCTGCATAAAGATGGCGAGCTCTCCGGTAACGAGGCTTCAGTATGCCAAAAGAAGGATGCGAAGCTTGCGATCAGTCTGTCCGCAACTGTGACATCGAATACAGCGACCGCCAACGGTTATGTACAGGGAAGCTCACAAGACTTCGCCTTCAGCCAGATATTGAATCTATCGTGGAGGAAGTGCTGAACGTGGTATGTTGAGCTGCAACCCGTCTCTGCATAGTGTGATACAGTTTTGGTCATCTGATGAGCCTACCAGACCACAGCATATATAATTTTAGTCCTCCAGAGCTGGGTTGAGGACAGGTCGAACGTATGGGATGTGCAATAACGGGACAGCTGCGGCAAGTGGGGGCTCGTATTGACGTAATAAGTTAGTAGCGTATTCGCGTCATTCGGCAACTGGGGGCGCGCCTCACCAATTCCTTTCTCCTGCAACGTGCAAATCATCAAAGCCCATCGCATACCGCTCGCACATGCTCGCTCATCACGCTGAACAATCTCAATCAATCGCATATAATCCAGTGTACCTAATTGGAATTGTTCAGCCCTCACCCACCTAGGTAGTGTCCACGAGCATATACCCATGTTGCCCTGACAGAACTCGATACGCAGCCGAAAGTGGGAAAACAAACTCTGAGCCCATAGAGCTGCATCGCAATGAAAGGACCTGTCGCTTTATGGCCAAAAACATGTGTTCCTGATGCTGTCTATGGTACAAAGCTGGTAACCATCGCAAAACCACCGACGCACCATCGTTGGTGTATACTAACTCCTGCATTAGCGCATAGTCAAGGCTGAAGGTGAAAAGCAGCCAGACATTCGAAAGCTGGAGCTTCATCAAGCGCTGTATTGTCCACATCTACCGGGTGCAGGACACGCTCAAGCATTCAAAGCGTCTTGGACCAACTGACGATATTCGGAGCTTGTCCTAATCGAGGACATCATATCATGAACACAAGTCCGCAGAGATACCAGGTGCGGCGTCGAAAAGCTCTTCCGGCAGACGGAGCATCTCCGGCGGTGTGAGGTGTGACCTCAACATCCATTCGTCGAGGCCCAACTGCAGATGATCCGCGGCGAGGAAAAGAAACAGTGTACGGAAGACCTCCCGAGGCCTTTCACCCGCGCGCAATCTTGGAACTTGCTCTTATGATATCCCGAAGCCATACACATTCGGCTGACCCAAGCGAGAGGTTGGTATACCTCCGCACGTAGTTTGGCGCTGCCATTGGCCTGGGTTGGAATGCCGTATGTTCGACCTGTCGGATCCAGGATCCATCGCTTGCCATGAACAGAGGCCACAAGCTGAAGCACTCGATGCTGCTGCGGATCTTGTACGTGGCGATTACCATTCGCGTCTGCGCAGCGTAGTACACCAGCTCTCGGGGCTCGTAGCATGTGGAACTCCGCTTCCTCGACTCTTGATACAGGCATTCCTAGTGGTTGTAAGACTTTACTCCGTAGATAGCAGCGCAATTGCTAAGTCACCCTTGAGCATTTGAGCAATGAAGTCATGCAGATAGGCCAGAGCGTGCTCGCTACGACCAACACCGAGGACTGCGTGTCTATCCGAAAGATCTGGTAGCATTTCTGCCGGAAATGGGAACAATGCCTGGTTTGACACTCGTAGGTTGTTTGAACCTTCGGAAACCATCACGACATCACTGCCCTTGGGCAATGCTGCTAATCTTGAGCGTATAGGCGCGCTCAGAGAAGACATAGAAGATCTCTCGGAGTGTACTCGCCTGGAAGCAAGTCACGGAATTCACGGCCATCGTGTTTGCGGAAACCAGCCAACAAACAACGGTCCTGGTGGGGAGATTCAGGCCCATAGCCCGACAAATCTCGCTGCAGTATGGGACCATGGAACATGCCGGGCAGGTTATTTTACCCTCATCACCACATGTCGCACAGGGCTTCGGCGCGTTTGGGTTCATTTCTGCGGCTGTTCCATTCGACGAATAAGGCGCACGGGTACGGATTGTGGCTTTGCGGCCGAAACGTGAGTCTCATGATGCAGGAGCTGAGAAACAAAAAGACAAAAATCTAACAGATCGCAGCCAGCGACTCACAGTTGTTTCCAACGGCCATGCTGGTGTCTGTAGTAGCAGTGTCAGCCTTGGAATCTGAATTATTAAGTGATATCGTCATACCGGTGTCTGTACCAACTGAGACGCTTGGAGTAGCAGCTAGGCGGAAGTGTACGAAGAGTACGCAAAAAGATTGAAGATAAAAAGTCCTTGGACAAAGGAGCGTGGTTTCTGAGAAAGAGTCTGGCACCAACAACGGCCTGTAAAGCAAGCAGAGGAAGAAGGAAGGATGCGGCACAAGGGCAGCGGGAGTTTGTAGAAGATCAAATGCTCACGGAGCAAATGATGGATTTATACCCAGCCTACAGGATCTGCTGTTCGGCAAACAACCAAATAATCACCCAGTGAGAGGGCTCGAGGGCTGCGCCTCATCGCCGGCCATGTATTCCGGGAGACGTAAGAGAGGCAATCGCCAGACTCGTTTTAGTGGCAATTGCGATACTCAAGCGGTCAGTGATTGCAAGGGTACAGATTGAGACAGAAACAATTGACTGTTATCCGCAAGGTGAGTGCCACGATGACATTTGATTTCGGGGACATGCTGCACTGAATTTGCAGTGACCATGCTGTGCGCCAGCAAGACCCCGATAGCCAAGTGTGACATTGGCGGCCACCCTACTGAACACAAATGTACGTGGATAGCATGACAGGTTCTAGATGTGCGTTAGGAGTAGGCTGGCCTCTGCTTGTTCATCAGTAAGTCGTGGACATGAAGAGGCTAAGATATGGACCATGTTTCAAGAACTGACATTAGGTTTCGCTTGCCCTCATCCATGCACGCTTTTGTCCTAGAGCGCCTACATGAAGAACGCCAATGTGCGGCAGTCCGTTTCCCGGCGTCGTTTGGTGTTCTGGAGATCATCGTGTTGCAAATCCGATTCCAAACCATCCCTGCTGAACATGGTCCTCGTCCACTCGCGCAGCACAGTGGCATCGCATGCCGAAACGCACGCTCTCTCAGAACTGTTTCTAAGAGCTAAGATCACAGCGAACCGAGCTCCGGTCGGAGCTTACTAGTACATCATGTTCGCCTGTCCTCAGTTCATCTTGTCGTGAGCCTTTGTGAGTTCACCACTTCTTTGCTGAGATAATGCGCTATGGTCTTGCCAGGTACGGCCGACAATGTAGCACTGGTGCTACATCGATCTTACAAGACCAGAACTTATTCAATAATATCTAATACGATGGGCCCGGGTCAGACAAGAGACGGAATGAACGCTGGCGGCAAGAGCGAGATGGAAAACGCGAGGAACGAAGGCAGCGGACGTATGAACCGGAATGCGACAGACCCGTTACCCACAATATCTCACGCACAAGGGAACATTCGCCCTGCTTCGCTTCGGCAACGGCTAAAAGCGACTTCGAGTATCTCAGCTACACCTGCTGTTACCATGCAGGGGTCGCGGAACCAGACCTACACATCAGTCACACAATCCAAGAACTCGACCGCAACCGGTGTCGGTAGGCAGGCAGAATTGGACACCGTCCCTATGCCAGGAAAGAATCAAATCATGCCCAAGTTGAACATTACTTCTATTGGAAATTTACCCGCGGCTGCGATAGGGCGACCATTGCCTGGTAAGAATCAACCAAGACCAATACTGGATGGTGTTGCCGCATCCTTGACTCAGCTGGTTGAGCCAGAGCCACTGTCTACACTCAGTTGGTCATCGTCGAGCTCATCTACTTCGACATTGTCGTCTTCACTGACAACTTCATCGCCAATCTCGACTTCAACACCGATCTCGTCTTTCGCCACTCTTACAATGTCCCAGTCAGGCAATGGACAAGCGCCTATCTCGTCTGTTATTGTATCCAGTTCGCAAGCCACTCTTGTAGCCAGTTCTCTCTCTACAACGCTGTCGTCTATTCTCGTGGTCACATCAATCATCACCGCTCCTACTGGACAACCAATCTTAAATGGCTACCGACAATGCTGAGCTGCGGCAACGGGGCTAGATTGGACGCCATTGGCGAAGAACCTTGTTCATTATCCTTGGGGCCTGTGGTTAAGCTTCGTCACATCTCATAGTACGCTCCCCGACTTACCAATTTAGGTGCTGCCGCTCTCCTCATCGCTTTTGGAGTCGTCGTCATTCTACAAGTGAAGAAAAAGCATGCTCGTGAAGCACAGGAGCGTCCCGCTGAGCCAGATTTCGACTACTTCAGGAATGACGGCAACCCCAGCTTCGGCGAACTCAACTTCACGACAGACGCGTCTGTCAGCAACAACACTCGCAACTCTTTCCATGACAACCCATTCTTGACCGAAAGCGAGAAAGCCATTGTGACGCGAGCTGTCACGCCTGACGAGGAGCGAGACGTGAGTTGCACAGACATATCTTACACCATGACCAGACACTAATCAAAACGCAATAGTCGCACTCGCATCTTTCCATCTCTACGTTCAACGACGACATCAAAGCTTTCATCGCGAAATCGCGACGCCTCACGTATAAAATAAGTCCATGATCTGTACGCCAGCGCGCAAGCACCAGAAGTTCAGACCAATTGTAAATACACCAATACCCGTAGATAGCCCGTATCAACTACTTAATGACCTGTTATCCACTGCGTCTCATCTGCACCTGCAACTCAGTGTTTGAAACACGCAACAACCGCGTTCCGAAAACCACCCCCAGCCATCCTACCAAACAAATCCCGTTTCGCCAAATTGTCACACCTTCTAAAATAAACTTCCCTCTCCGTAGCCTCCCGTCAGCAACTAAATCCCGCAGTCTTGTGTTTTTTTTTTTCTGCTCCCTTGTTTTTGTCCGAAAATCATGCAGCGGGTACCCTACCCTTCCCGCCCCGCGCGCCGAGCCTTTAATAACCCTTGCTCAACACCAATTACTAATGCAAACTAGTCTAGGTTGGCCGAATGGAGGGTAGTCAGAGCTAGTGCTGCGATCGATGGTTGCGATTTTGGGAAGGATGTGGATGGGGGCTAGAGTGAAGGTGGGCTGGGGACAAAGGAGTAGCGTGGGGTGGGTGAAAGGGTGGTGTGGTGGTACAAAAAGGGCGGGTTCAGCCTTGCGGGGGAATGGGGAATGGGCATGGATGGAAGAGAGTTTGGGAGATACTGAATATGGTAACGAGACTTGCTTCTGAGGTCTGAGTATTCTTGACGCTTTTTGGCATACTTCTTGCGTTCCGCAATGCCTGTCTTTGGGCGAGGTAATCTACTTGTTTCGCTAGCATGGCTCTTCACGCGACCGGATAAGTTGGGACATATCATCGATGTACTACTAACTGCAGTGTTGGAATGCAGGGCGATATTAGCCAACAATATGACGCGGCTACCGACCATGCACTGGAAGCGACTAGTACAATGTCGTGAGCGAACTGGGACATGCTGAAGCGAGCTGTGCCAAGTGTCAGCAACTAGTCGCAGCAAGACCGAATGCGTCATACAGCAAAACATGTATCATTACTTTGCGGGTGAATCAAGAACGTTCGCGGTTAATGAAAGGAAAACTAAGTTTATTGGGGTATCAAATTGAGCCTATGGAGAAATGCTTTCGTCTTGTCAATGCCCCAACGAACACCTGTTGATGTCCGTATTCATGGAGCTCAGCAAGACGAAGCCGACATCTAGTTCTTGTAGGAGGGTGGCAGATCGTTTGCCTGACCCTGGGCAGCCTGTCGTGCCCGCCTTCGCTCCCTGCGGTCCATCTCCCTCGCCACCGCCTTGGCGAGCTTCCTCCTTTCCTCGCGCTCCCTGTTCTTGACGATATCCTCACGGCTCTTGCCAGTCCAGGTATGCTTGAACTCCTTCCAGAACTTCTGCTTGAAGGTCAAGGTCTTGTCCGCCTCCTCGTCGGCCTTGCGCTTCTTGTGGTCGTCCTCGTCGTCGGTGTCGAGGAAGTCGGATTCATCCTCGTCGACGAGACGCTCAGACTCGAGTGCGATGGCGCCCTGGTTGCGGGCTTTGTCCCAGGCTTTGGTGCGCTTGTATGCGACGCAGGTCATGATGGACGTGAGGAGTACAAAGGGCATCGACAGGAGAGCCACCATGAAGATGCCCAGGGCAAGGAGGTCTTGGAGGTCTTCGTCCATGATGGGCAACAAAGGGTGCAGTGATTTGATAGGTTTGTAGGTGTGGCTTTGCAGTCGTAGGGGGTAGGGGATGTAGAGGGTGTGGAAGGGGTATGATATAGTTGTTCGGATTGGCATTCGCCACCCGCGTGGCTGAGCTGACGACGTCAAGGGGACCTGGTCGCGAGTCAGGCCTGTTGACATGTGACGCGACCAATGACTTCGGGAATGTTCTTCCCTCCGCATGTTCATTGGCCAATCCTGTCTGTCCTTCAACACATACTCCGTGCTTGCCTGTCTGCCTTCACGATGCAGCCCGAGCAGATATCACCTTGCGTACGGCTCAATGTGCCATCACCTGCAAGATTCATGGGTTGTAGGGATATGCACGCCGCAAACTACACGCGCACGCGACGTGCTTCACGCAAACTCAACTTGCTAGACCTCTCGTGTGCGTTTTGAATGCGAAATGTGCCCAAAGGTATACTCACATTGCTCCGAGCGGGTTTTCTCTCTGGCCCGAAACTCTTGAAGTCAATCCTAAATCTCTCTAGCGATATATGTACATCTTCGTTCTTCTTTGCATGTTTTCTAATGATCGTGTACATGATAACTCCACATTCACCTTCACCTCCGCTTTGCGTTACGCCGGGATAAGGTTTACCCACGTCTCTGCCGCTCTCACCTGGACTCGAGCTTTCTGTACCGTACTGCACACCTTTCTCGCACCCAGTCAAGGTCGACCCGTCAACCAGAACCTGACCATGGCTATAGATGCGCCTTCAACGTGTGCGGTCTGCGAAAAGCCGGCCTCGGACAAGTGCGCGCGCTGCAGGGCGTCGGCTTACTGCAGCAAAGAGTGTCAAGCTGCCGACTGGAAAACCCACAAGACCGCCTGCGCCGATTTACAGCTTGCCACGATTCTCGAGCGGGCTGCCGATATTGTTCATAAGGCTTACCTCAACTTCCGCGAAACCACTTGGGACACAGTCAACTCCAAAGTCGAGATTCGAGACGATGAGGTCGTGGTGTACGACGAGTTCGAACCACATCCTTCACCGCTGTTCATCCCATTCCCGAACCATCTGATGAAGGACGAAGGTGTCAAAGAGGCTGTGCTTACTTTCGATACATGCAATGAGCCTCTTGTTTACATGGAAGAGCTCTTTCAGCAGCTACTCCACGGTAAGTTTGAACTCGAAGTGTGGCCTGGATGTTCGACTAAAACAAGCTAGGCTGTGCTATCAAGATCCAAGAGGTGGGCATAAAACTCAAACCTGTTCCTCGCAAAACCACGGCTGTCTTCATAGATGGCACGGTGCGCACCAACTGGCCGGACAACATCCACGAGGTGTTGCGCGTTACCTCGACGAAGAGCGGAAAAACTTGGTACATCGACATCAGCGGCGGACAATACGGCATAACTCGTACCTTTTGGACAGCCAAAGAATTCTACGCCACGTACGTCAAGACTATAGTGTCAGTTCTTCCCTTCGGTTCCAACAAGAAGAAAGTAAGCGACGGAGGTCAATGCCCTGGTCTCGCAGGCCTCGTATTGCGAAAGACTATGGAGGCCTCCACTCTTATCAGCGAAGCTATCGCTACTTGGACCAAGGCAAACAAAATCAGTCTATCAGCCCTTGTGAGACTACCTTCGGGAACTTTCGAGAGCGAGAAGGAAGCGCTCCTAACAGCTTTGCACCAGCCGGTGCGAGACTTTGTTCTCGACTCGGACTTCACCAAGCAGAAGGACGCCGCCGCCATCGAGCACTTGGAGCACAACAGCGGTCGGCCCCTGACGGAGAAGCAGAAGAAGCTTTATATTGGCCTTTTGCAAACGGCAGGAAAAGGAGCCAAGCTGCGACTTCCCGCCTTTTGAGACAACTTGGCAACTACATACAGTTAGCACTTTAATGGATGCACACGAAACGGACAAGATGTACATTTAGCCCAACTGTTCTTGGGCTCGTGTCTATGCTTTCAAAATCGACTGGAGAAGGTGCTTAAAGCCTATCAAACGGACGGGCATAGTGGGTACACGTCTTACACGTAGCAGAGAATTTCAGTGCAGTAAAATGGTATAGGTATGCGGATGGTGGCCACCATGGCCTCTTTCCACTTCTTACATATTCCAACTTCTCTATAATCCATCAGTTTACTACATCTGTGTCAAATGTCTACCATCTCCATTCGTAACGTTTCCTATATCGCCTGAAGCCTTTTGATGAGGCGAATTACAGCCAGCCAGTTCTCGCCTTGGCAGAATTCGAGGCTGGTAGTCTGCATGTGATTCCGTACAGTAATCGCACCTTCACCTCGTCTAGTAGCAGTTCCGGAGAAACTTTTCACTTGCGCTACTACAACTTTGCAAGCCGTTTGATTCTTCTCCTCCACACCACACCAAACAAAAGCCGCGAATTCGCGCTCTGCCTCAGTATGGCTCCAGAATCTGTATCCAAATGCCAGGTTTGCGACAAGCCAGCGACAAGCGTGTGCGGCGGCTGTCAATCTGCCACCTACTCGCACTACTACTGCAGCAAGGCGTGTCAGAAACAAGACTGGCCTTACCACAAGACCTCCTGTATCGACTTGAAGATTGAGAGGGTGCTCATCCGGGTTTCTACAATCCTACTGGCAGCTTACCTCAAATTCCGTGAAAACACCTGGAACATGCCAATCATCAAGGTCGAAGATGGCGGCAGACAAGAGCTCATCATCCATCGCGGCAGCGACAACGACAAGGACTACTTCCTGCCGTTCCCGGCACACTTGATGAAGACCACCGAGATCAAGAATCAAGTCCTCTGCACGTCAATGTGCTCAGAGTCGATTGCCTGGATGCACGAAACCATCGCCGGTCTCCTATCAGGTAACATCCATCCACCCTCCCTCCCAACGTCCTCAACTCTACCTAACAAACTCTCAAGGCCTCAACATCACCATCGAAGAACTCACCACTACCCTCTCATCTGTCCCGCGCTACACCACCATCTCGCACCCCAACAGCCTCCGCCACACAAACTTACCCACCACCTCCCACGCCCTTGTACGCATAACTTCCACCGAAACCGGCGCACAGTGGGCCATCGACCTCGCCAACGCTCAGTTCGGTATCGACCAGCATCTCTGGCGCTGGGCCGCGTACAAAGCCGCATATATCACGCGCGTCGTCAAGATATATCCGTTTGGCACGCACAAAGAGCTTATGCGCCGCCAAGCCCAGGTGTGCGACTTGGACTGCGGACTTGTGGGCGAGGTAGTTGCACATATGGATAGGGCGGTGAGTGCGTGGCAGGAGGAGTTCAAGACGCCGTTGAGGTTTTTGGGCTCGATGGGTGAGGGGCCGACGGCGAGCGCGGCGGCGAGTTTGTTGGCGTGCATGCAAGGCGTTGTGTCCGGATTTATCCGTGAGAATGACTTTACGGAGCGGGTGAGGAGGAGTAGGGAGTATGAGGCTGTGCATAAGGGGGTGAGAGAGAGGAGAGATGGGGGAGGGTTGTGGGTGAGTTTTGTGAAGGAGAGGGAGGTGTTGGTTGGGTGAGGAAGGGATGAGTGCGGAACGAGAGGGCGCGGATGAGTTTTTGAGGAAACTTGCAGAGGAACTTGAGGGTGAGTATTGAGTGGGTTTGGCTTGGGGTCTCGTTGGTACGTTGCTGTATGAGAAACGAACCTCCGTTTACTGACGGATTGAATGAGTTTAGGCTGCTTAATGGATGACTAGACGTGCTGAGCAGCATTCGACGAGTACATCTCTGCATCACTCTTTTCCCTCTGCTTTCTCCACCTCCTTCTTGCTAGCCTCGCTCTTCCTCTCACTTCTCTCCACGCTCTCCTCCACATCCCCATCAATACTTCCCTCATCCTCATCCCCTTTCGCCTTAGCCATCTCCTCATCCTTCTCCCTCCACATCTCCATCGCCACCTCAATCAGCTTCTCCTTCCCCACTCCCTCCAGCGCCTTCTTCCCATCAAACCTCTCCCCCTTTCCCTCCCTCTTAACCTCCCCCCAAACCCTCTCCTGCTCCCTCTCCATCTCCTCCCCATGCCTCCTCTCCCACCTCTCCGCGTCCCTCCTCCTCTTCCCCAACTGCCCCACGCCCTCCATCCACGCCTCAACCGCCCGATTCCCCACGCGCAATATCTTATCCGCATGCCTCATGAAGTCCTCGTCCGACTTGCGCATAACTTTGGGTTCCAGCTCAAGTTCTTCCTGCCCATCGCCTTATCAACAGTGTCGTGAAAAGGCCTGCATGCCCCCCGCGCTCAAATCGCACCGCATACCATCCACCCCCTTGGTCTTGCTCACCGCCGCCGTGTACCTCGCCAGCGAACCAAACGGCAGCACGAGAAATTCAGAATCCGGCGCGATGTACGAGCGCGCAAAGTCCAGCCAGTCGGTGGCCGGCTCGAGTTTGGCGTATTGCGGGCCCGACAGGTGGATGGCCCATTGGCGGTGGGTCAGGGTGGAAGTTACGCGCAGGCACCAGAGGGGATGGGTACAGGGTTGGGTGTGGGTTTGGCCGGTGAGGAGGGATGTGGTCGGGTGGGAGGGGTCGAGGCGGAAGGAGATTTCTTCGAGGGTGACGGACATGCCTGGGGTTGATTAGATCGGAATTGAATGGGCGGGGATCATGTATACCTTCGAAGACTTGCTCTATCAGACGCGTAAAATGCGCCGTGTCTAGGCACGAGCCTGTGCAGAGTACTTGGACGCGTGTGGTTGTGTCTTGAAGAGGTGGGATGCGGTCTGTAGGGAATTTGGACCAGTATCCGTTCCAGCGGTCGGTTTTGAGTTCGTCGACGATGATGACGGGTTCGAGCGTGTCGTGGTTGGGAACGCCGGCAATGGGCGTGGTCCATGTTGTTTCGCGGAAATCGAGAAAGGCGCTCCAGAGGATGTAGAAGACGCGGAGGATATAGTCGGCCTCTTGCTTTTTGACGGCTGATACCGCATCAGGCGCTTCTGGGAGTGCTTCGTCGGGGCGGAACGTAGGTGCTGAGCTGATTGGGATAGATTCCATTACTTTGCGCGGGATAAATGGCCACATGTCGGCTGTGATATTCAATGGTGTTTCTGGGGCGGATTCTGGGTCCAGTCTTTCTTGCTCCAGTTGCAGGAGTCTGCCATGATATTTTTTGAAGATTTCCACCGCGCCAACTGGAGCTCTAGGAGGTGCCATGATTGTGATGGATGAGATGAGATATGGAAGAGAGAAAATCTTCGACACAGGCGTTTACCGTTGTTGTTATGTTGCGGGTCTGCTTTCACCATGGCGACCACGCGTAGAGACTTCGCCTGAGCAACACCGCCGCACTCCCGCAAACGCTTCAACGCGCAGGCGATCTCCTAAAAAAGGTCGTGATGATTGGCGTACCGAGGCCCTGACCCAGCAATTCTGTTCTATCAAGAACACTAGAGACCGCCTCTTGCTCTACTGCACCAGCGCCCGACCGGATGGGTTCTACACCTTACCTCGCAGTTTTCTGAAAGACGAAGCCTCGAAAGAGATGGCGCCCATTGAGGGTAAATGCTCCGCATTCTGCGCTTTCTTTGTAGGCATACTCAAACAGATGCTCAAAGGTGCGCCGGCCGCAGCAAATAGAGACAGATTTGCTAACGATCAAAACAGGCACAGATGCTGTGATAGAGGAAGCAACCTTGATACTCAAGACACCTACCAAGATGGTCTTGTCGTCACGAAGAGACTGCTCGCAGACCGCCCCCACTTACCGCACGACGTCTTCGAGGTCAGCTCCGCCGCTTCGACCCAATCGTGGTATATTGATGATACGGGTGCACAGTTCAGCATCCCCACGACATGCGCTACTACCGACGAGTATTTGGCACATCGTGGTGAGCGCGTGAGCTTCGTCACTCCAGTTGGTGCCTTGGAGAACCTCTACGAGAGGCTGTGTGCACTGCCCAATCTTACTGGTCTCCTGCATTCGCAGCATCGCGAAAGCGTCCGCGCTGTCAGGAGCGAGATCGACCTGTGGAGCAAACGCACGAATGTGAAGTTGCCAGCTCTGCTTCGCCTCCCAGACGAGAAGTATGCTGCACAAGAGAAGGAGCTGCTGGGAATGGTTCGCCGTTCGGTGAAGGGTTTCGTTTTGCTCTGGGTGGGACCGTAAAGCAGAGGTTGATGAACAGGTTCGGTGGGGTGAAGCAGCGCACTTGGAGTCTTATAAGCTCAGCCAGGCCATGTCCGTGGAGCACGAAATGCTCGCTAAGAGTCGCATGGCTGATTGGTCGGGCATTACTATTGTAAGTGTCTGAGGCACAAGGCCAAGGTTGAGGCGAGGAGGGAATGGCACTGTATACATATAGTTCACTTCAGTCTTACGAGCTTCTACTCCTCCAATACGGATGGGGTGTATGAGGTGTAGAAGAAGAAGAGTAGCATATACCCGGGTGACGAATTAGGTCTAGAGCAGCTCAGACTTATGCAGCGCAAAGGAATTATGTCACGTATTGGCTCGCAGCATGCGTGAAATTCAAAAAGGATATGTAGTCCCCTGTGAAAAAATCAGAAAGTATAGGAAAGGAGAGGACGTGATAATGTTCATTTCAGTGTGGTATAAGGATGTAAGTCAACAATGTCGGCCAAGCTCGCGCTTGCATTTTTGACAGCGTCAACGGGGCATGAAACATGAATAGCGAAAAGTGAAGATGGGAGTGATATTCGACTACTGGAGAAATCAGGAGAAAAAAAAGACCCGGATTTAGTTGACACAATAGAGCTTACCGTCAGCGACCAAATTACTATTGGAAGATCTTGCACCTTGGGACCCACACAATTATGCGGTCATAAACTGTGACACCCAAGGGCTGTATGCCCGAGGAGATCCTGGGTCCAGAGCCTGGCTGCTCCGCATCTCAAAGTACCACGGAGCCAAATTACATGCTGTGCTGTCCAATGTGGTCAATATGGCCCACTCATTCCTGGATTAAACTGAATTTATTCAGTGAGAGCCTGGATTACGGTCTTCCCGCACAGGCGCATTCAACTCGCCAAACGTACTGGTTGTCGCACAGGCAAACAGGATCTAGAGCGGCCCTTTTCTGCCAGCAGCTGATCGGTCTGCGAGAGTGGGCGCACGAACTGAGGGCGTTGGGCCAGATGCGAGCCAGGATGCAACTTGTGTGCACTAAGTGGCGATTCTCGTGGCGCCAGGTCCTGTATTTTTAGGTGTGAGACCACAATGCTGCTGTTGTAATTCCGGGGGCTCGGGTCTTGAGCGGACACCGTCTTAGGCAATTTTATGAGACTGCTGCGGACACCGTCTTAGACAAAGTTGTGGCGCTGCAGTGCTATGGTCCAGATTATATTAGCACGGCGATGGCTGAAATGGCCAGACGGAGTAGGTTGTGAACAGGTATGACGGGCCCAAGAGTCTGGCTAGGCCACGAATGTGCGTCTCTTCTGATTCCTGAACACCTTTACACCGACTTAACCAAGCAAATTTCACTTATGCCAGACGCAAAGCAACAGGGGGCGCAGGCGATTGGACCACTTTTCGGCAGGTGGAATGTGCGTATATCTGTAAATCAGCGCTCATTCTCTTGGGAACATCCCGTATCAGATAGACAAAGGGCAGCTGTTTCATGATGAGCATGACCATGCAATGTTTCTCCATGTCCGATTGAGCCCTCCTTTAGTTCGATATGAAGGAGGTGCGGAGTTCGGATCTGGTCGAGTCTGCAGCTTGTTTCGAGTATTCAAACAAAGGCCGGCAGCGTCTGGAACAAGCCTTCAAACGTACGGAAAATAGCACCGACAGGCATCTGAGCATGGGTATCCCAAGAGTATAAGGTCCAGACCGTTGCCAAGCCCTAGGATCGTGCCGCAGGGTGACCACGGGCACAAATGTCGTCATCTCGACGCGTACACGAGGATGAGGTTGCAGGCAGGCAGGTGGGTACAAAAGTGATGAAGTGAGGTGATGTTTCTTTGTGTGGTGCCTGGAGAGAGAGGTAATGATTGTGATCGGCAGGACCTCGATTTCGCCAATCTGCAAGGCGATCTGGCTAAACATGGCATGCTCCCGCGGAGCGCCCTGTAGTGAAGCGTGCGAACCATGGTTGATAGGACGGTCTAGTATTATTGCACCTCTGGCTGGCTGGAGCTGCGATCCGTTCTTTTGGCGCTACGGATTATTTCACAATGTCGACACGTTCTGTCATCGGTCCGGTCAGCCTTGCCTAGAGTGACCAGGCAGACGTGGCCCGCGACGTTTTATCCGCTGAGCAAACGTGTGACTGAGAGCTCGCATGGTGCAGAACCTTGGATTATTGAATGTGGCTGCGAGCTAACATGACTGCTGTCAAGAGTTCCGGTCCCTGGCGGTGCGCGCAGACGTGCGCGAAAGGGCAGCTGGGCAGGGACGAGCGGTGACAGCCTTCTAGGACGGAATCTGGTACTGTGGAGGCCGCTACGTTCGGAATCTGGACATGCCGCATCTAGCGTAGTGGGATCGTGCTTTGGCACACACTCGGCAATCTCTCGCAGTGGTCATGATGCAGTGTTGTTCGTTTTGAGCAAAAATAGACAAAGCGAGATGGGGTTGTGAGGACAGAGCGTGGTGTTTTGGAGAAGGCGAGCATCCCCGCCCAGTGGGTGCGGGTAGAAGGTACGATCGTCAATCAGACAGCTATCAAAAGCGTGCAACACTGCAGATCATCAGTTGGACGAGATGAAGCTCATGGCGTGCGACGATCGTGTGCGTCCGGCTGGGTTCGAGACACATGCCACATTTGGCTAGAAAAGCGTACCACGGATTGAGCGGAGAAGGCTGGAGGGCTGGAGGGGTTCAAACCTGGACAGTTTGCTCAGAATCAGCACCATGTAACGTTACTCTGGCGAGAGGCCTCTGCGCCATACAGCTCGGAGGTATTTTTCTTGGTAGCGGGAGAGGCTGAGGCTGATTCGCCAGTGGGCATGGATAGTTAGTCACGGATATAAGGCCGAACAGGTGGCCTAGACCTCGCGAACATGACACGTTAGGTTCTGCATGACCATGGGATGGTAATCCGGAGTGGGAGGTCTGGCGAAGAGGAATGGGGAACGGGGAATGGGGAATGATGCTGGCTAACCTGGCTAAACCACGATGGCGCTGCAAAAGCAAGTTGTGGAAGTGGTATGGCGCAAGCAAACGTCCGGCGTGAAGCTGGACGGCTGAGTGTTCGGGATTCGTTCGTCCAGCACGGGCATGCGGCGAAAGGAGGCCCCGGCGATCGTCGATCTTTGCGGTGGTGTACGGCCAGGGCATGCAGTAGCACATGCGCGCTGTCTGGATCAATACTCGTACTGTCGATTCGGACTGCAAAGCTGCACTTGTACTGTTTGGTCGGCCTTGACAGAGCATGCGAGAGGCTGGAGCCGCTGACGTAGGCCTAGTGGCGCAATCTCGAGAAGTAATGTAGATGGTCGGGAGCAGGTCTCACGGCTGCGGTAAGCATGCGGGTTCCTGGCATGGAGAAGCAAGTCCATGTCTGCTTCGATGTCAGCTTCCACGCCTGCTTCCGCGTCCTCTTGTCTTGGTGTCGACACAAAAAACATGGGAAGATGGGTAGACGGGTAGCCAGAAAAGACGACATGGCCAGCCGTGTCTGTTCAAACGTCGCCAGCGGACTCTCGAGGAAGGAGCGATTGGACCAGGGGCAGGAGGGCAGGAGCTACCGGGGCTAGCGCTGCAAATCGTGGTGAGCCGAGAGCGTCCAGACTGTTCCAGCAAGCGTGGCCCACTCTAATCTGCTTACCGACGACGGACCAGGGTCCCCTCCAGACGCCATCCCATGCCCCATCAGAACTGCCACCAGCTCGGCCTGCGACAGCTTCAAACTCTGAACTTTGAAGCTTCTCAGGTCACCGCTCAGGAACGGGGACAAATGCCGCTGGGCACCGCCGCCTGTTAAGCAAATAGCGCATGGCCAGGCCGCCAGCTAGACGCACCGCCCATGCGTCGCCATCTGCCCCAGGGCCGAGTGCCGGCTTGCCAGGAAACGCAAAGGCCTCCACCGCATCGGTACGGTACGCGTTCTAGATCGCCATGGGGGCGTACATGCGGCCAGCCCTCTTATGTGCGACTCTAGCAAGCCCGTCTGCGCAAACCAACCATATCGCCGACTGCGCCTACCCTCCCTCACTTCCTCCTTCGTCCCGCACACAAACGCATTCCTCGCCCTGCCATTCTGCTCGCTTCTTCGTCCCCAGTTGGTCATCGCGCCCGCAACCGACAAGTCCGACACACGAACCCGTCTTCGTCAGCCAAGCTCCGACCCTCCTCGTGCCTGTCTTGCACCTTCTGAGGTCTTGCATTCCTTACATCGTGACTTGGCTCTTCTCCCACAACACATCACTCTCCGCCCCGTTACTGATCCATCGGGAGCGTTGCCCAAATACCCCCACATGGAACCGTAAAAGATGGACGGCCACGCTGCAATGCCACCTGATATAATTGAACGACAGTCGCTCTGTCTCGCCCAGCCCATGCCCGGCATGGTCGCACAGCCGGGCCAGAGCGGCTTCAAGGAGGAACTGGCTCGTATTTTCAACCCCGCCGAGAGCAATGCCGCCGAGCAACTCGTCGACCTCAAGGACGCTCTCCGCAGTGCCGACACTGACACCTTCTGGGCACTACTCACCAAAGGCCTCGCCGGCATCGCTGATGCCCAATATGCTTTCGTATCCAAACGGATTCTCGTCGACGACAAAGACATCCCCGTGGAGCTACCCCCAATCGGAGAGCCCGGAGCCTGCCTCATGGGAGAGGCCTTCTACATCAACGATGATTACGGCAACGGCCCTGGACATCTCAGGAACTTTAAATACCATGCATATGCCTGTCCATGTGCTTACATGAAGCACGACAAAATCTTCATCATCCCAGAACGACTCAACGAGTTCATCGTCAACAACCCCAACGACCTGATTATTCCCGGCGAGGCCTTTATGGGAATTCCACTATTCGCTGAAGGAAAATGTTTTGCACATTTCGGCCTAATGTGGGGGAAAGAGGGTGCTGCGAGGCGGAAGCTGAGCTGGGGCTTTCTCGAGATGCTTATGCACAGCTTGGAGGACATGATCCTGGACCGCGTACTGAGGGGCATCAACTTTGCACAGTCAGCTGAACTACCCTCGAACATATCAACAAAAATCGTTCCACACGAGGCCGTCTCGGTCGCTCAATCACTCAAACCTTACGCTAGGAGCCTATCCCACGAGCTCCGCACGCCAATGCAGGGTGTTGTTGGTATGCTTGATGTCATGATGGCCAACCTGAAGGAGGCTGCCGAAACTATGCACATAGATCCACGCACCAGAGAAGTGCTCGACACCTTGAAGGAGAACATCGAGGCCGTTCAAGGTCAGTAACACATCTCAACACCTGTGTAGCGGTATATTCCGAGAGACTATGTGCTAATCCATCCACAGACAGCTCAAGGCGCGCAGTCGAAGCAGCCGACAATGTAGTTCACGCTTATGATATGAACATGGGCGTACCTGAGACCCCACTTTCGCCACTGGACAAGACACCTGACCAATGGAACACCTTCTGGCGTGAGATGCGCCCTGACTTGATGATCTCGGGTAACAGCATGGCTCGAGCGCCATTCCGTGGTATGAAGAGAAGGAGAGACGAATGGACAGACTGCAGCAACAAGACGCGTGTAGCCAGGCCGGCTCGGCAACGGATCCGAGAGTCTTTCTCCGAGGAACCTCCCATGCGTAACGCCTCATCATGCCCCCCCAATACCGGATTCAAGGATGTTTCTCGCATGGAGCAGAGCTGCTCCCATAACACATCCTCAAATCATTGCGACTCAAGAGCCTCGCCGATGTTTGCCTCGGAACACTCCAAAGTACCTGGACTGCGACATGCAAACTTGAGGGAAGTTTTGCAGTATGTCATCAACGACGCCCTCAAGGTCGGTGGGCGGCCAGAATCAGCCGTTGCAGAAGCGACAGACGCCGGAGAGAGAATCGAGGTGCGGACGCGTAGTTCAAACGGTGAATCACACACAAAGTGGATCGAATGGACCGTGTCACCTGATGTACCGGATACGATCCTGATTGACGAGCGAGACTTGGCCAAGATGGTCTCCTGCCTTGCTCTCAACGCCATCAAGTTCACTCATGACGGTAACATCACCTTACATGCGACCCTGAGTGCCAAAGGCCGCTACATTGTCATTAACATCAAAGACACTGGCTCTGGGATACCAGCGGCATTTCTTCCCAACCTGTTCAAGCCTTTCTCCCGAGAGGATGACTCGACTACACGGCAGAGCGAAGGCCTGGGTCTCGGCTTAATGGTCGCCAAGGGCATTGCTAGGAAGCTTGGAGGAGATCTTTTCTGTCTCCGCTCGCACGTTGCCGGTCCCAACAAAGGCTCCGAGTTTGAAATGCGCGTTCCTCTTGCTCCAGGCGAAGTGTGCAGCCGGCCTTCAACCCCTTTCGGCTCACCGACTCCCTCCATCAAGTCGCGCATGTCGGTCGAACGAGAGGTTCCACGCTTGGACATCAGCCAAGCTCCAGTAACACCGCCGCTATCCAACGAGCCGTTCACTGAGCCGTCATCGGTTGCGCTTCACTCAGTGCCTGTCAAGAACTTTGGACTCCCGACACCGCATCGAAGCCACTCACCACCCCACCATCGTCGGGCTTTGTCTTCAGAAATGGACATCGCTCCCAAGGATCTTGCCAAACATCTTCCCCTCAACTTCCTTGTGGTCGATGATAACGCCATCAATCGACGCGTGTTGTGCAACATGTTGGGACGGTTGGGATACAAGAACGTCACAACAGCATTCAACGGCCAGGACGCCGTGGACACTATGAGCCGCAATGCCCAAGGTCCTGCCTCGGAGGCCATTGACGTAGTTCTCATGGATTTGTGGATGCCGCTTCTCGACGGTTTCCAGGCTTCAGAGACCATCCTGTCCATGCCCGAGTTCGTAGCTTCGGGCAAGAAACCTACCATCCTCGCCGTCAGCGCCGACGTGACTGACGCGGCGCTCGAAAAGGCAGTAACGAGTGGAATGAGCGGCTTCATCACGAAGCCATTCGTCTCTCGAGATATCATTCGGTTGATCCGAACATATTGCGCAAGCCAGGAGCATTGAGCTACAGATATCTTGACGATGAGGTACATAATACTTTGATTTTGCTGCATATATGCAGGGCGGCTGCAATTAGCGATTTGGGCAGCATAGAGCGTTTTGCTCTTCTTTGGCGCTTGGGCGGAGGCTTCTGGGCTTTGGTCTATCTTTGATACCCTCTGGACGATTCATGTCGGAACGATGATATAGGACGCGAAGTATAGCTGGCATATCTGCCAATACATAATTGAACCCACATAATTTCCGAAAAGTTTATTGTCTCAAGTGACTGCAAAATTGGCCTTGGTGAGACGCGCATGAGTGGAAGCTTCTCGAGATGCGCTGAGGCTCTGCTCCCCTGCAGATGGACATGGTCTGAAAACGATGATGACGCCGCAGGTGGGGGTGCGTGAATCGCGGGGCAGCTTCTCTCCGAACGGAATGCGCCGCGCTGCAAGCAGTCATCCATCATCCAGCCACTCTGTGCAACACCACACTTTTGGGCAGGCAGCGGAAATGCACGCAAGTATCGCGAGTGTCTGCAAACGAATAGCACAAGGTGAATTGAAACGTGCGTCGCAGAGGATGGTCGGTGAAAAGTCGTTCCCAGCTCGGCCTAGCGCTTGTGGCGGTTCCTGAGAGGACAGATTTCTTGGGGCTACTTTGTGAGAGAGAAGCCGAGTACCAGAAAACCGGCGCCGACGAACCGACCTCTCCAACCGCGCAGCTGTGATCCTTTCTCTTGATTGCAGTGCATCGTGAAGTTTCCATACGTTTCGCTCACTCTGACGTTTTCGTAAATACTGCCTCGGCTGGCTGTGGTTCGTTATAAGCTACATTGTCTTGGTACCCGCAGTATCAACTAGCTTCGGACTGTAACTTCAACCCTCCCACACCCACCACTCTTCTCAACCAATTCGACCGCAGATCCTGGGCACGGCAAGCAATTGAGCGACCAATACGCGCAGAATAAGTCGGCACGCTACTCGGTGGAGGATCTAGGAGGAGGCATGGAGAATGCATACACCAAGACGCCTGCAGAGGCGCTCAAGCATTTCCAGGTAACAGAAGAGAAGGGCCTGTCGGAGCAGCAGGTCAAGGATCTGCGCGCAAAGCACGGCAAGAATGGTATGTTGGCGATCACGAGATAACACCAGAGACAATGGGCTAATGCAAGGGAACAGCGCTGCCAGAAGACCCCCCAACGCCAATCTGGGAGCTCATCCTCGAGCAGTTCAAGGACCAGCTCGTCATCATCCTGCTAGGTTCGGCAGCCGTGTCGTTCGTGCTTGCCCTCTTTGAAGACGAGGAGGGCTGGACCGCATTCGTGGATCCCGCAGTTGTACGTATTTCGCATCTCGACAAATCCTTCCCAGTATGCGCTAACAGCAATTCCGCCAGATTCTCACCATTCTCATCCTCAACGCCGTCGTCGGGGTGTCGCAAGAAACAAGTGCCGAAAAGGCCATCGCCGCCCTCCAGGAATACTCGGCCAACGAGGCCAAGGTCGTTCGCGATGGACACATTACCCGCGTCAAGGCCGACGACCTGGTGCCCGGAGACATCGTCTCGGTTACAATCGGTGACAGGATTCCCGCAGACTGCAGGATCCTGTCTATCCAGAGCAACAGCTTCAACATCGACCAGTCCATCTTGACTGGCGAGAGCGAGAGTGTGTCAAAGGACACGCGCCCAGTCAAGGATGCGAGCGCTGTCAAGCAGGATCAGGTCAACATGTTGTTCTCTGGCACCACGGTCGTCACGGGACACGCGACCGCGCTGGTTGTTCTGACTGGTGGAAACACGGCTATCGGAGACATCCACGAGAGCATTACTTCGCAAATCTCGCAGCCTACGCCCTTGAAGGAGAAGTTGAACGACTTTGGTGACATGCTCGCAAAGGTCATTTCAGCTATCTGTGTTCTCGTCTGGCTCATCAACTGGCGCAACTTCAGCGACCCATCGCACGGAAGCTTCGCCAAGGGTGCCATCTACTACCTCAAGATTGCTGTCTCGCTCGGTGTTGCGGCTATCCCTGAAGGTCTGGCTGTCGTCATCACTACCTGTCTGGCTCTCGGCACGCGCAAGATGGCCGCAAGGAACGCCGTCGTCCGCAGTCTGCCATCCGTCGAGACTCTCGGAAGCTGCAGCGTCATCTGCTCTGACAAGACTGGAACCCTCACCACCAACCAGATGAGCGTCAACAAGATGGTTTTCATCAGCGAGAACGGTAACGGACTTGAGGAATTCGATGTCGAGGGAACCAGCTTCGCTCCCGAGGGTCAAATCTCCTTCCAAGGAAAGGCTTTGGGTAACCTGGCTGCGTCCTCCGCCACTGTTCGCCAGATCTGCGAAGTTACCGCCCTCTGCAACGAAGCTGACCTCGCATACGACTCCAAGAACAGCACCTACAGCCTCGTTGGCGAGCCTACGGAGGGTGCTCTGCGTGTCCTGGTCGAGAAAGTTGGCACTCCTGACGCCCAGCTCAACGCAACCCGTGCCAATGCCTCCCCCGAGCAACGCCTGGACTTTGCGAGCAAGTACTACAAGAACCAGCTGTCACGTGTAGCCACCTACGAATTCTCTCGCGACCGTAAGAGTATGTCTGTCTTGGTCAAGGATGGCAACACGCAAAAGCTTCTCGTCAAGGGTGCTCCCGAATCTGTCCTTGCCCGCTGCACCAACGCCATTGTTGGAAGCAACGGCAAGAAGGTCCCCATGAACCAGAACCTCGCTAGCCTCATCAACAAGGAAATTGTCGAGTACGGCAACCGTGGTCTCCGTGTTATTGCCCTGGCTACCGTTGACGACATTGGCTCACATCCGCTTCTCTCCAAGGCCAAGACCACCAAGGAATACACTCAACATCGAACAGAACATGACTCTTGTCGGTCTCTGCGGCATGTTGGATCCCCCTCGTCCCGAAGTCCGCGACTCTATCGCGAAGTGCAGGTCCGCTGGCATCCGTGTTGTCGTCATTACTGGAGACAACCAAAATACCGCCGAGTCCATCTGTCGCCAAATCGGTGTCTTTGGACCCAACGAAGACCTCACTGGAAAGAGCTACACCGGACGCCAATTCGATGATCTTAGTGATGCTGAGAAGATGCACGCCGCCAAACACGCATCTCTTTTCTCCCGCACTGAGCCCACCCACAAGTCCAAGCTCGTTGATCTCCTCCAGCAAGCCGGTGAAGTCGTCGCCATGACTGGTGACGGTGTCAACGACGCGCCCGCCCTCAAGAAAGCCGACATTGGTGTAGCCATGGGCTCTGGAACTGACGTTGCCAAACTCGCCGCCGACATGGTCCTCGTAGACGACAACTTCGCCACCATCGAAGGCGCCGTCGAAGAAGGCCGCTCCATCTACAACAACACGCAGCAATTCATCCGCTACCTCATCTCCTCCAACATCGGCGAAGTTGTGTCCATCTTCCTGACCGCCGCCATGGGCATGCCCGAAGCTCTCATCCCCGTCCAACTCCTCTGGGTCAACCTCGTCACCGACGGCCTCCCCGCCACCGCCCTCTCCTTCAACCCTCCCGATCACGACGTCATGAAGCGCCAGCCCCGCAAGCGCGACGAGCCGCTCGTCGGCGGCTGGTTGTTCTTCCGCTACATGGTCATCGGCACGTACGTCGGCGCCGCCACCGTCTTCGGCTACGCCTGGTGGTTCATGTTCAATTCCGCGGGTCCGCAAATCTCCTTCTACCAGCTCAGCCACTTCCACCAGTGCTCGCGCGCATTCCCTGAAATCGGCTGCGAAATGTTCAGCAACGACATGGCCAAGTCGGCATCTACCGTCTCCCTGTCTATCCTTGTTGTCATTGAGATGCTGAATGCGATGAATGCGCTGAGCAGTTCCGAGAGCTTGCTCACGCTGCCTCTGTGGGCGAATCCAATGCTCGTGGCGGCGATTACGCTGAGCATGGCGCTGCATTTTGCGCTGCTCTATGTGCCGTTCTTGCAGGGCTTGTTCAGCGTTATTCCGCTCGATGTTAGCGAGTGGAAGGCGGTCATGGCGATTAGTGCGCCCATCATGTAAGTTACCCCTTTTCCCCCCTCCCCCTCCCCTTCCCTCTCATGCCATTGTTAAGGAATATATTCACTAACGATAAATCAGTCTCATCGACGAAGTCCTCAAGTTCTTCGAGCGCGCCTTCTTCATCAGCAAGGGCGAGGACGTCAATCACGATGCTGCGCTGGAGAAGAAGAGGGAGTAGAAAAAGTGGATCGGGTGCAAAATGTATCATACATAGGGAGGTTTGCTGTGTGCATATAGAACAAGATGTAGGAGTTTGGCCCTCGCTGTCTGAAGTGGGGGCTAGAGATTAATTGATACGTTACTTCGTCTCGCGAAATAGCTAAATGAGTGTTGTTGTGCTTGTTCGTCATGGGTTGGGTCGTGTCATTTCACGCATGCATGTGTGCAATCGAGGATTTTAGAGACTGTCATTATCTCTCTGTGTAGGCTACGTTACTCGTACGTTCATGTCCGAAGAGATCAGCCCAAGGCTGCTCTTCGTGTCGACGGCCGGTACAACGCGTAGCTCAAGCGCCAAAGCGTCGATGGCTTTCCTCCAGGCCGAAGTGCCGCTCAAACGCCAACATTCGGTGAGTCCCTCAAGACCACAGTCATCCTGAAGCTATTCCCGGCAAACCATCTCGCGTGCTTCGGTCAATTCCTCCGAGCTATAGTATCCTAAAGCAAGTATGCGCGGCAAATCATCTTTCGTCCTTCTCCAACCTATCCTTACTGAAGCCTTAACCATCTCCAATCTGACCGTACTCAAGCCGCAGTCTGCCCGGCAGCCTCCATAGCACGCCTGACAATCTCCGCATTCGTGGGTCTACCGCGCTTCTTCGGGCTCGGAGAGACGCCGTCGACGACTGGAGTCTTGAGCTTCTTTGAGGAAGGGAGAGCGCCGCTCATCATGGGCTTAGCGGGAGTTTTAGACTTGGTGGGAGTCTTCAGGACACCGTTGGTGCCGGTAGTAGTCTTAGACTTGGTGGGAGTCTTGGAGCTGCCATTAGCAGTAGACTTGGGCTTCGTCGGAGTCTCGGGCTTGACAGGGCTCGACTCAACACCACTCGCCTTCAACCTCGCCAGCTCCTCCTTTCGCACAGCCCACTCCTTGTCCTTCTCCTCTTTCTCCCGCACCTTTTTCTCCGCGAGATCCTTCATGCGCTGAATATTCTTCCTCTCGGCTGTCTTGACGTCTTCTAGTCCGGCCCACTTTGTCGCGCCCTCTTTGATGCCAACAAACTCCATGCCCGTAGCGGTGCGCCTGCCAGTGAGGAACAGTCCGATGTCCACTTGCAGGAGGATGTGTCCGTTGCCCAGAACCACGAGATCCATGGTGTAATTGTCCGCGCTGGTCGTCAATCGGATAGTCCGGAATGACGCGTTGGGTGGGACCTCGAACGATAGCACGGTAAAACCCATCGGTCGCGGAGGCGTGATCAAGCGCGCAGTATACGTATTGCCGAAAAAGCCCGCGGGTTTCGAGATCACCAATTTGCGCTGCCCGAAGCCGTATTTGTCCGCATGCGTGTCGGTGTACTTTGAGCAGTAGATCTTATACGTACCCTCTAGATCACCAGCGGGCACGGGGATGCCAGTAACTACAGCGTTGTGCAGGAACTTCTCCGCCTCGACGGCGGCGGCGATGGAGACGTCCAGGGCGAGCTGGTGCGGGTCAATGAAGGAGGGTGTGGTCTTGCTGTTGGAGTCCTTCAAGGCGCGGATGTGTTCCTCATTTTTGGGAGTACAGCCCGTGGCGGATTTGAGGCATGGGAGTGGGCCGGCGGCGTCGTTGGCGGCGCGGAGCTCGAGATGTTGGTTCAGGTAGACCTGCTCGTCGATCATGTTGACGGAAGATCGGAAGGCGGCAAGGGTAGAGTCGAAGAGCTGAAGGTTAGCCTTCTGGTTGTCAATTTTCTCAACCTTCTCCTGTGCGACTGGCGCTAAGAATGGGTTCGACGTCTTGCTAGTGACAGGAGTGGAAGAGGGCTTGGGCACGCGTGCGAAGGCCTCCTTGATGCTCATGGAAGAAGTACTTGAGACTGAAGACGAACGACCGCTACGAGGGCGCGGCTTAGCCTGGTCACTAAGTGGCTGCGTGTAACGCTCCAGGTTCGAAGTAGTGAGTGATGTCTGGCCGTAAGACTTCTCAAGAACTGCCTTAGGCTCTGGAAGTGCTGCTGGCGCCGATGCGGAAGGCTGACTACCATTGACTGGTTTCGCAGACGAGGCTTTGACAGCGGGAGCTTTCTTTGACTTGATCTGTCCAGCTGGAGCTGTCGTAGCCTGTGAGAGACTGGACGCGACGGTCTTCCTCAAAGGAGTTGTCTCAACGACCAGCACTTGCGGGTCGTCACGCATCTTCTGGGTACGATGTGGCGATGCAGCGGTGCTGGCTACCCCCAGAGAAGAATTGGACGGGAGCGGAATTGGCGTGTTCCTAGGCTCCTTGATGAAGGATGAGCCAGCTTTCGGTTTCCTCTGCTCGATGTTCGGGACGGGCTTGGGTGGATCGCCTTGGACCGTCGCGCTGCTCGGCTCTACCGTGTCGGCAAGTACCTGTTGACTCTCGCGCCTCTTTCGCTTCTTCTCTTTCTTCTCCTTTCTATCCTTCTTGGCCAACACATCCTCCGATGGTGTGACCTCCATGGCCGGCTCAACGGGAGCACCACCCATCTGCTCTTCTTGCAGTGGTGCTGCTTCATTCTCTGAGTGCTTGCGCTTAGTCTTGGCCTTCTTCTTCGCAGGAGCCTCAGTCAAAGGAGCTGATGCCTGAGGCGAGTCGAAGTCGGCAACCTTCCTGCCAATGGCAGCCTCAAGATTCTGGAAATACTCGCCGCCGAGGACAGTATCCTCTGGTGCTTTCGAAGAAGTATCGGCGGGGACTTCGCTGGCGCGTTTGCGCTTCTTGGCAGCCTTCTTCTCAGACTGCTGGGCTTCAGCTCCATCGCGATCTTTCGTCTTCTTACTGCTCTTCGGCTTCTCGATGTCTTTCGCGGTAGTTGCTGAAGTGGCATCAGCCGATGGAGCGATTTCGATCACCTCGTCCTCGACTGTTGCGTTGAGTGACCTCTTTTTCTTCTTCTTAGGCTTGGATTCATCCTCATCTTCGGTCTCAGTTGCCGCTGCATCACCAGGCGCACCAGATGCCGGAGCCGTTTCTGTATTCTCATTTCCTCCTTCAGTGCCCAGAGAAGCCTTCTTCGTCTTTTTCTTGTTCCTCTCAGACACATTGGGCGGAAGCGGAATCGGAGTCTTGCCATTGGCATCAGCGCCAGGCCTCTTGCTCTTCTTGTCTTTTTTGAGCTTAACGGATGCTAGATCATTGACAGTAAGGGCAGCCTCCGCGACTACCTCCTTGGATGCAGGCTCAGGCGAGGCAAAGCTCTTAGTATTGAAACTGGGACGCGGTCCTGAGGGTGCTGAGCGGTACATGTTACCCGGCATTGGATACAGGCCATTAATGCGCGACATGCTTGCGATGAGCGACTTTCGCGCGCGTCAATGATGGCGGGGAAGGCGCTTTACTGTTTGGTGGCTGTTAGCAGCGGTGTGTCGAGACGGTGGGACGGGGTGTTTGGTGTTGAAGAGGAGGGGAGAGGCGCCGGACTAAAAGCTGTAGGCAAACGATGGTGCAAGGAAATCACGGTCACGCGGGGCATGAGCTGATAAGTGAAACGGCAGAGCGCGCGGTGAAGGTGAAGCCGGAGCGCGCAGGAGCTTCATTCACCTTAACTCAGCACACTGAAGCACGTCTGAGGAAATAAGCGCGCGAACTGAGGCCGTAGACAGTACCCGCTCTCACTCTCATTACGCGTGGGATGTTTACCTGAATGTGAGAATCTCACAATCACCTAGGTGACACAACAGCAAACAAACATGGCTGACGACTTATGCGCGAAGACCTCTGCGCGCGAAGACGAGGACGAATCATTATGATGATACTCAATGATGGCGGCATTTGAAGGAGCTGCGCATGCAATCAATAGGAGGCATGAGAGGAGGCACGAAGAGTAGGTACGAAGCGGAAGGTGTTGTTGTATCGAGCGCACGGACGCTAACTTCATCGCCCCCGTTTGCTTGACGACGATGCGGTATGCAGTACCTAGGTAACATGCACTTCACGAACACTTCTACAAGATTGGCTATATTATAGAAGATCGAGTGTAGTGTCTGAATAGAGACCATGGCTCAACATTGCCTGAGAATGCTTCAAGTCACTGAACAGAAGGGAGTGTAGTTGGGCAAATTGGATTCTATCAAAGGAAGATTTAGGTGTCGAAACTGATATCCGTGTGAGACTGAGCGTACTCGAAATTCCCGATACACAACGTATCCAAGTCTTCATCCTGATCATATCGACGTTTGTTCGACGCGTGTCCAGTTCGCAATTCTGACTTCAATCAATGTCGATCAGTCGCTCGAACTGGAGCTGCCATGAGCCCAAGTCCTTCTGTCTCTTGTAAGTTTTCTTTATTCCAAGAAAGGTGAACAAGTCTGCGTCCATCTCTCCTCCCCCACTTTCTGTTTCAGTCACTTCCATCCATATGCGCGCCCACCAGCTCGACGACAGTCTCCATGAGGGGCAGAATCTTGCATCCGCTATCCAGTTGGATAATCGCAAGTGCTGGCATGTGTACCTTCACAAATCCTTTGGCCAGGAATGTCAAGTTCACGGACACATCTGATTTCGTTTCGAAACAGCGCAACTTGCATGATATGGGCTGAGTGTGAATATGCTTGGGTAGCGCTACCGCCACGATATCAAAGGTGCGCCGGCCAATGTCGATGTAGATGGTAGAAAGGCCGTCGACCGTATGGATGTACATGTGGCCGCCGGGTGTCCAGCGGGCTTGATCCCAGCAGGTGGCGCCTTCGAGGTCCTTCCAAAGTTGGGTGGAGGTGAGCTCCCAGAGGCCACGGGAGTGGATCCCAACATAGGTATTCTTGTACTTCTCGTTGCAAGTACTCGGTAGGTGCTCATGTGCTACCATGTTCTCCGTAATTCTGTGGGCTGCTTGGACCTTGATCTCGAGTCGCGCTTGGTGCTCGAAGGCTTTCTTTTGGAGGGCTAGTTTGAGCGATATCGCAGAGAACACCTCGCCGGACGCGATGCACCTGTTCAGAATGAAGTAACGATGCTGTCTCCATATAATGAGGTGTGCATCAGAAGCTGCTCTGGAGACTTGCAAGTCGGCCTCTTCCTGTTTGTCGAGGCTCGTGTTCTTGACAACAGAGGTGCCTGTGCCAGTCGCGGCGGTATCTTGACGCTTGGGGTTCTCGTTGGAGACGGTGAACTTGGTTAGAGCGGTATGGGTGACGGGAGCCTTGGGTGCACGAACTGGAGGCTTCGAGCCGATTGCAGAAAGCACCTCGGAACAAAGCCAAACCGAGTCTGAGAAGTCGTCGCGCCGCATAGCTGATGTGTAGGAAGGTCTAGGAAGTCTTCAATCTCATCCCACTCCACCCTCTGCAGCATCAGCTCTAAAGACACGGGGCCCAAGTACCAGCTCTTAGACAAGCCTCGTATGGCCCTATCTGCGAAACCGTTACGCAGATATCGCTCCGAAATAGCTAGCTGGCTCTTGACGCTTCGGAGGCTTGTTTGTTGTGAAGAAACCTGCTCTCGTGTTCCATTCTGATTTATGGTTAAGCCGCTCTGGGTGAACTTGTTGGTACCCTTTCGTTCACCTCGGAGGTGGAGCTGTAGTTGTAGTCTTGCTCCGGCCCTGTCTCGTGCAGACTCGTCGTTGCTTTGTGTGTCGCTATACCATTGTTCAAGCGCGCGCTTTCGTCGCAGGAGTGCCACAGCAAGCACCTCCTCTGTCGCTTTGTCTTTCTGCGAGGCCATCTTGCTTTATGCTTTGACGCGCAAAATTGCGCGATGGTAGAATTATTGTGGTGTTTGTGGCCGCAGGCGGAAGTTGAGACAGTAAACCCTGGGAGCCTAGCGCGCCTTGGCGAGTGAGTGTTAAGCCACGGGTGTATGATGAATGTCTTTGTTGTTATCTTACAATGTCTCCTCATATCCCTCACTCCCCTTAACTTCGGTAGGCAGACGAAGTGGAATGGTGCGCGATGACTCAAAGCATATACGTAGCAGATAGGTTTTGCATCACAGAAGAAGTAGAGGGAGGTGGTATGTAGACTTGATGGCTGTGAGGTACCGCAATACTCTTCCCTATCAAGTACTCTGCTTAAAACTTGCGACCTTATTAGAGAATATCCAGTAAGTTATACAACAGCCTGTATATCTTCAAAGGCTTATTAGACTGTGACAAATCCTTGAGGAGACCTTGAAACTAGACAGCCTTAGATATCGCTATGATGTACTGTTTACTATAGTGCGCGAGAACAGGCGCGCCCAGACAACGAGCTCTCAATGTCCCACTGCCTTCACCATTCCTCGTTCCTCCTCGATCACACCAAAGTCTTCAACTCTGTCATGTTGTAGTCCAATTAGAATGTCCTCCTCAGTCGGCGTGTCTTCCTCCCACTGCCTCAGCAGCGTAACATTTTGCCTTCTGGACAATTCTTGTCCCTCTCTCATGCTTAGGCAGGTATACTGGATCCTCCCCGTTGACTCTGTAGATGTCCTGTTGCGCCGTGGTCGCGCCAGCCTTATCGTTATTCCGCTTGCAGGTATTGCAACGCTCCTTGCAGTCTCCCAGATAGATACGGTAAGTGCGTATGTTGCGTTGGGAGTTGTAGTCGTTTGCTAGCGGCGTTTCGTGTGGGCACATGAGTAGACATGGCCTCGGCATACCACGTTCGGAGTTTGTCATCTCGAATGCGGTGGAAACGATCTTGTGAGGGATCTGTGACTGAGGGTCCCAACTGTGACGTGCAATGAAAGTCCGCTGGTGTGTCGTACGCTGCTCGTTCATCAGAAGCTTTTGCAACGTCATTTTGGTCTTCCATCTGCCCGCCCACTGTTCGACGTCTGCACCTGTGAAAGTCTTCTCGCCTCTCAGTATCTGTGCCCACCTCTCAGTCGCAGTCTGAGCCCCATATCCGTTTGTACGCGTCTTTTGTTCTTCCAGCTTCGCAAGCTTTCCACGGTGTTTCCTTATGATAAGCAATACATGCAGCCGGTCTTGAGCGGTGAGTCGAGTGTTTAAGTCGTTGGACCGTGTTTCAGAGAACCACTGGCGGAGACTGGCTTCTCGAACCTGGAGGAAGCGCTCTTCACACGCTTTGGTTGAGTCAGCCATGCCGTGGGTATTTGTTCAAGAAAGTTGAACAGGTGTGATCAATCGCTAGTCTTCGGATACGGGATTCGTTTTTGTAGAGAAGAGGTGCATTTGCGGCTTGGCGATCACATGCGTGAAAGCTAGGTGACAGTGAAAGCGGCCCTAAGACAGTAGAAGAACACGGAAGGTCAGGGTAAGAGGCACTTTCGATTTCAAAAGTTGTTATGATAATTTGGTACGCCAGAAGTAGTATGGCGCCAATCAAGGTTCAGTGAGGCTATTCATCTGCTATTATGTCACGACCACGGTCCAATCTCATGTCTCCACCCACCGGTCCATCCTTGAGCTGTGTTTATCTTCGGTGACATGGTTGCCGGGTTCACCACGCATCCCCTGTCTTCAGTCCGCCTTGCCCATGAATACTCCCGCGAACTCAACGAGCTGCCCGTGAGCGCGACGAGGATCACATCCATTATCCATCTTGATCAAGTGAGCAGCCGGAAATACGACCTGGACATGACCACCTTGGAAGAATCTCAACCTGACCACAGCTTCTTGCTTTCTGTAATGGTCGCAATGTTGAGCCAAAAATTCCAGAGACTCGCTGTTCGTGAAGAGTGGCATGGTGACTTGGGGTGCAGTGAAGGTGCTGGCGCCAAACTCAACAACGACTTCAGCTTGGAATGTGTTCTCTTTTTTGCGAGGGGCGCGCAACTGACGGATGCGAAGGTATCCTCCAGGAATCCAGCCAAGCTGGTCCCAGCTGTCTCCGTCTTGGTAGTAGTGCCAGAGCTTTGTTGATGATAGCTCCCATAGTCTATCCGTAGGAAACTCCTCTGTATCAAAGGCAGTACCGCCAAAGTCAGTAATACAGGTTCGTGTGTCACCATCGAGGTGCTTCTCAGTGATCCGTCGCGCTTCTTCCACCTGTATTTCATTCGCCGCCTGAACTTGGAACCCTTTCTTTTGGATCGCGAGTTTGGTGCTATAGACAGCTTGGAGGAACCCTTTGCTTTGGAAGTGACGTCGCATTGCACTCTCGTGGTGCTCCCAGATCGAGGCATGTTTCTGATGAAACTGTTTCGGATTTCCAGTAGTGATAGCAACGTCCATGGAAAGCTCATTCTTGACCAGAACTTGTGACTCCGTCGACGGCATCCTCCCAAACGTCCTGGGTGCAGGATGGCTGGAAACTGGCATTTCGGGAGTCATGTCATCGTCATCGTCATCATCATTGTCGATCGCGAGACCACTTGCGGCTTCAGCCAGGGTGGATGATGCATCATCGTCCAATGGTTTCCTTTCGACAGCTTCAGATCCCAGCCGTCCTAGGCGGGGCAAAGCCTGCTTTTTGGCCGGACGTCTCGCGCGTGAGAGATCTTTGTTAGCTTTTGGCAAGCTTCGGTCCACGTCTGTGTTCCAAATCTCGCGAAAGAGAGGCAAGTCTCTGACAATCTCCAAAGCCCGGTACAGCCTGGACATCTCTTTCTTACGTTGCTTCTTTCCTCTCTGGTCGGCTGCCTCTAGCGACTGTATTGTCTCCCCCAATGCCAGATCAAAGACAGTGCGCTCAGGATCGGATAGTCGGCTCATGATGATCTCTCGGGTCCTTTCAGCGTCGGACCACCGGCGTAGTTTCGCGTCACGCGTTTTCTTCCGCTGATCTATTTTCGCTTTTCTTCTAGCGGCTTTTTCTGTAGCTGCCGTCGCCGCCGTAGTACCGTAGAACAGCGGACCAGTCGGGTAAGGAACTCCAAGGTCATGAACCGTGTTGTCGACTTCCATGGAGTCAGTCTCGTGTTTGACTTCTTTTCCGTATCCTTTAGCGGCACCCTTCCCAAAAAGTCCAGATGTCATAGGCCTCGGGCCTGTCTCCATGTCCTCACTCTTCACCTTCGTCCCAGCTTCTCGCTTCCCACCTCCGAGTCCCTGCCCTCGCTCAACCCGCGCCATTCTTTCTCTGAGAGACTCGAGTACCATGCTGGGTTCACCTGTCATTGCAGGCGCCGCTCCAAAATCGACAGGACCTTCATCGATGGTTATGGGTCGCTGAGGTGTCCCCATCGACGGAGTCATATGCGGGTTGTTGCCCGAACGCGGCTCTCTCTTGATGCGCACCATCTTGAGCGTCGACAGCTAGCTTGTTGTGTTTGTGGAAAGGAACAGAAATGAAAACAGAAAAGGTGATAGAAGAGGAAGTAGGAGTGGTGCTAGCGCGTCTTGGCAACACGATTGGAAGGTGAGAGACAAACGGCAGCTGCGAACTCGAACATCACGAACATCGAGGGAGCAGGACACTTACAGCTCGTGAGAACTCTCACTGCATCCAGTCATCAATTTTTCATACTCGTCATCCCCTCCACCTCTAATTCTACACTAATCAACCGCCATCTCTTCGCCGAGCCCAAGTGCTCTCCGCGCTCGCGCCTTTTCTTTCCGCTCTCTCCTCGCCTGCCCCGAATTCTTCTTGCTCTGCTTCTGCTGCTTTTTCTGGCCCTCTGCTGTCAGGGGTTTCTGCGCAGGAGCTGGTTGCTGGAAGGGTTGATTCTGCTTTTGACGCTCACGTGCGAGTTTGCGTTTTTCCATCTTGATCATGTTTTGGCGAGTTCGTTTGGCTGTACATGTAAGATTAGTATTGCATATATGGCATGGTATTTCTAGCAACATCCCGATTGTGGGAACGGATGAAATCAAAACGTACGCAATCTCTTCTCCGTATCCACCTCCATGCTCAAATCCCCAGATGCATGGTCGATATTGCCTGCGTCACGCCGTCAGCATATTGTTCCTGGGACCCTGGCCCGTCGGTTCGACAAATGCAGTCGCTTGCATGCGCCTTGCTGGCACGCGAGGATTTCTTCACGCACCAGGAACGTCAGACTTGACGGCATCGCCATTGGGTGCCTGGAATGCAGCACCGAGCAACGTGTCCAGCTCATCGGTGAGCGCACCGACTTGCTTGCGCGCCTTCCTCTTCTTCGCTTTTGAAGGCTTCGCCCCACTCTCTGGTGAGAGGCTGCGCTCGCTGTGTTCTGATTGGTCGCTGTCGCTCAGGTCGGAGTTTTCGTCTTCGCCGAGTCTGAACTCAGAAACGCCAACGGCAGGAATGCTCACAGCATTGGAGGCTGTATTTGACGGAGCAGCAGCCATGGTAGTTGTCAGAGTGTTGTTGTGGTGCAGTGGAAGAAACCAAACGTCAAAGATTGAAGGTGAGAGCGGCAAAACCTCGGAACAACGTTGCTCCGCACATGTGATTCGTCGTGTTGTCTACCACTAGATTCCAAGTATATCATGTTTCGTGCGCGTAATGATGCTGTTTAACCATCTAACTCTCTGTCCGCCTTTTGAAGGTGAAATGCTATGCAAAGTGCCGCCCAAACATCCACAAACGTAAGAATGTGGAGGGAAAGACAGCCGAAAGGGTAGAGATATGCCCTAGTTCGGGAGAAGTAGATATCGACAATAAGGAAATTCGTGTCCAGTCATGAGTGCCTTTTCCTGCACATTCTCGGCAGCTAATCGAATAATCCGAGCGCGCCCAATGTTCCCAAAGCGCCTGACGCCAATCCAAAGCCCAGTCTAGCTTTCTCCCTCAACTCCGGTCCCAGCATGGAAGAAGCGCTATGAATCCAATTCATCATCGACGAAGAAGCCCCAGAAGACGACCTCCTCGTTCTCGCGGCCCTGCAAGCGTTCGCCGTAGACGTCGGCGCACATCTCGATGGGGACCTCTAGCTTGATGCAGCCGTTGCCGAGGAATGTGAAGAGTAGCCACGAGTCAAAATCCGGGAATGCGCCGTCGTCTTCTGCTCTTCTGCTCAGTATGCCCCGGTTCTGTAACGACGGTGTGGTGGGCAATCGGAACGTGTGGTACGGCAGCGTCTCCATGGAGTCGGCGACGAAGAAAGAGTTATTCAGGGCGAGCTCGACATGGACCCAGGGCGACTGTGCGTCCTGGGGTGCGACGGTGGGCTCGGGGCTCGAGTGTTGCTTGTGGAATCTCAGGGAGCCGAAGCGCAGGTCAGTGGGCTGGCCCAGGAGGTCGAACAACTCGGTCGAGTACAGGCGGAAGTAGCCATTGTGCATGCTGCCCAGGTCGTCGTCCTCGTCGTCGGGGGGGCCATTCAGGGACAGGGCGTGCAGCTGCTCTTCGACGCGCTTTCCCTCGGACTCGGCTTCCAGCAGCGACCGGCTGATGTGCTTGCGCGTGTACTTGTTGCTGAGGTCCGAGATGGCCAGACGACAGGCCTTGCGGCGGATGTCGTCCCGATGGGCGCCATCCAGGTCGTCGGTTCCTAAGGCGTCAAGGGACAGCAGCAGGCCCGTCTCGAAGGTCCTCACCAGCTCCTCGAACTCGCGCATAACGCGGACCAGGGGCGAGGCGGCGGCATCGGAAGGTTTCGCGTCGCGGGGGGCAGCGTCTTCCTTCAGGGCGGCCATTGACACGCACTGGAGGGCGGGAGGGTCAGTGGCAGCAGTGACAGCAGTGGCAGCAGCGGCAGCGGCAGTTGGGCGAGGTTCCAAGGTTGGCTACGGCAAGGCTGCGAATTGCCGTGAGGGGTGGAGCTCCGGGTGGTGGTTCAGTGCGGATCGCTGCAAGGGCAGGCAGGTGCTATGGAGGGAGAGTCGGCCGTTCAGTCGTGGGGGGTGCGGCCGTTACTCGTGGCAGTCAAGACGCACATAGGACGCAGGCAGTCATCAGGAACAAAGAGACAATGATCAAGATTGGAGCTTCGAGGGATGGGAAGGAGTAGGACCGAGATTTTGCTGTAACGCGGATTCGCATGCACGCCAAGGGAGAGTGGTGGTGCTTGCCCATCCCCATCGGCCTACATTAGTGGCTTCCCCGTCCAATGGGTGCGGCGTGCGGTGCACGGGCGATTCGCCTGCGACTCGGCCTGTCTCTCTCCTCACGATGCCAGCGGTTAGCCGTTGCAGAGGAAGCCCGTCACAGGCCATGCCGCCGTGTATGCCGCCATGGCGACCGCAGGGGCCGCGTGGTGATGCGAGTGATGCGAGTGAGGCGCCTGGAGGGACCAGGAGGGACCAGGAGGGAGACCTCGGGAGACGCTCACGCCGCCCTCTGAGCCTCCAAGATGAGGCGAACGAGATCAGCAAGAACAGCCGTGGACCCCAGAGACCAAAGGCGATACCCCTCCTTTCCAACAATCCATGAGAAAGCAAATCTTCCCGGGCTGCGCGTCCCATCCTATCCCATCCACGGCCATCGCCAACGCCCTCAGCTCGCCCTCAGCTCAGCGAGGACAGACCCAGGCAGCAGGTCGACTTCGTGTGCTCTGCAGCACTTCCAAGACTTGGACCACTCCCTCGGGTCTGCGCTGCCTCGTCGACACTCGGCCCAGGGCACTGAGCAGCCCATTCGCTAAATCCTCCGAAGCTGCCATTCTGGGGGTCCGACCCTCTGCGCAGCGTCGCCGGCCCGTTTGCTGCCACCAATCATCGGCCCGGCGCTGCAGCGCAGTGGGTGCTCGTTTCAGCGGCGACGAGACGACAGCCAGGCCCTCCAGAGCCCTCCAGCGCCCAGCGCCTGTCTCTGCGCCGTCGAGTCGCACCGCTAGCGCTGCGGTGTCGCACTCGGCCACTGCCTCCGAGTTAGGCAGTTCCTCTCCATGGATGGCCATCTCCGTGGTCTAGAGATGGGTGCATGCGCATCAAGCTTTGTCACACCCTATCACGCTGCGCCTCGCGGTGGGCTCTGCGGATCGTCGACGGCCATCGATGCTGTCGATCGAATTGTCGTGCGCGCTCCTGGCGAAACGTAACTTGGACCCCCACTGCACGCCCCCGCCAGGCCACGAACGGGTTGCTGGTCGACACTCCAACCTCAGCGACGACACTGCGAGCTGCCAGCTGCAACAGACACCAACACCAACACCAGCGCTCGTCGTGCGCGTCAACGCTACGCTGACACTGTATCGCACCTAGTGCATATGCCGCGACGGTTATGGCAGGCTGTCGACAACAAGGCTACACCCCCCACGCGCCTTCCTCTGTCCGGCCTCTATCACATCACATCTCACGCGTACAGTCACTCGTCTGACCTCAATCGAGCCTCTCTTCGTCGCCCTTGTCTCAGCAGCATGGCACGGCACGACCGGGTGTTGCGAAGCCCCCGCCATTCGCCATCGCTTGTCTTCTCCACTGTCCTCAACACCGTCCGTGTCGCCCTCCTCGGAGCCACCTCAGGCCGAATCATCAGCACTCTCACGTCGTCTATTCAGGCTGACCACCTTCACCACTGTCCTCGTCCGAGTTGCGTGTTTCCCTGACCAACACTATCTCTCTGCCTCTATCTGTATGGATGTTCTGGCCGGCCGTCGTGTTCAACAGTCGATCTCTTCGGCTATCATTGCGGACCCCGGGCCACGACCCGAGCATTTCTTCGTGCACTGTGCGCTTGCTCACTGAATCCGACTTACGCGATGTGGGGATGCCGTACGAGGCAGACAGCTACAGCAACGTACACCACGACATCGATGATCTGGATACATGCCTGCCCTGAGCCTGGAACGCGAGGATCACCTGACGCAATGCAGGCACCGTTATCGTTCACCGGGTCCTTGCCGCACGAAAACGCCAAAGCTGTTGCCAAGGTCTGCATGAGCGGCCAGGAACGTGTCGATTCACAAGCAGCTGATAACTACCCCCAAAGAAAATGCTGCTCTGCCGACCCTGTAGGTGACTTGTTGGCTTGGGTTGTCGTCGGGGACCACTTTGGCAGACTATCTTTTGACAGGGATGCGCTGCTTATCAGCTGACAGCCAAGTACGACACGCTTCTCCTCCCCACCTTCAACCTATGCGCATCCCATACCCATGGTTCTGGTCGCGACGTGTCACTGAGGCCTCCAACTTTGAGCCTGACTGGCACGTGCGAAGACGCTCTCGTGCGCTATGTCCCTTGACCATGGGCCTGCGCCTTCCTTAGCTGGACATATTTGGGGCATGTAGCTTACTGACATTGCAGGCCTCCCATTCGTATCTCGACCCATTGTATTTGGTAAACTCTATTGCTGGTAGGTCAGCTGTTCTTGTCTCACACCCTATTGGTAATGATGCTGTCTTTGTCCCAATTCAAATACGTCGTGCAACCGTGGCTGTTTCCTTTGTCGATTGTGTAACACATACCATGTGATTTTGGGTTTACAGGCATGAAAGCACTTCCTCCTACTCTTTCTTAGTGTCCATTTTAGCGCCCGGTAGCTTCTTTGGTCCTTACGCGCCGGTTGTCTCTTTGTCTATGAGATGCGCTTAGCTTCTTCGCTTCGTTGCATCCTAGAGCCTAGCGACGACCGACTACATCGTCTCCTGGTTCTTGTAATACTGACACGTGCGTTGCATCCTCAGTTATGCGCAAAGGCGCCGTATCGTGTAAGCTCTCGTCAAGATCTCTGGCGCTAGGGGCTGATCAGGGTCCGACATGACTGTGTCAATCTCTGTGATTGTACGGTAATAGCAGAATATGCAGACCATTTCGTACATTCCAGTCACTTCTTCATATCCACTGAAAAGGTAACTTGAGTTTGGATAGTCATTCAGGGTGCTGTGACCTTGGAAAGAGAGATCACGTCGAGCGTATTGTTTGCGCAAATTTTCAAAGGTACATAACGTGCCCATGGTCTTCAATGATGGCGGGTCGCAAAATTTGTGTGCTGGTGGGAACGTCATCTTCTGTAGAACTTGACACGCACAGCGACTCATACTCTCATCACTGAACGCCCTACACTGTATCAAATTTAAAAACGACAGCTCGCAACCCATTAGAAGAACCATGTTGATTCTCGGAGGTCACCCAGCTTGCAAAACAAGTCGGAACCGAGCGGTGCAGAGTGAAAGAGAGCTCGATCGGTACAAACGGCGTGCCGGCGCCGGGAGCAGATAAGAGGCAAGCCGCGCAGCGGTCGCTATGGAGAAACTTAACAACATCAGCAACCTGCGCACTAGCCTGATATCAATCGCTCTCCGTTTCTTCCTCTCCCCCTCTACTACGCAAACTCGCACCCCCCCTCCACTGGCCGAACAGCTACTCAACTAGTGATCCATTGGCCCTATACCAATCCTTCTCCTGTGTGCCAAACCAGTCGATTGCAAGTATGGCTAACGACTACCCATTTGCACCGCCTGGCCACGCCGGCAAGGGACACCCAGCCTACGACAACCGCAACAGAGGCTACAACAAAGGTCGAGGCAGCTACAATGGCGGAAGAGGCGGGCGCTCCCAGAATTCTGGCAACTACGGTCCGCGCGCTGTCCCAGTCCCAATCCAGGTACCAAGTGCAGAGGCAGTCGCTCCTTTGCAACTTTGTCCCAGATCCCATGGCACCATGGGCTCAGAAGTATGGCCGCTACACGCCCGGGCAGTCGCCTCAGTTCTTCATGCCGCTTGCTTCTGCTCCATGGATGTCGCCTGCCAGTCCTTACTCGACATACTCCGGGATGCAGCCACGCGCTTTTTCAACATCTTCTGCTCCGCATGTGGGCACTCTCGCGCACACACCCATCGCTACGCCTCATATCACTATACCAAAGGCAGCCATCATGTCTTCAGGTCCATCTACAAAGGGAAACGGAAACTTGGGCAACTCTAGGACGAACGGAAGTGGGTCGGGCGCGAAGAATGCGGAAGAATGCGAAGAACGCGAAGACCGAGACGACCGAGACGACCGGTCAGCAACCCGCGGGTACTACCGCCAGTGGTACGGGTGAGGGCGCCTCCGACGCGCTTCACATCCACGCACCAATCCCAAAGCGCATTCACAAGTTGACGCCTAAGCATCATCATCTGCCAGGTGGTACGCCAACCGCCCACTCGGTTCTCAGGGATTTTATCCCCTATGAAGGCCAGAACTCTGTCATGGACGCGGCCCACAACACACCCGATGCTACGGTCAAGCTTCTAGACCACGATTCTCTCATGCAGCTCCAGGTCTTCAACATCACCCTAGCCCACAAGTTGCAGCGAAAGCTGGAGGAGGCGAAGATGGCCCGGCGAGATGGACGAAACAGCTTTCCTAAAGAAGCGAAGCATCCTGCTCTCCCTTGCTTACAGTTGCGCGAGACTCTGAGCGGAACCACGTGAAGACCGTTCAGCGACTGGAGGAGCGTTTCTACAGCAAGATGCAGGAAGCGTGTAAGCTAAGTGGAGAAGCCAAGAAGAACGGCATGATCGCAGCTACTACGCAGCTCAAGGCTGGGCCGGACTTTTCTCGATTGGCGTCTGAGCAGCGCGAGAAGATTGAGGAGTGACCGCAACGAGCTGAACGACCTTGACAATGCGCGCGCTATCTCGCGGAACAAATACTCGGACACCATCCATGAAGTGTTGATGCAGGCGTTGGGCGGAAAGGCAGTCGGTCAAGCCGGTGTCGTGACAGCTGCTAGATGCAGACCAGGTGGATGCTGCGCAGAAGAAGACTTCCGTTGTCAGCATGGCTCCCGCTCAGGACGACAGGAAGGATAGTGCTCAGATAGCACAGCTAGCCAAGGATCAGCCCGTGTTCGAGCGCCAGCCTGAGACCGAGCACCAGAGCATCAACGAGGTGCTTCACCGCACCACCGTCACTGACGCGCCGCACGAATCAGACAAGACTGGCTACGTCATCCCCCCAAAGTCGCGGTTCGTCGACTCATCCACATCCTTCAAGCAATCCACCAACGACACGGAGCTCGAGGCGTTTCCAGACTTTTGGGTGCCCGAGAAGATACGCGGTCTGGCCCCAGTGGGCGACGGTGCGATGCTTACTGCTCAAGTTGAAGCGCGGAAAGATGATGTAGCCAAGAAGCAGGAAGCGAAGAATGGAGACGCAGTCAAGAAGCAGGACACATCCAAGGACAAGGCACCCAACACCAAGACTGAGAACAAGACGCCAGCACCTTCCGCGGTTCCCAAGACCCAGGGAAATGACAAGTCGAAGGCACCGGTCGTTTCAAAGCAACAGCCTAACCAGTCCGGCAATCAGGGTACCGGTAAGGTTCGTAAGAAGAACTTTCGGAAGAAGGGTGGTAATGGCGGTGCTGGAGGTGATGGTAAAGACAAGGGCGGAGGTGGTGTGGGTGGAAGTGGTATGGCGAATGCAGCTCCCAAGACTGGTCAGGCTGCAGGTGATGGCAAAGATAAGGGCGCTGGCGGAAAAGCAAATGCGATTCCTAAGACTGGTCCGGCTGCGGGCGATATGCGCAAGGGCGGTTGAAGGGGAGGAAGGTGTTGGAGGATTGGAAGGGTTGGGAGGAGGACTAGGACATCTGTGAAGGATTTCATGAGTATCGTAGCATTCGCGAAGCTTTGCGTTCGCTGCGCTACACGTCTGCTTCATCGCTACGTCTCATGTACACATACGGTTGGATAGATCTCGAGCATGCAGAAAATTCAAACAAAAATTAATTCTTGTGTTTTGCTTATTGGCCTGTGACGTGAAATTCAGTGAGCTGGCATCTTGAGTTGTCGGACCACGACAACAGTGGTGAGCAGTTGCTGGTCAGACAGGTAGGTAGGCGCAAACTGAGCAGTATAACAACAGCTTCCTCACGCTGTACCTTCTCATTCTATAATTGATACCTCAAACTCCCGTCTTCCTCAAATTACAACACGGCAGCGCGCCACCATCACCATAAATCTTGCACCCAAGCAACCGACACTACCAAGCCATCACACATTAGACCCTCATCCGAAAAAGTAACCCCTACCTTCTACACCTCCAGCTCCTCCCAATCCAAATGTGCGATCCCGACTCCACAAACACATGCACCCTCCACCCCTCCTGCGGCCACCGCATCCCCACGAACCCCTGCGTCGAATGGCAGTTTGCTTCGGGTATGTGTCTGGCGACGGGCAAATTTGTGCAGGGTATGGTGCCCGTTGCAAGCTTTCAGAAGTATTGTAGGATGTGTGCGCGGGGGAGGGTTTGGAAGCAAGTATGATGAGAGGGGGGCAAAGGGGAGGGAATGGGAACGGAGAGGACGGGAGAAGGGGGCGAATCAGCACACTGTAAAGCTTCTTCCATGTACCTCCAGACGCGACGAGGTTGATTCTGTTCGCAAAAGATCCAGGATAGGTCTGACCGTCGGTACATCCAGAGAAGATGCCATATTCTGCGCCAAACGTGTCTAAGTACCATTTTTTAGATGAGTTCTTTGCTTTGATGCGAAACAGATCGTGTTTGTCAAAGCTTTTGTGTCTCCCTTGAGTGATAGCATGGGCCAGCGGCTGCAGATTAGCGACAAAGGTACCTTCAGCGTAAATAGGGGGTCAGTTGAGACCAGCCACAAGCTCCTCAATCTGAACAGGTGTATTTGCGATTGTTTGGTCTCTTGAAAATTATGAAGGGCGTGTTGGGAGCGAGTGTACTCTTCATTAGCTCACAGAGGACGTCATGGAATATGCCGAATGTGACACGTCCAGCCATTAAGGTTAAGAGCATATGGTTTTCCTGGTCACTTTGAACCATATGATGCGGAAATGTTTGGAAGCCCCGTGTGGTGTCGAGAGTGACACGCAGTCGACTACTGTTGCATGTGCCCTCCACAAACTTGTTTGCAAAGGTCTTCTGGCCGAACAAGTAGAACATGTCCCAAAGCAAAGATCCAGCTTTTGGCACAGTGCGGTGAATATTGGCTTCGTAGCAGGCCTCTTTGTGCTCTGACCAATGCACAACCCGACATGATTTGCTGCAATAATACATGATTTTGCAGCGACTACAAAGATCGGTAGAAACAATCACTCATAGCGCAAGTTTGAGCTTTTGTCGTTGGAGTTGCCATTTCATGGGGTGAAAAGAGACGAATGGACAAAGATAAGGAACTAAATCTCTTCCATGGACTACCACTTTTACACAGATCTACAGTAAACATTTGATGAGTCACGGTGCGGAGTCACTAATGTCAGCCGTAGATTTGGGTTTGCCAATAAGCATGCGCATTCGCACGTGATCCGCCATAAACTTGGTCATTCCGCTCATACACGCAAAAATGTAGTGTAGCTCAACGACCCCACGAAGTATCGATAACTGCTCGGTGTCATTTCATCTTGATTCGGCAAATACCTCCACTTCTTGCCATTGGTGGCTTTCTTCGAGATTCTAATAAGTAATTTGACAAATATGTTCATCATGGGTGACGGTGGCGCTCGATCAATACGCAGATTTGCAGGTAATACACAGCTTTTGTCTCGTGTCCATTTTTCCTATGATTTCTCGTTCAAGTACACTTGTCCATCAACGCATTTTCCCCAACTCATTGCGTCATCGCATGGCGACGATCTCATTCCTCATCAATCCTTCTTGACCACATACGCACCTGCTCTTGAATGAGACACCTGTCTGGCATGGCTTATTCCTCATCCGGATTCTTATTAGCACCATAGACACGATGCAATCTCCGCAGAGCTTTCGTACCCTCCTTCAAGTGTAGTATAGCCAACCTCTGGTGCCAGTCGCTCCGCAGACGAACAAGTTCTTCTCCAGCCGTTCCCCGAGGTACATGTCGCTCGAAGTGCCTACGCTCTGAAGCGATTAGTTCTTGGTCGGTTGGTGTGGCAAGTCGATGAGCTGAGTTGTTGGCAAGACCGGAGCCTGTTGGAGATGGGGGCGATGGAGGCCGGGCAAACTCGAATGCTTCTTGAAAAGCTCTGATTCCTCCTGGACCTAATTTCAGAAGCTCGCGAGATTCGACTGCGGTTGAGACACTTCGTCGTACGTCCCGTGAGGTAGAAGTAATGTCGTCCCGTGAGGTAGAAGTAATGTCGTCGCGTGAGGTAGAAGTGATGTCATCCCGTGAGGTGGAAGTGTTGTTGTCGTCTGACGTGTAATCGTGAAGTCGTTTCCGATGCCGTTTTAGATTGTATCCACGAGTAAACTTTGCATCACAATCTGGGCATACAAAGGGCCTCGAAGAGGTATGCACCGACCTCTCGTGACGCGCGAGTTGGCCAGCTTGGCTGAAAGTTAGGCCGCAGATGTCGCAGGAGATTGTCGCACTGGTCTCATCATTGTCTTTCACGTCCTCGCCTTTGTCTGAATAGTCCTTGTACTGATCGACCGGTCGTACTGAATCCCCATATGAAACCATCGTCTATACCACGCTGCAGGGGTTTAGAAAGGACGTTGCTTTAGAACTAAAACGAGAAAGCTCTTACCAGTTGATAATCGATGTCTGTATCGTTGTCGCCCTCGCGGACCCGGAGAAATGTGTCCGGCTGGAAGTATCCGTGTGAGGAGAACCCAAATAGTTGACAACTCGCAAAAGCCGGGCCTAAAATTCATGTAGTCAGTAAGAGGATTTGGAAAGTGAGGTCTGGGTGTCGATCGTGATGTGGAAGAGCAACAGCCCACTGTCACACAACCCACTCGTGCGACTCGCGGTCGTTTACTTGCAAGAAAGCGTTCGTATCGAGAGCCCGGAGAGCAATCAATGCTGCATCTGCGCTCATGATTAAGACTTCAACGAAACTACGCACCTTGTGTCAGCGTGGTGTGCTCAAGCAGAGGCTCTCCAATTGTCGAACGCCAATCGCTATCGGGTGCCTTGAACTCGCAATAGCTCAAGAGATCCAGTTGAGGTCGACTTTAAGAAGCGGTAGTGCGGGGTAGTTGGAGGGAGAGAAGAGGTGCTACGGGAGAGCTTTTACTTCTGCGGAATGGTGACGAGGTCTAGCCTTGCCCAACGACCACCGCGCACAACACACGGCCTAGCGTATAGACACTGGACAAGCTGCATTATAAAGATAGGAAGAAGGACATAATTCTGTGAAGTGACCGTGAGTAAATTGAGGGATTACACCCGGCGCCATGCTACCAAAGACAGTAGTGACTTCAGCAACAAGCCTAGCTGAGCAGAACGAACCCTACCACCCCCACCGTCGCAAAGCTCACAGGCAACGCATCAACGGCGCACATGCCTGACTCAGGCAGTGCTGCAAAAATGCACCACCATAATCTCCGACCAGTCATCAGGTGCACTCATGCACATCACACATCGATCATAACATCTTACGAAGGCAACGAAAATATCGCATGGCGCGCGGATGATGCTGCAGTCGACACAAGACAGCGATGGAAACAGATGGCAGAAGAAACGGTGGTATTCAACGGCCTTGTAAGGACAGCGACATTCGACAAGGGCGATTGCTCTTCGTACGCCGAGACCACTGTGGACCAGTCAGTCATCCCCTTTACAGGAGAGCCGCAGAGGTACATACCTTTCTCTATCGACACCGAAAACAAGGCTGCTAAGCTTAAGCATGCAAGCCCGCGAGTCGCCAGCTTGGCCCCGTGGCTGGTCGCACCTAATGCATGGTTTAGTCGCTCTCCTTACCACTCTCCTCCGACTTCACATCCGCCTCCGCTTCAGATGTCTGACTCTCTGACGACGAACTGCTGTCGGGATCCAGATCCTCGAAGATAGACTCAAGCGTCGAACCCTTCATCTTCCAGATCTTCTTACGAAGAGCGACAGCTTTGAAACTATAGCCTTTAGCCTCCTCGGATTTGGTCAGGACTTTTACCAGACTCTTATTTCTGCCGTACAGGTTGCGGTAATAGTCGCAAAGAGCCTCGAAGCGTTTTTCCACGGTACCCTTTTCATCTTCCAGAACTTTAAGCTGGTGCTTAAGCTTCTTTTTGGGGACATTCTTCTGCTGCAGTTTGGCGATGAACTCGTCTCGATCGTGAATCTCTGCCTCGTGTTGGACGACCAGGTCCTGCACTCGCTCTTCAGCCTCTGACTGCAACTTTGCAGTATGTTCTTCATTCTCATCATTGGCTTTGAGGAGCTGCCTGATACGGGCCTTCTTCAGCTTCAAGTCAGCCTCGCGGTCTTTTGCGGCCTTCTGCCAGACGCGCGCTGAGAAGTACTTGCCATCCAGTTCTTGTACTTGCTTCAGCGCAGCTTCACGCTCCTCGGTCAAGGCTATAACACGCGCCTCCCAAATCTTAAGTGTATGCCGATGTTTGCTGTTGTCTTTTGCAAGTGATATCTGCTGAGTTGACAGCTCAGTCAGCTCCAACCTGATCTCTTCCGTTTCGTTGACGGCATTTCGGCGAAGAGTTGTCTGTATTTGTACATCTTTCTTTAGCCTAGCGATCTCCTTACGCAGAGCCTCTGAATCTTTGCGCAACACTTGTTCAGCTCGCCTTAAAGCTAACAGATCCTGTCTGACCTTTTCATTCTGGGCACGAAGCATTTCCATATCCGCAAGAGCTTTGTCAACTTGATCTTGCGTCTGAGTCTCGATTAGACGAATTGAGTCGATTTCAGCGCGAGCTTTGTCGAGTTGCTCCTTCGCTTGGCTTTCAAGTGCCGCGATTTGGTCTCTAGCAGTAGAGTGCGCGGCAGCCACACTGTCCTCAAGTTTTCGCGATTTCTCGTTTGCCTGGGCAATGCAAGCATACAGCTTTTTTTTTCGCCACATGGAAACCATCTTGCTGCATCTTCACAAAGGCAACAAGTCTAGTATTTGACTGGCCCATCGCCTGCTTTACTTGAGTGATTCGGATGATCCGCTGTTTCAATTCGCGATTCTCATCACCGCTTTGCAGGATGAGTTCTATCTCCGCGAGCATCATGATCTTGTCCTGGAGAGTGCCATCAAACATGGCGTTGCGAATATCCCTCAGCGTGCATTGATCTTCGTGGCCAAGTTCCGGCGCAGGATGTCCGGTTCTCGTGTCAAGATCCACATCCGGGCCCCAGCGGTTGCGGTCGCGTCTGTCGCCCATCGCGTCTGCTCGTAGGATCAAACGACGTTCCGGCAAGCTATTCAATTAGCGCACGTTGCGAGAATCTCGAGGTCAAAGTCGCCCACCTGTAAAGTTAATTGCTTCAAAAGATTGCAGTACAAATCAGACGTGTGGTGTTTAAAAGACGTAGAATGAAGCGGGAAAGACAACTTGTGGCACGAAATTCCCTATCTCGTTTAGCGGCTTTTCCAGCGTTTGCACTGCAAGGTGAAGAACATCGCATTGATTCCGGTACCGAAACAGGAAGCGCGAATTGGCCGGTGTAGGCATACAGTGGTGTGAGAATACCGTGCCGTGGTCTGAACATACCGAGACAGAGTCACCGGCGAATCACTACTTGTACCAGATCTATTGTCTCATCAACGGCCATCACAACACCTAAAGCCAGGCCACATCGAGAGATACATGAACAAATATCGGGATACCAGAGACGTAGCAGAACGCGAGACGATGAGTTCGGATGGAGTTTGTTTGATGTTGCAACCAGCTTGCTCGTGTACTCACCAGTTATCAAGTGTAGGCGCTCTCGAACAGGAGACCTGCGCAATGATTGTTTACCAGCTCTTGAATTATAGGCACATCTGTTATTTCTTAAAGATAATTCAGTGAGGGCAGCTAGAATGGAGACAATCGATAGGTGTGTTGACGCGATCGCAAATTGTCTCGAGCTACTCTTCTTTGTCTCCCGGAGTGGCCTATCCTTCGACCATCACAGGCCATCGAAGCGATCTGGCAACGGTATGCTGGAATGTGTACAGAACATGACAGCTCCTTCCTCGCGCAAGGAAACGAACAGGCTGGAGCAGCGTTATGCGATCAGCGCTCACATCCAGCGACTCGAATCAAGAGACGAATAAAAATGTGCGCTGCGCTGCGATGAGATCATAGAGTCCGATGCGTCAGGTTCCGGTATTCGTTCGCCATGAACTTGTGAGCCAGCATGGTAATGGTAGTGAGTGCGGAGAGAGAGAGAGAGAGATGGTGCTTGTGCGTGGTTGAATCCCCGCCCCTTTCCCCGGAAGACGCCGTTGCCCCACATGACAGCCACTTGCCCAAGACTTCGCTTCTCGACTTCTTCCACCAGTCCACATCACCACACGACCGGACTCATTGGGCCGTTCTGCAACTCCCTCCATATCGGTCCTACAGTATATTGCAGCAATACTGAGATGACGCGTACGGCTTTACGGTGTTCAACTTGATGCGCAGCTCGACGCGTAGTTGTACTACACGGCGTTCCAACAATCCGCGCATCTCTGAGGACATCTGAAAGAATATGCTTGAAGCTACACACTGGCCAGGGTAGCTCCAAACTTGAGGTGGGCTTGATAGCTGCTGAAAGGTCTTTTGATCATATACAGACTCCTTGTCCCGCTTGTCTGGCTACAACTCTCTCGAGGGATGTATTTAAATTGTCGCGAAAGCCAAACATGAGGCTCCTGTAGCTTTCCCGGACGAAGGGATAGATTCGATGCTTCCACGGCTTCCAACTCTTGCAGAATACCATACACAGGAACCGGTGCTTTGCCACTTCACTAGTGGCTGGGGGGACTTGATCTCGCCATCATGGCTAAACTGAGAGGCCGCAAGGTCCGCTGTGGACGAAAATCCATTACCGAATCTACTACAGGGGTCAGCAGATTGAACGCTGCTCAACGAAGGTTAGCGACTGAGGCGCAGTTGTATGCCATTGCGACAATTAAGCTCAAGGACCCCCACGACAAGAGAACCTCCTTGAGGCATCAGTATTTGCATAAGGATTATATGACGTATCGGGTTTCGTTGTACATAACGCCGGACGAACGTCGGCCCTTTTCCAAGGTGACGGGTCGAAGTACTTTATGTGCATGGGTGCGTGGAACAACGGCCGTGACGTGGAAGAAACGCCGCGTTAGCAAGAGCTATCACGGCACCCCCCAAACCAACGCGGCTGCGGCAGTTGCCGATATAGGCAAGCATTTTGGCGTTATTCATGAGCCCTTGTCAACAACTACGCAAGGAAGGGGACAGGCTCATCCTGGATAACTCACAACAACACTCTACCTTGAACTCGACCTCTCCCTCGCTGCCCAAATACTACGATGTATCATACGAGTCAATTCATCACCCACCATACTCGGAACAACTTCGGTCGACGAAAGGACAGCTGCGACGCCGACTAGATTCGACTGGACTGGTGTTTGGACTCGGTCAAGTCCCTGTCAACACGACCATCGTCCAAGTCAGGCCACTTTCGACCGGGTTGAATTGTGCAAAAATACCAGCATCTATTATTGGTGCTAGCGACAAAATCCGGGGGGCGGTCTGGAGTTTTCCGAAGTGACTTGATGGGCTCTTCGTGCATAGGGTATCCGTGATTGTCAGCTTGTGGTACAACCTTCGTGGGAAAGAGTCGGCTGGCGCTAGGAACTTTTCGAATTTCGGTGTGACACGGAGCCGGCATGGAGTGATGCCAAATATGCGTTAGACCAATTTTCGTAAGCACATCTTCCAGTTTACCTCTGGTGCTGGTGATATCTGAATCTCACGATGACGTTACACTTAGATCAGCGAACTTGAATGTAAGCTAAGATGGAAAGCCTTCATCTCGAAGTAGTAGTCTCTACGAGAAAATGGGTCTGGGCAAAAGCTTCCAAAGGTCCGCAAAAAGAAAGCGAACATTGCTCCTGTCTTTATGGTCGATTCTGCACCGAACCTTAAAGAATCCGCCTCCTCCTCATGCCTACATCACAGTACATGCTACGAGGACGCGAATAAGACCCTCTGCGGCCAACTCTTTCTTTGTCATAATCTTGCCGTTACGATCCCTTCGCCCCTTGCCTGCGACCAGCGTCTTTGTATCATCATCCTTGAAGTCTTTGTCTTTCTTCATTGCATCTCTAGTGTCCACTTCCTCTCGCGCTGTGCCTGCGGATACGTCGCTCAAATCATCCTTGATAGGCTTCGGATCCTTCAGTTTCTTGTCGTTTACATCCTGTCGCTGCGTGCCTCCGGGTAGTGTGTTTGCGTCAGCGTCAATGACGATTGGCGATTTCCACCGAGTCGGTGTGCTCGCATCATCGTTGTTGTATGCCGACGAGTTCGCCTTGGCTACTGCTCGTCAGTACGCTCTCATCAGCAAGGACCCCAGGAATGACATACATGTTGACGGCCGCTGAGAAGCTGGCATATTGTTTGGTTTCTACGGAATGATTTGGATTCGGCGTTAAGCAAGCTGTGAATACTTCTTATCACGCTTTGTCGCCTTTAGTTCTCTGCTTTCTACATCGCCAAGCTGTGAGCTCATATACTCAAGTAATGATGATCGACAACATGTTGTAAAGTAGACGAAAAGTCATTTCTCGTGTTGGAAAGAGGCGCAGTAAGGCTGCCATACAAGGTTTCGACTACGCGAAGTGGCTGAAAGACAATGGGTTGTTGCTGTTCTACAACCGGCAATTTAACCAGCACCGCCTACTGTCCATCATTACGCCCAACGCACATCTCCAAGCCACTTCGAGCATATCAGTCACCGACCAAACACGAAAGAACATTATTCGAGAGGTCTGCGCCTTCTTTGCGATCACATCGCCTTCCTATTCAGTCCTGGAAGACGTCTCACATGCTCGAGAATTATCGCCTCTCATTTCTCCAAGTCACTCTCCTTGCTTTCCACTTGTCGACGTCTTTCTTTCCCCACAACCATTTTTTCCCCTCTGCGTCACCAAATAGTGTACAAAGCTTTCATACATCTTGCACTTATGCATATTGCTTCTGAAAAGCTTGTTTACATGCTTTCGTTAGCTTTTATTACACTTCCTAAATGTAGAAAGACTATTGTGTTGTATCTTCTTTCTTCAGACACTGTAAGGGCATCGATTGCCAACATGTCCACAGGTGGCCGAGCCTCGAAAAGATGAAGTATCTCGCTACTCAAGAGAGCGAAATCGGCCGGAGGGCGTTTGCAGAATTTTGCGCAGACTTTCATGCCAGTTGGCTTGATAATTTGAACAAGTACTGCAAGTACCACGACAGGGATGAGCCAAACCCGGCACTGGCTGTTAGTCGATGGCTCAAAGCTGACTCACATGACAAGGTGGGAATGCCGTATCACGGAAACAACAGGACTGCTCAGCAGAAGAACAATCGCACAAACGATGCCTACGGAAGGCTAAACCCACCGCAGGGTATTCATGGTAATAGACACGAGAATGATTACATAACTGGACAGTTCTGCAATCGCATGCGCGGACGGGAGAATCATCGCTTCAGCGAACAGGACACTGACCGTGTGAACACGCAACATAATTATAACGTCAACGACAATGTCAGCAGGGTCACCCGACCAGACAATATTCGATGGGCCGAACCTCCACAAGACGAGCCTGATATCAAGGGAGAAGAAGAGTAGTCTAATATCCAGATTGCGACCGCTTCGATGGTGGTAGAATTAATTGCAATGTTCATAATTCAACTTGAGCGTTCACGTTGATGCCTATAATGTGATGATGAGTGTGAAATAACTCTGCCCAAGACCAAACGCAAATACGCCCAGTACAGTCACATTGATGATCGGCATTCATGTCCTAACCGCACGGTTTGCCCAGATTTTAATCAGTTCTGAAAGTAACATCCAAGAGGACATGACAATGACCCTGGATCAGCAATTCTGGGCAACCCTTTCAGAAGCGGGTAAAAAACATTGGCGCCGACATTCCAACCCCGACTCGGATGTCCATCAACGCAACTTGGAAGGTCCAACGACCTCTTGTCTGAGGCGGTGTGTTAACTTTCCCTACTCAGAGATCCCTGGCCCCATGTTTGAGGTTACTGTGGACACTCCAAACCGCACGTCCCTCACCATCTCGCCTCATCACCAACGCATGACATCAACTTTACCACACATCCCCCAAACCCGAGTCAAGCAGATCCAGATGAAACGAACCCCCACGTGATATGTCCCACCAGACACATCCCAAGCTGTCAAAACGCGCCGGGCTCCCAGCTTCAGGATCATGCCTGCGGCTCCATATCCGAATAGTGTGACGCAAGCTCGTATTCCCAAAGTGCGCCCCATGTTCGCTCTCGCATCAGCAGCGACCCGCACCGGCCGCCTCACGTTTCTGAAAACTTTTACCTCAGTGATTCGGGCGTTCCTCGGTCCGTTGCGAGTGGAGCATCCGGCAGGCTGGATGCTTCGATCTGCGGCCGGTGCTGCGTCGTTTTCGCTTATCGCGCTTCCGGATATTTCTCGAAAAAAGCAAAAAGAAAAGGAATCCTTCCAACCCCGTCCGCTCTGCCGCCCCTCTTTTCAACGCGTGCCCTTGCGTTGGACGACACGGTATCTTTTTCGATAGTGCAGTAGTTAGTCGTCTAGCTTGCGGTTAGACTTCCCGCGAATCAGCGATAAGTCACACACCGGGGAATTGGACCGAGCCACACGCTGTGCGACGTGGTTGGAGAGTGTGCGGACTAGGTGAGATCCACTCTTCCGATCTTCACTTCCAGGTCGAGTCCGACGGTGCCAAGCAGATCTCGCACCCCTTCCTGACGATGCGATCGGATCTAGATGTGACCTGAGCTGCACACCATCAGCTTTCCCGACGATTTGATGCGTCCCGTCTCGCTCCTTGCTTTTTAGTTGCCTGACATCTCCCCTTCGCAAAGCTGTTAGCCGTGAGCGCTTGCCAGACGAGGCAATGCACTACAGCGGAGCGCCTTGGTGATACTGCGTGAACATGTACGGGGTACCCCGGGCCTACAGCACGCATCTCCATATACACCTGGGCCAGTCATGATCGTGAAAAAGGACTGCCATGGTGACGAACACTGCAGCAGTATGCCCTTGCATGCTTTTGAGCTTCCGGACCTCAAATCTCGATGAGGGAGGCTTGCTGCACATTGTGACTACGTGATGGTGTAGTAGAACGTTGTAACCCAGATCCCAGCTCTTCGTTCTCCAGGTACAGCAATCCTTCCCACAAAAAGCAACCTTCAGATGAGGTTACTAGCCCAACCCGAGCTTCACCGCCGTCATGCGATGTCGTTGTCTGTCACAGATGATTGGGATGTATAGCCACCCAGTCGGATGAGCATATACTGGTATCCACAAGGCCAGACAGCATGAGCCTCCCTTGCAGTTCCTGCCTAAGTAATCAAATCATCCGAAATAGTGGTAGCAGCCGCGCAATTGATGCTGGGTGGGACCTCGCCGTCTCCAGATATTAGTACATCCGGCAAAAAGAGTCCAGGCTGAAGTTCGTGAAACATGCGATATGAAGCAGGGGGTAAAATGTCGTGAGCTCATCTGATGCACGAGAGGAAAGTGTCCGTGGCGGGTGCAGGCGGATCATCTCTCAAGGTACCACACCGTACCGGCGCTACTACCCATTCAAGTAATCATGCGAAAGTGCCGCGATTCGCCAGCTCCGATTGATCCACCTGAGAATATTTTCAAATCCTACTTGGTATACCACATCTGATTCATGAAGCATTGCTTCATGATGCAGATAGTACTGTGTACTTTGACGACTAAGGTGTTGGAATCACACCCCAGTTAATATCAGGTACTTGGTCGCGCAAATTGCCTATTCCAGCATTAGGCCTTCACAGCGGCGTGTCAAGCTGTAGAGAATTGTGTCATATCCCCAGCATGTTTCGAGCGAGCGACGTGAAGGGAGTCTTTTGGCGAAAGCTTTGTACGACGTAATCGCTACCTGGGCATGCTCGTTTCTATCGCGTGACTTTAAGGTGATGCAGACAGCCGCTGAAGCCTGTACGATGCTGAATAGCGAGTCAGAATGTTGCTGACAGACAGGGATAATGCAAAGACCCTGCCGATTATGCACTTCACACAAATGTCGAGTCAGAAATGCGTTCTCCACGAAGGGTCGGGTCGGCAATGGCCCATGGGAAGAAAGGCAACTAAGATTGCCCGTATCACTAACGCTTTTAGCGGACATCTGACAGGGCGATAGGATCTCGGCATGAACATCTGAGTCGTGAACACCAGAGTGGTATAGCAGTGCCGTCCATGGCATCTTGCCTAATGCCGTTCGAACGCTCCGTCACAATTTTGCCACCTGTCGCAGGCGTGTTCGACACCGTTGAGCAAAACGGTGGGTCATGGCTAAAGAGCCACATGCAGGCAGATCCACCGCCTCGCTTGACAATCGACAATCGCATTTGTGTGGCGACTGCTGGAGTGGAATTCGACAGTTTTGAAATTTCCGTTGGGGCAGTGGGAAGGACGAATGATATTGTGGGAATATTTTCTTCCAGCAGCAAATAGCCGCATAGGTACACCCTGAGCGGCATTGGGCACATGTTGAGAACTTGAGATCCCTAGATCCGGGCTTGCTACGTGGCTTCAATCGTAGGGATACTCTGCATCTGTGGAGACGGCTGAAAAAGCGATAGCGCTGACATCTTGTTCCTGAACTCAAATCCACAGTCAAGGCTATCCTCGAGTCGGACAAAGGTTTGAGCATTGCCGATGAGACCCATTGGGTATACACGGCGTGCGGCACTTCTCCAAGTCCGCGCTACTCTAAGAGGTGCTCTTAAGACAGAGGCAGGCGTTCCTGCGGCTGAACTCGACCCGCGGCCAGTAGCATTGCGATATGGAGATGGGAGGGTTTCGCTAAAGGCAAGCTTGCCAGAACGATCGACGGAAGCATTTCCGTTTCGCGTTGCCCCCTTATCCAGCTGTGTGTTCACACAGTGGTTGTGCTCTATGAATTCGCGTCCTCCATAAAGTATCCAAACCACTGGGATACCAGGTGCGGTTGATCTCGTGTTTTGCTCGGTTTTGAGCTGATCTGGAGCGACATAAACTTGAGTTCGGGAGCGCCGACTGGGGCACAAAAAGCCTCACAAGCGCGATCGTCACTGCGCGGTGATGTCGTTGTTTCTAAGTTAGAATGTGGTGTGTTGTCGCGATTGGCGTATCCTTACTGCATGGAGGCAAAACAATGGCTTCCGCACCCCCGCAGCAATCGACACCTGTGCCGCTGCCAATCACGGCGATGACATCGACATTAACGCATGTTCCACGACTGCAGCTTCGTGGCGACCACTGTTTAGAAGTACTTCGACATCATAGCCACGCATGAATAATCAAGTGTATCGCATCACCATGCCTGCACGCTAGGAGCAAGCCTAATGTTCTTTGGCCTCCCAACACTCTGTATACAAGAAGCCGTTCAAAGATTCCATACTGCTGGGACAGGAAACTTGTGCGAGTGAATTTGATTTGTTGGGTCCGCATTTCCGAGAGCGTTGACGACTTCGGGAAGCCCCGCTCGCTGGCCGCCTAACCGCTGTCGCTATACCTTATGTGAGTCTAGATGTCGACGAGAGCTGCAAGTGATCCTGTAGCGTCTGCTACGAACGCTCCGGGCTGCTGTAATTCGTGTTTGAACTCGTTGGCGAATAGGCAGGGCGTCGGTGGCTTGTCAAAGTTCGAAGTTGAGTTCATGATGGTGGACGAGTTCGTCTCGTGCAAGGTTTGCGAGGGGCTCGGGGAAAAAGACACGATCCTTTGTTAGCCACTTTTCTGATTAACTTTGCGCTGCGAACCGAGCCGCTTTGACCCAAGCTTTTGGCAAATACACCGAGCAGTGTGTTGCACTAACAGTTGTTTCTGGACGGGCCTTGTGAATGTTGGAACAGGCATGAGGGATTTACGTGAAGCATGGTCGCGGCGATATCTCCTGATAGATGCAAAGAAACAATGACTCAATGATTGACTCCAGGTTTGTTCGGAGGATGATTGTATTTTGGGTATAGTGATAACATAGATGACGAAGAGCGTAGTGCGTCGCAGATCATCGTGATAAATTCTATGGGCTAAGAGCCGTATGCGTTCGGAGACCAATGCGACCGAAGACATTGTCTGATCAACGACCGAATGCAGAGTATGAGACATTGGCGACATGCGCATGAGCGCCTCTGGCTCATTAAAGGAAGATCCTGGTGTCTCCAACAACAGGCCGTACCAAAATTCGAGCGCCGATAATGCATCCAGACATCCATTTTTCCAATCATGTGAGAAACGTCGCAACCATGACACCAATAAGCAAAGAGATCGGAGGGTACATAAATCGCTTTACAGGAGCAAATCAAAGGGGTATCGACGGTGGAAAAGACATGAACCAACACTTGGCTCATGTTGCAAATACAACGTATGGCTGTGATAAGAAGAGGGCTGATGGGCGTGAGGGAGACGACAACTACACTATATCGGTGCAGTAGGCCGGACAGGCGGAGCACTCGTAGTGCTGTTGTCGAATGGATATCTTCTTGACCGCGCGGATTCTTCGTGCTGTCGGTCATCTTTGCGCTTGTTTGAAGATCCGTTAGTTGCGCCGGTGTTCGTTAAGGGATTGAAGTCGTGGCCTGCGTCGCTCGGGACCTTCACTCGACAGCTCGCATGTTTCTGCTTCCAGCGCTCGTGGTCATCCTCCGCAATCTTATCGTTCTCGCTTTTCCGAGCAAAGAATTCAGCCGTTGCCTTGGCATAGTCCATTGCATCTTTGGCTGGTGGTTGTTGAACCCACGCGGGAGGCGATGGTGCAGTGTAGACATCCAAACACCCTGGGCAACGCTCCGCTGGCTGTGTTGGTACATCTGTGTTAGAATGCGATGGTGGCTCGACACGTCGTTGGCCCTGGCCGAGGATCATAGCTCTTGCATCGGGAATCGGCATGCGCTCAACCCGAGATGCTGGCTGCTCTACTCGCGGAGCTGGAGGCTCAATCCGAGACATTGGTGGGGGTTCCACATGCTCTGCAGGGGCACTTACTGCCGGTAGAGGGGGACTTGGTCTGGGCCGCTGAGTGGGAGGCATGTTCGCTGAAGTGTAGTTTGCTGCAAACCTGACGTTGTAACGCTGTTGGCGGGTAACAGGGCTGATGTGATCAGAAACTGGAGGTGAGGCGGCGCTTCTCGGAGACGGATCCGATGCAGATCCGTTTTGAATTAGGGTCACGTGCTCATGCAAGTTGGGAGAACTCGCAGGTGGGTGGGCAGACGGGGAAGGAGCTGAGGATTGAGAAATGAGATGGGACATGAAGTGAGGGCTTTCTGGACGATGGCTGTCTTTTGGGCTCCGACGTGAGTAAGAAGCAAAATCAGGCTCTGGGTGGGGAGCAAAAGACGAGCTCTCCTTGGACGTCTCGAGGCGGTAGTGGGAGATGGCTGAGTCTTGGCGGCGGGAATTGATTGGTGCCGTGTGTGAGTGAGCAGCGTCGTGCAGGTGATGGTAATTTTCAGATGTCACTCCTTGCGATGGTGGTAAATGTGGTCTTGATTGCTGTTGCTGTTGCTGTTGCGGTTGATGTTGCTGGTAGTAATGTTGCTCAGACGGCGTTGTTGATGTGGCTGAGTTGGTACGGCTGTAAGTAGGTCAGCACGTGTGTCGCAGCTTCTTCACACACAACACGAAGACTCACCTTGCGCGACTCGCGTGCGGGCTGCATCAAAGTAGGA